GGACATTGGCTTTCCGCCTGGACTTGCCAAAGGACATAAAGGTGCACCCGGTGTTCCATGTGTCTCTTCTTGAGCCCTACAAGAAGAACTCGCTTCCGGGTCGGGTGCAAGCGCCGCCCCCTGCGGTGGTCATCGATGGGAACTTGGAGTGGGAGGTCGAAGAGATCTTAGACTCCAAGTTCGTGCGCGGAAAGCTGCACTATCTCATCGATTGGAAAGGCTACCCGGTCACCGATCGAAGTTGGGAGCCCGCCGACATTGTCTTTGCCCCAACGGTGGCCGCGGAGTACCACCGACGCTACCCAGACAAGCCTGGCCCCAGGAGAACTCAAGATGGAACACGCCGTAGTTTGAGGAGGAGATAGTGTGATGACCAGCATCACAACGGACCAATGAGATTGTCCCGCATGCTCTCGCCCTCCGCACCAATCATGAGTCCCCACGTGTTTGTTTGCCCCCATGCATGAGCACGCGCCGTTGCCACCCGCGTCTACTGGTTTCCTGCCTCCCCCACCGCTCGGCACATGTCCCCGGGCTGTGCCAAGCCTCTCTCGCTTGCACACCAGCCACTCTCGCACCCCCTTCTCGCTTCTCTGTGATGCTCCACCCTTCTCGCCCACTTTTGCCCCTCGACCTTCTCCCGGTCTATAAATAGCCCTGCATGTCTGAGCCTATGTTGAACACCAGTTCGAACAAAACTTGTTCTTTGGTGTTCGGGGCTAAAAGCTAATAAAGCTCATACCAAGCACTTGGTCTTCGTCCTTGCGCTTGTTCACTCCTCACAGCCGACGAAGGGATGTAGTCCGAGCGACGAGACAGGGCATCGGCCTTGCCGTTCCTCGCACCAGGACGGTACTGGATGCGGATGTCGAACCGAGACAAGAACTGGGACCACCGTGCATGACGCTGGTTTAGGATGCGAGCCGTTGCCAGGTACTCCAAGTTCTTGTGATCGGTCAGAACGGCAACGGGATGCTGGGCGCCTTCGAGGTAGTGTCGCCACGCCTCGAAAGCCTCCTTGATCGCCAACAGCTCTTTCTCGTATATGCTGTAGTTACGTTCAGCATTCGAGAGTGTCCGCGAATGGAACGAGCAAGGATGAAGGCGATCATCAGCACCCCGCTGGGAGAGCACGCATCCAAGCGCAAAGTCCGACGCATCTGACTCTACGACGAACGGCTTGGATGGGTCCGGATGCACCAGAACGGGCTCCGAAACGAAGGCATCCTTCAAGGATCTGAATGCTTTATCGGCTTCGCGGGACCACTGGAAGCCATGCGTCTTCCGGAAGAGCCGAGTCATGGGCCCCGCGATCTTTGCGTATCCATCGATGAAGCGTCGATAGAAGTTCGCAAACCCGACAAAGGATCGAAGATCCGAGATGTTGCGCGGTATGGGCCAATCCAAGATCGCAGAGAGCTTGGATCGCTCCATACCGATGCCCTCGGGCGAGACCATGAAACCAAGGAACGAGACCGAGGTTTTGGAGAACTCGCACTTCTCCAGCTTGCAATACAGCTTTGCAGCTCGGAGCTTCGAGAGGACCTGCTTGACGTGCTCTACATGCTGCGACGGATCAGCACTGTAGATCAAGATATCGTCAAGATACGCAATTGCGAACTGGTCCAACTCGGTGCGCAGGACGTCGTTGATGAAGTGCTGGAACGTCGCTGGCGCGTTGGTGAGCCCAAAGGGCATCACCAAGTACTCGAAGTGCCCATATCGAGTACGGAAAGCTGTCTTCCACTCGTCCCCGGAGCGGATGCGCAGCAGATTGTAGGCTCCACGAAGGTCCAGCTTAGTGAACACCTTCGCGCCTCGAAGTCGGTCCAGCAGCTCGCCGATCAGCGGTAAAGGGTAACGGTTCTTTACCGTGATACCGTTCAGTGCGCGGTAGTCAACGCAAAGACGAAGTGAGCCGTCCTTCTTCTTGACGAAGAGGATTGGTGAGCCTGCTGGGGACGACGAAGGACGAACGAATCCCTTGGCAAGATTCTCGTCGAGATAGTCACGCAGAGCGTGAAGTTCGGGCTCGGACAGTGAGTACAGAGGCCCGAACTTTGGCGACTTGCCCGGCTCCAAGTCAATGGGGCAGTCATAAGGGCGATGCGGAGGCAAGGAGTCAGCTTCCTGTTTAGAGAAAACAGACAGGAAGTCCTTGTACTCCGCAGGCACTTCGACAGTCGCAGTGCTCGGCTCGTCAGTGGGCAGGACATGGACCTGAAAGATGGTCAGGGGTTGCGTTCCATGCCTGCATGCATCCAAAGACTCGCGCATCGAGCGGTAATCAATGCTGCAGACGCGGAGAGGAGCGTCCGAGCTGAGAGGAGGGGCGTGGACAAGGTCAGAATAATGTTCGACGGTTACTTTATTCTGAACAATGTCCGAAGAACAAACAACAGGAGGAGGTACATCAAGGAGGGAAAGAGAACTGACAACAGAAGAAGGGGTTTGGGAAGAGCGAAGGGGTTCGGGAGGAACAAGACAAGAAGGGGAAGACGAAGGTGGGAGCGTAGGAGAGGAGCTTAGATCAATCAAAGGAGTGGAATCATCAAGAAGGGGAGTGACATTGGAGGAAGTGGAGCAAGACGAAAGAGAAGTAGTGCATGGAGAGGGGTCGGAATCAACAGAAGGAGGGAGACAAAGAAGACCGCGAGACCAGACAATCTTGGGCTCGGCGGTGCGCAACCAAGGAAAGCCAAGGATAAGTGGTTGATGTGGAGACCTGATCACATCGAACCGAAGGCGTTGCGAGACGTCCCCGAGAATCACCTCGAGTGGAGCAGTCTCGCGGAGGATGGGGCCAGACGACAGCGGCTTACCATCCACGCCTTCCACTGCCAAGGGCGAAGCCTTGGAGCAGGTGGGGACAGAGTGTCGAGCAACAAAGTCCTCGTCGATAAAGTTGCCAGAGGCACCAGAATCGACAAGTCCTTCGCACGACAGAGAATCACCAGAAGGAAGACGAACAGCGACGGGAACAACCAACGAGCAACGACGAACAGACGAAACACAAGACTTTGGTTCGGTACCAGCTTCGGCACCAGGGTTGCGGCTAGCACAGACAGTTAACTTTGCCGAGGGTTGGCAGGACAGCTCAGGTATTTGCACCTGTGGATGAGGTGCAGTTCCCAGTGACACCAGAGGTGCCACGGGTACTATGCCAGAGCTGAGAGTGTCCGCCGGTCCAGAGGCAAGGCGAAGCTGTCCGCACATCACTGCTTCCCCAGTACTTACCAAAGGCACCTTACCAATGTCTTCACTTTCGGAAGGCGGTGGGCACGGCTCCGGTTCAAGGCCTTCACTTAGAACCGGGCCTGGTCGTTTCCCGAACTGAAGTCTTGCACTTCTCCATCTTCGTAAACGATGGTGCGGATGATCCTCGGGCCGGGAGGTCCAGGGGGCGGTCCGGTAGCTCTGGTAGATCCAAACTTGACGGGGCAGTTTCGTACCAAGTGGCCCTTCTTGCCACAGTACAGGCAGAGTCCAAAGCGGCGGCGGCGTTGTTTCTCCTCGGCGGTCAGGGGTCCAGAGACGGCAGAGTCCACTTGCATGGGCTCGGAAACAATGTAGGAGGGGTGCGGCGGAGCGAGGACGGGCGCGGGAGCGATGGCGGGAACGGCAGCGGAGGCGGAACCAAAGGCGAACTGGGAAGACCGGTAGCGGGCAGGCGTGCTTCGGCGCTCTTGACGGCGCTCGCGGATTCGTGCATCGAGCTCGTTACAAAGCTCGATGTACTCCTCCAGATCTCGTGGCAGAGGGCGAACTCGCGAAAGTTCGTCTCTGACATCATCCGACAAGCCAAGTCGGAAGAACGAGATCTTTGCACCGTCGTTCCAAGTCGTATCGGCGGCAATACGAAGGAACTCGGATGCATAGACTGCGCACGGGCGGTTGCCCTGAGACAGTGTGGTGATCACTGACTCGGCAGTCCTGGCCCGATCAGGGTCGTCAAACACTTTGGAAAAGCGTTCTAGGAAATCGCCAAAAGAGTTGAGTCGGGGATCACCCATCTCAAGCATCGGAGTCGCCCACTGGAGAGCCGGTCCAGTGAGCAGACTAATGACGAATCCGACCTTAATCGGGTCAGCAGGGAACCGGTGGGGCTGCATTCGTATATACAGTTTGCACTGATTTACGAATGCCCGGAACCCTTGCCGGTTACCGTCGTAACGGTCCGGCATCTGCACGCTGTACCCAGCGGCAGGAGCATCGCGAGCTGTCCGGAGCTCGGCGAGCTCGGCCTCCAAGGCACGGAGGCGGTCCACGAGGGCAGGATCCATGGCGGGACTGGGACTGGGACTGGGAAAAAAAAAAAAGCGAGGAGGTTCAAGAACAGGAGAGCGAAGAGGGCTCAGACACAAGTGTGCTTGAGGTTCGGACAGGACTAGGAAAGGGGCGGGGCTAGGAGCGGAAGATACCAAGCAGGTGGTATCAGTAGAAGAGAGTTCGAACAAAGTGTAAGGAGTGAACAAGCGCAAGGACGAAGACCAAGTGCTTGGTATGAGCTTTATTAGCTTTTAGCCCCGAACACCAAAGAACAAGTTTTGTTCGAACTGGTGTTCAACATAGGCTCAGACATGCAGGGCTATTTATAGACCGGGAGAAGGTCGAGGGGCAAAAGTGGGCGAGAAGGGTGGAGCATCACAGAGAAGCGAGAAGGGGGTGCGAGAGTGGCTGGTGTGCAAGCGAGAGAGGCTTGGCACAGCCCGGGGACATGTGCCGAGCGGTGGGGGAGGCAGGAAACCAGTAGACGCGGGTGGCAACGGCGCGTGCTCATGCATGGGGGCAAACAAACACGTGGGGACTCATGATTGGTGCGGAGGGCGAGAGCATGCGGGACAATCTCATTGGTCCGTTGTGATGCTGGTCATCACACCTCCCTGGTGAGTGCGATCGTCTCTGCGTGCCACTCTGTTCGCGCTGCGCCGGCTTGGCCGGGAGGTTTTGCAATATGCCGCTCTCACCGCCACACTGTCTATCAGCTGCAACGCTTCTCCATGACCAACAGCGATGTCGACAGCATGCTGAGCGCTCTGTCCGGGGGTACAATGAGCTATGGCGATGTGGCATGTAACTGGCTGCAGAACAACGAAATCGTCTGGAAAACATGGATCCCGTCGCCGCCGGTGCTGGACGTGGGTGAGTAGATCTTTGGATGCAGGCTCGATATTTCACAGCGATCTAGCTCCTGAATGACATTGGAGTGCATCCGCGCTAAACGCTATCACCTGACAGCGTCCTGCGGCGTTGGCATGGGCAAGTATTCCATCGGGCTCATGACCGAGTGTCTATCCTGTCCGGTTGGGAGCTACAACTGGCAGGCCAACAACACTGGGACGTGCACCCTCTGCCCCACCAACGCCAACTGTGCCGGCGGCACGCTGGTTGTGCCGTCCGAAAACTACTGGCTCAACAGTCTCTCGACGACAGTGGCAGACATTTATGTAAGCGGCTGACCATCGGCGGTCGGGGAGGATACGGCGGCAGCGGCATCGAATCGGCAATTCTATCGCATCGGACCGCAACAGCGCCGTTGACAGGCGGTTTCATCGTTTCATTTGACAGGAATGTCCCGTCGATGGCGTGTGTTGCCCAGGTACGCACTGCAGATGCCTGGCTGGACCAAACGCTGGGATGTCATTTCATGTCGAATCGTGGCCCGCTGGAACATCGCAAACCGCACCCAGCTGCGTCGAATCGCAGCAATCGGGCCTGTGCACAAACCGCTAATGCCGCTTTGCACACACCGCACCTCCCAGGCGGAGCTTGCAACATCACGAACCAATGCGCCCCGGGCTTTGCAGGGGTTTTATGCAGCGATTGCGCGAGTCCAGAACATTATATGTGGGGAGGTATGCGAGTTCTCCTGCTGCTTGCTTCGTTGCTGCCGCTCGGTCTCCATCGCCGCGAAACTCACACATCCGTCGCCTATCTTCACCATCTCCTCCTTGAACACAAGGCGAGTGCGTTACTTGCCCGAACAACATGCCCGGCCCCTCGTTTTACAACGTGTTGCTTGGCACCCTTGCGTTTGTCGTTGTCTTGCTGCTTATCCCCAAAGGCGCAGGCCCGACGATTGAGATCCTGGTGAGCACCGGTGTCATAGCTGAGCCTTGCGCTCATAGTACATACCGAATGGATTCGATTCATCTGTCGCTTGTGACATCTGCTGATCGTGTGTCGGTCTGGCCACAAGACCTTCTATTTCCAAGTGGCGAGCCTGATCACCGACCGGTTCGGCATCCACCAAGTCCTGAGCGTGATCTCGCTGAACATGGACGTCCTGCCCAAGTGTCTGGTACCACTCAGCGGCATGTTCAAGATCCTGTTCATCTACGCATCGCCGGCGCTGATGTTTATGAACCTCTCATGGGTCCTGGGGCTCTGTTGGCTCTTTTCCAAGTTCGCGCCTATGCGTGCAGTCGAGGTTATCTCCAAGCGGGCGCCGGCCTATCTGAAACACCACTCACTCGCCGAAAATGCCATCCACACGAGCGTCGAGGTCGCCACGTTCTGCTTTCTGCCCATGATCGAGGCCGCGACGACGCTGCTGGACTGCAGGACGATCGCAGGGACAAACGTGCTCTACCAGGCAGCCTCGACGCCGTGCTGGAAGGGGATGCACCTTGGTGCCGGAATCTTTGCGATCATCGTGATCACGACCCTGCTGGGTGCCGTGCCTGTCTCGCTGCTGGTCTATCTTCGGTCGCTCAAGGTCAAGAGGCAGCTGGTCTATGTGACGCACGATACTACCTGGTAACTTCCGCACGGACGGCGCTTGTGTTGCTGCTCGTGCCCATGATTTAATATGACCGTGCCGAAGGAGCCACGACAGCAGAAATATGCTGATGCTGATGCTGATGCTGATGCTGATGCTGATGCCTCCTCCTGCTCTCTACTTTCCGCTTCCATCGGCGGCTGCATCTTTGCGACCATGTCTGTCTTTGGAAACAGGCACCGCCTCTTGTACAAGCCCTTCAGGAAAAAGTACTACTTTTGGCTGCCAGTGGCCCTCTTTGAGCGAGGCTTTGTCCTGCTGATCTTTGTGGCATTCTCGGGCACCGACAGTAAGCAATCGCTCTGGCTCTGGGTGGGAGAGAAGCAAATCGAGTGTGGACAAGTCCTTGTGTGTCTCACAAGCCAAAATTGCTGCCGTGGGCTCTGTCCTTGGCACATCAATAGCATCGCTGACCCGTTCTTGCTGACGCTTGCTCGCCGCATACATCCACAGAGTTCACCATGAACAACTCGCGAGTCTTCTTGTTCTTTGTCCTGAGCATCGTGCGGATGTACATCCAGCCCTACCGCCAGCATGCCGAGAGTCGGCTCAACCAAGAGGCATGTCTCTGCTGGCTGGTGCTGTCGTCGCTCAACTATCTCTACCTCTTCAACTGGACGACAAACGGCGCCGTTGCTTTGCTTGACGCAGCCATGGTTGTGGTGCTGCTCCTGCCGATCGTCTCGTTTGTGTACTGGCGCAGCCACCGAGTCGTTCAGCGGATGAAGAGCAAGGGCCTTGCGGACGACCGATCAGCCGGCAGCCACAACTGCCTCTCGGACGACGCCATAGCCACGATCCCGTCCAAGGTGCGCAAGTCCCAGAACATCGAGGGCGAAGCCTAAAGCCCCGGGTTGCCAAACAGAGACATACCGTAGCAGCCCCAGCAGTGCTTTGGCGAGCATTTGAATAGCATTCATTGGTAACTGTGGTCTTTGGGCGTGTTGAAAACGGTGGGGGGGGGGAGTGACTTTCCAGTGCAATAGAGCTGCCGACGGCCATGGAAGCACGCTGTGCACAGCATTGTCAATGCTGCTTCAGAATAAATATGTATTGGCTGCATATGCAGTGGCAATAGAGATGGCTGACAACGATCTTGACTCGCGCTGACGCTGAGGATGGGTTTTGGGCTGTATGCCAACCGCGATGCCCGACCCAGCCACAATCGGCCGTGACAACGGGTCGAGTGAGGGGCTTGTCTGGTGCGGCTCATTCCGCCGACACCATATATCTTGTTGTCGTTTCGTTAGGGGGGAGGTGCCTCCACCCTCCATCACTTTTCGGACTTGTCCTTCTTCTTGAAGACGCCGAGGACACCCTTTTTCTTCTTTCCGGTCTCAGCAGCATGGCTCGGCTCTTCGTTCTCCTCGCTGAGGGCCATGTTGCTTCGCGAAGCCGGCACAGATGCCGTTCCGATCGTCGATACATCACCAGTGGGTACTTCCTGAGGCTTGTGAAGCTCCTTGCACGCGTTCACAAACTGCGTTGGGTTCAAGATATGGGTTGAGCCTATTGTTGGCAACCGAGGCACACATGCGAAGGTAGATTAGCCGTATGCGTGCCAGTCCAATCTCAGCGATGATCGCCGGGCGGAAGGTCGGGTAGGAAAGGGGATTTGGGACTCGTCTGCTGGTTTCTCTGCCTCTCCCGCATCCCATAAATGAAGCAATCAGAGCCTGCCGACGGGTTCCGAAAGAACTCGCGCTCAGCTCAGCTACGGACCCAGGACAATGTCACGGCCGTACTCCTTGACGAGCTCGTAGGTGCTCCTGATTTCCGAGAAGGTGATGCCGCCGAGAACAAACACAATGATTCGCGGGCCATTGTTGCGGAGGTCATAGTCGGGCGAGGCTCCGGAGGCGCCACCGCCGCTGGCGGAGCTGATTCCGCCAGCATCTTTGGCGCTGTCGAGGCCGGACTTTTTGTTGGCCCAGCTCGCCCTTGTGGTTCGCAGCGAATTTGGGTTTGGATTGGAGACGACAGGGGAGATGACTGCTGTTCTGTTCGTATTGGCAAGCTTGGTGTCGTCGTTTGGCTGTGATGTTGCCCATGGGAACGAAGTTGGATCGACGCAGCCCATGATTTGGTCCTGGCGGGAGAGAGCACATCGGCAGACTATGAACGTGTGATCTGGGGCACGGTCATGCCATTTGGTCGGATTGCGCCGCTCGTCCGGAGTCAAAGCCGAAGGAGAAAGCGGGGCAAGCCTCATTCACTGTTGCTCGCTGGTTCCCATCCCCCAGTCACAACCACGCACCTCCATAATGAGCTTGAGCAGAGGGACGTATCGGCTGAGCTCGTACGGCATCTGGTCGTCTGCCTTTCGCTTCTTCTTCTTCTTTTCCTTCTTTTGTACAAAGTAGACATATTTGCCCTGCTCTCGCCGCAGCAGTACCGGCGAGACAAAGATAGAATTGACGTTGGGTGCGCGAATCCAAATCAGCACAAAGAGCTCCCAAACCACCAAGGATGCGTGGGTAAGAGTGGAGGAGAATCAGCCGTTGTACCTTCTTGGCAGTGTCTGCAGCACTGGGCTTGTCAGAGTTTGCCGAGAGGCGGACACCCAGGTAGCTCAGGTTGGTGATTGCCTGTGACTCTTCGAGGCTGAGGCTGGCATGCTCCAGCAACTTGCGCCTCTCCATGTCCTGGATTCCGCCCGAGGCGATGATGTATAACATCAGCACCCTCAGCTTGTCGTAGTTTCTGAATGAGCAGGGTTGATGCACAAGTCCAAGCGGAGAGGATGTTAGGGAATGGCTGTGGTGAGTCGAGCACAGGACGTCATCGGCAGTCGAGCAACCCCCATTCACGGCGTGGTCATCGTACGTTGGACCACCATTCTTGTCGAGCACAGGAACCAAATCGAGCATGATGTTCCGGGGCTTGTTTCCGTCTGCTGTCTCTCCACAAGCCAGATCCTGTGTATGAAAAATAGCCCCCCCCCATGCACACATACACGCATATACACATGCACACATCACCGCCAGCGAATTAGTCACAGTCGACAAGTAACAGCCACAAGTCACGGATCGCACAGACATGCTAGAGAGAGCCTCGTGTGGTATGCCACCAAGGGGAGTGCCATGAATATATAGACACAGCAACAACACGGTCGGCGAAGAAGTAAATGGATCAACAGCCGCCCAAACAGACCTGCTCAACGGCCGCCAGGCTTGCAAGCTTCCGGTTGCTGAACTCGCTTTGGCATTCTTGGCAGATATTGATGTGTGCCGAAAACTGAGCAAAGATGCGGTCAGCATAAGGCGATCCTCTCGGGCATGTGGACACGTTCCGATTCATGACTGGCGCGGGTACTGGGCCAAAAAATGGCCGCCAGACCGCAAGGATGCTCACTTTGGACTTCATTTCCTGGAACTGTGGAAGAGCAGCAAGGGTGTCTTTCATATCCTTCAAGCTCTCGATGCCTTTTGGGCTCCTGCAGGATGAAGTCATGGGTGGATCGGTTGGGGCCAAGATTCAAGCATCGACAGTATACAGCCACCACACTCGCAGCCACAGCTCCATCGAGCGACATGCTGCACGTCGGGCGAGCACGATGCAAGAGACAAGCGCGACGGGTGACTTACCCCTCGGCCGAATCCTTGTTGACAGCATTGGCTGCGGCCTTGTTCTCAGAAAGGAACTTGGAGAAGGATTCTCGAATATAGTCAACGGCCTCGGCAAAATGCCAGTGTCGGATGAGCATCTGATAAATGGCATAACAAATGGCGAGTCAGAGGGCCGAGAGCCGGATTGGACAAAGGGCAAATGCCCAAACTGTGAGTCACCACGCTGGAATGATGGGTTCGACGGAACGAATCGGCTTTGATGTCTGTATCCGCTTCCTCGAGGACAGTGCTTTGGTCATGCGGGTCGGAGACGCCTCGGTCACGCAGACAGTGGCAGCATGGAGGATGGCATTCCTACCCAGATTGGGTCGCGGTCGTCCAACGAGGCTGTGTTAGCTTTCTCGCTGCTTTCGGCACGATATCTTGTCGATGCCAAGGGTGATGGAGCAAGTGGTGGAAAGTAATGGAGTGTGTGAATGCAATGGAATATCAGCATGCGCTGCCATCATACAGCAGAGTCAGCAATCGCCCCGGCCGTGACCAGAAGGGAGAAATCATGATGAGCAGCTGGCACGGCTGACCTGTACTTGCCGTCCTCGAGGGTGAGCAGGTCGTTCATCATGGCCTGATAAGTGAACTCGTGCAGGACCGGCGCCATGACATCCACAGAGCGATCCAGGATGATGAGGATGGGCTTCTTGAAGTTGTTCTGGGCGGGAAAGTCGGGGGTATTCTTGCAGGTCTCATCGAGTTCGTCCTTGAGGTAGCTGGCGAATTTGAAGGAAAGACTGCAGTTTGATCCAGAGGGATCGTGGTATCGTATGGATGGGTAGTCTCCGAGTGTGGTGAGGACCGAGGTCATCTGTGGGGTTGGGAGCAGCGTTAGCATCCCAGCATGGTCGTGGCGGTGGCAGTAACGATGGCGGTGATGGTGATGGTTCGGACAGCGATTGGCTGTGCGAGCGTCGTCGACGATTCGACACTTTGCCACGATGATCAAGCCAATGGCATTGTCGATGCCATCGACCGGCCACACAAACAAGTATGGACGGGGCTTGCCGTACCCGCTTTGCAAGGAAGTGCAAATGGCTGTTGAGGTCCGGGATCGAAGGAGGGTTGTAGAGAGCATACAAGGAGCCCGGTAGATCCAGGGAAAAGATCTGTTGCTCGATTGCTGGGAGGCGAGTGCGAGGCAGGGACGGAATGGAACGGAATGGAATGGGACAAATGGAGTCCGGGACCGTTAGAACTGGGGAGCGGGGAAACGTGCTGAGGCCCCAGTCGCCGTCTCTGCTGAACGACCATGCCGGTCAGGAATGCCCGTCAGCCATCGGTGTGTGTCAATCGCTTGGGGGGGGGACAGGGTCGTCGACCACGGTTGTCAGCAGACCAAGGTATGGGTGGAGGGCTGGGGATGAGGCAAATTGGAGCACGCTGGGGCGCATAACTCCAGGAAAGAAAGCGGAGCCGACAAAGCAGTGGGAAAGACCTCGTGATGGCAACGCATGGGGCAGGAGATCAGGAAAGGGTCGCAGGACTGGGGAAATGGGCAGCATCTGGATCCCACGGAGGCATATTCGTTCGATTGGAACGTCGGTCCCCCCCCCCGCTCCCCATGGAATGGCTCGGGATCGAAGACCCGCACCCAAGCCGAGCGAGAAGAGAAGGGCCGCCTGCCCAAGGGAGAAGCACATGCACGGAGATGCCAACCCGGAGAGGGACACGACCAGAAAGAAGCGCGCAGTCATGATCCAGTCGAACCCCCCCCCATGTCCGAGCAGCGACCGCTGTTACCCAGAAAGTCGACGTTTGAGTCCTTGAGGTTCTTGAGATACTGCCGAGCGGGCGACTTTGTCAGCCGATCGACGAGGGCATCGGATATGGCTGGCAACACAGGGCGGGGGGAGTCCGTGGTGAGGAAATGTCCAATGGATGGGCGCCGAAGGTCCACACAGCAATATGGGTTGGCGCCCCCCATGGCCGGGGCTGTGGTCGGAACATGGAGCGGCGCATCGGCGTCTGGGCCAGTTGCGCTGACAGCCACGGTCCTTGGTCATGCCGGGCCCACCTACGTGAAGTGCAGAAGATGTGCGCAGCGGCATAGGACGGCTTTGGAGTAAAGTCGTCGATGATCTTGGAGACCACGGCGTCGGTCGGGGTGATGAAGTAGATGGCGTCATGTTCGGGATAGGGCGACCTCGATCTGTGGATGTCCTCGGTCACTACGGACCCCGCAGGAGCAGAACAAGGGAGGCACGAGAAGGGGTTGGTTGGTTGGTTGGTTGCGAATCCGGCGGCGCGCGGCGGCACCAATCTGGCTGAAACGCTCGGGGGTGGACTCGGTGCCGCCAACATGAGGCGCGCTGGAGTGGGGACGCAAAGACGCCATCGGAATTGAATGTCGACGGAAGGGGAGAGGGTCGTGACGGGAGCAACGCTGCATTCGAGCGACGCTGGAGGGGGGGGGGCGGCAGCAGCCAAAGAGGCTTACGCATGACGTTTTCGTTTGTGAGCTCGTGTTGCTTGAGGATCCCGCTGAGAATCTTGAGCGAAACGGGATCGACTATGAGAATCTTGTATCGCTTTGGGGGCTGGACAAACCGGAGCATGTCCTGCAGCAGCTCTGGCCGGGGAAAGCATGGGGCGCGGGAATGCGGGAAGATGCAGATGAGCATGTGGGAATGGCGCGGGGAGGGGAAACGCTCATGGGAGCGAGCCACATCCGTGGGGATACCATTGCACTTGTGCAGCGATGCGAGAGACGGTGTTGGCAACAACGAGCCAGGCAGACCAATTGCACTGGCGTCACGCCGCGGGAACCGAGGCCGAAATGCGGAAAGTTACGGCGAGTGGGCATCAGCAGCAAGCCGACATACTCCGGCGGACCATATCGCGTATCGACGACATGGCAGGCGGCGGCGACGGAAGGGTGGGCAAGACCAGAGGATTCGATTGGATCTGGAGGGACCAGCGAGAGCCTGGAGCAACAACACCAGGGCCGGAGACGCAAAGGACGGCGCGGGCGAGGCGTGCTTGTGGGCGGCCGGTGGCGCGCGTGCTGCGCAGGAGACAAAAGCGCAAAGACCAGGGCTGTGCTGCGCTTACTGTCGCGGGCTGTGCGTGTGTGCGCTGTGCTGTGTCGCTGTGTTCTGTGCTTGTGCGGCAGTGTTCTGTGCTTGTGCTGCCTCTGTGTCGCGGCAGATCCACGCTCTGCCAACGGACTGCTTGCACAGTCGCTGTTGTCTTGCCCCGCACGCGCCACACAGAGCACATGCACAGACACGTGGTGCGGCGCCGCCCTCGCGTGACCGCCGGCGGCCTGTGCCTGTGACCGCTCTCTGTGCGCCCGTGCGAGCAAGGCGGGGCGCCGATCGCCCGATCGCCCGCCAATCGTCTGCCGCGCTGCCGTCCCACCCGCGTCTGGGGGGGGGGCACCGCCGTTTGCCACACCCCTGGTGTGCCGCAGTCCGCGGCTTGTGGCTGACCGCGATCGAGTCTGCTGGGGGAGAAATCGCCGCGTATTCCTTCCTCGCGGTCCCTTTGGCTGCGTAGCATTCCTGTTGCCCATGTTGTTTATCCCTGTCGCCCATGGTGTTTATTCCTGTCGCCGCTGTTCGCGCTGTCGCCGACATCGGCTCTGTCAAATTGCGAGCACCGTCGTCGATGGAGCTGACCATGCGCGTCGATCCCATTCCGGTGCTTGCGCTGTCTGCATTCCGATGCTTGCGCCGTCTGGGTTCGTGTTGCCGCAATACCCAATCCGGTGCTTATTTTCCCCTGTGCCGGCGGCTTTTGAGCACCGACGCCTCCCCACTATTGTCTCAGCCAGCAACTCTGCTGCCTCAGCTGCTGGCCCCCAGCGAATCGCTTGCGCCGCCGATTTCATCTCCGGATGGAACAAACGCGCAACCGGTGTTGCTCGGCTGCCCACCGGACGACGGCGGCAGCAGCGATAGGGATGGCAAGCACCCAGAGGCACCCGCGTAGGCCCGGCTGTAGTTCCTTGTGCATGACGGCTGCCTGGCCGATTGCGCCTATCGACGGCCGTCCCACCCCGACCCGCTTCAACATCTTCCTGGGCAGACGCCTCCCGCCGGAAAATCCCGCCTTCCCCGCCTGCTCAGCTCTCCCCACTTTCTCGTTTGTTCCCTTCTTTCCCGCTGCCAGTCCACGACTGACCCGGCCAGGCACCCAGCACCTCGCGGCACAGCCGACGCAACCAGTCGCTGATGGCCTGCCATCAATATACCAGGCCGGTGTCGAGGTCACGCCTCCCCACGGCAAATCGCTCTCAAGGTGCATGTCGGTGCCTGTTGCAAAGGAATTGCCTGTATTTAAAGCCCTCGCTGTCCAGGCCGTCCCTTCGTCGCCGACCACCCGACCCGTCTGTCGCCGTCCCAGCAACCCGCTGCGAATCTCCCTCCCCTCTCACCCCTGCCTCACAACTTCCGTCTCTGTACCCCTCCGCGCACCATGGCATTCCCGATCCAGCTCTTCAGGGTCGCGCTGTCGACTGATGCCCGAACCAAAGCTTACGTCATCCAGTGCCTGTCGTCGACCAAGAAGCCTGCCGAGCGATACATCATCTATCGCGATCTCGACGAGGTCGTTAGGCTCGAGGCCAGCTTGCGCAAGAGCAAGATCCGGATGTTCTACTCGCTCAAGTCCCGACTCGTGGACCTGACCATTGCCGACATGGACATCTGTCCCGAGATCGAGTTCTACCTCAACAACCTGCTGAATATCCCGGCTATCAACAAGTGAGTGCCGTGCTGGTTGGGGGAGGGAGGCATCCCGGACGGAATCCCCTTCCCCCTGGGACATATTACGCGCCGCTCCTGTGTCTGCAACCAGGCACAACATATCCGCACATCCGCATATCCACACATCCGACCATCCATGCACATCCATGCGCTTGGCCGTCTTGGGCAAGCTCGTGGTCGTTTCGCTCGCTTCCCCGGCCCCTTTGCCGCTCTCGGCTTGCCTCGTGGTGCACAAACGGCCCCCCGCCATGCCGCCTGCCACACCATCAGCCCGCACCCATGGTCCCCTCCGCGTGTGGGCCATCAACCCAACTCTATCTGACGCCCATGGATTGCATGTATCGCCTCGCTGCTCTCCATCCTCGCCCTCCCTCCCACAGCAACTCCCACTTTGCAAGCTTTGTCAGCAACGATACACTGCCCGAGTTCATCCCGCTGCCCAGGAAATCGCGTCGAAGCACCGGGCTTGAATCCGGGGCCGACGCCACGGCCGAGGCTGATGCTTCCCCGGTTACCGAAGATGCTGGTCCATGTAAGTTGCCCTCTGGCCTCCTGCCCCTTCCTTCTCCTCCCAAGCTCTGGCGCGGGTGCAAGTAGCCTGCATATTTGCTGACAGCGACGACACCTCCGTGGTGGCGCCGACCGCCATCCGCAATTCCACTGACGAGCGTCCCCTCTCTTTCCTTTGCGATGGCCATGGGCCTGTCTGTATACGCCCGATAAACGTCCTTGGTGACTATCGTGGCTTTGCCCATGGTCTCCATGGTGCCCGCTCCTCCCACGCTGCCCGCCACATCCAACAGCCGCATCCACCGACCCCATTCCCCTTCGCCTGTCCCCCGAGCCCGAAGAGTCGCAACCCGAAGACAGCCTTCCTGAGGAGATTGCCCTCAGCCTCGACAACCTGGCCCGCCTCCCAACAGACGATTTGCTCTACGCCCAGAGCATCGCATCCAAGAACTCCATTAGACACATCTCTCTCGATCTTGGCGAAGACGGCGGCGATGATGCGGCCGCTATTCCCTCCGGCTCGTCGTCGTCCTCGAATCTGGTTGCCCCAGGCTCTTCCACAACCACCTTGGCCGAGCCGGCAGAGACCAGCCCCATGACTCCGACCCCGGCCCTTTCCGACCCAAAGTCGCTCCCCGCCAAACAGACCATCACCACCCTCAAGCGCAACCTGTCCAAGCTGCGCGAAAAGAACCCGATCCGACGGCTATCTCTCTACCGCCAGAAGAAAGACTTTGACGAGCTCGACGACGAGAGCCGCTACGTCAACGCCCGATATCCGAGCATGTACTTCAAGAACGAGAGCAGCCAGGAGCCCGAAGTGGCCTCGGTCATGAGTGTCTCGCACTGGGACGCCGACGCTGACAGTATTGCCGACAGTATTGCCGACAGCATTGGTGATAGTATTGGTGATAGTATCGCTGATGACACTGCCGACAGTGAGCTCACGAAACCGGAAGCCGATACCGAGCAAGACCAAGACCAAGACCCCGGCTCGACCCCGGGATCGTTCGGCGAGCTCTCGAGCCTAGAAACGACACCCAGAGCCAGCGAAGATACCCAACGAAACTCAAGCTCGGCAACACTGTCCAAGGATACTGGAATGATTCACCTAGAACATTCGGTGACAGCACCATCCCTCGCCGAGTCTGCCTTCCTCTCAAGAGACGCCATTGAAGTGCTTCCTGATAGATTTGCTGTGCCTGCTTCCTCGGGCATCACCTCCATCGCCGCAACTGCTGCTCCTGCGTCGGAACCCGCCATTGCGCTGGCTCGACAGAGCAGTGTCAACGACCAAGCCCATACTGCTTCCCACGCCCCCTCAACTGCCAAGCCAGACCCCAAGTCACCGACAGAGAGTTTCCGCGGCAGCATCGAAGTCCCTCGCCCAGTCTCCACCATCGGAGACCAGTCGCCGGCGATGGCGACCTCGCCCTCGTCCTCGTCGTCGTCGTCGATCTTGCGCACATCCGCAGTAATCAATACGAACTCTCTGCGATGGTCCGACTCGGTGCGTGAACGCGAACCCCGGCTATCCGTCTCGGCCTCCAGCATCACCAGCTCTACCACCACCATCACGAACGAGCAGCCCAAGCCCCCCCAGCCCAGTGATGTGCTCGAGTCGATCCGGTCGACGCTCCAGCGCTCGACCTCACGATCCAGCTCTCGGCGCCAGAGTGTCTTGCGGGTGCAGCTGCCCGTTCCGGCGATCACCGCCAGCCCACTCCTCCCGGCCAGCCCGATCAGCCCCGAGTCGTTCTATCTCCCTATGGGCTCGCACTCCAGGATATTTCCTGCACCGGTGCTGGCGTCTGCAAGCTGCGGCCCGCTGATCTCCCTCGCCGGATTGCCGAGCCCGACTCTGCCTCTGAGCCCGAGCTTGCCTTCGCCGCCTGAAGCTACTTTGAGTGACTCTGAGTCGGTTCCGACGGAGCGACCTCGCCGCGACTCACTCGACCTTGGAGCCATTGGAAACCTGCGCCGGTCACTCTCTGCCCGACGACAGTCTCGCCGCCAATCCTTGTCCGAGGCTGAGGATAGCGACAAGCCGATCGAGATTGGCTCTGTCCCCAACTATCACACCTGGGGCCGCAAGCCCAAGCAAACCCCGCAGCAACAACAACAGCAGCAGCAGCCCGGGGCCGTATGCTGAGACACAGTGGTTTCGCAGCCGCAGACAGGGGGGGCTTACTCCTCTCCGCTCTGATTCGGCGCTGACAACACAGCGCCAGTTGCGCCAGCGCTTCCTCATCGGTGATTTCCGCTTGCTTGCATGCTTGCTGGCCTCGTTTCTCATCCGCCTCGACCGACCGGCTCTCGTTGTTCTGATACCGCTGGCGGCGTCTTTACGTCGCAACGGCTCTGCCTACTCCGCTGACCTCATCTTTTTGCCCGGCCATAATTGATGCCTCTGCGCTTCGTTGCTATGTGTTGCTTTCTTTCCGTTTTTCTTTCTTTCTATCTTTCTTTCACCTCCTGTTTTCCGGGGCACTGCCTGGGGGAGAGTCGTCTCCACCGCTGCCCAATGTCTCTTGGTCTGATCGCTGGTCCTCCTTTTGCTGGTCTGGAGCCGGCGGGAGACGGGCGAACGCTTGTCTGGCGAATGGATCCCAGGCCTCATTCGACCTCCAATCCGCCTCCCTGTCTGATAATATTGCCTCGCAACACGTCCTATGAGTCCCTTGAAGACGCGCGGGTTCGCTCACTCGCTCGCCTGGGGTGGGTGGGGTGGATGTCGGTGTCGGTGTCGGTGTCGACTTGGTGTGGATATCGATATCGATATCGATATCGATCTGCAGTCGCTGTGTTCCCACAGCAGCAGCGAATTGTCCGAACGGTCCGGGCGCGTCGCTGCACGACGTGGCGGTGCCGGCCGGGTCGCACGGCGGACTGCCCCGCGCCAATGCCGCCGGCGGACCCCTCGTTGCTCCTTGTCTCGCGCCTTTGCTCTTTTCGGCTGCGCTTGTCCCTCCGCACCACACACACACACGCGCGCGCAAGGCCATGAAAACCCGCACATGGCGCCGTTGTTGCTTGCCATTGGAACAGCGGCTCGAACGTGCACCCGGGTGCGGTGTGGTGCCGAAGGACAGAGGTGAGCGAGGGCGATTGGGGAGCGAGAGAGACCAGGGCGCTGCGGGTTTAACAATGCCGATCGGATGTTAACAGCGCCGGGGGGGGGTCGACGGCGGACGCCAACAGCAGGCGCTCTGGAATCAACAGCAGGCGCTCTGGAGTCAATAGCGGATAGTGCGTCGCCCTTGGGACAGCAGCGGCAATGTATCCGGGCACTGTCTCAGCGACTGTCGCCGATTGGGCATCGGCAGTCGTCTGCCCTTTATCACTCGCCGTCTGCCCTTAACGACTGATCCATCCACTTGCTCGTTCATTCATTCGTTCGTTCAATCATTCGTCCATTCGTTCAATCGTTCAATCGTTCGTTCGTTCATTCAATCGTTTGTCCATTCGTTCATTCGTTTGTCCCTTCCGTTTCCGGCTCGTGTCCTCGGCTGTTTGCATCCGTGGTCCGCCGGCCTTCCAGCCCAGCACCGCCGCTCCTCCCATCGCCCCGATCCTCCTTTTGCCCATCCGGGTCGCCTGTTTCCCTCGCCGGTGGCCTCTCCCCTGTCCTCTCCGGCAAATATCTTCCCGCAGCTCGCCTTGCAGCCGGCGCAAGCAGCCCGCTTCATCCACAAGCTCGCAGCCCCCCGCCTCGCCTTGTCCCGCCGCCGGCTCCAGCTCCAGGCCTGACCTCGTCTGCTTGTCCTTGCCGCCAGAGCCCAGTCCGGATATTTTTCTTCTGGCTTGACGGCGGTGACCGGCAGTCCACGCCCTTCATCTGCCATCTCGGCCTGCTGAGCCTGCTCTTCCTGTCTGCAGCTGCCTCCCCCTCCTTCTTTCGGTCGCTGTTTCTCCTCTTCCCGCCTCTGCTCAGCTCGGCTCGGCTCAGCTCAGCTTGGCTCTGCTTTCCTCGACCCGCGCCCCAGATGCAAACATGAGGCCGCTCTACTTGTCATCGATCCGTGTCGAGATCTGCTCGCAGCAGTCTGCCCTCGGCGACTACCTTATCACCTGCCATACCAACCCCATCCTCGCAACCGACTACTACGTCATCCACCGCTTCCACGACGACTTTTTGCGGCTCGAGGTCAGTCTCAAGGACGAAGTCCGGAAGAAGAACTTTGCTCCGAAGCGACAACTGGGCTGTCTGCCGGTCACCCTCCTGGCCGTCGAGAACCATGGCGAGCTCAAGATTGAGGTTCGCCGGGCTAACGTCGAGGCCTTTTGCAACGAGCTGCTGCTGGTTCCCGAGATTGAATAGTGAGTGTCTCCCATCGCCGTCTGTCGTCTCCCCCCACCACCCACTTCGCCTCGTGCTGGTGCACACGAGCCCGATATCGTTCTTGCGTCTGCTCGCTCAATGCTCGCTCAATGCTCGCTCAATGCTCGCTCACACATCCTCACATACCCTTCTATTCCCCTTTGCGTCCGCCTTTTCCCGTCTTATCGCAGCAACAAGCACTTTGTCCGTTTCTTCAGCATCTACGTCTCAAAAGACCTCCCGATCTTCCAAGTTCCCTCCGTCATCTTCGGCTCCCCACACGACATTACACAATCTCTATCCCAGAGCTTTGCGGACCTGTTCGATTTGCGGATGATGAGCCACAAGCGGCGCAACCAGTCGCAGCTCGTGCACTCTGTCCCCATCTCCATGTCCTCACCGACCAGCCCGTTGGCGTCAATCGAGTCTCCAGACAGCAGCCCTCAAAACCGAATCAGAACCAGCCTACAGTCAAAGCTGTCGATCCTGCTGAGAGACACCCTGGATGCCGTCCAGTTCTATGAAGACTCGGAAGCGAGTCCAGGGTCGTGTGACCACGATATTGGCGAAGACGACGTATCTGGTGAGTGCTTTCGCTCCTCTGTGTGCCTGCATGTTGTGGCGAGTCTCGTCTGTCAGTTGCTGTCGGCCCCAGGCCTCTCGATCGGATGACGCTGCCCTTTGCCCATCTGTACCTTTGCCCATCTGCACCCTTCTCATTTGCACCCTTCTCGTCTGTCGCATCCTCCCCCACCATCCCTGCTTCGTCCAGCGCGCCTGTCCCTGCTGGAGGTGACCACGCCATTGAGCAATGATCAGCCGCCCACTGCCATCTACCGGAAGCACGAGTCCCACTTCACCAGCCTCCTCACGGCCACGACGGCAACTCTCACGGAGCTCCACCGACAGACTGAGCCGCTGCTCCAAAATTATCGCTCCGACTCGTCCGAGGCACCACTCCTCGACGCAGAGGATGATGCCCACGGACCCCATCCCGACGACTTGGAGGCCGGGCTTCCCTACCAAGCCCGCACTCAGTCCGATCCTTCGCAGCCCGAATACGTGCGGCTCCAGAGCGACACTTCTCGGGAGAGTCCCTTTGCCCACATGAACTCGCGCCTTGCCATCTTTGGATCGCAGACCCTGACCCGCTTCAAACGAAGCATCACGCAACTGCGACAAATGACAAGCGAGGCCATCTTTCTGGGTCGCAAGTATTCCGGCGATGATCTCAGGCCCGGGGCGCACGTCGATATCTATCAGCATCCAGATCTGCAGATGCAACGCCAGCCATCGATCCCGATGAAGCCCACCGTCGTCTTTCTCGATGATTTGCGGCCCGTGCCCAACCCGGAGCTGAACGCCGCCGAAGCAGCAACGATTGCGATTGCCAAGCCCGGCGGAACCAAAGCGTCTGGAGGTCCCGCCGAGATCCAGGTGCTGACCAAAAAGTCCTCGGACGAGTCTTTCAGCGGCTACGGGTCTTCGGTTCGCGGGTCGGAGCGGATGGTGCCATCGCTGCTGATGAATGCTCCCCAGACATCCGATGACCTTGATGCCGATGTCAATACCGATGCCGATGCCAATACCGATGCCGATGCCAATGCCGATGCAGACGATGATGCTGGTGCCAATGTCGATGCCGGCCGGGAGGAACTTCCGCTGCCTCCGCCTCCGCTGGACGTGGTCAGCATCCGTTCTCAAGCTCAAGCTCAAGCGCCCCTCCTTGCACGCGAACCATCCGACGATGCCTATCCCAATGACGACATCCGTCCCGCCGACGACGATGCCTCCTATTCCGTCGATCTCCTGGCCATCCGCCGCTGTGGCAGTGCCGACTACATCGTCCCGGCTGCAGACCATGCCGCCGCCCTGCCGCGCAAGTTCACTTCCCTGCCGCGCCAGAAACGGGTCTCGGCATATGCAGCTGTTTTCCAGCGGCCACCTGCGGACTGGAGCGCTTCTTGGATTGTGCAGAATCGCTCCAGCACCCTCAACCCGCCAGAGCATGCCGGAACCGCCTCGCGCCGCAAGACCGAGCACTTTGACACGAACGAATCCTCTCGCTTCCCTTTCCAGATCCTCACCCATCGTGACAGCTTGGCGGCCCCTGGCGAAGGCTCGACCGGCAAGCGAAAGCGTGGCTGGCTACCCAAGAAGGACGAGCCCCTCAAACGGCGGGCCAGCCAAGAGGTTCCCACGGAACACAGGCTGAGCTTCAAGGGCGTCCATCACACCAGTCCGCTTGACGATCTCGTCATCAACCGCCAACACCTGGAGTCGGCCTTGAGCCCGATTGCCAGCAAGGTCAACCGACCCATTCGCCGGTCTTCCAAGATTTACGTTCCCAAGCCAGATGTTCCGCTGGCGCCGAGCAGCTCATTACAGAGCCCGCCGTCGACGGCTTCGCTCGCCTCCGATGCCCACTTGGCTGTGGGGCCGACCGAGCTTGGCTCGGTATTGGCCCGCACCGAGGCTGGCTCAAGAGAATCAACCCTCACCATGGAGAAACTCTCGCGTTCGTCGTCGCTGAGCTATCGGAAGCCGCCCGCCCGGTCCTCCGGATTCCACATCAAAGGCTTCTCGCGACTGAAGAACATCCTGATTCCTCAAAAATAGTCTTGCTCTCTCCTGGTTATAGTTTTTGCATCGACCATCTCCCCCACCCACCACCGCCTCCCAATCGTATTCCTCGTAGACTTTCGAGTCGCCTTTTGTTTCAACCCCTTGATGCTCCGAGCAGAGGGCCTTCTTGGCACCCTATTGCCCTTTGCTTCTCCCCCTCTTCTTTCTCTCTATCTTTCTTCGCTTCCTTTACTTCCGGCACCCCCTTGCTCCTTCCTCTCTCAGTGCGTGGGTTGACCCGTCGACTGGGCCGGACGTGAGCATCCATTTATCGATTCAGCATAGACAGCCGCATCCCTCCTCCTTTTCCCGTGGCATCGTTGATCGGCCTCGCTTTCAGTGCAGTAACCTGCTCGTCCTTCTTTTCTTCTTCTTCTTCGTTGACATCGAACCATGTTGTGTTGCGTTCACTTCTCGGTTATCTTGTTCCACTTCTCACTCGCTGCTAGTTCAGATCATTTTTTGCTCAGCTTGGCCTGTCCTTATGGCTCTTCGTTCGCTGAGATCAGGGAAACCCCTCGATGCATCACAGAAAGCAACAAACGAAACCCCCAACTCATTGACCAATGGTGACGAGTGCTGCCACTTCACCCCTCAGCCCGGCTCTCTCAATCCGATCTCTCCCTCCCTCTCCCTCTCTCTCACGCTCACTCTCACTCGACGTACCAGTCGTTTAACCCCTCTCGCTTGATTTTCTCATATCATTTTTGATTCCCATTTATTTTTCCTTCTTCCCTTCTCTCTCCCTCTCTCAGGAAAATACATTCATGACCAGGTGCGTTTTTGCTATTTCCTGGGGGCGGTGATCTTCATACCAACCACTGCCTTCATTGTAGCAATGGGCAAGCTGTGTGATTGCATTCCAGTCTTCATTGGCGATCGAGTGGTGCATGCATTTGGCCCTTTGGACGGGGGTCAGTGCCAAGTGCGACCTCTCGACATCAAGGTCATCAGGCCGAACGAGTCCTCTTCTCCGTTGCCCATAAAGCTGGTCGCAAATCATGACGACAGGTGCGGCCTTGTCCGCTGATCCCATTTGCACATCGAAAGGAGAGTACCGCCTCCGAAGCGATGACTGGCGGTTGAACTGAGGGGGGATGGATGAACATGCTCTGTATTCTTGGAACTCCTCAAGCTAAATGCAAAGATCATCGCGTTCAGTCATATGGGTGAGCCGTGGCCTGTCTCCTTGCCCAAAGTCTCCGGAGTCGATTTGTCCGCACAGGCTGTTTGAAGAAGGCTCACAAACCCAGATCCTTGGCCACCATGGCGGCACAAATGGGATGATAGAAGCTGCGGTTGTCCAAGAAGGTCTTGCGGGCAAGAGGACCGCCGTTTGTGGTCTTGTCCCAGGCGCTGTGGTTGTTCGGTGGATAAGCAGTGGATAAGCAGTGGATAAGCAGTGGATGTGTGGTGAGTAGCAATAGCGAGCCATTTTAATGTGTCTCGCTCTGTGCTGACACGACGCAAGCTTACCGGTAGAGCGGACGCACGTATTTCATGCGGCCTGCCTCGACCAAAAAGGCAGCAACGGCAGGGAAGATGGCTTCGTAATCGGCCTTGAGACAGAGCCACTGCCATCGGAAGCGGATTTCGGCGTTGCGGACACTGGTCAGGCTGTAAACCTTGTCCATCTCGGCAAGCAACTTGTGGGGCAAGGGAGTCAGCTCCAAGAGCTTCTCCAGGAAGACCACTGGCAGCCGAGACGAGAGAGCGTGGGAGAGAAAGTGTGTGGGAGATAGAGAAAGTCAGCTTGTGTGTCTACTCAGCGACCATTTCGGATCGCTTTGCCGGGCGAGAAGACATCAAGTCAAGATCGTGTACCTGTCTGCGTAGAGGAGAAGTTGCGTATATCCTCGGGAGAAAAGTCAAGCTTGTCCGAGGCGCGGGCGCTGTCCCATCTACGGAGTGATTGTTGGCATCCGCCACGAATGAGTGTCAGCGCGATGAAGGGCTGATATATCGAGATCGAATCACAACACTGCTCGGCGAGCCGGATAGTTCACCCTTGCGGAGGCACAGTGGCCACTCAGCCCCACATACCTTTTGGCCAGCTCGTCACAGGCCTTCGCGAGGGTCTGGTCAAACTCGTTCTTGACGGGCGGCTAGACAGAAAATTGACACCGCGGCGAGTTAATGGGCGGTGATAGTCTCAAGCCCTGGCTCGGTGGCACGGAAGCAGTGCAAAGGTTTGTATGGGCAATATACAGCACGAAATCCAGGAACGGAAGCCTGTCGATCAGCAAGGATCCTTCCAGCGAGTTCGACTCACATATCCTTGACCGTGGAACCACGTATGCCAGTCAATGGCATCGAGGACCTTGATCTTGCTGTGATCGTGCTTGTTGAAGTACTCGTACAGGAAGCTCTTGAAGTCGGTGGTAGTGATGGACTTGTGGGAGAATCTCTCGACGTACGCTGGATCCAACAAAGCAACGCAACGGTCAGATCCCGCATACGTAGCAGAGATTTGGGCGGAGCATTGGTGCAGCACAGTGAAGCGAGGCTGGCGCGGTGCAACTTCTGCTTGAAATCACAGCGATCGACTCACCCGTGACAAAGGGTTCTGAGAATTCCAGCCGTTGGACAAAGGCGCAACAGGGTGAGTGACGATGCACCATATTCTCCAGCAGCGCGCCCAAAAATACGTACCAAAGACCGAGGGCCCACCGAGCTGGACCTCGAGGTAGTAAAGCAGATTGAATCCCTTTTCATAAGGAACACTCGAGAATCTGGGTGCCATATGCCGGTGGGGACGAGGAAAAGTCGGTCACGGAATGCCGGATCGCCGAGAGGAACGCAATGGCCGACGATATGCCATCGAGCTGAGCATCGAATCCGTCCTCCTTCATCCCACACAGCGGGGGGGGGGACGTGCTTACGAGTCATCGGGATCGACACCGCCGAGCTCCGGGACCAAGGCGGTATACTGCGGAGTCTTGATCTCATCATAGTGGTCGATGGATTCCTTCAGAGCCTTCAAGCCGACAATCGCCGAGAACTCGGCCTCTGCATTGCCACGGATGCGGCCTGGGTCCCAACGAGGGGATGCAGGTTAGCCAACGGAAGGCGCACAGAGTCAAGAGGCAAGTCAGACGGGAGGGAAGCTGGCCAAAGGCCACTTGACAGCGCAAATGCAATTACCGATGATCTTGCGCTCCACAAACATGGTCCATCCCTCGTTGAGCCAAAAGTGTTCCTACATGTCCGGTCGAGATTGGTCAGCTTCGCAGACGCCATCGATCGACCTTGTCAGCCATCGGACACCGACGCTTACCCAGTTCGAAGAGGTGACCAGGTTGCCCATCCAGCTGTGGGCAAGCTCGTGGGCGACAACGTCGACGAGGCTGCGGTCGCCAGCAAGCAGGGTGGGGGTGACAAATGTGAGGCAAGGATTCTCCATGCCACCGTACGGGAAGGAGCCAGGAAGCCTGTAGGAATATGGCGCCGTGTTAGAATGGCTCATCGCGCTCCTGAGCCAACCTGTCCAAAGATCATCGGGATATTGCGCTACTTACACCAGCAGATCGTAAACGCCCCAGCAGTAAGGAGTGAGCTGCCGAATTGAGAAATGACCGGAGGGATCAGCACGCGTAAACATCGAGGCTGGTAGCTCCATCCTGAACGAACTCGCGACAGCAATCTGCGCAGTAGTGCACGCATACCAGCTTCTCGCCAGTGGCGATAAAGTCCTCGGTTTCGACAAACTCCCAGGCAGAGGCTTCGACCATCTCGGGCTCGGACCAGACAGTGCTGCGGGGGCCGATCTTGCGCCCCTCGAGGTTTCCGACAGCCAGGGCGATCAAGTACGACTGATTATCGGGGGAAGTTAAATGATGAGCCCTCGATACAGAAACCACAGGCTTCCGCGATTGGCACCGGTTGCATGTACAACACATACATACCGGAATAGCAATGGCTTGGTCAAAGTTGTATTTCTTATGAGAGCCACTGACCACCTCGTCCTTGGGGACAGCGCTCATGAGCGCCCGAAGATGGGCGGGAGCAGTGACGTCGGCACTGTACTTGATCTTGATCGACGGGGTGTCCTGGTGAATATGGAGGCGAGAACGAATGAGGAATACACTTGGCCAAGCGATCGGGCTCGTGCACGGCCGTACTGATGGCCAGGACAGCAGCAAAGCCTCTTTACCTGGCAGGGGACGAGGCTGCGCGCATGGATCGCCTATCGAGGAACATATATCCAGGGTGAGAGCGGGCTCGTGGCCTTGTGTGCTGACAGACATGGGCCATGCAGCCAAGCCAACATCTCCTGATTCGAGCGCGATGGCCATGCCAGGAAATCAATCGCGAACCTGGCATTGGGTGAAAAGATAGGGGTGCTTCTTTCCGACTGTTTGGCTGGCGACAGCGACAACGGAGACCAAGTTAGCCAACGCAGCCCAGGCCGAAACGCGCACTTCCATGCAGCACTTCCATGCAGCACTTCCGTGCAGCACTTCCGTGCAGCACTTCCATGCACATCGACGGCGTCAAGTCTGGCGAGTTTGCAACTCGATCTCGAGCAAACATGCAGCACGGACTCCCCCGACACTCTTGCAACACTCCGAGCGGTTGTGGTACCTGGGTTCAAGCCACTGAATTGCGGTGCAATCCTTGGTGGTCGAGTACACGACCTTGACGGCAATCTCCTCGCCCTTGGCCAGCGCGCGAGGGAACCTGATCTGGACCGGAGACCCATAAATCGCATGGCGATCGTGGACGACAAACTATCCAGGAGAGCGATTGGTGAGTTCCAGAGCGGCAATGTCGAGGGTCTTATTCGAACGAGGCAAGACCCGATCGATTCGGGCAGCGGGTACTCATGCCATCGGGCCAAGACACTACCTCAAGGGCTTCGTCAGTTCCGTTGATGGTGACGGCCTTGACGTCAATGTAGCTCGAGTCCAAGACCAGTTCCTTGACGCTGTCCTTCAGGACAGAGAGCGAATGGACGACATGGCCGTGGAGGACCTTTCGGTCAAAATCGGCCGTGAGAGAGAGGTGCAGATGGGTCGATCGGATGGCGTCCGAGTTTGCGAACGAGTTCTTGTCGGAGACGGAGATGGGCGGAAGGGACGTCATGTTGGATCTTGTAGATGCAGAGCGTCGGGGCCAGCCGGGACGGAAATGCCGAAGCCACGGAGCGAGAGGGGGCGGGATCGAGCAGCCTTTAGCGCGGGGAAGACAGAGCACGATTCGAAGGTGCAGCGCCATGGGTTGTCTCTGCGTCTAGCGCACACAGCTGCGTCGGGAGAGGCCGGGCGTTACCTACAGCGGCGACAGATCAAGCAGAGCCGGGCGATGGGAGGGGGCGACTGGCCTCGGCCAAAACATCCCAGCCCAAGTCCTTCCGGCACGACCGGAACGCGCCGGACATGGGCGCAGCCGGCTCGAGCCGGCTCGAGGGCGGCGCGGCCTGGCTGGTCCCTTGGAATCCGTGGCGCTGGCGACGGCCGGCCTCTGCTCCCATCGAACAACCAGCAGCACCAGCGAACGGAGCCGAGCTGCGCCGAGCACCGCCGAGCACCGCCGAGCACTGCCATGCAAGTCGACGAGCTGGAGCCTGCGTCGGGACGGGATGAAATCGAAGAGGGCCAAGTGAGTGGCTGGAGCCGACACCAGTTGACCCGGCGCCTGGCTTTGATCGTGCGGTCTGGCGAACCGTATCGCTCGGCATCCAGACTAAGCGGACAAGCCGGATATCGGCTGGGCTGCGTTGCCCGGGATGCAGCGCAGGCTCCAACGACTAACCGCCCTCCTTTGCAGCTGTTCAGCAAGGTCATCCGGGCCTTTGCCTCGTATTCTACCCGGTCGCTCGACATCCTGAACAAAAAGCGGGACGACTTCAACTCGATTCCGCTGAACCACCAACGGCTCGTTCCCGACTTCCACCGGCGGATGGATCTCATTCAGCAGCGGATCAGAGCCAATGCCCGTTTCCTGACTTCGATCATTGCCGACCAGGAGAACTTTTTGAACGGGGAGAGCTCCTCAGGGGTAGGTGGCCAGCGGCGTCTGCGGGCCTGCAAATGGACCGACGCCTTGGCTCGTTTGTCCAGCCCCGGCTCGGATCGGGTGCTGCTGCTCCGGCCGACTACGTGCGAGTGTAATGCCACAAGGACGAGATATGACACCGATCCCATGCTGAGTTGCACATGCATCTGGTCCATGGGAGGGGGAGAGGTTGTGAACCAAGCCGAGCTTGCAAGTAACAGATCCCGACACAATCCAGTCACTCTCTCTCGAGAACCACGAACCGTTGTCCGAGGCTGACCACGACAAGGTCCGAAGCACTCTCCGCCAGTTTGTTCGAGACTGGTCCAAAGACGTATGTTGCCCGGATGTGTGCTGGTTGCAGTTTGGCGTGCCTGTGGTTGAATCTGGTAGTGCTGACACTCAGGTGCTCAGGGCGAGGACGAACGGACTTCGGCCTACACGCCGATCCTGAAAGAAATCGAGAGTCTGTTTGCACAAATGCCTCGCGAAGACAGGTAAGCTGGCAACATCGAATCTACAGACGAAGCAGCCCCCGGGGCCAGGCGCACATCCGCCCTGACGATCCTTTTGCAACATGTACCTTGCCCTCAGAGGAAAAATTCAGATCCTGGTGCCAGGAGCAGGTCTGGGCCGTCTTGCGTTCGAAATCGCATCCCGAGGTAACATGCCAATGCATTGAGCCCGACGCAGCCACATGGTCCTCGCCCCAACTTGCGCTGTCGCTCTAACCACACGCTCCAACCCTGGCGCTTCATTCATCTCTCTGCTAGGATACAGCTGCCAAGGTAGCTACTGCCAATTGATGCAGCGAACTGAATTCTGGCTGCAGTGATGCACACCGTTCGCTTCAGGAAGGTGGAGGTGCGCTGAACCGTTTCCTATGCTGCCTCTATCCCTGTCCAGGAAACGAATTCAGCTTCTACATGGTGTGTAATGTTGTGCATCTGACTCAGCTCCTGCTCTGGGGCGCTTGGGCTGCGCCCGGTGAGACTAATACCGAGCTCTTCCTCAGCTTCTAGGCGCCCACTTTGTCTTGAATCGGTAACGATGCGTCCAAGCAGCAGCCGATGAGCATTTCTTGATCGTATCCGCGTGGCACGCAGCACTGACCCTGCCACAAACGTCTTGTCGTCTGAAAGCGTCGTCAAGGTTGAGCAGTTCGATATCTACCCGTGGATCCACTCCTTCTCAAACAACCTCACTGCCGAGCATCAGCTGCACAAAGTGTGCGTTCCGGATGTGATCACATCGGTGATTCCGAAACAGGCCGAGTTTTCGATGATCGCGGGCGACTTTGTTGAGGTCTACAACAACACCGAGCAACGAGGTGAGCAGTCGACAGCAAGCTGGCTGGATTGCGAATGAGTTGATATCGGAGACAATGCCCAGCTTCGGGACATGGAGAAAAGCGGTCGCCCTTGCCAGGTGGTACTCGACATGGATATGCACAGGCGCTGACTGGGCTGTGCGTTTGCCACTCCAGAACAATGGGACGTCATTGCGACATGCTTCTTTATCGACACTGCGAAAAACATCCTGGAGTACCTCGAAACGATCCACAATGCACTAAAATCCGGTGGAAGGTGGATCAACCACGGTAGGCGTGCTCTCGAGGCTTGCGCAGACACATCAGTTGGCGCCCGACTACCCTCGGAGCTGCATGCGCTATTGAGCCATGCCAGTACAGACCGTCCGTCTCATGCATGTTCGACACAGGACCGCTGCTGTACCATTTTGAGGGAATGAAGAACGAGCTCTCGGTCGAGCTGAATCTGTCCGAGGTCCTGGAGGCTGCCAGAAAGATCGGCTTTCATTTTGATAAGGTGCGAAACCAGCCCTCTGACCTCGAGCCGACAGCTAAAGGCACCTGCAGAGCCAGTCTGCTTCCTCGCGTAGCTCGAGGAGTCTGCTGTTCTGACACCCGTGCATCCAACACGCCCGTCTCCACGGCACTCACCCTGCCTCGCAGGAACCCGAGTTGATCAAGGCCACATATGCGAGCAACTCCAAAAACATGCTCAGCTACGTCTACGACAGCGCCTTTTTCACAGCCACCAAGGTTTGATGATCGAGACGATCCAAGGATCCATCAAGCTGGTTGGCCAAGTCAAGGCCTCGATTGGAGGTGCGATCCACCTGCGCCTCGACCTGGGCGGCATATCCGTCGGCGTCGGCGAGCAGTCCGCACAGCGGGAAGATGTGACCGAGGACCGAGCCGCAGGGCGGACAGAGAGCGCGGTTCGATGCCGTGAAGAATGTGGTGCATGAGCCGAACAGCTTTGAGAGACAGGGGGCTTCGTGGCTCCGACGCAGTGCCCGGGGATGTGAGCATGCAGTTGGTGAACATGCAGTTGGTGGACATGCAGTTGGTGGACATGCAGTTGGCGAACATGAACAAGAATTCGAGCGCAGCAGCCGTCTCGCCACCGTCCGCTCAGCGCCCCTCTTGGCTGGCGGGCGTGGCTTCGTCCCCCGTCCTGGCCTTGGACACTTTGCTGCCATCTCTGTCGCTGTCGCTGTCGTCCGCCGCCTGCTATCGAGCCGGTCCTGCTCCTGCCTCAGCCATCTGCAGCATCACGCTCGGGTCTGGCTTCGCTTTCCTGGCTGCTGGTGCTTCCGTCGTGTCCCCCAAGCCACTGCCTTCTCTTGCCACTCGCAACCACGGCCCAGAATGCCCTTCTCCCTCAAGGACACTGTCCGCCAGAGTAAAGATGTTTCTCATCATCATCAAGAAGGGCCTCTGGCGCTTGCCAATGTGCCCTTCCTGTTGTATTCGTAGCGGGGTCTGCGCGCAAGCTCCCTCAGCTGTCGCCGTGCTCGATCAGGCCCGGCTCCAGCCCGGCTCCAGCCCAGCTCCAGCCCAGCTCCGACCCCTGGCCGTGCTAACCTGTCCTGGCCTTCCTCATCCTCCAGATCTCCTCGACCAGGTTCTCCGCGACCCAAAGATAAACGAGCGTCCGGGCGAGTGGAAGATTCTTGTCGTTGATGATGCCTCCAACCAGATTCTCAGCAAGTACATCACCACGGACGACCTCAACCAGGTCTACATTACCCGTGCGTATCGTCTGTCGAATGCCAGAGCGGCTAGGTCCCCTCGACCAGTCTCAGGAAGGAGATGACATGGCCCTTGCAGCCGGGCCTCTGCTTCTCCTTAGCCACTATATCCGTTGCATTCTGCCGGCTGCTGTGCTCATCATGGTCCAACTTCCGTCTGCAGCCCAAGCCCGTCGAATCAACGGCCACCGAGCCACCAACGAGAACTCCCAGGCTCTCTATTTCATTACCCCCACGGCCGAGAACGTCGATTTGATCATCAAGGACTTTGCCGGCCCCACTCCAAAATATGCCCAGGGACACATTTGCGTGACCACAGGTGCGTTCTCGCAGCCTCGACCATCCTATCCCCTATCGACTCTGGTCTCCCGGGGTGTCGCCGCCGCCGCAGCCACAGGATACCCAGTTCTTGGCATGGTGGAGGCTCGACTGCTTCCCGGACTCTGCTTGGCCATACACATCCCAATGTTCACACTCTTGCACGGCGACTGTTTCCAGCCTTTGACGATGCCTTGGCCAACAAGCTGCTGAGAGAGGTTCCTCGGAACCGCTTGGCAACATTCAAGGAGCTGTTCATAAGCTTTGATGGTATGTCTCGCCCTGTTCTGTCCACCGCAGCAGCAGCAGCAGCAGTAGCATCATCATTGGCCAAGGCTCTGACCCGCCAGCGACGCCTCTCTCGCAGTGCCCGAAAGCCGTGTCTTCAGCCTCGACTTGCCCGGCTCTCTCGAGATCTCCTTCAAGCCACAGTCGGTCGGCCAGATCCAGGGTCTGATCAACGACAGCGCACAAAAGGTAAGTCGCCCGTCATATTCTGCTCGGTGCCGGAGCCCGGTGCCGCTGCCGTGACTACATTCTCACTCTGTCCTGGCTTTCGCAAACCACAGCTTATATCGCTGCTGCTGCTCCTTGGAGATGAGCCTGCGATTCGCTTCTGCGATCCCGGCGGCCAGCGTCGCGGCCTCTGTGCCCTGCTTGCCGAAAGCGTCCAGCAGCAGATTGACGTGCTGAGAAACGATCCGCAGTACAACTTTCCGCGCCCAACGCCGTACTCGCAGACACAACTGCTGATCATCGACCGTGCCGTCGATGTTTTGACACCGATTTCGCACTCACCCAGCTACCAGTCTCTGATTTACGATATCATGGACATGGACGGCAACCAAGTGAGGTGCGTGAGCGCGGAGGCACTTCGCTGTAGAGCGTCGCCTTCGCTTGGCCCGAGACACCTGTTTGGGCCCCATCACCGCGCCTGCGGCTATATGGCCCGGTCTGGCTTGCTGGCATATAATCGAGCACGATTTGTCTCGACAGTTGGGCCCATCGTCGAACGCAACTGAGCATTTTGCCCTGCTCGCAGACTACCAGTCAAGGACTCGGAGGAAGAGATTGGCTCGCTCGCTCTCGACGAAGACGACGATCTCTTTGTAAGTCAGCTTGTCCGCTAAGTGGCTGCAGCGTTTTCACAAAGCGTATCTCCTGTAATGTTAATCACTTTGCTTTGGGGGGCGGCGGCGATAGGCCGAGCTTCGACATGCTCCCTTGCCCTCGGTGATCAACCGCGTCGTAGCCTTGGTGAAGCAGTTCGGAAAGAACGAGACGGCAGCCTCAAATGACAAGCTGGCGGATCTGAAGGAAGCCATCCTCAACAAAGAGAAGCGTGAAAAGCAAATGGCAGAGGTAGCGGCTTGGAGAGATTGCGCGTGTAATGCACGATCGGTTTCTGTCGTGAGCGCCACCCCTCCCTGACCATGGCGTATTCCTGCTGCATTCCAGATCCGAAAGCATCATGGAATCTGCACTGAGCTCTTGGCCCGCCATACCGCTCGCAATCTGAAGGAGATCGGCGAGCTTGAAGGCGTAAGTTGTTCACCACGCCACGCGGCACTGCAGGCTGTGCCGTTCCCGATGTCGTCGGCGCTGTTACTCGTATCGCCGTATTCAGCTCAGCTCAGCTTACTCCAACCGCCGAATTTAGGTTGCCTATACCGGGTTCGAGTATGGCTTTGAGCCTGGGAACCCAGAAGCACCGCCAAAGCCTGCGTCCAAGCTGATCCAAAAGTTCATTGCAATCATTGAGAACGACGCCCAAAAGTAAGTCTTGATATCGCTGTGGCACTCTGTGTTGCGGTCCAAGGGAAGCCCGATTCGATACCAACTAACGGTGCTGTCAACCGATCTGCGGTAGTATCGAGGATCGTCTGCGCGCCCTCGCTTTCCTCCTGTGTATCGAGGAGCTGAACGATTCTCAAATCAACGACATATACACTCGTGCAAAGTTGAGCACCGACGATATCAGCTTTGTTCGCGGACTGATGGATCTGGATATTTCGCCCATCGATCGGGATGTACGTGCGAGCCAGTGCTTGATCCAGCGCACTCTGGCGTGACCAAACCCGGAGACGCATCCTTCTTGATCCGATCCCTCGAACCCCTCGCTGACACTGGATGCACATGTCTTGCTTCAGGGCCCGTACTCCTACTACCCACGCAAGCTCGAGAAGGAAAAGCGCAAGCACGAGCTGTCGGCTCACGCCAAGAAGAAGGGTCGCCCTCAAGACCCTGTGGCCGATGTTGAGGCGGAGGTCCTGAGCATCGACCGCCATATCCCGACGCTGCGCTATCTCCTTGAGGTCAGTGTTGCTTCGCTTCTCATATTGGCCATCGCGTCTGGCCCACCCAGCCATGCGAACGCCGTATCCACTGCTGATTCCACCGCATATCCAAAAAACAGGACGCCATCCTTGGCAAGCTGGATCCCGATATCTTCCCATACGTGCTCAAGGGCGGCTATTTCTTGGCCGATAACAAGGCGACGGACAGCCCCGACCGCGGGCTTGGGAAGGTCAAGACCTTGGCCAAGTTTGAGCCCAAGTGGGGCAAGAAGCAGACCGTCGGCCGGGATCAGAACGACTATCGTGTCAACGGTGCTCGCATCATCGTCTTCTTCATCGGCGGATGCACCTATCCCGAGGTCAAGGTGACCTACGACCTCGCCAGGGAGTTCGAGCGCGAGATCATTATCGGTAAGCGGCTCTACGCCACATGCACCGATCATGGGCAGACCATGCACCGAGGGTGTACTGATCGTGCACTGGCAGAGCGTGTCTCTCTCTCCACACTAACCGCACCTCACCACCCGTCACCTCGGCTCGATCCTTGCTCCTTTCGATCAAACATGCCAAAAGGCGGCACCGAGCTCTTCACCCCAAAGACATTCATCGAATCGATCAAGCAAATGGGCAGTTTGACCACCCGCGTGCCCCTTCCTGACCCGGTAAACATGTTCCGCTATGCCGAGACCATGTATACGCAGCCGACTCGAGCGGCCCCTGCTGCAGCCGCTCCCCGGCCACAGGCGGTGGCCGATACCACAGTGCCCAGCGTCTCCGCCCAGCCGGCCCTCAACTACCTATCGGCGGCACCCCCGGCCGTCTATCCGCCAGTTGCCGAAGCTCCTCAGCCCGTGCACCCCGTTTCTGCAGCTTCAGCCGTAACAAGCTCGATGCAGGCGCCCCCTGAAGAGCCCGTGAGGACCAACTCGGCTCAAAAGTATGTCGGACCTGCCGCGATTCCTCCGCGTGGGTCATCGTTCCGCGTCGAGGACCAGCCCACAGCCCCACCCCCGGCCCAGCAGTACGTTCCTCGCACGACGACTCCTCCAGCCCAACCATACCTTCCTCGCACTACAACCCCTCCGGCTCAGCAATACGTGCCTCACGCGGCAACTCCTGCACAAGTGTATGAGCCGGTCCGAACTGAAGCCTCTGACCGTCACTCTTCGACCGCGGATGATCGCAGCGAAGTTCCCTGTCAACACTGCACGTTGTTGAATCCCGCTAACAGCGTTCGCTGCGCTGCGTGCGACAATGTGCTGCACAGACCTCACGCCACTAGTCCTGCGGCAGCGGCACCGGCACCAAGCACAGTCCAAACAGTTGCGGCGCAAACGGTGTATGCTCCAGTTCGCAGCCCATACAGCGAGATGTCTAGCTATGCAGCCGCCCATCCAGGCCGCTCCGAAGGGCACCACAACGTCCCTATGCCCAGCACGCCGTGGTCTGCCGCAAGCGTCAACCCGCCTGCCCGTAGCAGCGCCTCCAGGCACTCAACAGGCGATAGTGCCCACAGCACTCATAGCATCCATGGTGCTTTGTCTCCCGCCACGATCAATATGCCTTCGCTACAAGCCTATTTGCCCCCGTCCAATCCCACTTCCTATGTCCAGTTCCCATCCTCCCAGTCAAGTCCCTATTCCACAAGTCCGGCCCAGCCCTACGTTGGCCGAAGCAACCCATCGGTAACCCAACAGCCCTACTCGTCTTCAGCCTGGCCCGTGACCTCAAGTGCACACGGCGCAGCGAACTTCCCGACGCCTTATCCCATGCAGCGCGGTCCTTCGTCGCTGGGCACTGGCTATTCCTTCAACGGCAGCGCCTATGCTTCCCCAGCGCAGTACCAACCCGGACAGCCCCCTCCGCGACAGCCATACGCGCCCAACCAAGACAGACAGCCATACATGCCCAACCAAGAGAGGCAGCCATATGCGCCCAACCAAGAGAGACAACCTTACGCGCCCACACCTCCCACAAAGTCGTATCAGTACTCGTACCAAAATCTGCCCAACCCGTGATGTATCTATAGAAGCAGCTTCCGGGGCCTGACAGTGGGTCCAGCAGCAGTGTGATCGACCGCGAAGGCATCAGACCGACGCAATGGCGTTGCGATCAGCGGACAAGTGCGTCGGCCTGGTGACATGTCCTGTATTTGCCATTCTGTTGTTGTTTCGGAGATTGCCTCTCAGGAGTTACCTTTCTTTCTTTCTATTTCACACTTTGAGAACAAATCGGATCGCCCGAATATACGGTTTCACACCCACAAGCATTGAGCGCGGCCATGGATACTGGTGAATCGGCGTTGCTGGTGGGTGAAGGGCCGTCGCTCGCCGCTGACCGCGTGCATATGTGGGCTACCCATGCGGATCTGTATCGAGCCTGGGCTGCTTCTGAGGGCGGAACGGGCCAGATGCGGATGAATCGGCATCGGCATCGGCATCGTCGTCGTCAGGGGCAAACCGGACAGGCCTCCTTGAGCCGGGCTGATTCTCGGAAAGCCCGCCGTCTCGGTCCAGGCGAGTCGACCTGGCGGTTGGAGCGTTGCGCTGGCCATCCTCTGCGTCCTGAGGGGTATCGTCGCGGTAGTGCTCGGAATCATGATCGTAGTCGTCGTCATCTGTTCGTCGGCGTGTTCCCTGACCAGGAATGGCACCGCGCCCAGCACGCCCATCCCTGACCATCCGATCAAAGTTTTCGTCGCTACTGTCGCTGCCGTAAGCAAGTGCGCCGACCATGCTCTCCATTGTCTGCAGCTCGGTATTGTCGTGGCTCTCGCGGTAGTAAATGTCATCGTGGTCGATATCGATGCCTTCGTCCGAAAGTTCGTCGATCTGGGACGGTGCAACATTGTCAGCACGCGGCGGCTCGGTCGACAACCCCAGACTGGTGTCTTTTACAGCCAAGAGTCTGCGCGACCGAGGAAGCAGCGCTATGGGCTCCAGGAGTGGCGGAAAACGGGCCTCGGAGATCAAGCTTTGATAGGTCAGCACATCGGCTGTAAAATAATCCTGGACAGACCCGTCAGGCATCTTGAGGTCGTAGATAAAGCTGCACGAAGCCAGCAGCGACCGCATCGGTCCGTCGTCCTCGATCCGTTTGGAAATCGAAGCTATACATCGGAACGGAATGAGCTGAGCTGGAAGCGGCCACGGATCAAGTGCTACCATCCACGGATCAGAGTGTCATCAAGAGCCTGGGAAAGATGCACAGTCTGTCAAGCGATGCGCACATTCTCCAACCAGTTCCTGCTTGCGGCGCCATAGCTCTTGCTCTATCGAGCCTCGGATAACCAGGGTCTCGACCCAGACCGGCTTGGTGCAGCCGATGCGATGGGCGCGCTTGATGGCCTGTCGCTCCGTTGCGGACTGCCAGACTGTGGAACAAAACAAAGCAGATGTGTCCGCATTTAGAAGAGTGTTCGGGTCAGAATCATGATGCTAGTGCTGGTGTTGAGCGATATGCGCCATCCCGTAAAGCAGACGCTCTCAGAGCAAGCATTCATGTAACAGCCTGTCGCTCTCCTGCGCAGCTTCTTGCCTGGACTTAGAAAATAGACACGGGACTGGATATCGAATGGATGAGAGATGTTCAGTTCCGTTGTTTTGGGGTACCCCGTCATATACCGGCTATTGTCCACTTGTACTTCCAGCAGCCAACACGGGCACCTCGGCCGCGCAGAATATGCATCGGTGCTAAGCGGTGCGTTCCAGAGCAAGACCACTGTACCGCCGACGAGAGATCGATCCCATACGATCCAACTTTGACGTCCATGACAATCACGCGGATTTCCTCCGCTGTGTTGAAGTTGGTGAGATTATGTGCTCGCTCCCACACGCCCTTTCAGACCAAAGATGATGTCGAGTGAGCTCGGCTGGGCAGCGAGGAGTGAGAAGGGATGTGCCAATACACGTGAAATGGCAGCAGCATACCATTTTCATTCGATGAAAGAGTAGACACCTGATTTTCGCGAGCCGGAGTGCCTCGTGGATGTAGTGGATTTCCATATCGTGCTTTGTGAGCATACAGAGATATGAAAGCGAGCGTCAGCACGCGATCGTCTGAAGATCGATCGAGTCCATCATCCAGGTGCAGGTGGCTGATCACCAACTGTGTCGCTGAACCGGGCTGCCTCTGAAGAGAGTGTGCAGCATCAAACTAGCTCCGCCGCCACGGCTTGCCTGGCAGTATATAATGATTTTGTCAGTCCGGTAGTGCTTCTTGATTTGGTCGATGATGTAATTGAGTTTCTGACTCGACGTTGCCAGTATCAGGGCATCCGCAATATCGTCCACACCAACGTGTTCGAAACACTTGGACAGCTTGCGCAACGTCCGGTTGCATGCTTCTTCGCTGTCAACTGACGGGTCTTTGCCTTGAGCCTCGGCCGTCTGCCGGACCCTGATGATGTGTCGGATGATTTCCAAAGTGTGTCCTGTCGCAAGACAGACTTCATGCTCTGACACAGGCTCCAGCGGCTTCGTCCTGACCAAATGGTGCCCGGGGACCACCGCAAACTCTTGGAGAAAGTCTGGTACATGGTCAAGCAGGTAGCACAATTCGGAGACTGAGGAGATTCCTTCCCAGACCTTGGAGTCCAAGGCTTCCTTTAGGGCAGCAACGCAGCTCTTCAGCAAGTAAACGTCGTCGTTGCTCCAATTGGGTCGGTGCTCTGGCGTGTACTTGTCAAGCTCTTCGACACATAGATGATACGAGTCGCGGATGCGGCGAAGTAGCTCGCCCTGCTCGCTTCCAGCATACCAGAAGCAGCTCTGCTGGATGTTTCTGATGGCGAGTCGCAGCGATTTTGCATTTCGAGGATGGAAAAGATAGTCCTCGTCCTCGCGCTCAGAGAGCACGGCGTTCGCACCGATCAAAGCAACAAGACTGTTGTATGTAATACGCTGGATGGCGTTGAACTCAACTAAGCATACGACTTCGTGCAGTGGAGGCACTGTGGTATGCACAGCACGCGTCGGTTAGGATATCTCCGCAGCCAAAGCAGGAGGCTGCGTCGGGATGGCGCTGCCCTGCAGTGTCGCAACCGCTTACAGGTGATATCTGCTTCGATCGAGGCAGCCTGATTTCGGATCATGATGCGATTGAACATGGCCTTGAGCAGGAAGCACCCCTCAGCATCGCGCTCGAGGAAGCGCTTCGAGATGTCTCTGCTAAAGAAATCTGCGGGATTGCAACAAGCGCGTGAATCCACTCTGCTCGAGAAGGCGGCAGGCCATCCGGTTGCCCGAGCGATGCGTCTGCAAGCTATGCACTAACCCCGGTTCGATGCATATGGCTCCATCTGGAGATATTCGGTTACAAGTGACTCGAGCTTCTTGAGATCCGTCTTTTCCATGTGTCTACTGGCCGCCCGAGACAAAACAGAGGGCATAGGTGTTCCTGGCAGAGAGGTGCATTCCGGTGAGACCATCGACACAAAGTCCAGTGCGCCGACACCTTGCTTGCAGGAGTATATCGGTGTACGAGCTGAGGGACTACTTGAGCGTCGGTCGGCGGCTTGGATGGCTGAAGCAGTACCGGCGTATATACCGATCTGACCCGTTCTCAAATACGCTCAGTTCACATTGCCGGCCTCACCTGTGCAGATCCATCGCCGATCGACTGCAAGCTTGGATGCCAGCCGAACCTGGTTTGACTTGTCGTCGGCCATGGAGTGGCCTTCGTCAACAATCATTCGCAGCCAATGAACTTGGAGCAAAGGCGACACATATACATCTTTCTTGCCGCAAGCACAGCTCGACCCTCGAGAAGCGCCTACGTAAGGACAGTTACAGGCGCGGGGGATACCTGAACGCATGGAGAGACACCGTCAGTCCTCAATCGGTGTTGGGCGAGTACAGATACAAGAGCAGATATCGTCTGCTACTTCTCAAGACATATGTGCCCGTGATCAGCGATGCACAAACGACGATCGATAAGCTCTTGTGACCCTGGCTAGTGCCACTGCGATGGACCCAAAGTATCGATTGCCCTGAATGCTCCATGGCTACTGTGTCTCGACGCACCATCAAAGTCCAGTCCTCCGCGCTGCTCCTCAAGACCAAATCTTGGATTGGATATGATGACAATATCGAACGTCAAGAGCTCCGTGGCGGGCGGTATAGGCTTTTCGGCCTCGGCAATGACTGTGTACTTGAGGGCCCGATCCTGGGTGTGCTGCAGCGTTGGTCCAGGTCAGACCGGGCTTGCTTCGTGCAGTGTCAGCGGGCGCATTTGAAGCGTAAACGGCCAGGCAAGCATCCACACTGACCTTCAGGATTTCAAAGCACCATTGAACAATTAAAGTATCAGGCACAATCACAAGAGTCGTCGAGGACAAGTAGACCTTGAGGGGTTTCAGGGACCCAAGACGCCGAAGTGCCCGACCCGAGCGATTTTCTCGATACTTGAGGTAGTACGGCGATGTGGAGCGGAGGAGTTTGTAGACAACCGGCGGCATCCACTCTTTCAGATGTCGATAGGGCGTCGCTGTCTTGAGAAAGGCCGCTGCGGCAAGGTTGACGAGCGTCTCGGTGTGGGTGACGTCGAGGTCATGGACGGTCTCGTCGCGACAGAGGTCCGCATGCAGATCGACATCGATGGGCGGGGTGCTGATGTGGTGCTTTGTCGAGGCGATAAGAGCAATGCTAACCAAAGCGGAACCATGGGTCGAGCCAAGAACGCTCGATCAGCCAAGCCCTGTCCGATTGCCTCTCCGCCATATCCGGCGAGACACCCAGCTGGAACTCATACCAAAGACAGGTCTTTCCGGTGCCCATATCTTCGCAGATGATGCCGCTGCGACCGCGAGCTGGTTAGCAGTCAAAATCGAAACAAGGCTCAAGAAGTTACAGGGTCGTCCATGTCCCCTCCATGCCTGAGACAGGTTGTGGTATGAAACTAAGCCCACCCTTTGATATCGCTGTAGTGGACAGGCGTGTCCATGACTCGAAAGTCCCGGAGGCGGAGCCAGAGCCGGCGACCATCGATGGTGACGATCTCCTTGAGCTCGGGATCGACAAACATCTGTGGGCAGAGCTCCCGCTGCATGATCTTCCACAATGAGCGCTGTATACGAGCCAACGACATGACGTTTCAGGTCGGCGCAATCTGTCGGGCGCGAGCTGTGTGCATCAATCGGCCAGTGCAGTCCACTCGAGTTGATCGACTTACTTTCTGGTATCCGTAAAGTGTGGTCCTGAATCCGACCGGCGCAGGCCTCTCCAGCACTTCATCCAGGGTCGCTTGGATTTCAGGCAATGGACATGGCTTCAGCAGCGCCACTGGCTGCGGAGAGTCAACTTCCTGGTATACCAAAGACAGCTTGGTGACAGGCGACTTTTAGAGAGAGGATCAGGTCAGTCGACGGTGTGACCTTGCGGGACTATGCGATGCATACGGCTGGTGCGAGGATGCTGACCAGTGCAGTTGGAGTTGCCCCAAGCCTGTACTTGCCATCGACTGGTGCTTCGTATGGGCTGGGTTGTCATCTGCGACCAGAGCATCGCAGCTGTTGTTGAGATCCTGAAAGTCCCAGCAGCTTTTGCTTGAATTGAGGCGACTGAAGAGCACCGATCCGAACCGCTGCATGTTCTTCAGTGCTGTCGGCGAGATATCGGGCGAAACGCCCCTCGGATGGATATGCAAGTAGATGCGGAACCGGAAGGCCCTGTCCGAGTTTGCAGGCTCGCCAACGGGGCTTGAATGGAGCCCATGCAGGAGCTCGTGAATCGAGTACGAGATCATCTCGTGCTTCTCGAGAAAGAGGATGGCATCGACGACATGGCGGGCTGCTTGCTCCCCAGGAGAGGTTGGCGGATGCCGACGGACGTGGTCTTTGAGCAAAGTGAGGCCCAGCGCTCCGGGCAGTGTGAGGTCAATGGTGCCCACCGGCACGATCTGAAGCTGCAGCGGGCCCATCGATCGAGGCCCTCGGCGTGCGGTTCGGGTCGGGGCGATGTGGTTCAGCCAGGGTGGCAAGCAGATTCTGACGCCGGACATGAGCCAGGCCGGCGCGAGTCCCTCACGTGCGCAATCGAGCGAGACCCGCAGCGAGAAGCGAGTAGCGAGAACCAAGTAGCGAGAACCAAGTAGCGAGAACCAAGTAGCGAGAACCAAGTAGCGACCTCGCCGTCGCCCAGGGCCAGGCAAACCCGGCCGTGTGCTCTGTCGCATCGGCCATCAGAACAGAGCCGTGGCCAAGGACAGAGAGGAATCATGGCCAAATCAACCCAGGCGTCCAAGGTAGTGCCGCTGTCCCCAAGCCCAGTCCGATGCTGGGCGCGGGCTGCGTTCGCCCATACACACTCGCATCTGTGTGCGATCCTGGGCTAAAGCTGCGTCCTCTTGAACAACCCAAACCAGAAATATACCATCCGCAGAATCGTCCGGGTCACGACAGAAAACAGCGTCCTTTCGTTCTCGAGTCTTAAGAAGCGGGGGTTGGTTCCCACCGAACACGGCGATCCGTGGAGAAGATGGACTGTTTCCATTGCCATCCTGGACGAGAACGGACTGGTGTTGTATGATGAAGGATTCATCGAGAGCGTCGACTTCAAGCTGCATGAAACCTTTGATAACCCCATCCGGAGTAAGCTCCCCCCCCACCTGGCGCGAGTGCTGCCATCACAGCGAGCCCTATTTGCAGCCGATCCAGTCGCTCGTCGTTTCCCCCCCCCCGCTAATCCCGTCGTCCATCTTCTCTGTCTGGTCTGCTCTGCTCACGCCGGCGCCTTCGCTCAGCTGTGAGCCAGCCACCATTCGCCATAACCGAAGTCGGATGGGGTGGCTTCGGGATGGACATTACCGTCCACGTCAAAGGCCACCCCGATTTCTCTGAAACGATCGAACACGACTTCAACTTTGACAAAGAAAAGTATGAGCGAAACTATTTGATCGTAAGTAGTAGGTCGAGAGCGGCGCCTACAGATCGAGTGTCTGTGGCGGGTGTCTTTGGATGGGACGCTGGCCGACAGTGTCCCTGTGGAGAATGGGGGCATGCGCATGTGCCCCTTCCCTGCCACCACCCTTGGATTGACGTGCGAACAAACGCCTCTATGCTGTGGGCTACCGATGCAACTACAGAAATTCAAAGTCACGCCCGGCTCGGAGGTCGAATCGATGCTGTCCAAAACGCAAAAGATTCTGCGCGGAGGCAAATACGTCAAGCGCACCGTGGACTTTCAGCCCGATGACGACGCAGCCCCGCACGCCTCGCCCAGCTCCAGCGATGGCTCCGTAGATGAGGGCCAGACTAGGATGAAAAAGCCCCGGACTCACTCTCGATCGAGCTCCTCCGACGACGACAGCTCCGATCGTCACCGGCACAAGCGCTCGCGGGACGGCTCTGGCGACTCCATTTCAGCGGACAGACGGTCGTCGAAATCTCGAAACCTCACCGACTCTAAGCAGACTCGAAAGGATCCGTCCGAAGCCAAGCACCGTCCATCGGTCTCTGGAAAGGACTCGGCATCATCCAGTCGCAAGGAGAACGCCTCAGGCCTGACTCCCGTCGGCGTTGCCCGAGCCCCAGCAGCTCTCCCGGCCGACGGCGATATGTCCAAGCGATCCGAAGCGAGCGAGATGAGATCCAAAGATAAGCCCAAACCCGCTGGAAGCGAGGCTCCAAACGCGGATTTGACCCGCACCAAAGCCAAGCTAGGCGATCCGTTCCGACAAAAGGAGCGACCTGACGATGCAAGCGACAAAGGCAGGGGTGCGGAGCCAGAGAGCGCAAAGAGTCGGCACAGTGAAAAGTCCAAGAAGCCCAAGATCGATGGCAAGGACGACTCGCTTGACGGCAGCCATCGCGACAAAACCAAGGAATCCACTCAGTCAAAGGCTTTGGCGGGCAGCGCACAGAAGCGCCGGGAAGAGCCGGCTCGCGGCAGAGAAGGAGGCGCCGCCCAATCGCTCAAAAACAAGCAGTCCGATAGCAACCGTCGGAGTAGCATTCGATCTGAGCGACCGGCAAAGAGCGACAGCGATCGGACTGCGGCAAAGCGAAAGTCTGTGGCTGCCAATTCGGCTAGCGAGTTTCCAGGAAGCGACGCTCCAGCCTCTGAGCCTCCCCGTCGCCCCTCCGATCGCGATGGCTCTCACTCTCAAAAGCGGCCAAAGCACGGGTACTCATTTTCCCGGTCGCGGTCACGGTCACGGTCGCCGTTTGCATCGTCAATCGAGTCTTCGCCCAACCAGCAACAGCAGCGGCCCAAATCTGCACAAAAAAGTGTCACTCGATCGGAAGCCACCCACGACACACACACAAGCTCTCAGCGCTCCAAGGGATACCCGGCCGGCGGACGCGATTCGTCTGTCTCATCAGTGGGCTCGGCCAGCCGACAGCACAAGGGCAAGTCCAAAGGCCACAAGAGCTACGACGCACAAAGTCGGCGCACTGGCGATCTGAGCTCGGCCAGCGACTCTGACGCAAGCCCACGCCAGCGTCGAAGCCGCGCACGAAGCTGGAGCCGAAGTTTGAGCCGCGGCCAAAGTCAAAGTCGGAGTCGGAGCCGCGACCGAAGCATGAGCGTCGATCGAGGTCGCCATCGCAGTCGCCGCCGTAGTTCAAGCTTCAGCCCGAGTCGCAGTTATAGCCATAGCCATAGCCGTAGCCGCGGGCGCAGGCGACAGCGTAGCGGCAGTCACGACCGGCGGTCGGGCCGTAGTGATAGCTGGAGTCGGAGCGCTAGCCGCAGCCCGAGCCGAGATCGCGGTCACAAGAACGACCGGACACGAACAAAGAGTCGAGCAGAAAAGGGCAGCTCCCAGAGGCATCGGTACGGCAGTGGCTCGGATTCAGGCGACGATGCACAGATGTGGGACCGAGACAACCGCAAGCACAAAGATCGACGCGAAAGAGAACGGCATCCTGTCGAGGATGGCGGCGGCACGGACGCAAGAAGCAGTCGGAGAGAACCAGTCGGTGCCAAGGGGCGCGACGGCGAGTCCAGGGATAAAGGCAGGCCTAAACGAGAGTGGAATGAAGCTCGGTCCCGCGAGGTTGACAAGCGCAAGGATGGCAAGCGCGGCCCAGAGTCGTCCGACAAGCGATCGCAAAATGTCCACGGTGATGAGCACAGTACGTATGGCGATGAAGCGACCGACGACCCCAAAGCGGCCAAATCACGGCAGCGCAGCCGTGTCGCCGATGAATCCAGTTCCAAGGCCGACAGCAAGTCCGCTGCGCGAAAGGGACGGGTGCAGAAGCTCCTCGGCACCAGTGCCGGCACGACATCGAGCGGCCCAGGCACCCCTGAAGTCAAGTCCAAGCGGGAGCGCGACGGCCTTGGCGAAGCTGAAGTGATAGGGCACGGCGACCTCGTTGACGAGAACGGCGCACCGTTCACGGTGGTGCAGCTTGCGGAAAAGATTGTCCAGCTCGACGACACAAGCTCGAAACAGATTCTCAAATCGCTGATGGAGCGCCGCTCTGCGGACGCGCCAAGCCATCTCGAGGGTGAGCATCGTGATTATGCAGGCGCGATGCACAGCGCCGACTGCATGTGCTGCAACAAATGCACTGACCATCGATTCTGCCTCTTGCGGCGCACGACTGCTTCCTGGAACTGCAGCAGGCTTCCAAGTCGACCTGTACAGCCTGGAGCCGTCGCATCTAGCAGCCATGTGGAAGTTTGCGAACCGACAGCTCTCCCCGACAAAGAGCAGTGCGTAGGGGTCTGCAAGTTGCTGCGAGAGCATGGACAGAAATGCTCGCGTCGGATCCGGAACAAATACATTGTGGTGATGCCACCTGGATGATGCCGGATGGCGCTGGACAGTGCCGGACAGTGCCGGATGATGCGAATTGGGCACCGCGCGAGCCCTGTCTGCGCCGCGTGGCTCGCTGGGGGCTGGTGCCAACAAACAACCCGATGCCTTTGTCTGCCTTCTGGCCGGGTGGTACTTGGGCGGCTGCGAAACCAAGCCTATTCCGTCGTCACCGAGCCTGCCCCCGCTCCATTTTTTCTTTCTTTCCGTCTTTCCCAAAGCCCAGAGCCAAGCGCAATCCACCCAGGTCTCGACCGTTCCGCAGCATGGAGCCAGAGCAGAGTAGCCCCGTGCAGGAGCCCATTCCGGTCCAGACTGCTCCCGCAGCCCCAAATGAAATCCATCACCACCACAATCGCTATGTTATCCTGAAGCCCAGTCGCCATGCCCGGCGGCCAGTCTTGCGTCGCAGGACCAGTGCCCAGCCGGCGGCTGCATCGCACACTGAGGCATCGCGGGTGTCCGTTGAGAGCAGCCCGTCTCTCCACGAACTCTCGATCCGGGAGCTGGATCTGGACAGTCTTGACGGTCCTGTCCGTGCAGAGTCCTCCGACCCTGTTCGTGCAGAGTCTCCTGGCCATGTTCGTGCAGAGTCTCCTGAATCCATTTCGCAGCGGCTCGACCGAGGGCGTAAGTAGAACCGGTCGGTGCTCATCGGCGATGTGCCCAGCGGATCTGCCGAGGAGTGGGCAACCGCTTGTCCTGGGGATCGCCGACACTAATTCCTGCGCAACTGCCCATTCGTCCTTGCTCCTGCATTCCTCTCCCTTCTCTCCGCCGGCCGTCCCAGCTTCAGAGGCTTTGCGGAGCCAGCGCCGGCTGACGACCCACAAGTCCACCAACAACAGCCATATCATCGTTGGACTGGATGTGGACCCCGACCGGGCCGAAAAACAAGACTTTATCGTTCGTCTGGGTACGCCGTCATGACAACGCTCCGGACAGGGCGCTTGCAATCCGCCGCTGGATCTTGGGCTCTGACGAGCTATATCGGGGCACTCACCTCTGCAATCTCGCTCTCACCCCGCCGATCATCGCAGGCAAGGCATTCTACCGATATGGCGCAACAAGCTTCCGCACCGAGCTCCATCTTCGGTACATCTCAAAGGCCCTAGAGATCCCCGGCGGGTTTGCTGCCCTTCCAGGCTTGATCCTGACGTCCTTCGGAAGCCCGCACATCACCACGTTGTCCAGCGAAACCTACCTCAACTTTGCGCCTCAGGGATATGACCTTGGCAAACTGGTCGCCGTCACCAAGCTGGGTGAAGAGATCTGCAACAAAGTCAGCGACATCAGTTCGCGTGTGGTCGAAGGCCTAGATGATGGCGATCTGGACTTTCCACCCCGACATTCCGTCAAGCAAATCTTCCGCAACGCCATCCAGGAACTCGATCTGATCATGGAAAACCCTGGTCCGTGGGATCGGAACTGGCTGCAGGCCTTGGCCTTTGCCCTGGGTGGTGGAAGTGTCGTCACGCTCGCCTTCAAGGGCACCTGGGTCGATGCCATAGCAAGCTTCATCTTTGGCTGGATCGTGGGCTTCATCAGCATTTACGGCCCCCACTTCTTCCCCAACTACTCGCACCTGACAGACCTTGTCTCCTCCTTGATCGTCACCATCCTGATCCGCATCGTCCAGACGCTGATTCCGTCAATGTGCTTCAGCTTCGTGCCGATTTTTCTGTCGTCGCTTATTGTGCTGCTCCCAGGGCTGCCCTTCACCGTCGCTATTCTGGAACTTGCCTCCAAGAGTCTGCTCTCCGGGACGGTGCGCCTGGTTTATTCGCTCCTGACGGCTCTGCTGATGGCCGCTGGCGTCGTCATGGGCTCTGCAATCCCGGGACTGGCCAACTTTTTCCAGTCCCAGAGCCTTGGCTCCTCCATGCCGAGCGGCCAGCAATGCATTGTTCCGCCGGCACCCACGAGCCTTCTGTGGTCGATACTGATGCTGCCAATTGCGACGCTGTCGATCAACATCTCGTTCAAGTCGGCCTTGCGCGACTGGCCCATCATGTTCTTTGTCACTTCGTGCGGATTCGGGACGTACATCCTTACAAGCACCGTCCTAGGCGTGCCCAACGCACCGTCGACTGCGATTGCGGCATTTGTTATCGGCACGCTTGGCAATCTCTACGGCCGACTGGGTTGGGGCCTCGCTGCCGTCCCGATCACCACGGCCATCCTCGTCCTGGTTCCTGGCTCGGTAGGCGTCCGTGGCAGCCTGGATCTGATGCTGGCCTCCGATCTGGGCAGTGGCACTGCTGTCCTCAACATGTTCCTAGTGTCGGTCTGGCTCAACATCGGCCTGTTCTTCTCGACACTCCTGGTCTTTCCGACGACCAAGACAGACTTTGTCGACCGGGGCGAATTGTTTCGAGGGTTTTAGACCGATACTGGCTTACGGCATGTCCTTGGCAGCGTCCACAAACCGAACCAGTGACTTTTGTTTGATGTCTATGTCCAACCTCACCAAGTTCTGAGTATATACATGTCCATAGTGTATCTAACAGCAGCACCCGGCCGAATAAGCAAAGCAGAGAATGGGAGTGGAGTTCCCGGAGAAGGGCCCTCGGCAGTCTGACCAGCCCCGATACCATCACAATCGATCGATCGCCGTGCTGCAACCAGGAACATGGTCACAGTGTGCGAGCCGCTTTCGCAGAGAGCCGTTTACCCATCATGAGAGGGTGTATTTCCACAGGTCGATACACATCCTTGCGTCTCGACTTCGCTTCCAGTCGACCATCGCAGCAGAGTGGGTCGGGCGTGTGTGTGGTGGGGACATCACAGCGATGTCGTTGGCTGTCCAAGTCGCTCTAGCGTTTGGCGGAAATGATCAACAGGCTTTGCAGTCACCTCGAGATCTGCACCAACTCCAAACCAACTCTAGTGGCACATATTTTGGTGGGGAGTAGATTCAAATACAAAGTGGTTTCAGCCGATGAGTTTGAATCATCTGCCCTCCCCCATCCTGTCTGCGGTATCGAACTAATGCACGCTACTCGAATCCACCACATCGAGTGCCCCAAGTTACCTTGATCACCAATCTTCGGAGATGGAGATGCATGGGTGTGGACTTTTTCTTGAACATGCCCGCAAGCGAAGTGGGGCAACCCGCACCGTACTTGTAGTCGCCGAGAATGTGTGCTGTTTGGGTGATTCGCCACAGCAATGCGCCGTTTGAGACAGGTCCATCTCGTTAGAGATTCTCAACCATCAGCCCCAGCCACATATTTACCCAGTGGCCTCAGTAGCATCGCGCCTTTAGTATCTAAGATATTCGCCACAACACCTACCGTTCAATATACTGGCGCAGTGGACGCGAAGCTGATGCTTTCTTCCGGTCTTGGGCTTCAGTTCGATCCAGGTAGGTCCGCTTTTGTAGGACGCAAGCACCTTCCATTCCGTGACCGCCTTTTGTGGCATGATACCAGAGGGCAGCGGCGTGGGCTCGGACTCGGTTTCGTCTGCATTACGCCAACGCACCCATCGGCGCCAATTATCGGGACAATAATAAGAACCGACATGTGTGGCGAACCTCCAGCAATAAAGGGCTCACAGGAGTAGCTTACGCCATTCAATGGTCTTTTGCTTCTCATTCGGGGGATCGCCCACAGTAACGATTCCCGTCGTGATAGATCCGGAGGCGCCGTGCTCGTCGTCGTTCGCTTTCGGTGCGCTGACCGTGATGGCCCAATACTGTTGTGTTTTATCGCAGCGAAACATCATTCATGAGTTGGGCCAGGCGCTCTCCTCGACATCCGCGATGTGCCTTTGATTGAATGCAGAAGATCGATCGACGGCGGCTATGCAACTTACCGTCTTTTCGACAGCATCATCCATCTCAAACATCCTGATCAGCCGAGTCGCGGCGAGCTTGGTTCGGGCGAGCACAAATGCTCCAGTGGTATTCTTGAGCCAGACACATGGGCGATTTTAGGAACGATGTCCCGAACAACTCGGACCGCAACGTCGACTCAAGCACGAACTCTCCACTACCTTGTCGAGGCGGTGCACAAGGCGAGGAGCCTCCTCTGCATCCATGCGCAGACCCTCTAGAAGCATGGTCAGGTTGATGCCGGTCTTGGAGCCGCCTGATGATATTGGACGTTGTCGGCAGTTGGTACTCCGAGCTCAAAGAGCAATGATGCAGCCAATCTCGCCCACACATCAAACGAGCGTTCGATACAGCATCCCCACCTTGTACGGGGAGATCGTCAGGCTTGTTGATCACCAGGACGTGCTCATCCTTGAACAGAATGCTGCGGAAACCAAGGCCGCCATCAGTTCCATCAGCCGGGCGTGGCCCTGACCCGCTGCTGCTGACCCGAGCCACCAATGCGCTGCCTCCACGAGCCATACGATTCCTTCAGCTTCTCGACTTTGTCGTCCAAGATCTTTTGAAAGTCCTGCTTCTCCTTTGCCGTCATTTTCTTGGCTCGTTGCTTGCGCGTCAACGGCATGAGTACCTCGACTCGGTCGCCAGCATGCAGTTTGGCATCAGGCTTGATCTCCATGAAGCGGGCATGCGTCGAGCCAACGACCTTGACCTGTTATCACACGGATGCCGTCAATAGCAAGGCACCGATCCCGCTGCCAAAGCCCACTGCGCTGTAGACTCGGCTATTTGCCCTCGCTTCTCAGCCCGAGCCGCGCAGCTCACCTCTTCATTGAGGATCTTGAGACGAACGACATTCTTCCGGAGGCCCAAATGGTTGGTCAGAAAGTGGTCGAGGCGAGCATGGTGCTCATCGAGGGTCACCTCCAACCTCCTGGTCTCGTGTGGACGGGCCTCTGTCTCGGTAATATCCGACTTGACCAGAGCGTGCTTGGTGGGCTTCTTGTGAGTCTTGCGCTCCATTCGCTCGGCTCTATGGCGCTTCAGCTCAGGCTTATCAAGTCTGTGCCTCAAGTTCGAGGGCACCTCGGACGTTTCAGCTGCATCGGCAGCCTGGATGGGCTTGGAGGGCACGGCATGCTTGATTCTCAGTGTCGACGTTGAGATCGCGATGGAGGCAGAGAATCCACGCATCAGGACCATCGCAGCGGATCGGGCAGGGCCGGAAGCAAGTACGCCCCGCGAGCCCCATTGCAGTGCTGAAGCCAGATGCGACATTGGATCTAGAGGTCTGGGCAGAGCGTGTGGCGATGGACAGGAAGAGCCGATTGAGGTTGAGGTTGGGCCGAGGCCGAGGTTGAGGTTGGAGCGAGGGAAAGGGCAGAGCTCCATTTTTTTGGCCCGCCATCTGGAATCTACCAGACCGCCGCCTTCCCTTTGGTCAACCCCCTCTCCTGGCACACGACGGCTCAGCAAGCACCCGTCGATGATGGCATCTCGTGTGCGGCGGCTGTTCCAGCGAATCTATGTATTGGCAGCGCTTTCGCGGATGATATCGGGCATTTGGGCAGCCCAGGCCCAGAGCTGGTTGCGGCATCTAGAGCCCGCCACCCTGCTTGTTGACATAGACATATCCGGCCAAAAACAGGGTCAGACCAACGAGGATGAGTGCGTTCTGGGCGAACGAACCCATCGCCGGCGTCTCGCCAGCAGCAGCAGCAGCAGCCGAGCCGGTGGCCCCAACTGCAGCCCCTGTTCCAAGAACCCGTCCTCCCGACTGAGGAAAGCCCGAGGATTCGCCTTTGTACCGCTGAATTGAGTTTTCGACGCCGCGGATGTTGGCCCCGACGATCTGATCGAGTTTCTTGTTGGAGCGATACAGCTGGAAGGTAGGCATGGCGGTGATCTCGCACTCTTGCGAGATCTGGGTGTGCTCGTCGACATTGACCTGAGTGCCAACAAGAGGCTCGGCGTTAGCGAGAGTTGGGTGCAGCGAAGAATGGGGGGGGGTAGCTGCATCCGCTATCACCATTCTGCGGCTGTGTTGCTAGACAGCATCTAGCGGCGTATTACTCGATGGATGATGCAACTTCTTTGGCGCTGCTACCTTCAGAAAGATGACTCCCTTGTACTGCTCCGAGAGCTCCTCGAACCGAGGCGCAATGGCCTTGCATGGGCCGCACCAATCGGCATAAAAGTCGATGACGACGAGCTTGCCGGACGACAGAGCCTTGCGAAAATCAGAGTCGGATTTGACGTGGACAATGGGCATGATGGGCAGCGGCGGCGGCGATCGATGTGCGGCGGATGTGCGATCAATGTGCAGATCAATGTGCGATCAATGTGCAGGCAGATCACACTATCAATTTTTTCCGGCCCGCTCGCGGCTGCTCATCTCGGTCACCTGAAAGTCACGTCGAATGTGGAGCAGCAAAAGTTGGAATCCGGCCATGGTCGGTTGACGGCATTTGGTATCACCTTGAGCCGATTGACGGTGGTGGTGGGCAATTGGTGTGGAGGAATGACCAATTGTATCATTGTTGGAAGCTCCACTCCGATTGCGGACAAGAACCACCACCATCTGAATCTCTCTGGTTGGAAACCTAGTCAAGCGTGACTGTGTGTCAGCGAGATGACATGATCGTTTGACTATCAGGCAAGACTCACCTTGACAAGATGTCTTCCCACGACTGATTGAGCGAGCGATGCGTTTCTGGATCTGAATCAAGGACGCCACTGTGCAGTATCTCGGCCAGCCCAAAATGCGCTGGTTTTGAGGAGATTCTTTCTTCCCCAAGGGCAGAACCAGCCATTGTCGCTATTTTCTCGCCAGATGGCTCCCCGCAAGCGAAAGACACCACCCAAGCGACCAAGTGGATCCAGAGCACCCACAAGATCCTTGGTCTGCAGCAATGGATGAGCACCACACCAAGTCCCAAGATCACCGGGTTGGCTTCCTTCCTGCAATACATTCGCCATGTGTTCGATGGAGACATGCTGGACAAACAGCTGTACTTCAGCCTGACCCGGCGACGGCGATTCAAGCGACTCGATCTCCACAGCAAGCGACAGCGCACTGTCCACGAGATGTGCAAGCAAGTCATCGACCAGGCACCAAAGGAGACCGAGGTGGTGATTGCCTTTGGGAATGCCTCCTGGAAACAGGGGAAGGGATATGCATCCAGTCCCAGGAGACTCAGGTTCGCCAAGTACTTTGAGCAATTCCACCACCACCAGAGCCACCCACCAGACCGATCCGTCTCCAAGATCCATGTGTGCTCGGTGAACGAGTTCAACACATCCCAGGTGTGCTCACATTGTCGGGAAGCCAAGCGACTCGAGAAGGTCGAGCATCTTGATATCGAGAAACCACACTTTGTCCGGAGCTGTGCAAGCTGCCATACGCTGTGGGATCGAGACATCAATGCAGCCAGGAACATGATCTCGGTATGCCAGTCGATCATCGCCACAGGAGATCGGCCGAGTGTATTCAAGACTGTGCTTCCGGACCCACCCAAAACAAAGAGATTGCCAACGAAGACAGGAGTGCAATGCCATGGCCTGCCCGCTGGGCCTACAAGTCAGTCAGCGGGGTTCAGGCCTCTGAAGCCAGGAAGGATCTGTCCCGTTTCTTTCTGGATAGACTGTAAGTATCTCGCACTGTTCCTTGAGTATTTCGACAGTGGATGCCGGGTCGCCCATATTCTGGGCAGTCCACTTCGGGGTTGCCATCCCTCTTGGGATGGTCGATGGGAGGTGTTTGACTCCCTTGTGCAAAGTGTGTGTGTGCGGATGTGTGTGTGTGTGCAAAGTGTGTGTGTGTGACGGCGAGAGGCTTCTCGCCTTCCCTCGGGGGTCTCTCGCCAGAGACTGCTCTTCTCGCCGACCGAGGTGGCTCCGAGAGCGCGTTTTTTCGTTCTCGCTCATTTTTTTAACAAGAAATTTTTTCATAGTGTCAGGCAGCAAGGGCGGGGTCAGTGCCGGGACGGCTGTGCACGTGGTCGGCCATGGGACATGGGTCGGGGAGGCGTTGCCGTCCCTGTCCCAGCCCCCTGGCGGTCTCCTGGGCTCACTGGATGCACATCGATGTATTCAAAATCAAGAAAATAGTGACTGCTGGGCTCAGCAAGGTGACGTGGTTCATTTTGCTATCGCTCTAAGGGTTGGCAGTTGTGTTGGAGATTGAGTGGATTGAGACCTCGGTGAGCTGGTGAGAGTTGGAGTTTGGGATTCTCATCGAGCCTCTCTTGGGGCCTGGCGATGGGGCGGGGGACGGAGCGCCCTTTATGGTAGTGGCAGTAACGGTGCTTCCAGTTCCAGATGAATGAGTTGAGTCGCTCGAGGGCGTGTCTTCGGAGTAGACCGAAAACACCGCCAAGCAGGACATGGCGGCGTGGTCGATGAGGATGGGCAGCATAATGTAGTCGCCAGCAATATTGCGAACGTTGGCGTCCATGACACGGATGACCATGATCAAGATTGTGGCAATGGAGCCTCGGATCTTGAGATTGGTCAGCTTGGTATGGGCGGCGGTCGGGGCCGTGAGCATGCGACTCCTGTTGAGGTTTTTGGTGATTTCATATGCATACAAAAGCCCGAGGAAGAAATCGCTGATTGTGCATAGAATAGCAGCGTTTCTGAGAGGAATAGCCGTCACATCCGGGAACACTGGGATGCAGACGGAGAGGCCGTTCATCGGCACCATAATGAGGTGAAGCTGCGTGGTAACATAGAACTCAAGGACGTGGTAGGCGACCATGACCAAGATCGCAACAACAATCATGACCTTTGCGCGGATTCCAGAGAGAGCGCAAAAGATCCAGCACTTGTAGCAAACAAAGGCATCAGAGAACAGAAGAGAGAGCCAGTATGCAAAAGCCGCAACCCAGTGATGGGTGCAGTCGTCGGGCTCGAGCGCAAAGGCATAAGCGTTGCATAGGCTTTCGATCAGGCCAATGAACACCGACGCAAACAACAGCTGGGGAATGATCTTGGTGCGCACGGAAAACTTGACGAGAACAAAGATATTGATGGTGACGTAGATGGCTGTGGTAATTCCAACAATGTAAGTCGACAGCTGGAAAGGGTTGAGCATAACCATGGCTGCGAAGGTGTCTGCGGGAAGGATGATCTGCTTGGCGTTGGACTGGGCGAGTGGTTTAGCTGACCAGGGATGCGATTTGATCTCGGAAAATATTGAAAGTCAAGAAATGTTTGGTCGCCGGATAGGCTCTATATCCGCCGGTATAGTAGCCGGAGGCGCTGACTCACTTCGGGTGATGAAACGCTCCTGATGCTGTGCCTAAGCTCGTGCGCTTGGGCCATCCTTCCTTTATACGCGGCTCATGCCATGTCCAGCGACTATGCGGCTCTTGGTTCAGTTTGGCCGATTGTTCAGGGCTGGACATTGTTCGCAGCGAGATTGACAATATGGCGGCCAAATGAAACGGCATGAACAATAGAGAGCCAGCGGGCTCCATTATGAGACCTTAATCCTGGCGGCCTTGTCCGGCCTGACAACGAATCAAGTGGGGATGGTCGTTCGTGGTGGGTCTTTCACTGGCAACGGGCCGTCTCCCCTTGCGCGTTGACACAAGTTGTGATTGGTGATGCCGCCAAATAGACCTTTGTGCCCAAAGTAGCCTGTCGACGATCCAGCGCTCCGCCTCGGGTGTAACTGGAGTGCAGGCCAATTTTCGTGGGCCGAGGAGTGATTATGTGCTCAGGGCCACCCCGAGCTGCCAAGTCCCCTGACACAATGCAGCGCCAATCAAGACGAATGGGGAGTGCAGTCTGACGGGGCCCGATATTGCAGTCTGGGAATGGATGTGGGGCCTGTCCCGTGCTTCATACACCCATATATGTAGTATCCACTTTAGGAATACAATGCCGGCATTGTATTTGGCGAGAATATGTCCTTCTGGGTTGGGGTTATGGTTTCACGAGGCCAATCTACAATGCCGAAGCGATCGGGCGCATCGGGTGGATTGGGTCTCGTGGAGCCTGGGCACTCTGAACACACTTGCAGAGTTGTGTGCGCTGCCACTGACCATGTCCGCCTTGAGTATTTGGAACTGCGAGCCCGTCCAGGTCAGAGCCGCTCTGATGTCTGAAAACAATCGGCCATCTTTGTTCGGAATGCATCTATTTTTGAAACAGGACACCCAAGCATCGCAGTTGATGAGAGCCGTGATCACGGATCGGGTCCGTCAATTAGAGTCTCGGTGAGGTGCGATGTCGGTGAGGTGCGATCTCGGTGAGATGTGGTCTTGGTGATATGAAATGTCGGTGAGATATGGTCTTGGTGAGATGTGGTCTTGGTGAGATGTGGTCTTGGTGAGCCCTGGTATCACCGTGTATTTCATTCAAATAGAAACGAGGGCCAATTTCGCCTTTGACATCGATAGGGCTCTGGTATATCCCGCCATTCCATCCCACAAATCGGCTCATCTATATCATCGCTTCTTATCCGCGTTGTGACGGTGGATGAACCGTGGGAGGTACCTATCGCTCGGGCGACTAAGGCTTGCAATGAAGCCAGTCTCTGTGGTCTCCAAGGTACGCTTGTATCGAGCGAATATTGGGTGCAAGAGCAGCCTGGTGTTGGGAAGAATGCCCCTACAAGATCATTGCAGCACCTCAAACGACGACATCGCCATTGTGCCGAATGAACGTGATCCGATTCCGACGAGAACCGCCGACTCTTGCATTCGACCCATCGGGACTGGATGCTTTGGAGCCCGGTGCGCCAGGACTCGATGGGTCGACCTTTGATGAGCCAGTATCCGTCCCTTGGACAGCCGTAATAAACTCTGAGATCCGGCAGACCGACATCCGTGCCAGTCGCTCGAACGGAAACATCTGGAACACATGAGGCATGTCTTGGTACACTTCGATGCGGACGTCCTCGGCGTCGCTCTCAGACCCTACATCTGACATGTTCTTCTCCGGATCGATCACCACCTGGTGCGGTGCATGCAGACGGTCATCCGACAAGCAGCGGCCCTTGAACTTTGACCAGAACTTGATGCCTTCGTCGCGAAGCCGCTCGGCACTGCCAACGGTGATCAGGGTTGGCGGGAGAGGCTTGGCCGGGATCTTTGTTGCAAACAGAGGCGAGACATATGGATGGTCCAGGAGGTCGTTGGTGGTATAAAAGTGTCTTTGCCCTTGGGATTCGAGCGAGGCGCCAAAGTCGGGCAACATGTCGAAGCGAGCGTTGTTGTCGAAGCTGGGCATCGAGTGAGTCAAGTCGAGCTGTGGGAACGGAGGGCCATCGATCAGTATCGGTTCAGATGGAAGGCTCGGCCAGCCACGGTCGCCATGCTCAGAGTCTGAATGCACCACCATCGCTGGAAACTTGCCCACGGCGACATCACCACGAGTCCGCCGGGAAGCGGCCATCGTTCGTCGTCTCGGAGCCACAGGGCCGCTGCGATGGCCAGCCCGCCGCCCGCCGAGTCGCCAGCAAAGACAATGTTCTTTGGATCGTATCGGGGGTGGGTCGCTCCAGGCGGTGGGTCGATCAGAAATCGATATGCCGAGATGGCGTCACGGAGGGCACATGGGAACGGGCGTTCCGGAGCCAGGCTGTAGTCGATCGCTGTGTGCAGGAACGGTGGTCAGGGATGCGATCTATTCGTCTGGGTTCATTCGTCCAGCTTCCTTCGTTCCCGAGGGTCTGCTCGGCTGCATCTATTTATCTGAATTCAGGTGGGTCACGAACTGCGCTCGAACGTATGCTGGGCACTCTCGTACCAATAACCCTCGACCGGGTGAGTTTCGCGAGTTTTCCGGTCAGGAACTGATGGGATCGAGGGGAAAGCAGAAAGTATGCGCCTCCGTGAAAATACAGAGTGACTCGACCCACAGATGCATCGCTGGTCCGGGAATGACCGAAGGATACCAGCGGCCGTGGATCGAGCCAGTACGCTCTGATGGGACATGGTGAATGGTTTGCGATCAACTGGGCCAGCCGTGGATCCGTGTGGGAAGAGCCCTCGAAGAGATCCGGGATGCACTCGATCTTCTGGGAAGTGATGCGTACCCCAAGCGGCGGAGGGGTGGATAAAATCTTGGTGACATGGCGAGCCATGCTGACAGATCCTTGGAAACGGAAAGTGACGCTTCGAATGCCGCCTACAATGATGTTCTGTTCGGATGGGGGGGGAGTGTTGGTGGGAAGAGGCATTGCCAATCGAAACTGCAGCTGCCTGGATGGATTCTCACGGGTCTTCGAGCTGCAGAGGGAAGGATATGGCGACGAGCCCAAGACTTACCAGTAGAGAGCTCCTGTGCGAAGGCCGGGGGAGAGTCTGCACCAACTGCAGGGTGGGGCTGTCGTCCGAGGATTTGAGGTCAGAGAAAAATGCATACTCGCGTGCATTGCGGGTGTCGTTGCCGTCGATCGACGATGGAGATGGGCAGCAGCACGAAAGCGACATGGGATCCGCGAGCAGCCGGCAAGCTCGAGTCGTTCCGACTGGTGTTTGTGACAGGTGCAGTTGAGTGCGTTGGAGCGATAGCAGCAGAGCGACAGCAGCAGCTCGCTAGCACAACGATCGAGTGAGAGCCGCTCTCAATCGAAGCGTGCTCGAGCCAAGAGGCAGAACAGATTGTGCAATCCGACACACCGGGCAAAAGTCGACACAGACACCACACAGGAAGCCCACCGGAATGTGAGATGACCGAAGCGAATGGCCAACACAAAGCCAACGCACATGGAGCGTTCATGACCTGAACCGAAGCAGGTCCGATGTCTGTGGGCTGATACAATCTCCCCTCAGGCAAACGAGCACTCGACTCCCTTGCTGATTGCCTGTCGCACTTTCACTCCAAAATTGGCGCATGCCGAGCTCTCAGGGACAACAGAATGCCATCGACGGATGGAGGTGATTTGAAGGATGCCAGCTCAAATGGCGATGCTGTGAGTGGCTCTTGGCCATTGTGGGTGCATGGCCATTGTGTGCAGGATCCGGAACAAAGCATCGACCTCGACGGGGAGTTTCGCTTCGAACACGACACTGTGCAGGAGCACTAAGGTATTCGAGCACACAGAGGACGTATGGGCGGAGCAAGGGATTCGCGGGGAAGTGTGGCCGATCATAGGCGATATGTAGATGGCTTGGCAATGAATCGAACAATACGCAGGACCAACTGCAACCGATTGAGCAGACAGTCGTGTGGGAACCGGGGGGTAGATCCGATCGGCTCGTCGTCCACACCGCCTCTCACGCCCATCGGCGACCTCTGCAGCTTGCGATCTTGCGATCTCTACCCACCAGCGAGCTGAAGCATATCCCGATATCCATCATCGAGGCCCATTCCTCCCCAACCAGCCATCGTATTGGCCTCAAGCAAGCAACACAGTCGTGAATCTAAAGTCGTGGCTCGGCCAAGTCTGATTGCAGAAAAGAAACTCTCCGATTGCCCGGTTCTGCCCTCCAGCCTGCATCCTGCTCTATTGGTAAAGTGCAGATCATCCCCAGAGCTTCGAGGCTGTTAGGGTTGACGAGGAGATCGCTGCTGAGAAACAGTGATGTATACGGTCTCTCCAAATCCACAGTCGTCTTACCCGCCCAGAGACACGTCGGAATGTCGTTTTTCGCAACCACACGGCCGCCAACGGTCAAGCGCCGGATGGAGAGGAAACGGTTTTCGCCGGCCATAATGCATCGGGAGAGTGAGCCGGTTTGGGATTACGGATACATGGCAAGTATTACGGCAACGCGAGTCGCAGGGACGTCGACACAGATACAACAGACGTGGGTGTGAATTCGATGGCTGGTGGCAATGGCTGGTGACGATGGCTGATGGCGATGTAGCCGATGAAAAAAAAATGTTCGTAGGGACTAACGAACAGTGCGTTGTTGTCGCTAGCAGCCCCCGCAGGACATGCAGGCATCCACCATGCGGTGCGATTTCACAAACAAGTGCAAGGAGAAGGAGCTCCGAGCCGCGGACGAAGGTGGCCGTCCGATTCACATTCGCCCTCCGCTAGTTGACGGCGTGATCTTGGGGTTCGAAGATGCAGAAATGATCTTTCGACGCAGGTACGGCCGGAAGCTGTGGACGCTTTGGGATGGACGCTGAGCCGGTTTGGGCTGCCGCAAGGTCGGCTGAGTGCCCTGTGACGACGGCTGATGTTTGCGACTTTTGGCTGTCTCTCGTTGACCACAGGCTCCTCGATCCGCTGCCATTCCCGCCTCTGCTCAAGTCAGTACTGCGAGAACTTGCTGAGACCTTTAGGGCTTTAGATTTAGTATTGGTGGTGGCCGTGGTGGCCGTGGTGGTGGCCGTGGTGGAGTCCTCATGCGTCTCATGCATCTTGTATACTCTATGCATCTCGTACATCTCATGCATCTCATCCAACATCCAACATCCGACATCCGAGTTGACGCATCTGGCGTTTCGCACTCCAGGCAAACACCCGAGACGACACAGCGACACGACTACAAGTACGAAGGTTATAATCCCACGAGAGTCTCTAAGCTGACGCTCAGTGGACGGCCCGCGGGAGTTCCAACGCCATTCGTAAGTGGACAGGGCGACCACATGTGCACCTCGTGTTGGAGATTCTGCGGCGAAGGGACGCTCACATCCCGGCCTCGATGCGGCCGTTGGCGGTTCACAGGATCCCTTCCTTCCGACCTCGGTGCAGTATTCGTCTCCGCAGTTGACACGGCTCCTGAGTGTCGGACACCACCGCAACTTTTACGGACGGAAAATCAATCTGTTTCTGCCGAACGAAGAGCAGTACAAGCGATCCGGGGTACAATCGTTCCGAGACTGGCCGAATGAAGAGGAGCCGATCGTTCAGGCGCGATAGAGGGCGCCCTGTTGTCGCCTGTGGAATTGCGTTGGAGGGCTTTGCTGGCTGCATGGCCAATTCATACCTCCAGCCACGGAGAGGCGACAGGCAACACGCGGCCAAGAAGCCACCGGAAGAGAGCCGCAGATCGCTGGAATGCTCGCACAACAAAGTGGGGACATGCCGTTTGAGAGATGGCCGAGTATTTCTGATGCACGCGACCATCTATAACGCAGCCATCGGCTCTGCCATGACAATGATTATTACATACATTCTCTGTCTTGCTCAGCCCGCGGGAGGGAGCCATGGATTGACAGGAGCTGGTTTGAGGTCACAGACGTGTCTCGGAAGAGTGCCGAACTTGGCTGAAGGGTATACCATGGCTCTGCAAACCGCGCACCCGACAAGCACCACCCCCTGGCCATGGCGACGGCCCATCCAGCCAAAGAAGGTTTGGGAGGGGGGACGCCTTGTGTTGAAGGTTCAGGTCCGGAGCGGCAAGCACGGATCCTGCCAGACGAGCACAAGCCGCACGGGACAACGCGGATGCAACGACGCACCAGCACAAGCCTTGTGCCACAGAGGGAGCACTGGCGCCTGTAGGGGGCTGAGCGCGGGCGACACAAGGGCGGAGCAAGGGTGGTGGCCCCTGGGCGGGGCAGCGAGCCGACAAGGAGGGCGGCGGCCCAGTGGTGCGGCGACAGAGATCCTTGCGGCGATCAGCAACGTCCATACAGGGGCCGAGACGCCGCGCGCCTGCGGCGTGGCACAGAGGCACCGGGCGCCGCACCCCGACCGCGTCTGTGCTGTGTCCACGCAGTGTCTGTGCCGTTGCGGCTTGCCACTGTCTCTGTGCACCTTGTGCTGCGCTGTGCTTCGTGTGGCGGCGGCCTGGCGGTTGACGCTCGCACATGCCGCACAGTCGCGCGCGCTCGCCTGGCAGGTGGGCCACAGCGCGAGTGCGCGCAGCCGGCGCAGGTGGTACGGGCAACAGGCCGTGCAACCACGGGTGTCCCAGCACAGGCGCCACACACACAGTGTCGCACACACACACGGCAGCACCGCCGCTCCCGCCAGCATGGATCGCCGTGCGCCCGGCGCGCCCTTTCTTTTTTTGGCGGGCAGCCAGTCAACGTGCGCCCCGACCCTCGCCAGGGGCCGCTGCAAACCCGGCCGCCTGCCCCAAGTTCTCTCCCCTTCTTGTCCCTGTGCCCATCGCCTTCCCGCCTGGTCCTGGTGCACCGGGCCTCCTTCCATCCAATTCATCCCCCCTCGTCGCTGCATTCGATGCAGACTCGCTGTCGTCCTTGGCTGCTGCTGCTGCTGCTCTTGGCCTGATCATCCCATCGCAACCGCATCCATCTGCTGTCGGAGCAACCCGTGTCTGTCCAAGCTCCCCCAGCCCGCCAGTCTCTTGCCTCCCGCCACCACTTCTCCGTCTCCCCACCCACCACCACCCCGCTCCTTCGCCATGCAGTCCGGCCTCGTCAGCGCCATCAACTGCAGCGATACCACCTTTGTCCTCTCCAGCCCTACCAACTATGACCTGTGTTCGAAGCAAACTGCCGATCATGTCCACGGGATGGCTAGTCTTCTGGGCAGTGTGATTGTTCTGTTCATGATGGTAAGCCGACTCCCCACGGTTAGCCGTTATCCTCAGTCCCGATGTCGGGTGGCACCTTCGATAGAAGGACCCTGGTGGGTCATGACCCCTATGTCATCCTGGTGCTGCTGTCATCGGGATGCAGCGGGAGCAAGTCGCCGGCCCCAGTTGATCTCGCCACGCAGCGCATCGGTGGCCGGGCTTAACAGCGGCCTCTCCGTCCGTGCACGGATCTCGGGATACTTTGTTTCTGCTTGGCATCTCCCTGTCTTGAGCAGCCCGATGTCCGGGCTGGTGTCCTGGCTGAGGGCCGCACTCCATGTCCATGAACCGACGACGCCAAACGGGGTTCTGTCCGACTGACTCTGGGTCGTCTTCCCCGCAGGCCTTTCTCATCGACAGGATTCACCAAATCCGGCACACCCCGAGCAAAGTCACATTTTTCGTCTCTATCGCCAGTATATTTCTGCAGGGCATCGCAACAAGTACACTCTACCTGGTAACGTCCTCTCCTTGCCGCCATCCCTGAGCCAGCTGCTCGTCCGCTCAAATGCATCTCCCGAGACGCACGCTGGGGAATCATCCGAGCTATTTGCACACACGTCCGCTGACACATGGTTGGAACTCCTGGGCTTCTGGAACCGCTATATCGCCGATCGCCATGGGACTATCACATCTGCAATCGCATCACAACCAACTTGACTCTTCGACCCGCCTCGGGCACGCATCCAATCCCTCGCGGTACAACGCCGACGCACACGAACGGCTGGGACCCCGATGCATCTGCAACTCTCTTTGCGCTCTCGCGCTGCTTCCAGTCAAATGGCCGAGACTACTTTGTTCAGCCCGGCTTCTACAACAGCGTGATCATCCTCATCGGAGTCCTCAACGGACTCTTCCAGCTCTCTATGACCGCCCTGGTGTATCTCCGAGTCGAAGTGGTCGTGTCGGAACTGCGGCCGTGGCTGCACTACCTCTTCCTCCTTCTTGTGTCGCTGTCGTTCTTCACCGGCTCCTGCAAGGTCGTCGACATGTAGTACGTATCCCGTGAATGATTTCTTTGCCGGGCCGAGCCTCCCCCCCCCAGAACCCCACACTGCATCCGAGCCTGAGTCTCATTTGCACGCTCATTGCCTACTCGGCCATATGCTCGGCTGCGTGCGACGCGCCGCTCACTCCCACATGATAACGGGGCTATCTCTAACGCACGTCTTATGAATCCATGTACCATCTCTCGCGCAGCCTGTGGCATGTCACCGCGACACAAACCTCGGTCGATACAAACCCGCTGAGCAGCATCCGCTGGTCAACGTCAATCGTGTCCAACTTTTACTATGTCTTTATCGATATTGGATTCCAAGGCCACATTATTTACAGGTGAGGCCGGCCACCATTCGCCAGCGTATCGGTGCTGCTCCTCCACGCCGCCTTGCGCGGCTGGTGCTGTCGGCGATCACAATTGACTCGATTCCAGCGCTCGCGTTCCACCATTTGCCTGGCTACTGACACTACTGCGACTACACCCTGATACGGATATGCCCCCCCCCCACAGTTTATGGAAAGCCCGGCGTAGTGCCACCGTAACAGAGCAGGACCATTTGGCACCCTCCCTGTTCTGGGGCACTGTCGTGCGGTCCCTGGCATTCATCATTGTCAGCGCTACTGTCTCTATTGCCGAGATCACAACAACGACCAAGGCCGTGATGATGTCACACGTTCTCGGGAGCCCGTTGGTCTCGTTTGTACGTTGATATCCTCAGACCATTCAATGTTCGGAGTGGCTGCTGGTGTTGGACGCTCGACTTTGCACGCCTGGTCTCTTTCGATCGGTAGCTTGTGACAACGCAGGGTTGCTAACCGGATTGCCCACCACCCACCCGCTCTAGCTTCCGTTCTTGATTATTACCGATCTGGTTGGTATCTGCCTTTGCATTGTGTGGCTAGGATGGATGGCACAGCTGTTGTCGGGCCGTTTTGGTGTGTGACTGACGCTGTCCTTTGCTTCTCATCACCCAGACACGGTTGCGAACGCTCCTCTCCATTTCCAACAAGATGGACCCGCTCGACGACAGCTTTCCGATGCGCAAGGAGCGGGAGCGAACGTCGTTTGACCAGTTCTCGCCGACATCGTCACGGGTCAATGTCAGCCAGGCCTTCCCGCGAGTGACAGGCACTTCAATCGAGCTTGCCCGTCACCCTGCCAGCGTGACGACCTCAAATGCTGCCAAGATCCCCATCAGGCGCTGATCCCTGTCTCTGATCCAAGAGAACAGTGGCTCGCCATCGCCTTGAGACCCTGTCCTCGCCTCGAGCCTCCACGACACCATCGCCACTCGCTCTCCCCATCATCATCGCTCCCCTCTCCTCTCGTTCTCTCTCACGTGGCGTCAGCACACCAGAGTGAACTGAATCCCGATCTTGCATCCAAGTCAGGGGACGGTGCCATACCTCGTCCCTCCAGAGTAGAGTCTGACCGTCACTGTCCACATAAGCGTCCGCCACCCACCAGGAGCCTACCCAAAGTATTGATACCGCAAATATAACCTGAATACCAATCCACCCGCGCTCTCGTGCATTCGTTGCTTCTCATCCCCTTGCCGGAACACGACGCCCTGGAGGATCCGTACGTTGAGTATCGTGGTATCACGGCGGCATCGCATCACGACATCAACAGTAAAGACAAGCTGGTAAAGCTGGGGTCTGGGCAAAGTCATGCGCACTACTGACGTCGAGATGGGCATATATGCGGATGACATCGCTCTTGATGACACTCGTGTCCTGGCTGAAGGTGTGGATCGAGAGGAAGCGTTGCTTTCCCTTCGAGGTCAAAGTGTCCTCTCAGTCGCCAGACTGCACTGCAGTGGACTGGTTTCATCCTCGCATGGTCTGACCACATTCCCTGGCGTGCCCTGGCGTCCCTGTGTCGGATCGAGGGTGGACCAGAAAGCTGCAGTGTGGCCATTTTCTTTCTTTTGGCGGCGGAAGAGGCGAACCTCTGCCCGGTTGGATCCAGGCCATTCGTCGCCTTTGCCATCCTTTTGTCGGTCCATCGATGCTGATCAGGGCACGCTGCCTGGTGTCGGATCGAGGGAGGATGGTCTTGGTGCCAGGGAAGACTGGTGGTTTGCTGCCTGCTTTCTTTGGTTCCATGTGGCGAGGGATGGTCTGGATCGCGCTCACTCTTTCCACCATCTATGGTTGTAGAACAAGTATCGATTGTGAATGTCGAGCTGTCGTTGTCGAGTCATCGGATGTTTCTGTCGGTCGATCAACATCAGCGATTCTTATGGGACAGCACTATTGGATGTATTGGATGTATTGGATGTATTGGATGTATTGGATGTATTGGATGTATTGGATGTATTCAATATCAAATACAACATCACTCGGCATTGCCACTTCATCGGAATCACTTTGCAAGTCCACTCTTTGTTATCATGGTGATTGGGGCGGGTGTTGGCGGCGCGGTTGCTTGGCTGCTTGCATGTTCAGTGTTGCGACTTGGTTATTTGGGAGTGGGACTCGGAAGGAACTCGGGAATCAGGGCCATTTGCCGAGTTGCTTGAGGTTGTTGATGGCATAGTTGTAACCCTGGTCGGCGGATTTGCGATACCAGAAAACGGCGGTGTCGATGTTCTCGGGGACACCTCTGCCACCGTGGTAACAGTAGCCGAGCCAATGTTGTCCGTATCGATTGCCCTGCTCGGCCGACTTGCGAAACCACTCGATTGCCTTGGTGCGGTCCTCGGTGACTCCACATCCAATCGAGTAGCACCAACCAACCCTCCACTGCCCGTACAAATTGCCTTGATCGGCCGACTTACTGAACCACTCGAATGCCTTCTGTTCGCCCTCCGATCCTCCCCTGCGACTACGATAGCTTTCTCCGATCCAAAACTGGCTGTCGCCGTGGCCTTCATTGGAGAGCTGTTCAAAGATGCCCGTTGCCTTCCACCAGTCCGTTGTGGTTCCGAATCCTTTGAACAGACACATGGCCATGAGATGTTCGCAGAGCCAGTCACGGTCCGATCCCAGCTGGCACAACTGGAATAACTTGCAGGCTGCGGGTGAGTTGGATGAGATGGAACTCCAATATGCCAGACACTCGTCCTCCCCAAACTTGAAGTCATCCGATTTGTTGTCTCGGATGATCTTGACACCCTTCTGTTTGTCGAGCTGGGTGCCCCGGCCGAGGTAGTGCATCCACCCGACCATGTGGGTGGCGATGGATTTGAGGACTGGGTCGGTAGACAGGTTGCTGACTTCCTGCCAGCGGTTGAAGGCAGCTTCGTCGCTCTGTTCGACACCGTGACCCAGAAATGAGCGCCATCCACTGAGGAACTCGATGTGGAGACGGCCATCGTCACTGCCCTGGTCGGCAGCCTTGGAATACCATTCGATGGCTGAGTCAAAGTCTTGCTCGACTCCTTCGCCATTTTCATAACAGTGACCGAGGGCGATTTGGGCTTGCGCAATTCCACGTTCTGCAAGGCTGCGATACAGATCGATGGCCTTGGCGAGGCCTTGGTTGACCCCGAGCCCATTGCGATAGCAGTCAGCCAGGTGGAACTTTGCCATCGTGTGGTCGGCTTCGGCCGCTGCTTTGAAGAGGTGGAAGATTTCCATTTGTGCTTTTCTCCGCTCGGGCCAGCTGATTTTTGGCTGGCCAGCGAGTTCAACTTGGAGGATTCTAGCCAAGAAGTACGCGGCGGCGCTACAGCCCTGGTCGGCTTGATCTTCGAGCCAGTATCGGTCGGTTGTCTCTTGATCCTCGCAGTACAGCGAGATGGCAATCTGGTCGCTGAGCGTGAGTCCGATTCGCAGCTGTCCGTCTGGATGACACAGTCCTGCCTTCTGGCACCAGGTGTGGAAGTAAGCCAGCTTGGAGCTCAGGAGAGGACGGGCACGCCTGCAAAATCGAAGCAGAGTCTTGATGGTGCTGTGATCGAGGGCGAGTTGGAAGCTGTCGTTGCAGCAGATGATGGTGAAGATATCTGGGCTGGGTTCGAGAGAGTGCTGGGTGACATTGGGCATCGACGAGGTTGCTCTGGCTTCAGCCTGGGATTGCTGAGTGGCTGATGATGCGGTGGTTGAAGCAGACTCGTTCATGCTGGCCATGTTGACGGAGACAGGAAGGAGGCAAGTGGATGATGGAGATGGACAGGAGACGGAGAGACAAGTTGTGGCGAAGCAAGCCAAACCCTGGCAAGCCAAACACTGGCTATCGAACACACACACACTAGCCTGGCTCGATCCGTCCGGTTTGCTGGCTGGACTCGTTGCTGCTTGCACTGCCACATGCATGGCCACAGTCATTGTATTTGGAATCGAACATAGAATCGAATCCAACGTCTCACACTCAGTGCGCACAACCATATCTATCCTAGTTCCCTCATATTCTAACTCCCTTGCATCTCGCAGCACACCGGAACCAAAGCCAGCTTGATGGACAAGATTTGATTCATCATCAAGAATGCGACATTGGGCGAGTGGGCACCGAAGCAGGTCGCCATGAACTCTACAAGTCCACCATCCAAATCGAACCCAAATGGAAGCTCTTGTTTGCCACCAACCACATCCAAAGCATCGTATTCAACTTCGACTCGAACTATGCCGCCTTCAGAGGGATCGGCATCGTCCATTTCCCCATGGAGTTTGCTCAGAAGAAACCAGGGTCCATCCTGGGTCCAACCCAGCTTGTAGCGACAGCTCCCTGGAATCAAAAGTCCTCACGGATGCGCATCGTATAGAGTCTCTGAAGAAGGTCAGGCCACCCATGGCGGGTTGTTTTTGTTACTTTAGTTTTTACGGAAACGACAGGAAAGTTTGAGAGCACGCACGGGGAATCGGCGGAAGGAGAGGACATGGCAGTCAAGGAAACGGATGGCGACCCGAGAGACAGGCCGATGAGAGCAGAGTGCCCCTGAAGCATGTGCTAGCGAGGATGCCCGAGTAGCGGTCACCGAGAGCGAGAGGGTGAGTGGTGCGCATACGTATCAATGTGTGTGTATGTATGTGAAGTGCCAACGATCGGTACATGATGGCCGTGTGTGGGAGTGGCTCTGCTGCAGACAAACAGCGAGACCAAAGTGCCAGTCGCTGGACGAGCCATCCGGACAGATTACTCGGGCTGGGTCTGTTGCGATCGTCGTCGGGGATGATTGCATCAAAGAAATGGGTGTCGCCAAATGGGCGATATGGATGTGCAAGCCGGGTCAGTTACTCACGACACATATGAGACGCAGCTCCCGAGCGGACACCCACACAGTTCCTTATGCTATCAGCTCTCCCCCTTCATCCTCCGTCCTCCGTCCCCCATTTAGGCAATCGCACTGATAGAGATGAGTCGACACAGCAAAGTCACATTACCAGTTCATCCACAGCCCAGTCTTCCCAACTTCCATCCGGCAGGAACCGCCTGATCATCAGAGGAATCTTCTTCTCCCGGAGTTCCCGATGGGCGATCGCGAGCGGGTCCATCTCGCCGTTGAGATCGACCATGACGGGGGCATTCATGCTGATCTGCAGCGCCCGTGTGCCCAGGATGCGGGCCTTTTCGTACTTTGTCATGTATGGCGTCGTCATGCGCTCGTCCTTGGGAATGGCTCCAGGACCGGACTCGCGGGCTTCCTGGTCGGCGTTGCCGGTGGCCTGGATGAAGAGCCTCCCCCACCCCAGTCAAAGAGACGTGCGAGACGAAGGACCCAGACAAGACATGGTGATGGAGAATCGTTAGTGAGGGCGTGGCTCATGGTCGGATGATTGCGTGCCGAGACGCTTGTCATGGATAAGAGACTGAGGCAGCGGGCGAAGCCAAAGCGAGAGAAGGTGGAGTGGGGTGTGGTGGTGCGGTTGGGACAAAGAGGAGGTGCTCTGATTCAATCGAGCGGAATGGAGTGGAATGCAGATGATGCTGGATGATCATCAATGGTCGTCGGGGGTGGGTGATGCAATACGGTACAATGCTGCAAACTTCAGAGCCGAAATCAGGGATCGTGCGCGTATGAAAGGAATACAAAAGCGGTTGTCGGGAATAAGCCTCGGCGGCGGTAGGGTTGAAGTTGGAGGGGGGGGCGGGCGATCGATCTTACGTTGGCTGGAAGAACTTCGATGGTTTCCTCTTGCGCTCCATCGAAGCCGTTCTCGTCCTCAAAGTCCGGCTCCTCCAGGGTATCATCGTATCCGCCATCGCTTCCGTCGTTGTCGTAGTCGTCGAACTCGCGGTCGTAGTCGTCCATGATGCGCTCGATGTGGATGTGGATGTGGATGTGGATCGGATGTGGATCGGATGTCGATTTGGGAGAGAGGTTGGTGGGCGCGGGATATGGATCGATGGTGCCTGAGAGGCCGAGAACAGCAGAGAGACCAGCCGAGACGAGATGGGGCTCGGAAAAGCCGGGGTGAGTGCGGATCGGGCACGTGTCGAAAAAAAGAATGGGCACGCTGCGCACGACACACGTGGATATGAATTTCATTTCTCTCCAGCCGGGAGGGCTGACGATGGCGTGGGAACCACCACGAGCACCCTCAGAAGGGCACTTGGTTTGAGCCAGAGCAGCCTCGTTTCTCTGCATCCTGAAGGAACACAGATACCATGAGCGAACAGTGCGTCCAAGGAGAGCGATATTGTGGAATCGAGGGAGGGAATGCACGCCGAATGCACGCCGAATGCACGCCGAATGCACGCCGAATGCACGCAGCCGGACCACCCTGTAGAGATGCCGTGCTGTCAAGTCCTGTTTCGATCCCGGTTCAGGCCCTGTCCATAAAATCAGGTCGTCCAGGCAAATGAAAGCACATAATGAACGAATGTATTGAGATTACAGAGCATGGAAACGGTGTATACTGGGACATGTCCCGCCGGCCTGAGGCCGTTGAAGAATGAATAAATCTATGTTCCGTTGATGACATCATGGATGTCGCGAGGCACTGGAGGAAGTATGCCCACAGGCAGGGCATTGCGGTAGGCCCGACCGACCTTGGTTCGCCGCTTGAGCTCGGCGACGATGCGGAAGATGAAGGCCCCGATGCCGACGCAGACAATCATACAGGGCAGCCATGTGCGAAGTCTATCGATGGTGTCGATGTCGCCCCTCCCAGATTCCCAGATGACTTTGATCAGGTCCGAGATGACAACTGGCCCGGTGATTGTGACATTGTAGATCACCCAAGCGTCCCAGAGGGTAAAGACTTTGTCCCGATAGCTGGGGTGAAACGGGTAGTTGCTCCAGTACCGTAGCAGCACCGATGCAAGGCCAATCAGCAACCTGACGCCGAGGGGGGAAAAGCCTAGCGCACATGAGAGGCCGATGCCGATAGAGACGAGCTGACGTGTGGTGTACGCGATGATTCCAAAGTTCTTGATGGGTAACAGAATGGCATAGGGCAGAAGCAATCCAAACCAGAGCGCCAGCGACAGGTCCTCGGGATAGGTGTTGCTGTATGGCGACCAGGGCCGAGGAGAGTGCGAACGGGCGACGCAGCACGGTTCTATGAGATAGATGGTGGCCTTGGCAAGGAAGAATATCGTTGCCAGAGATGATACGCCGAGTATGACGATGACGACAGTGTCAAGAGGATTCGTGAACTGCAGCAGCCGGGAACGAGAAGGATGCACGGAGAGACAGGACCGGTCATGTCAGTGGCGCCCTCAGCGGAGTATGATACTGACCCAACGAGCGACAGAGTCGGAGAGTGTGGAGCGAGAACACACACTTTGCCATGACCCATCCCACTGCACCGGGCGAGCAAATCGCAAGGCGAACGAGTACCTCTGTCTCGAGAATCAAATACCGCGGCCTCTTGGTGTGGAGATAGCAATATCGGTGGTGCCCGACTTGCATGGCATAGAAGGTGTCGTTCTTGATAACGGCTCCGGCGTACACGGAGCTTTTGGTGACATAGGACCGCTGCACGAGACCCTCGTGAGGCAAGGAGATCGTCATGTTCAGGCGATGCTCGTAGCCGGCGGCGCATGTCACTTCGCAGATGGAGTTGCTTGAGGCACTGGGCCGGCAGGATGGACAGCAGTTCTTGCGCTGGCCGGATGACTTTGCCAGACACAGCCCAAGAGAACCCGTGGCATTGCAGGCCGAGCGAGTGCGGCCGTCGCACCCGAAGCTCCAGTCGGGATCAAAGTTTGGCAGCGTGTGGTTCAGGTCGTCGGAGGGAAAGCTTGGCTCACACGGGGTCAGAATCGAGCTTTGGACGGCGGTAAACGAGGTGGGGCAGCTCTGAGGACATCCTGTGACGCACACAGCGACGGGAAATGACTCGGAGGAGTCGATTCGGCAGGGTAGCGACTGACAGCATCGGTACAGGCAACAGAATGGGAAATGCATGTCAGCATCAGGTGTGCTATGGGCGGCGTGGCTCATGACTACAGGCCCAAGACGGGGCCAGAGAGTCGAGCGGCGAGCTCAAGCAGAGTCGAGTCGAATCCAACCCGAGCTCAAGCCGCATGGGCTTTGGGTGGCATATGCGGAAAATCTGGTAACGGCAATCACGGCTCTGCTGTTACGGCTGCTCCCACGCCGCTAATTGCAACAGAGGCGAAGGCTTCTGTGCCGAACGACGTTGGTGTTTAGATATGCGTGCGGCATCCTCGAACAGCAGAGGGAGGCCACGGCCAGAGATACCGACCCGGAACTCATTGGCGAGAAAGCCGACGGACGGGTAGACTAGGGACCCAAACAGGACCGTCCAAACTGTCAGCGCAAGGAGCAAATGCGCTCCCGGATGACCCAGCAGGACAGCCAGCCTCGATCCGGGAGTGGGCTTCAGCTTGGATATCATGGCGACAGCGCAGCGGATGAGAAGCAGCGGCTGGGATGCGCTTGCTGCTCGGGTATGAGCCTGCGTGAGAGGCCGAGGAGGGACGAGGGCACGGCCAAGAGGAAGAGGAAAGACCTGGGGGGCAGCAGGTGGGGTGCGGCGGGCAATATTGGAAATGATGACAGCGAACGTGGCCGGATATGCGGGACGGCGCTGGTGGATGGAAGGTTGTGGCGACGACGGGCCTTGTTCGTTGGTGAGGAGCAAGGCCGTGGGGGTGAGACAGCAATGGCTGTGCAGGCGGCGCCGTTGTTGGGACAGGAGAAAAATGCGATTTGGGCGAAGCGCAGGATCGGGAGGGATGGGATCGAGAGGGATGGGATCGGGAGGGATGAGATCGGGAGGGATGGGGGGGGATCAAGGGCAAGAGACATGCTGGGTGTCGAAGCGCATACCGCGCCTAATTGCATATTGCACATTGCATATTGCACATTGCACATTGCATTCGTATCCCACGGCGGCGGCCCAGACCACCAGGGTGCGGATCCACGCAGTCCGCGACCGGCGGGGTCTTGGTTTCCCGTGTCTCCGGCGATGGGATCGGGCTGTATCGCCGAGGACAACGCTGGCGACAACGCTGGCGACAACGCTGGCGACGACAACGACGCAAGGAGCCGGGCGCAGGCCGGGCATGAAGGCGGGGGCAATGTCGGCCGGAGGAGCGAGCAACAAGGATCGAAAGCACCCACGGGCGAACTCACCCTGCCGATGCAATCGATCAATACCGACGATCGACTCGCCAGGACACGCCAAGTTGACATTCACAAATGAGCTAATGAGCTAATGAGCTAATGAGCTAATGAGCTAATGAGCTAATGAGCTAACCAACTAATGAACAATGGCCGCTCGCGCACGCTGCCATCGGTCTTGATCTGTGCGCATCTGCGATCGTCGCCCTCTTCCCCGCGCATCTCCGCGATCTGCCCTCGGTCCCTCGTCTGCCGCAATGAGCGTCTGTTTCAAGTCCCTCTCTCGCCCGCTGGTCCCTGTCGATGAGATCCACGACTTTTACTCGATCCACGGGCTTACCGTCCCCGCCGATCGCCCGTACAGCTGGTCCAACAACATCCAGACCCTGGACGGCTGTCTGCATTTTCTTGAGGATGTGAATGACGTGAGGTGCCTGTCTCTACCGCAGCTGTGCTGATCCGATCCCTGCTGCTGGCCCTGCTTTCTGCACCATTATCCTGTATATCGCTGCAGCGCTCCTGTGTGCTTCCTAACGATATGCTCTGCTGCTCCGCCCACCCGGCCACTCCAGCGACATTGCCCTCAAGAACGTCCCTGGAAACATCGGCGACAACGCCCTGGCCGACTGGCGACTCCTCAACTCGGGCTGGGCCTTTTCCGATGCCGTGCTCCTCAGCGGCCAGATTCTCAGAGACGAAAAAGAGGTTGCCTGTTCGCTCAAGTAGGTGGATGGCGGGCCGTGGATGCCTCGTCGGCACTCCCATCGCACCTCGCGACCCAAGCTTTGCAACAAGCTCCTCCATGGCGGCCCTTCCTCCCAGGCCTGCTCACACATGTCTCCATTAGATTCGATGATCTCGTTGATCTGCGGCTCAACCGTCTGGGCAAGAAAACGCCGCATCCCATCCAACTGGTCATCACTGGTGGCAACATCGATCTCGGTCACTCGCTCTTCAAGCAGGACGTCGTTCGGGTTGTGCTGTTAACCACCGAGACCGGCGCCGCAACGCTCGAGTCGCAGCGGGCCCAGGATCCACCCGTGTGCCATCTCACGATCAAATCCTTTCCGCATGTCGGAGGCAAAATCGATCTGACGCAAGTCCTGCGGTATCTACGCATCGAAATGGACATCCAGGTGCGACCTACGCTTCGACTCTGCCGATGAAACAGGGCTGGTCTGTGGCTATGTCCTCTCACACTGGCCCATTGGGTCCTTTGCTTTACTATGTGTACCTATCGCCATGCAACGGCATTCAACGGCAATCAACTGATGACCAACTGACACACACTCCATACGCGACCACATTCAACCACGTTCACCGCCATTCCATACGATTGCCTCGATTCTCAATGGCACATCTCCCCCCCCCACCACAGTTCCTTGATGTTAGTTGCGGCGGAAGCGTCTCTCGGCAATTCGTCGATCTCGGGGTGCTCGACGAAGTGCGCATGACCATCGCCGGCCAAGTCGCCGGTGCATTCAGCTCCACCGGCCAGCTGCGTCCCCAGCTCTGGCCGGCTCTCTCTTCCGGCGTCAGCTTCAATCCAAGCAATAGCCCCTTGGTCGCTTGGCGAGATATTCGAGTCATTGGCCAGCACCATCTCTTTTTCCGCGGAGTCTACCAGTACCGACACCTGTAGTCATTGGCAATTGGACTTCAGGTCTTATCCCTCGCGATCGACAAGCACGTTCCCTCAGGGTGAAGGTTCTACATCTTCAGTTTGGCTTTTGGGGGTGGGTAATACTATCTCAGGCTGTCCAGCCTCAGAAGACATATGCCGCCCCTTTCTTGCTTTCAAATACCGACACGCATTTCCATTGCGTGTGCCCGTGTGCAACGCCGCCACCTCGTGGATATCAATCATAACGAGTTTGAAACATCTTTCGTGAGTGACCATTCCAAGCGAAGGGTCATGGATGATTCGACAGCACAGCCATGCGGCTTGCAGCGCATCCGACGGCCACGTCAATAGAATCAAGGGCGACGCTTCTTGAGCTGGTCGCGTTGCTCCTCATCTTCGTCTTCGTAGACCGACTCGGCAAACTTGGCCACCGGTTGGGTCTTCTGATAGGCTTGGGAAACCCACATTGGATTCTCTGCGCGAAGATGTGGGAGTGATGGCGCCGGCGGTGTGCAGGAGTTGAATGCCGCGTGAGCCAGGTAATGCGCCAACCAGTTTGACGATACCCAAGGGCAAGGGTGGCCTCGCAGTGTGCTGCCTCGCAGTGTGTTGCCTCCCAGCGGAATCAACTCAATGCGTTGCTGCCCGAAGATACTTACTCTCGGCAACCTCGGCATATTTCAGGATCGCCTCACGCGGGTCCTCATCTCGGGTTGTGTCCTTCATGATGCCCTTCATGATATACTGTGTGGCATTTGTGCCGAGCTTTCCACCATGCCCAGGACCCGTCAACGGACGCTCTGTTTTCGCGTCGCACGCCAAAACCAAACGAAACTGTGGTTAGCACTACGCTTCGAAAGAGAAAGACAGGATCGAACAGTAGGGTCGCTACAAGCCAAGTCTGGAGAGATACGGCCGCCTGTGGTGTCCGTTGTAAGCACTCAATATGGACGATGGATGGCGCTCGTCTATCGATTCCTCGAGCGTCAGGGGGAGGACCGTGCAGTGCAAGGACATTGCCTACCAGGCTTGCGAGTCAGAACAGGGTCCTTGAGCATCCTCTCACGCTTTCGCTTCGTCATGCGTTGCTCATCTTCCCGGAACATGGCCAAGGAATTCGGGTTGTAGATGGTGACGCTGTTGCATGTTGCATGTTTAGGGCAAAATAGCATGGCATCAGTGCTGGATCGATGCGCTTTCAGCGAGCAAAAGTGGCAGCATCAAGTGGAGCAACAGAGGAGCAGCCGCAGCAACTCCTCTGACAGACACGACGGTGCTCGTCGTCCAGCCACCTACTTTGGATCGATTCTGTCACGGGAAGCCGAGTCCGAAATAACGCAAAGGTTAGCTTCTCTCGAGACAGCGTCGGAAGTCTGCCGAAAGTGCACACGCAAACTACCCGCCCCGCCCCACCCCGTTAGCCAAGGTCGATGCACAACTGCAGCTACATACGCAATCGCGGCATCCTCGACAGATCTGCTCTTTGCCTTGCGGTTGGCACACATCTTGGCGCCCCGGGTGCTGTGCGTCTCATCGTAGAATACTCGGACTTCGCCGTTGCTTGACCCCGTGAGGAGCTGGTTGATGCGCGAATGCCACTGCACGCTCAGGATGCTGCCGGTTCCGCACGGGATCGAAAACTCGACGTTCAGGGTCTGTCGGTTGAGGCCCAGCACCTTGGCCTCGCCCTCGTTCTTCTTGGCGGATAGGCCCGCCAGGATGATGCCGTCGTCCGGCGAAAAGATGGCGTTGGACTCTTCAAAGTAGTTGACGATGCCAGCGATACCGGCCACTGGAGCGCTCATCTTCCGGAGATCCCAGAGCTTGATTGTGTCGTCCATTGCACGCGTGAGCAGGTTCCGGGAATCGGGCGAGAAGTTGATGCAGCTCGTTGCGCTGCCCGGCGTGTGCGCGGCGACTTCCTGCAGTGCGTGAGGCACCCCATGTCAAGACATCTGTGAGTCGATGCTGCTGTCGGGAGCACATCGCAGCGCCAGCGATCCATGCCAAGCGTCTCGGGCTCCATGCCAAGTCGGAAGCTCATATTGTGCCCTCGGAATCGAATGACCCTGGATCTATCGAGCCCTCGCAGAAACCACGACACTCACGTGTGTTGACTTCAAAAAGCTCCCGTTGTTGTTCCAGAGACGGAGGAATCCGTCTTCACCGGCTACAAGAGAAACATATCGCAGGATTAGCCCGCCTCTCTTCCGAATTCCATCGGACCATCGAGGCTGTCGCGGAACCGATCCCCTGGAGCAAATGTCCAGTGTGGCTTCTTCAAGGCAGCAGACATTGCACTACCTCCAGCGATGAGCTTGCCGTCGTAGCTGTATGCTGCCGCGGTGACGGGCGTCCGGCCGCCAGGCTGTTTGGAACGCACAACGATGACACACTTTTGCTGCCTCTTGTTTTCCACGTCCCAGATCCGAATGGTGCTGTCCAGCGATGCCGTCAGGAAATAGGCCTTCTCGTAGGGATGCCATCGACAACAGCTCAGGCCCGCTATGTGGCCCCTGTCGTTCCAGGAGACAGGATAGAGCAGGTGGGAGTCAGATATCGCCGGAGAAACACCTCGTTCGAGGGGATCTGGCCGAGTCCTACAGATAGCGAGCTACACATCATCCAATAGATCCAATTGCCAGAGCCCCAGGAGCGGTACTGACTTTGTGTTTCGAAGATCACGGAGGTATGGGTCGCCTTTGACATATTCAGAGCTGTGCCAAGTAAGGAGGTCGAGAAGGAAGTGTCAGATCTGCGCTCGAGAGCAATGTGCCTTTGTCATTTGCCACAGCATGGGAAGCACGCACAGCTCGCTGCCATCGCGGTCGTAGAGCTTGACTTGCGGTGCCGATGAGGCAACCAGGAACGAGTCGCCAGAAACGCTGAATTGGAGATCGCGAATCTGGAATAGAGCAGATGGCACACCGAGTCAGCAGTTTGCTTGATGATGCTGGATTTGCCATCACCTGTGCTGTCTGCCATGGAGCCGTGGTTTGGCCGCTGCGACGTACCGGATTGCCGCCGCACGGTTCGATCGATCGGAAGGGGCGGAAGTTGCTGTCCATGCCGTTAAAGTCCCAGAACTTGACGCAGCAGTCCCGCCCGCCCGTAATCAGCCGCGACCCAGCTGGATCCAGCGATATGGATGTCACAGGCTTGAGATAGGAATTGCCACAACAAAAGCAGAATTGGTGTGAGCTATGGGCGACTGCAAAAGGAGCAGCTATCCGCCGTGCAGGTTGCGTGGTATGGACATCAGCGACTTGCGCAGACTCGTCGTTTCGTCTTACTCTGGAGTGACTCTTGAGGGCGATGTGGCTGGATATTGGCACGAGCGGCCGAGGCCCAGCGTCGGCCTCGGCATCATCGCTGTTGTCGTCGTCATCATCACCATCATCATCTTTGTCGTCGTCGTCGTCGTCGTTTTCGGCATTGTCCTGGCGTACCTGGCCTTTGGAATTCAACGAAGCGTTGGCACTCACTTCCTCCTCTTGGCCGTCGTCACTGGCGGGCATGGGTCCGATAACATCGTCGCCTCCATCTGCATCGCCAGCCAATCGGCTGATCGAGCTATCCAGAGATCTAGTCTCCGGGCGTCCTTTGTCCTTGGCGCTCGATCGGAACTGCTGGTTGGCTTTGGCTGGATTCATCGGGTCCAGAAGCCTGCTGGTCTCTTCGCTGGATTTGAGCTGGTCTCGTTTCGAGAGCGGCGCCTCGGGCTTGACCGAGGACGAGGGCGGACCTGCCTTCTTGCCTCCAAACGACATGGGGAGCATTGCTCGGAGCTTTTCCCATTCGTCGCCCATGGTGATCTGCAGTGCCTTGCAGGATGTATGCGGAAACGGGAACAGAAAGACGAGATCGACACGGGTGGCGGGGCAACGGATGGGTGTTTGAGAGCGAGGGGATCATGTGACGTTCGCTTCGGCAGTCGCATCGGCAATCACATCGATACCTGTGGTGGTCCGGGGGAGTGTACCGCTTGCGAGCGAGCCGGTGCCGTTTTGAACTGACCGTAGCCCGTTCGATGGGTTTCGGGCATCGATCCTTTGGGCTGGGTTGGCCGGATCAGGGCCATTTCCACCTCCAAATCAGCAACACAGCCCAGAGACCGGTTGGATACAGAACAAGGCCGTTCACCGCAAAAGCGGTCCCTTTCCCTCGCCTTTGCCACAGGCCTCTCTCTTTCATCGTCCGCTCCATTCCCACCAACAACCCCATCCAGTCATGCCGTCCACTAGCAACCAGCTCTATTCCTGTCCTGCCCACGGCACCGACCACGATCTGTTCCTCTCCTACCAAGCCCAGACTGATGCCGACACTGTCCAGGCTCTGAAGGAGGTGCTCACCTCGGTCGCCCTCCGTCGATATGGCAAAACCCTTTCTGTATTCCACGATGTCGACTGTCTCAACAATCCCAGCGACCCTCAAGCCAGTTCTATCAGTGCCCTTCCCAAGTGTAAAGCTGTCTTCCTGCTCCTAAGCAAGGGCTCAATGGACTTGATGAAGAACAAGGTCAAGAATGGCCAAGAGGACAACGTCGTCCTCGAAATCAAGACCGCCCTCGATCTCAAGGATGCCAAACACTCCCTCCCTGTCCTTCCCCTCGGAATCGCCACCAAGGAGACCAAGGATGGTGTCGATGTCTTCACTCCCTTCCTGCCGTACATGGTGTCTCTCCCCGACGACCCAGCTTTTGCCTCGCTCAAGCAGACCCTCGGCAGAGTGAACCACATCCAGTCCTTTGGCTTCCGTCCAGACCAGATGCACAAGCGAGTCTACCGTCTCCTCAACCTTGTCCATCCCATCCCACCCAACATGGATCTCATTACGGCCATCCATCGCAAATACTTTTGTGATTCCAAGTTCCGATTCGATCCCGCCCACCTCGACACCCTGCTCAAGCAACTCACCCTGACTGGCCGCGCCGTCATCTCCGGCATGGGTGGCATGGGCAAGTCCGTCCTCGCCATCCAGATTCTGTTCTTCATGATGGGCATTCTGAATGTGAGCAACAAGGACGACCTCCATGTCATCAAAGCCGAAACCATCGGCATCAAGCCGCAGTACCGCCAGGTCTTCTGGATCAACTGCTCGACCGAGTCGACTGCCATCGATGGACTCATCGAGATGTTCCCTGGTATCAAGCCCGATGTGATCAAGGAGTATGCCTCGAGGTTCCTCGCCAACACTCACGGCTATCTCCTGGTGCTCGACAATGTCGATGACATCAACGTGGTCGACTCTGTGTTTGAGCACTCCAAGTCGGTCGGGTTCAGCGGCGATGTGGTGGTGACGATCCGGCTGGCCTCGCTGCCTCCTGGTGCATTCACCAGTGCTCTCGAGACCAAGGCACCGAGCTTCCATCACGATCCACTCCGTCTCGTCAACTGGGACGACACCACCACACTCGACTATATCATGTCGTCATCGCCAATGATTGTCCAGCGACTTGTGTCGGACGAGGCCAGGAAATCCCTCGACAGCATCGTGGCCAAGATCAGTGGATATCCACTCGTCATCCAGACACTCATGACGTTTGCCGAGAACTACGACACTCCCCTGTCGGTGCTCGAGGCCACGTTTGCAGGAGCATTGGAGCTGCAGGATGGCGAGGACGACACGCGGTCGTCGCTCAAGATGATTGTGGATCTGTCGCTGGACTCGCTGATGAAGCGAGGAGATGAGGGCATCGAGGCAGCCAGGCTGTTCGGTGCCCTCAGTCTGGTGGCACCGGCCAACATCCAGTTTGAGTTGATCAAGGAGATTGTACAGAAGATGGAGCTCAAGACCGAAGGTAAGTTGGGATTGAATCAAAGTGCAGTAGATGGTGTCAGTGTATGGAACTGACCAGTCCATCTGTCCACAGTGACCGATCTGATCAAGATGGTGGTCCAGAGTGGTCTCCTCCGAAGTGGAGCCGAGGGACAGTACTCGACCCACTCGCTCACCCAGCAGGTGGCTCGAGAGTATGTCCAACGATGCGAAGAGCTCAAGCCTGATCAAGCTGAGGCATCATCTGGAGAAGCACTGCTGAATCTAACTGATTCGATGGATCCATATGCTCAGACATTTTCAGAGCACCTGGCCTGGTACGCCAGGGTTGCCGTTCCTGAAGTCTACAGAAGTAGGCTGCATCGCCAGATCGAATTTCGGATCGCAAACCTGGCAGAAAAGCGTCCTCTCTACGTCCAAGCGATGGATATGTATAAGACAAACCTAGAGCGAGTCATTGTGTTCCAGGGTACTCGTGAAAACCTGTCGGTTGCCCAGATCCTCCACAACATGGGCAACGTAGCGGTGGAACAAGGTCACCTTGACGAAGCGCTCGGGTATTTCCAGGAATCTCTTGATATTAAGGTCAAAATTTACGGTACTCGAGAGCACCAAAAAGTCGCCATAACTCTCAACAGTATGGGGTTGGTGTCGTATCGGCAAGGACGCCTTGATGAAGCACTCAGGTTTTTTCAAGAGACCCTTGACATCAAGATCAAAGTATATGGCACTCGTGAGCATCTCAATGTGACTTCAACGCTAACTAACTTGGGCAACGTAGCCAAAGATCAAGGACGCCTCGATGAAGCCCTCGCGTTCTACCAGGAAGACTTGGATATTACCACAAGGCTCTACGGTACCCGCCAGCACCCCGATATTGCCACAACGCTCGGCAATATGGGCGGAGTGGCCGTTCACCAAGGCCATTTGAATGAAGCACACGCCTTTTACCAAGAGGCTTTGGACATCACCATACGATACTACGACACTCGTGAGCACCCCGCTGTTTCCAGAGGTCTTTTGTGTATGGGTATTGTGGCAAGTGGTCAAGGTCACTTGGAAGAGGCGCTTGCTTATTACCAAGAGGCCCTCGACATCGAGATCAAGATCCATGGCACCCGCGAGCATCCTGATGTCGCCGAGACCCTGCAAAACATGGGCCAGCTAAAAAGCTCACAAGGGCATCTGGATCAAGCAATGCTCTTGTACCAAGAGTCCCTCGATATCACCGCCAAAGTGTATTCCACTCGCGAACACCCGCTGGCTGCCAGGGCTTTGGCCAATATCGCAAGTCTACTGCAGGAGCAAGGGCGATTAAAGGAGGCCCTTAAGCTGTATCAAGAATCCATGGACATCAGAACCAAGATATGCGGCACTCGCGAGCACCTCGACGTCGCTGTGTCGATTCGCCTTCTTGGCGATTGTGTGCGAGTTCAAGGCGACTATGTCCTGGCCGAGGCACTCTTTCTCGAGGCGCTTGCCATCCTTACCAAAGTCCTTAAAACGCGTGCGCATCCTCAAGTTGCATTTGTTCTCAACTCTCACGGGATACTCAAGTGCCTTCAAGGGCAGCTCTCTGAAGCGCAGATCATGCTTCAGGAAGCGCTTGCCATTTCCATCGAGGTGAACAAAACGCGCCAGCATCCGGATGTTGCCATGATTCTCCATCACATGGGCAATGTCGCATGTTCTCAGTGCGATCCTATCAAAGCACTCGCCTCGTATCGAGAAGCGCTGGAGATTTGGACCGACGCCTTCCAGGACCCAGAGAACAAGAATATCAGGAAGGTCAAGGATTGTATCGCAAGCGTCGAGGACCAGATACAAGAGCAGCAACAGCCAGCTGTTCCTGCAAGCCCGCAACCGCCTCGACATGAGCCCACTGATCCCAGTCGCACCGAGGAGACGTGCTAAACGTTGTTACCTTCATACAGCCTGCATATTATCCCTGTCCAGTGTGAATCTCCTGAATACATTGCAACATGGCCCACAATCTGTTCTGCCCCTTGGCTCGAGCACGCTTCAATAGAGAGGTGACTTTCACTCGATCGCCGTTCTGCTACTGTTCCTCTGCTACTGTCGCTCCGACGCACCCAGCTGCATCTCTGCCACGAACGCCAGCCGAAGCGACTCGAGCAGCAGTCGCCCCGATCTTCGCGCGGAACCTCACTCCATCCACAACGACATTGATGGCCGGGTGATCCGACTTGGCCACCGTCCTGTGGCTGGTGACCGGCATCGCCACCGTCCATCCAATCACCATTTCGCGCTGCCCCGTTAATATTCGGTGCCCGCCCTCGTCCCTTCTCCCATCAGACGCCGTTTCAACCAGCATCCGCCCTTCAACCGAAATGGCTCAGGTCATCGACACCCATACTCCGGATATCTTCACGATTGTCTGTTTCAACGACACCTTCCAGCGTGCCCTCGGGTTTGCCGAGATCAGAACCCTGCTTCAAGCGTGCAAGCGTGCTCGCCCTCTCCTCAGCTCCAAGGCGGCCCGCTTCCACAGTTGGTGCCAGAATGCAGGCCTTTGCAATCCAGACGGAGAGCTGCGAATCGGCCTCACACTGAGCGACCAAATCGCCCTCTCGCTGCACTGCGATGATCAAAAGACCGCCGACCGATCCTGGCTTGAAGATCGAGCCGATCAGGGCTGCAGCGCCGCCTCGTATTTCCTGGCCAGGATCCTATTCTACGATATTGATCACGAAGAGAGCTTTGAAGAATCCGAGTGGATCTCCATGCATCAGCAAATCTTCCACTACCTGCAGAACGCTGCTCGCGCAAACCATCACATGGCACAGTTTCACATGGCCAGTTGTTTCCTCAACGGTCTCGGAGTTGACCAAGACCTTACCAAAGCCGCAGAGCTGTATCGCAGTCTTGCAGAAAATGGAATCCCCCAAGCTCAAGTCGCTCTCGGTAGCTACTATGAGAGTGGCGAGGGGGTCGATCAAGACTACGACGCAGCCCTCCGGTGGTACACCAAGGCGGCCGATCAAGGCTCCGAAGATGGAAGGTTGCATTTCCTGTTCCTCCGGGGCTGGCTCTCATTCCTCGGCCACGGTATCCAACAGAGCGATGAAGCGGCCTTTGCTCGCTGGCAGGAAGTCAGCAACCAGTCCACCAACAGGATCCTCAAGCCTATCGCCACCCACATGGTAGGATGGATGCATTATCTCGGCCGGGGAACCCAACTCGACCAGGAGAAGGGCATCAAGACTATCCGAGAGAACAAATCCGATGACTTTCCTTTTGGCGAAGATCAATCCCTGGCTGGTCGATTTGCTGAGCCTTGGAACTACTTTGATTCACCGGCGTCGCTCAAGTTTTACCGGCTGTGCAAGTTGGGATCGGAGCACGACTGGCTCTGCAAGCATCTGATGGCTGTGAGCAAAATCCAGGCTCTTGGAACCACCGAGGACCAAATTGAAGCGGCGGTAATCCTCGAGCAGCTCGCCAACGACGGCCACAGCGACAGCCAGTTTTGGGCTGGTGAATGCTACAATTATGGCCGGGGAGTAACCCAGGACAAGGCCAAGGCATTCGAGTGGTACAACAAGTCCGCAGATCAGAACAACCCATATGGAAGGTGGAGAGTCGGCTGGTGCCACTACTTTGGAGATGGGGTCGCCACATCTTTCGAAACGGCAGTCGACTGGTGGCGACCACTGGCCGAGCAGGGCAATCGATATGCCCAGAACGCTCTTGGCGACTGCTATGGATATGCACTGGGTGTCCCTCACGACCTGAATACTGCTGCGTCCTGGTACCGCAGGTCCGCAGACCAGGATCTCCAATGGGCGATCGACAATCTCGAGAGAATCGGCATGTGATACCGTCCGCGCCAGACGTTCCGTACATCCAAATGTAAAAGCTTTATGATAGCGGTCGGGTCGTTCCGATGATGCGGCCACGAATGAATGATGTCGTACTTGCCATCCAGTACATTCAATACATCCAAACTGCATGATGGTGATGCTCCGTCCCGATTGCTGATGTTGATTGGCCGTCAGAACATCGAGTTTGTCATTGTCGAGTCACTCGATGTCCGAAATCGATTCTTGGAGCACATCAACAGATGGTCGAAAGAGCGAGTGCCACCCAGATCGCCATCGCAACATGGTACTGGAGAAGGGAGGCAGCAAGTCGATCATCCTCCTTGGCGCCTAGATTTTCATTATTGCGGTCTTGCTGTCTGTCTCCGCTGATCTCCACTCGTTCGGAAATCCAGGGAGCGCAATTCTACTATTCAATCAGTCATCGTCGACATCAATGGCTTCAGGATGGACCGCCAGATCCAGAACCTCACCCACAAGGCTAGAGGTGCCGCCGACAAGCTGGTGAAGCACGGAATGAGTCTGGGCCGATACTCGGCCAAGACGGTGACGAGGGTGTTCAAGACCTTCGTTCGGCCCATGCTCGAGTATGGATTGACTCTCGAAGTGCTCACGAAGCAACAAGCTGTGATACTCAGACGAGCACAGATGCACTGTCTGACCCGACTCTTCAGAGTGGTGCGGAACACATCCTATGGAGCGTTGCATCTCGGATGCGGACTCATCACCCTGCCCAACCGCCTCAAACAGCTGGCCCTCCAGAACCGAGCCGTCTGGGAAGACCGTCTGGACCACAACGACAAGATGGTCTCGCTGGTGTTGAGATACTTCCGCATCCAGCCCAGCCTGATGGACGCATCCCTCGGTTCTCAGTTCTACCTCGATGAGTACTGGCGACAGCTGATCGTGCTGAAAGAACAGTGCCAGCCGGACTACCCGATGAAGGAGCTGTTCAGGAATGGCTACTACCAGCTCACAGGACCACCAGTCAAGCTGCAGATTCACATCGATGACGCGCAAGGCTTCGACAGGTCAAAGGAGCTGACTTCGGCCCGCACCGTGACGACGACCATGTCGGGACTGTGGGCCGAGCGAGGGCCCAAGAGAGATCGATACTATCACAACATGATGGTAAGATGGACCCTCGGTGCCTTCCCCGGACACCCGTATGGCCACTATCGGCTGTGTGTCTCCTGCACGAAGAGCCGAGGAGAGTTCGTTGCGATGTGCCGGACCCACACCCAGAGCTGCGTCGGAAGAGGCGGCTCGTGGCAACGGATAGTGGACGAGCTCAAGCTGCGGCACCCCGAGTGGCAAGAAAGCGGCCACGAAAAGGTCGGTCCGATCGATAAGCTCCTGGACCTGACGAACGTAGTGGGTTACTACGAGCTGGATGGCATGAGAAGGTTCAACTGGCAAGACCCGGATGTACACCTCCTGTGGCGAACACTCCGAAGGGTGTTCAAGACGCTGATCATCGCCAAGGCGGGGTGGAAACCCCCCAGGCGATAGGCGGCATGGCCGAAGCAGAGCGAGAGATGAGGGATGACGGCTCTCATCTCCCCCAGACTGCTCGTTAGGTTGATCACAGCCTCCCTTTCCTCCAACATGTACTGCTTGGGTCGACCAGGCCTTGATGGCTTTCAATTGAAATATAAAATAAAATGAAACATGCGTCGGAATGTGTCCGAGCCAAGAACCGTCTCGAGCAGTATGTACACCCTGCGAGGATCTCCGAAGGCGTCACTTACATCGGGCTTGCAACCGGCGCACTCCCCAAACTGGCTCAAATTCCCGCAAGACCAGCCACCATCGACCAGGAAAATCTGAGCAAATGGCGTGCCAAACGCGAACGAATCCTCAACAACAGACCAGCGATCTGGCTGGATGTCGTGGCGGTGTTGGATGGCATCGTAACCGAATGTCTGTCGTGGACAACTCGCAGCGTCGTCACCGAGACCCGGCTGTTTGAGATTGTCAGGAACCATGGCTGGCCGATCCTGTTCGAGTCTCGCGAAATGTTCAAAGTTCTCCTCGAGGCCAATCCTTCGCTTGAAAACAACGCCCTGTTCCCGCTCATGCATGTGATGATGGACATGTCCTTCAAGATCGACAACGCCAACACCCGCTCGATCTACCCGACGCCGTGTCCCTCGCTGGAGGAGGTCGTCAAAAAATGTCTCAACTACTTCTATCACGTTCGCTTCTTGGGTGAGCCAAAGATCCCATCAAGCAAACTCAAGGACGAGGAACATCCCAAAGTCAGCATCTTCACCCGCACTGGCCGCCGCTGATGTGCTGGGTGCTCCGCCAATATGGTTCGCTGGTTGATCGGTCCTTTCATTCCGGGCCCAGGCGCGACGGCGACATCCAGCGCGAGCATTGCCGCTCTCATGCGGACTTTGAGTTTGTTGCCTCGGTCAATACAAATCCAAGGGACTGGGGAGATCACTACCCCAGAGCGGTATCTGAAAACAGACGCCACTGGCTCACAGCGATGGCCACCCAACTCCGGACTCTGTACCTCTCATCTGTTCTCGCTTCGACCAGCGCACTTGAACTCGAGTGCCTTTGCCCTGGTTTGGGGTCGGAGTCCACGCCACTTTATCGCCATCCCAGAATTAGATTTGATAGAGGCAGAGGGGCGAAAGGACACCCTAGATCGACGTGTTGTGATGGCACATTGGCCCCACATGCCGCGGTTTGAGGACTGTCAAAAGTTCTCTGGTTGATGATAGAGCGCAAAGGTCAGCTGCTTTGCCTTGTCGAGCTGATTTCAGAAGCAGCATATACAGATATCTTCCTGGTGTCCCTTATGTGTCTCCTATTTGCTCCGTGTGCACATCCACATGGAGCTATCTACACACCGTCTCTGTCCTGCAGCCCATCGATTGACAATGCCAACGTACCTTTCCGGTAGTAGAAGCGGGTTTCGTGTTCGTCGCCCATGGTGTACTTGTTGCACGCAGCATGCAGCTGCTTATCGAGAGGCTTTGGGCCACAAAAAAAGACGCCGACATCGGTCCCCGCATGGTCTCGAGCAAGTTGCTGGAAGATAAGATCGAGATTTGGCCGACCGTAGGACGTGGTTGATCGGAGCCCTGTCAGTCCATCCGATACGCCGGCTTTGTGGTTGACCATTACGTTGTTCACCTCAGCTTCATTCATGGTGCCAGTCAGGTAGATGTTGATTGAGAGAAATCTGTCGATGTGCTGCTCTTCGATGGCGGATAGCAGGTCAACGAACCACTCAAAAGCCTGCCGTGTTGTCCCGAAGCCAGCACCGCGGCCAGCACCAAGGCCAGATGGAGAAGTGGCAGATCAATATGAAGCATTTGTTGATGCAACTCTGCCGCCGCGGATCCAACTTGGATCGTCTTTGTTGCGCCCGAGAGGGGGTCGTATCGGCAACAACCGGACCCCAAGGGCCAACGCACCTCTTTTTCTCTGCATATCCAGTAAAAATACACCTTCTGTAGCCGCACCGCCGAGGTGGGGTTCTGAATCCTGTACCATATCGACTTGAGGATGCTGGCAAAAGGTGTCACCCCGATGCCAGCACCAACGCAGACAGAGATCTCAAAGTCGAAAATGTCCTCGCTGGCGAACGAGGGCAGGCACATCAGCTCGTGCAGGCGTCATCGGCTCGTGCAAACGGCGGCAGCTGTTGGGCGACGAGTCAGCGACCATACCTGGCAGTTCCATAGGGCCCATCGACTAACAGGCGTGGCAACCGGGACTTTGGAGAGGCTTCGAGGACCACACAGCCCTTCTTGTCCCAGACGCAGCCGAGTCGACCGGCAAAATCTTTGGTCCAGTCACCGGTGGCACGGACATGGACGCTGATAAAGTCTTCCTGCTCGACCGATGTCAAGGTAAAGGGATGCCATTGGTACCGCGAGATCTCGGGACAGCACAGAAAGATGTACTGCCCCGGCTTTGCCATGCACGAATCCTTCTTGATTTGCACCTCGACGACGTTGGACGGGTGCTGGATGACCTTGTAGACATGAGTTGGCATGCCGCCCCGAATCTCGCGAACGACCCGTTCGACAAAGTACAGGATCCCAGAGGCAAGCCAGAACTTCCAAAAGGCGGCTCCGGCGCATCCGATCTCGGGATCGTCGCTCTTGACAACGCAAAAATCGCCGTGGACCATCAGCAAGCCAAAGAAGAGCACAAAGAGATGGTGGGTGAACCAAAACGTCTCAAAGTGCTTTCTTCGGACAGTGCTGATGCTGCTGGTCACCATGAGCATCAGGACAACGCTTGCGGCTTGGCCCGTGGCGCCGGTCATGGTTTTGATGTTCATAAATTCTACAGGGATCGGAAGCAAGCGAAACGGTGAATGCCAAGACGAGCTCCTGTCCGTCCCAGCCGACGAGACTCGCTGGACCGATGCCCGGGACCAAAGGCGCCAGCGACCTACCAGCTGCAACCAGCCCATCCGCGAACTGCTGCAGGTGCAAAAAGTTGAACATGTGTGCACCGACATGGACAAAGGTCCAAAAGCATATGCACCAGCCGAGGAGCTTGTGGAACTTGATGTTCTTGTCTATCGGAACCAGTCTGTTGAGCCACGAGCTGCGAATCGAGGAGATGATATTGCGACAGACCGGGAGCAGGATCAGGGTGCAGTTGATTGTTATAGCGGCCGCGGCTCCCCGGGCGACCGGCAGGGACCAGCCAAGCACCGTCCTCATCGTCCGGTAGTTGGCATTGGTGTCGTAAAAGTAGACAATATATCCGAATCTGGCGAGTTGGATGGCAATCCAGGCAACAGCCACAAACTGTGCTGGCCCTGGTGGAGAAGAAAGGCAATGTCAGAGGGACTCGACGCAGCGCGGGAGGGATTCACTGATGCTTCTCGGGACAGTGTCGGGGCTGTGGAATTGCTTCGGGGAGGAGCAGCCATCGCTGGAGCCCGACCTTCGTTGACCATCCAGTTCGAGAAAGTGACCCACGACTTGTGGTGCTTCCTCCTGCGCCCGGGATTGCCGTCCATTGCTGGCCTAGGCTGGTTGAAAGCAAGCGACAGACCGGTGGACTGGGCGAGGCAGGCAGACCGCGAGGAATGAGCAGATGCCCAGAGCAGATGCCCAGAGCAGAAAGCCGCTGGCTGCCATCGCCTGGTCGCGGACAAGGCAAAAGAAAGGCCTGGTTGGGTGGATTGGGGGGTGGGCTTCTGTGACACCCAGGACTGGGAAGACCCAACGAACAAGGCCATGCAAGGGTCCATGGCATGCTCACCACGGGATGCACGGCCTCGGACGCCATGGCATCGGCACTGCGACCCATGCACGCTGGATGCCTTGGCCCGACATCGGTTGCATTCGCGCAGGCAGCAGATGAGTCCTGCTGCCAGACCAAGGGCACGACCTGCCAGTGCGCTGGGACTCGCTGCTGCCAGCCGTGATCGACTGCACTTCCGAACTCTGGCCACGGCCACTTGTTTGTTTGCCGTGGTCAATCGAGTCCTCCGAGCTTACCGTGCGGGTGATTGGCCGGGCCACCGCTCTCCACCACGGTGTCGAGACTGGATCACGGCGGCCTCGTCGAGACAGCCATCCCGTCCCACGCCCGTCCATCGCACCATCGTCAAGACTATACGTCACGACCAACAGCACGACGAACAGTCGTTCCCACGACACTGCCGTCTGTCCTGGGCAGGCACATCCGCATCTGATCAATCTTATTCTCGCATCCTCTGCACTGCGGAGGCTGCTTTGTCAAAAAAAAAAAGTTTCAACCCTGCTGCATCCCCCCATCACTTTCTCTCCCATGAAGTTTCTCGACAATCTGCTGGGGAAGCGATTCAAGTCGAAAGGAAGCACCCCTGAGCCCCAGACCGTGCATGCCTCCCAGCTCCTTGACAGCGATCTGGTTGTGGTCGAGTCGCAGCTCAAGATTATCGTACCGGATCCACCCAGGCTCAAGTCGGCACTAAAGTCGCCGACATCCCGAAGTGGCGGACAAAACTCCCCGCTGTCGCCAAATGACCAGACCTTTGCCGGCTCGCCGCAGCCCCTCAGTCCCGCAGACAAGAAGAGCATCAAAGGTGTTTCGTTCGACATGGGGAAGGGTCTGGCGCCGTTGCCGGCATGGGTGGGCAAGAAGTCCATGGGCTCGATTTTGGATTCCGTCACAGAGGGACCCGCCAAACCCAACCCGAATGCCAACACAGATGTCATTGGCACCGCCAGGCCATCCTGGGCCGATGTCTTCCCCAACAACGAGTACGAGACACCGTCGATCCGAAGCTCGACGGGCTCCACGTCGTCTGGACCCAGACGGCGCATGTCGGATGTCGGCCCGGTTTCCAACTACCGAGCAAGCCTCTTGCAGCGCCAGCAGTTGGACATCAAGGAGGAATCGTCGTCCGCGTTAGTGCCCAACCATATCTCGACATCCAACATCGATCAGGTCGTCCGCCAAGTCACCATGGTTCCCCACCACGAGTTCTCCTTTTCCAACTACCACTCAACCGTTGCGCTGGGTCCATATTCGCTCCAGCTTGTAAGCTTCATCGCAACTGGCGAGAAAGACGCTCTAGCCGAGGGAGAGATCGTTGTGGCCCTTGCATGTGCGGGTGCGCTCACACCAGATCCAACCGAGCCAGCAGCTTCAACAGACCAAATCCAGCACCAAGCCTCTCCAGATCTTGGTCGCTCGGCCATATCGGGGCCTCTCCCTCTGGTGACGCTCGAGTCTCCGCAAGCGGTGATCCCAGCGTCACTCCCGCAGCCCACGTCTTCGATCCTCTCAGCCCCGCTGGATATGCCACCGTGCTCAACCAATGCCGCGAGCAGCGCAGACCCACAAGCTTCTGGATGCACTCGTCCGAGGCTCGATCCGGCCCAGATTTCGCTGGCGTTTGAGTTTTCCATCGAATATTGCGAAAAGCAAACGTACCTGGCGGTAGCACAATACCAAGAGCACATAGCTCCCCACTCGCTCCGGTACCGGCTCGAAGTCGATATCAAAAAGGCTTTCCTCAACAACTTGTATCTCAAGTTCAAGGACAGTAAGGTCGAAGCCACCAGCCATTCCTTCGAACTGTGCGGCAAGGGAACGGCGTCGATCGTGTTAAACGATCAAGGTGGACAGCATCAGGGCATTCTCCCATTTGGGTATGAGGTGATCAAGGTAATGTAGATGCTGCCTGTTGCGAGTGCGATTGTACGGACCCCTCGTCGAATACTGACGCCATCGCATCTCCTTGCCGATTAAATCGCCGTTTGGATTGTGCCAGGTTTTCACACCAACGTCGTCGATCACAAAACTCGACCAAACCCAGCAGACCTAAGGCAAGCCGCCGGATAGGGGTCAGCGGCACAAAACAAAGTGCGCTTGGTGCCATCCTCTCAATATGGCCGGTTTTGCTCTCTTGGAGTGAGCGTCCATTGGACATATTCCATACGGCGGTCGCCTGACGCACTGTAGTTGCATCCCGGGGCGCATCGATACGATAATTCGGTGGGAATGAGGGACGGGGGACAGAGGTGCCCATCGATACGCTGGGCGATAGACGCGCTCGGCCATCAAACCATAACCCGGATATCCAGAGTGACTACTCCAGAGTGACTGCTCCAGAGTGACTGCTGAGGCGAATACACGTATATGAAGGCAACGGAAACATACACCACAGATCATCGTCGCGGCGGCTATATAGTGAGGCTTTGGAAACTGTTTGCCACGGCTCCAGGGTCGGCGACGTTTCCAATACCACTGCTCACGCTGTACTCCCAATCGATGACGCAGCTCAAGTTGCGGAAGTTGATGATGTGCGCGAACGCCTCACGCCTGGTGGCGCTTGCCAGTGCCAGCATGGGCGGCTCCAGCAGCGGCTTGGATGCGACAAGGATACACAGAGAGCGAGCACGCGAGAGCGCAACATTGAGGCGGTTGCGGTGGAAAATGAAATCGAGCTCCCGCTCCATCCTGTGAGAATTGAGAGCTGCTATCAGGATCGGCATCGCATATGGCTGTTGAAGGAACGCAAGCCACTGCCAGCGCACTAGCTGTCACGACAGTCAGTACTCACTGTCCTTCGTGGGAGGTAAATCCGTAGCATACAATGACGATCTCGGCCTGTGGCGAACATGGGCATGGCAGCAGACAACGTCAACCAGGATCAGTGTCAGGCGTACGGCGGAGCGCCATCGAACAGTACTTCCTCTGGTGGCCTCTGCGTGTGTCCCAACCAGGCTGCCAACACATCATCAAACCACTCGCGGACACAGACCTCGTCGCCCTGCATTCGCTCGACTGTATCGATTCGCAAGTCGTTCGGATGGTCAGAAAGGAGGGCCGTGAGCCGCGATCGCTGCAGTCGGTGAGGAGTCACCACAAAGATCCGGCCGCTGACACCGCAGCTTCGTATGCCTTTCACCATCCCAGCCACGAGCTCCATTTCGGCGTTGACGTGCCGCTCGTAAGGGGAGAACTCGTCGCCTCTCTTCAGTGCAGGGTGCATCTTGATCGTCACGAGTGGCTTGTCAGCAGTCGAGATGAGCACCAGAAGCTCCGAGATGCTTGGAGAGATGCTCTGCTGCCCACCGAGTCCGTTGAGGATGGCCTCCTGCATCTCGATCTGCTCGGGCATCATCGGAATAAACTTGATGTCCCTCGATCGACCGTAGAGAGTCTCGGAGAAGCGACAGAGCTTGGGAACCATGCGAAAGTTTTCCATCAGCATCTGGGTGAACGGGCCAAAATCAGACCCCTTGGTTGGCAAAAACGACTGGCGGACGACAGACTTGCCGTCGCTGGTGCGCAGGACGCAGTCCATGATCGATCCAAAGAGCAGTGGATCAGAATCGGAGGCTCCAAAGGCCGGGTAGGAGCCTCGGAGCACAGGCGAGAGCTGCAGATGATCGCCGGCGATGACGAGTCGGACAGGGCCGGGTTTCTTGAGCATGCTGATGGCAATGGATGCGTCAGACAAGGGCATTTGCGAGCCCTCGTCGATGATGAGCACATCAAAGTCTCGATCCTTTGGCTCAATCTTGGAGAGTTGCCTGTCCATCGGTATGTGAGGGATGGAGGTGTGCTCGTTAGCCCGGGCAGTGCGTCTGTGTTGTAGAGCGGGACTCTCCGCCGGTCATCCGTGATTGTAAGCTCGCGGAGGTGGAAGCAGCCGAGTAGGTGCGCCGCATCCCGGGAATGGTGCGAATGGTGGCAGCGCACGCACTTCTCGACAGCCGAGCAAGGAATAAGAGTGGTTTGGCAGTTTCTCCTCCTCCCACCCAACCCCACCCTCACCCAAAGGGAACAAAGTCACCGAAACTTGCCATACGGTGGAGCACACAATCGTGTACGCCTTTGACAGATTCGGCTTGCTCGGGGATCGGCTTTCCCCACCAAGGCGATTGACCTCGATCTGGTTGATCCATTTTTGATTGTTCATGAAGCTGATCGACTTTGCTGCCTTGAGCAGGGTTTCGAGTTTTTTCTTGTAGTTGTCGATGGCGGCATGAGTGAACGCCGTCATACATATCTTGATAGGCTGTTGACCAGCGCTCAGCTTCTCGACTATCTCAATCAATCGAATCGTGGACAGCGCGAGAGTGTGGGTTTTGCCGTGGCCAGGAGGTCCCCAAATAAGACTGACGGGTCTCTGCAAAATCGAGGTGAAGGCATGGCTTTGGGAGGAGAGGAAGGTAAGCGACTTGATATTCATGTCGTTTGGGTCCAGACTGCCTCGCTCTTTGTAGAGACGCTGAATATCGGCAGCCTTGCTTATGAGTTTGGATGAGTCGATAGATAAGGCACCGACGTCATTCGGATCCCGGACCAGTCGCAGGAACAACGGCGCGCTATCGGGGCTGGTTGCCGCGGCGTTTTCGATGTCGGTATCGATGAGACTCCTCACGAGCTTCTTAGTGTTGAAGTTGATGAGACTGGTGGAGATACAGGGCCAAAGAGCATGGCGGGTTAGTAATGTGCCACGAGGCTCAGGCGACAGGTACGCAGGGCGTGGTGCAGGCTGCAAATGCTGGCCAACCAAAGCGGCCTGCTTGGGAACAGATATGCAGCTCGATTACTCGGGACGAGCACGCACCGACGACGCAGATAGAACCGGCCCCCGGCAAACTTGAATCCCCTCACGTCCTTATGCTTGAGTGTGACGATGATCGAGTCGGCCCTATTTGAGCCTGGGCTGGACTGTTCCGACATCAACTTGCTGATGGATGAAAAGACCAGTTGTCCTCTCAAATGGCTGTCGCTCTCGTCCAACTTGAGCCTGTAACTGATCGTGTCCATGTACTTGAGATCATCAAAGTAAAGATCGGCGTCGGTGCCCTCCTTGACCAGGAGCCATCCAAAGAACTCGGCGTCGTCTTCTTCAATGTATTCCGAGCCTTGGATGAGACGATAGTTGAATGCAAAGTCTTCGTTCGACTTGCTGAAGTACTCGAGTACAATGGGCTTTGTGTTCTGGCAACGCTCTCGACGCAGTTCCTGAAGCCTGGAGGTCGAGACGGTCGAGTCAGCCGCAATAACGCCACACGATCCGGTCCACCCACGGCCGAGACATGCAGCCAAGTTAGTCGTGTCCACGCCCTGCACTGATAATAGTGTGGACTGATAGATCAAGGAATTGCTCTCTAGGGCGACATCATGTGGAGCAACTTACTCTGTCAACATCTCGAACTGCAGTTACAGCAGGGAACCGGAAAGCAAACCAACATGCTGCGTTAGCAGCTGGAGTGACCATGGGCGTGGAGAAAGTCGTGTCCCATCGGATGCTCGAGGGGACGTGGCTGCAACACTCTGGCAAATCATGGGGGCGTTTGATACCGCCGACGAGGCCCGCGTGCAGCCAACACCGTGGGAGAAGATCCAGTCGATCACGACAATGCACGAGATACAGAGGAAAGATAGCGCAAGCCCTGTTCCTATGCAGCAAAGCTCAGGTTCCGCCCCCCCCTCCCCACTATGTCACGCGGGCACACGCTCACCTGGGCCATAAACATCAGCCGGCGAAGATGTGGATCCTTACAAAAGTCGACATAGGTCACATCAAAGATTGGGGCGGTGTTGAGCAGGATGGACTTGAGTGGCTGATTTTTAGTAGCGCAGTAGCTCTCCAGGCGTCTGCGACACTCTCGCACCAACTGATGGCTGGCCTCAACTCGGGCCCTGAGGAGCTTCTCGACTCGCGAATAATCATCGGCTTCCCAGGCAGTATAGACTGCGTTGCTTGAGACCGAGACCGTCTCGTCGTCCTCTTTCTTGCAATCGACCAACAAGTTGAAGCATCGAACGCAATCGTCAATGTCAAAGAATCCAGCGACAGGCAAGGCAAAGAGCTCCCGCACAGCGGTGCTGAGAGCCACGACGGGGGGCACTAGTCGGTCCAGCCCATTGTTCTGGCTCTTGGAGGAAAGCAAAGAATCCAGGGTCTCGAGAAGCTCGTCCCTTCTGGCATTGATGTTTTCGCTGTTGTTGCTAAAGTACGACACGTACTTTTGCAGCTGCGGCTTCAGGGTGGTTGAGGCCACTGAGAAGAGGGTGCTGGGCTCAAAGAGCTCTGGCTGGACGGTGCTCAACAGCACGTCGCTGTGACGAACAAGTGCCCCGATGCAGATGCGTGTGCTTTCGTATGTCTCGCTCTTGGCCTCGTCGGCAGGAACGAGATCACCTTCGTAGTAGCACGCCGCGTTCACAAGCAGAGAAACAATTTCGTCGTACTCGAATTTGTCAAAGACATAGAACTGCACCGAGAGGTCCGAATCGGAGGCATTGCCGCTACGATGCAGCTTGGGATCAAGCGATCGAATGACTCTAGCCAGGTCCTTGACAAAACTGGCAAAAAACTGAGTGTCGTTCTTCTCGGCCACTCTGGAGATGTAAACGGGCCGGGAGCGAGCCTTCGACACCTGGTAGATCGAGTAGTAGAACAGATCCTCGGTGGCTGGGTTGATGCCGACGGAGAGATAGACACCCACATCCTCATCCCTGGGGAACAGGAGCGAGCGGGCGCCTAGAACCTCGACGGACGAGCGCCTGGTGGATTCGAGCATCGGCACATGCAGGACAGGCGATGTGCTGGGAACATCGACAATCTTGAGGATGCGGCAGAGCTCGCCAAAGGCCAAGGCATGCGACTGACTCAGTTGTCTCCAGGGGGGTGTTGAAGATGACCGACCAGGCTGAAACAGCGAGGCCAAGTCTTCGATCTCAGTTGTCCCGGTCGGCAAGCGCCGGCCACGGCCCTGGTAGCGTATGATCTGCTTCAGAAAGTCAAAGTCGTGAGACGAGAGGTTGGGGATGGCCGAGAGTGTCTGCTGCGAAACGGCGACTGCTCGACACTCGTCCATGTACTCGCAGCCTTGGCAGGCTTCGCGCAGATGCCAGGCGGCCTCGCCGGCGGGTTTGGCCATGATCGAGGGCAGCTGGCGAAACAAAAAGTCTTCGAGGAGAGGCCTCAGGACGCTGACCGAGAAGCAGCCAGCAGGATCCCGACGAGTAGGGTCGGTCTTGTGAGGAATCCAAACCTCGCCAAAGCCGTCTCGAGCAAGCTCGATGAGTTGGTCCTGGTACTGGAAGGAAACGCTGCTATCCTTGAGACTGAACTCGGGGCGAGTCTGGGCAAACTCGAGGATCAGGGCCTGGATGGCCAGCCAGTAGTAGCCGATTTGCACTTGATGCGAGATCTTGACCTTCTTGGAAGACTTGGCGTCGATGATACGCCACTCGATCTTGCATCGCTGCGGCAAGGCTGGTTTGTCCTGGTCTTTGGACGCAGCCTCGGACGCCGCGGCCGGATCCACTCGGATCTCGATGAAATCAGGCTTGAACGTTCCAAAGCGCACAGGTGGGCTGCCCCGGGTTTCGAACTCGTTTTCAAAGGCGGGCGAGCTGAACTGGGTGCCGATCATATAATAGTGCAGGCGGTTGTCGGCGAGGATCATGTCGAGCCATGTCTGGATGGTGAGATTGCCGCGCTGCTCAGGCACGTTGTAGATCAGCCCGTCCTTTTGGAGAACATCAACGAGGTCTTCCTCCCACTGGGGGGTGGCGTGGGGCCATTTCAAGCCAGTCAGTCAGGATGTTATTTCGAGAGAGATTGAGAGAGAGATTGAGATTGAGAGAGAGAGAGAGAACCGCAGGACCAAGCAGGGAAAGCAGTGTGATATCAGCAGCGACTCCCATGGAGCAGACGGCGCCAATGGGCGGGAAAGAAAAGCGAGGGAGCCGACCGAACCGGCCAGAAGCAGACGTGCTGGTGGCGGCCGGGAGGCGACATCATCATGCATGGTGGGCTCGATGGGCAATATCGGGCATGGCAAAAGGCAGCCCGATGCAGACGCGAACGCACCTTGACGCCCCGTTTGAACAGGGCCTTCGTCGAAGCAGAAGGCTCAGGGGGAACCAGCCCTGCCAGCTCGGGCGGGGGCAGCGCAGGTCCCTTCGAGGCTTCGCGGGCTCGGCGATAGGTGCGGGACTTGTGCAGCTGGAGCTCGCAAAAGTGGGTATGGTAGCGCCCGAGGTCGGTTGCGGTGATGTGGTTGCCGTCGGAGGGCATGGCGGGCGATGCGGCGGGCGATGCAAGGAGCGATGCGATGCAAGGAGCGAGGCCGAGCGACGACGGTGGAAGACGGACGGAGGCGGCAGGGGCAGCAGAGGAGAGCAGCCAAGGCGGGTGGGGGGCACTTCATATCCGGGGGCATCGAGGGGACCAGGCCCCGAGACAACAGCCAGGGGGACAGGCCGGGGCTGGTGGCGGAGTGCTGTCGGAAGGACGAGCATATATGTGCGATGGGTGCGGGCTTGACAGCTGCACCGGGCGGTGACATTGACATGGGTCGGTGTTCCGTTTCCATCGATATGATATTGACACGGCGGCGGTTGACATGATATCGATATGGACGGCGTCGGTATTACAGCGATTCCAAAATGAAATGGGACAGCCCCGTTTTGAGCTATGACAGTGTTTTTTCTGGAACCTGAATACACCCACCCACTCATCGCATTCATGGCCAAGCAAGCAAGTCATCGACCAGGCACCGAAGGAGACCGAAGTGGTGATTGCCTTTGGGAATGCCTCCTGGAAACAGGGGAAGGGATATGCATCCAGTCCCAGGAGACTCAGGTTTGCCAAGTACTTTGAGCAGTTCCACAACCACCAGAGACGACCACCAGACCGATCCGTCTCCAAGATCCATGTGTGCTCGGTGAACGAGTTCAACACATCCCAGGTGTGCTCACATTGTCGGGAAGCCAAGCGACTCGAGAAGGCTGAGTATCTTGATATCGAGAAACCACACTTTGTCCGGAGCTGTGCAAGCTGCCATACGCTGTGGGATCGAGACATCAATGCCTCAAGGAACATGATCTCGAATCGCACGGCTTGCTCACTGGGCCTACAGTCAGTCAGCGGGGTTCAGACATCTGAAGCCAGGAAGGAGCTGTCCTGTTTCTCTCTGGACCGACTGGAAACCCATGTCCCCGCTGCGCCGATGCAAATCTCGCCTCGGGACCCCTGTCCGCATGCCTGCCTGCAGATATGCAGTTGCACCTGCGATTGCACCTGCGGCTCGGCGGCTCCATCTGCCCGCATGCCTGCATGCCCGCCGCCCAGTTCACATGCCCGCAGCTCCGCGGTCAGATGCGGTGACGGCGTCGCTGGTCCCGCTGTTCTGGTCTGCTCGTTCGCTCGCCCGCCATCTCATCAACCCGCACATCACCGCCATCATCATCGGCCTGGGCCCAGCAGCACCCAGTCCCAGCCCCAGCCCACTCCCTCCACTGCTCTGCTTGCTTGCATCCCCCCCCCAGTGGTCCGCCATGAATTGGAGGTCGGCCCAGTCCAAGCTCCTGCGTGCCGGTCCGCTGCATCGTGCAAATGGCGGCCATGTCTCGCTCTCTCCTGCTCGTCTGCACTCGACCACCCAAGGCGGCGCCCTTGCCTTCCCCGAATTCAACGATGCAACTCTCGGTCTGTTTCGGGAGCGCCTGTCGCTGAGCCTGAGGCAGGCGCCCAAGGTCCGGTGGAAGTATGACGAGTCTAGAGGCCCGCTCCGGAAGGCCTCCGTGCTGGTGCCGTTCTGCACCCGCAGCGGAGAGCCATCCGTCCTGTTCACTGTCCGGAGCAAGAATCTCAAGAAACACCGAGGCGAAGTCAGGTGAGATCCGGGCTATGCGATCCCGCATCGTCTGCAAGCCCGCCATCCAAGTCGTGCTCCTGCTGCTGATCCTATGCGCCTGAGTGCGTTCCCGGGGATGCTGTCGGCAGTCAGCCCAGGAGCCGGCGTTGCTCCGAGCTCCGGGAGCGGCTGATCGTTGATCATAACGCTGATGCCCGCCTGCTTTGCTCTGGTCTTCTCTGCTCTCTGGTCTGCGACAGCTTCCCTGGAGGCATCCAGGACGAAACAGACCCGTCGCTGGAGTCGACTGTGCTGCGAGAGACGTTTGAGGAGGTCGGGATCCAGCCATCAAGCATCTCGATTTTAGGACGATTGACACCGCTTCCTGACCGCACAACCACAATCGAGGTGACGCCGTACGTCGGCTTTCTGGGCGAGATTGATCCGCGGGAACTCGACTACAACCACGACGAAGTCTCGGAAGTCTTCACGATGGGCATGGAGGAAGTTCTCGACGCAAGGCGGCGCAAGGTCGTTGAGTTCCGGGGCTCGCCTGGCATCCGCGGGATCGAGTGGATCAAAGACGACAAGCGCATTTGGGGGCTGTCGGCATACATCCTGCATCAAACCCTGAACGTCCTGCTCGACACGAAGCTATAGCTGGCCTGATTCGAGCAGCGCGAGCGGTCGTGCTGCTGCTTCTGCCTCGGCCCCGACTGCGATTGTAGCGGATTCGGGCGATCCATCGAGAAGCTTCTGGGTCTTTTCGAGGCACTTGCGCTCTGCAATCGTGGGCATTGCAGGTCACCGGCTGCGGTCACGCACTCAATCACTGCCTGTTGTGTGGTCATGCACTCGGCTGCTGCTTCCCGCCTTTCTATTCTCGTTAGCACCGGCTTGCTTGCCGCCAAACACTTCAGCCACGAGCACAGCGCCGTCGCTGCCGCACGTATGCGGCTCGACGCCATTCCAGGACGATCCCTGGAGTTACTGGAATGACCCGACGGCAGAGGCCAAAACTTGTCCCCAACATACAGCCCGTGCAATACAGCATTTGCATGCTTCTCCGGAACCGGCAACACGCATGTTGCCGGTCGATGCCGGCCGACGGGCCGGGGCTGGCGGGCCAGCGGGCAACGTCATCCGGCCCAGGAGGGGCATGATCGGATCCAGGCAGCACATCCACCCCCGGATATGCCAGGGTCGAGTGCAGATGCAGTATCGTGGGACGGCCAGACGGGCCGGCGGAACCGGTCCTGCGAGCCGCGGACATGCGCCTCCCAGATGCAACGATGAGGCATCCTGCATCGGCGCTGCTCATCAGCGCTGTCTCCGCCACAATTATTGGGGCAATGTGACCAGCTGCATGACCGGCTGTGTGGCGCCGATCAGAGGGCGGATTGGCGAACTGGCCGCGGGCCGTCTGCTCCCCGCAGTGGTGGTGATGCCCCAAGAGTCACCGCGGCTCAGGCTCACCTGTCGCTGGCCATGCGGCACCGTCGGCTGCTGTGAGCACCCGACCTCCTGCGCTCGGGATAGGTTCTGCCGGCGGCACCAGTCCGCTTTCCCACGGCCATCGCATGCCGCCCTCCGCCATCGTCTGGCTGCTGCTCGGTCGCTGCGCGGTTGCTGCTTGGTCGCTGCTTGGCAAGATAAATAGGTGGCCCACCTCCTCTCCGTCGACTATATCCCATCCCCAACCAGCCCGCAGCAACAAATATAGCTCTTTTTACTTGCCCCTGGACTGCACTCGATCGCTTCCACTCCCGCCAATCGCTGTTGCAGGCCAACACAGTATCCTCCAGAACCTCCTTGCCAGATCTATCGGCACATTTGACTGTTCCCACGCCATCTCACCGATCTCATTGCTCGTTGTCGAGCCTCTTCTACTCCCCCTCGCCACATCTGCCCAACTCCCAACATCCTACCAACACCATAGCCACCCCCTTCCATCATGCTTCTCAACACCGTAAGCTCGATTGTGAGCCAAGCGGGGCAGCAGTGTGGACTTCACATTGCCGCACATCCCGCAGTGAGCCAGACCCTGCTCCGAGCGTCGTCGCTGGCACTTGCAGCGACAGCGACCCGGCTGGTGCCCAGAGCCTATTCGCTCATGGCCGCCAGATCGCTGGCTTCCACCTCTGGGCCGTTCCAGTGCCACCCGTCCGTGGCATTTGATGCCCCGACCATGGCCACATTTGAGCAGCGCATCGCACGCCACTCGATGCATGCTCCCAAGCTCAAGTACAAGTATGACACCCAGAAGGTCCCGCTTCGGAAGGCCTCTGTACTGATTCCGCTCTGTACCCACCGCGGCAATCCGGCCGTCCTCTTTACGGTCCGAAGTCAAGAGCTCAGGAAGCACCGAGGCGAAGTGAGGTGTGTTGTTGCTCTTTGCCAGCTGCTTGAGTATCTCGTCTGCCCAGTTGCTCGAATATCTCGTCTGCCCAGCTGCCCGTGTCCCCACAGCCCCCTTCCAGAATGAATCATGCAGTGAGAGCCAGCCAGCGGGCCCTTGATCAAGGCTCGGCTGAATAGGGGTCCTCGGGTGTCGTCCCAGTCCACTCGAGATCGGAATGGCCCTCCAGCATTCGGGATCTACTCGATCTACCGACTGTACAAACTGGCTCCCACGGCGGCACATCTCACCCTCACTTCCTTTCCTCCTCACTTCCTTTCCTTCTGCCCACCTCCCCACTTTCACACCCTCGCCCTCGCCATTTGGTCCTCATATTGGTCCTCGTATTGGTTCGAGAGTAAAGCCTCGCGATTCGTTGATGCTCACCCACACTCATTTGCCACTCCGTGCAGCTTCCCTGGCGGCGTCCAAGACGAGACCGACTCCTGTCTCAACGAAACCGCTCTGCGCGAGACCTTCGAGGAGGTCGGCATCCCCCCGTCGCAAGTCAAGATCCTCGGCGACTTTCCGCCCGTGCCTGACCGAGAGTCTGTGATCGAGATCACTCCGACGGTTGGCTTTATCGGCGAGATCGACGATCCCAAAGCGCTCTGCTACAATCCGTCGGAAGTCTCAGAGGTGTTCTTGATGACCTTGGACGAGCTAACGGACAAATCCAAGCATAAATGCAAAAACTTCAAATGCCACTGTCTCGGCGTTCGCATGAACGGCACCGTCTGGGAGAAGGACGACAAGGTCATCCGGGGACTGACGGCCCATATCCTCGAAAACACGCTCAACACTCTGCTTCATACCAAGGTGTAATCGATCGTACCTCCCCATCCAACGACCGACAACCCGGCCGCCTCACTCTCACCGCATTTCTGCATCCTCGACAATCAGTTTTTGATTCAGTCGCTTTCAAGTACCGCTCCATCTCAACCGCATTCTTCGTTTGTCCGTTAGTGGACGTTTCTTGGCTCCTTCAACTCCCCCCCCCCACATCTTCGTTCGCTCCTCACACATATATCCATACTTTCGCTTCTTGTCTGCTTGCGCATCTGCAGGCTCAGCTTGTGCTTCCAGTGCCTTCACTACTCTGTACATACCTTCTTCTTCGTACTCGTCACTGCTGGGTATATCAGGCAAACCCTGACAGATTTCGGACACAGTGTGCACCGGAACTCACGTCTCGCCTCCACAACCCCTATGCAGTTAGTTACTGTTATTGTTCATAATTTGGTTGCTCCAACACTGATGGATCGACCTCATTGCCTTTACGTCCTCCCCCGATATCGAGAGGCCGGCCGACTTCAATAAAACTGCCGATTTAAAATCACAGCAATCACCATCAAACCTTCCCCCGAGCGACCGAATGGTGGTTGGAGGTCAGCGGTAGTCCATTGTGCTAGGTGATGGGCAAAGTGGAAGCGGAACAGCGGCCTCCAAGATGGCAAGTCGGCAATTGCCGCCATCATCCCACTGCAGCCGGCAACAGTCGTGAATCCACATTCACGGCCGAATGGCTCTCCAAGAGATCAATTTCAGTTGAAACACAACGGGGCAGCCCTCATCAGAGACATCTCGCGGGTGTGGTCCGAATTCTTCGATTCTTGGCCCGTTTTCTCTTGAGTGCAAGGTGTATTCCCCCATGGCCCGCCCGATGCAGACTTTCATGAGTGAGTAAAATGCAAAGAAGGTATATACGCCCCAGATCAGACAGAGTCCTGGTGGGTCAATACGGACGGACCAAGCGATCACAAGGCAGCTGTCCGTGCGATAGCTGTCCGGTTCGGTCATGGTGATAAGCTCGAAGGACGAGAGCAAGGTAGTAGGGTAACCGGCTCAGGTTCGCGGAAGGTATTGGATCGATATCGCTGCTCAATCTATCCCGTGATTTGAACGAACAAATATCGTTTTCGTTGCAGCCGTACGGCGACTGCGGCCCCACAGCGGAAGCAGTATACTCCGCGGTTGTGCTGGCTGCATGATCTGTCTGGAGCTGCAACTTGGTGGATTGGTGGGTGTGGGCGAAGCTGGGGCTATTTGGTCGCATTGCCAGGAAATGTGTCTCGACTCTTGAAGTCGGCCGAATGATGGTGGATCCTGAACGGGTCCAGGATCAGGCTCAGTCGAACCCGAGCTGTCGTCTTGGGAAGAGCCATTTGAGCGAAGACAGGGCATGTCTTGGCGGACCCTGGCGCGGTAAGCCTCGATAGCGTCTCGTCGCTTGCGTTGGAGTACCATCTGCAGCCGCTGTCGACTCCGGCGCCGTGCCAGCAGTAAACTCAGCCCAACAACCAGTCCAACAAAGAGGCAGCTGCAGACCACGCTTGCTGCGAGGATGAGCTTGATTCCGATGGTGTCGCTGGGGAGTCGCTGGGGCGGAATCGGCGTGAGCACAGCCGGGGATATGCTAGTGCGTGCTGGCGAATGAGTGCGGTCGGAAACAGACGGAGGCAGAGACGAGGTCGGTGACGGAGGACGTGAAATGGGAGGAGCCGGGCTTGTCCGGGGAATGGCCGTCGGCTGTGATGATGCCGATCGAGCCGTGGCTTTCCGCTGCGGCGATGGACGCGATCTTGGATTGAGCACTTCCATGACGGGCGGCAGCAAGGATGTGACTGGGTGGCCGCCATGAGCAGGAGAGTGCGACGCCCACGGCGACCAGCTTTGCTCAGAGCGACTGCTCGGAGGCATCTAGTCGAGGCAACAGGTGTTTGGCGATGCGTTGCTGCGGGCGATACGAGGCGTGAATGCACACCCAGTCGCGCAGAGTTTTGCGCATGTTCATGCCGCCGAATGTGTCTGGCCGGAGTGGGAAAGAAGCGCCAGGATCATGGCGGGAAGCCGGGCAGCAAGCAAGAGCCAAGGACCGAGCGAACCTGTGATAACAGCGGAATCACTCGCCGCCTCTCGATACACCCGCACCTATCGCACATCGGATGTATGCTCGCAGCTGTATCTCGTGTTGTCCACCGAGACTGGTATTCGGGCTTTGGGGCAGCAGTCCGTATATGATGGGCGCAGGGTCATGTCTTGTGCCGTCTCCACTGGCCCTATCGGAGCTCTCGCTGCTCTGGGACAGCTTGCGAGTGCGGCAGACTATTCTCGTCCTCGAGCAAGTCCCAGCCGCAACCAAGTTTCTCTTGGAGAGTGTATCCGCTCGCTGATCGAGTCAGTAGATGCGGAACCATCTCCAGGGCAAATCCGGCATCGGACGATCTGATGTCGTGCAGTGAGCTCGGCCCATAGAGGGCCTCCCGCTCGCTTGCCGATCGGTCGGGGGGTCGCAATCCACCAAACTCGGACCGGCCTCTCCGGCTGGAGTCGGGAGACCCCGACTTGGGCTTTGGACTCGCAGCTGTCCCATTCGCCAGCTGCGGCGAACGCCTTGGGTTCGTGCTCTCTGTGATGGCATCTGTCAACAGCCAAGGGCCCGCTGGGTCAGTCAGGGGTCGACTCGGCAAAGACTGAGCCGCCCTTGTCCAAGCTGCTCTCACCTTCGGTCACGGTTGCCGCTGCGAGGCTTGCGGTGTTCTCCACGAGCTCTATCGAGTTGGCTCCGTTCTCTGCTTCCCCCGGCTTGGCATCCGCCTTTGGTTCGGCAATCTTTACATCGACCGCAGCAGGCTTGGAGGCGGCCGTGCCCTCGCGATTCGCTGCTGCGTCCTCGGAGGTTGTGAGCTTCTGCATCAGTAGGCTCATGGTGTCCTTCATGAGGTCCTGATGGCGCATGGTCGATGATTAGAGCCTTTGCATCAGCACCACACCACACCACACCACATCGCACTGCATCAGCACTGCACTGCACCACTTGGATCATCAATCACAGTCGCGTTCCATGGCTCGCCAAAGTAGAGTTCAGGAGATGATTTGCATCTACCCGGCCTGTCGAGGGGCTGTGTGTCCTACACAGATACTCACGCTCAGTGCTCTATAGAGAATCTCAACAGACTCGTCGCTGATGTTGGCGATTTGGTTGAAGTGCCCGATCAAGCGCATCCGTTCGCGCAAGTCTTCCTTTGACGGAATGTCGCCTTCGTCCTCGCAGCAGTAATACGACGCATCTATGCAACGACCGATGAGATCAGGTCCGCGAACACAGGATGAGATATGGGACGCTACCGCATGCCAACCCATCGACAGACCGGAGTGTCGCCCGACGACGTACGTGGAAAGGAGAGACCCTCAAAGGATGGCTTGACAGGCTTCGGGACTGTTAATCGTGGAGCCACCTGTGCGTTGCAGAAGCAGACAGATCGAGGACGACAGGAGCATGACAGGAGGGCCAGAAGCCGGGGGGAGTATGTCGCGAGAGCAGAGATTGTCGACACTGTTAGCGCATGAACAGTCAGCATCGAGCGCCGACAAGCACGCAGGGGCGAGGGCGGAAAGTGCTACCTTGAGCTGCATCAACCGGAGCCGATCGCTCTGGGATAACGACATGATCTGCTCGATCCGCATTTTCTTGCGTGCTTCAGCGGGGACCAGATCTCCGGTCGTCTGCCGTCGCTTCAGGGTCGTCTCCTGACTCGATGCGGCATTGGACTTTTGCACAGGGGCAAATTCGACAGACTTGGGTCCCGCGGGAGGGAGCACGCCCTTCTGGGCATTGTGGATGAGTCCGATGATCAGGTTGTTGTGGAGCGTCGCTGCGGGATGGGACGAGGCAAGTATTCAGATGAGCGCTGTTCCGATCGATAGCACTGGTCTGCAGTCTCCTACTCCACTTGCGCAACCCAGCTCTGCAGCGAGTGGACCAGGGCCGAGCGCACTGTGGCTGCCGCCGAAGCAATGCAAGTCCTATCCAAGTAGAGCGCTCGATCCTGGGAAGGCAGCGGGAAGGGAAGGAAGCGGACCAGGAACGAGACGCACCAGCTTTCCCTTTGAGGATCCCTGAGACTTGGGCATCAAACTTTTCTCGCTTGATCTTGCCGCCGAGGAATTCTTTGAACGCTGCCCAGTACTGCGGTCCACTCTCGCCCAGGAGGTTGGCGAGCTCGATCTTGATGGCGATGGTATCACGGCGGTCGGTTGCAAAAGTCATTGTTCTCTGCAGCGTTCGGCCCGGATCAGGACTATGGTTTCAATATGCAAAATCGATCGTATTCGATACTGGTATCGAGACGGACTTTGGTGAGCTCGAGTCAGATGGACTCTCTTGTTCTTGGGATCGGCTCGAGTCGGCCCAGTTCGATGGGTCGTGCTAGTAGACCAGACGAGTAGGAATCCAGCGTGTCAGACAAGTCCAGTATCCCAGGAGACAAGAGACACCCTGTGTCGGGTGGATATCGCTGAGGAGTATTTGGGGCGAGAGGTATGGCAGCCCGGATGGATGGATGGAGAGCGAATGGCGGTCCCGTTGGGTTTGTCTGGAGCCGATGCACTGCACAAATGGCAACCAGAGACCCGTAACAATCGCAGCATCGTCAGCAGTGCGCGACAAAGCCTGTCGACCGATCGCCGCACAGAGCGGCATGAGATCGTGCCGGATGGAGCATCACGATCGATGGAGATTGCGGCCGAGGATGGATGCATCGCACTGGCACCGCCATTGGAGACAAGCAAGGCGGGGTGGATGCGAACATGAGGCAAAGTCCATGGCAAGGGCTACTGACGAAAGTGCCATCGTGGGGCTGTGGCAACTGCCGTCGACAGATGGACGGGCGGATGGATACGCTGGCATCCGCCAGGTCGGGCGATCCGGGCAGGATCTAGGGTGTGGGCGATGGCTTACCTGTGTGGGGTCGGCACGGATGTGCAGCGACGATGGCGACAGGCAAGAGGGGAGAGACCAGGCCGCCCCGACTCGCGGTTGAAAAATCAAGGCCAAAGCCAGGCCCGCCGACTTGGATCGGTCAACAACTATTGCCCATTGCCCACTCACTGCCCACCACCACGATCGAGCCATCCGACTGGTGCCGAATCCAGGACAGGGGAATCTTTAGTGAACTCTACGTGAAACACAGCGATGGGGCTCTGACGCAACAAGAAGTGAGAAGAGAAAGAAACGAAGCAAGAAGCGAGCCCAGGCAATCAACAGGCAGGCGGCTTCCGGACAAAACTGGGCCTTTTTTTTTGGATGTCATCCACGGAGTATGCAGGTCGGACGGGATGGACGCAGCCGAGGGTAGACGCAGACAAGTGTACAACAGTTACAATGCAAAGGGTTGCGCGGGGAGGGTGGGCTGGGAGAAGAAGGGACACTCGGCTCTTCGGTTGGACTAAGCGTATGGGGCCTTGGCATGAGATATTCGGTTGAAATACAGTTACTTTTCGAGGGCAGCAGCAGTCTCGACCTGGACCTTCTCGATGGGGACCTCGGGAACCTCGACGCCCTCGGGGGCCGGGGCGGTGGCGTAGAAGAACGTAAGGCCCTTCTGCTGGACACCCGAGTAGATGGATGCAACGGTCTCCTGGACAGAGGTTTCCGAGACGGAGCCAAGGGCGCTGCGGGCCGAGGTGATGGCCTGGTTGAGGATCGAGGTGGCGCCAAGGGAGGAGGCGACGGAGCCACCGAGCTCGCGGGCCTGGCCCACAATCTCACCGGCCTTCTGGCGGGCCGCCGAAGTGGTGTTGACGGCGGTCTGGACGGCGCCGGGGACGTAGTTGAGCAGGCCCGAGGCGTTGATCAGGGCATTGCCGGTAAGGGACAGCTGGCCGACGGTCGATCGCAGGGAGCCCTCGTTGTACCACTTGCCGACAACAGGGACGTTAGACATGTAGTCCTGGGCAACGTGGAGCTCGGAGTGGTCAGTGATGCGGATCAGGCCGGTCTCATCGGGCTTGAGCTGGAGCTTGATGATCTGGTGGATCTTGATGGGCACCAGACCGCCGAGGGCCTTGGGGACCAGAACCTGGTCGAGATCGATGACGGCGGTGCTGTCGCCCTCCTCGTAGGCTGGCGGGCCGAGGACAGGACAGCGTTAGCAATGGGGACGGCGCAACATGACAGGGCTAGGTCCTCGATCTGCGCAACCGCCCGAGCTGCTCCCTTCCGAACTTGGAGTCTGCAGGCAGGATCCGGCAGGCAGCAACAACAGACAGCGACAACAGACAGCGACAACAGACAGCGACAACAGACAGCGACGGTGGAGGAAACCCAGTCGGATCGCACAACCGCAGGATACATTCTGGGCACAGGGATGAGGCCAGGAGATACGTACTGACGCTATTGACCTGGGCGGTGAGCTCGGTGCAGCTCAGGGCGAGCTGCTCGTAGCTCTTCATGATCTCGGCCTTGTTGGCGAGTTTCTGGAATCGCAGGAGCAGGGGGTGTCAACAGGATGGAGGCGCTGGGTCAGAGCCGATTGGAATCCAGCGCATCTGCAGCCAGAGATAGAGGCAGTGCAGCCCTGGAGAGCGAGAGATGGACGGGGCAATAGAGAAGATGACCAAAGAGAGAAGGAGAGGACAGACCCAGGCGGGACAGGGTCCCGACAGGTCCGGTGCCTACCAGGTAGGGGTTCTGCAGCTTGCAGTTGTCGTCGTAAAGCAGGTCGATGCTCTCCTGCTGGTTGGGGATGTTGGTCGAGATGATATCGCGGGCAAAGGCAGCGATGAGCTGGGTTTCGACACGATCGTGTTCCATGGTGGCTGATGGGGGAGCAGAAAAGCGCAGGAGAGGCGGGCTGGGGCAGATCGAGACGAAGACGAAGACGGAGGCCAAAGGCGGTGGGTCTTGCGCCATTCTTTATATTCGGGGCGGTGGGTGCATTTGGCAGGCTGTGCGACCCTGGTTGCCGCATCGAGGCAGCGGGCACATGCCGGGGGGCGACCGGGGCAGCCGCGGGCTGGCCATGCGATGCGATGCGATGCGATGCGATACAATGCGATACAATGCGATGCCAGGGAATGCCGAGCGATGCCGAGCGATGTCGAGAGATAAACGATGTGGCCAAGGCCATATCAGCGATCTGCCACTCGCCTTCGATTAATGCGGACGAGGCGATTGATGCTCGGCCCTGTCGACATGGCAGAACAGCATGCGCAGAGCAGCGACGCCACCAACGGACGCTTGAAGAGCATGATGCTGTCGCCTCTCCTCCCATACGGCAGCCGCAATCGAACAACACTTTGCTCGATGCCACCCCACCCGAATGAGTGAATGAATGAATGAGCGAATGGGCGAATGAATGAAAGTTGCCAATGTTCGTATTCTCGGTCTCGGTCTCGGTCTCGGTCTCGATCTCGATCTCGGTCTCGTCTCGTGCGCAGCGGGTCTTGGTCCGCTTGTTGTTCCGTGCGCTCCTCCGCCACCCCACTCTCCAACGAACTCGCTGATCTGCCAGCACCAGCGCGGCGACCACACCCGTATTCCAGCATTGCCTCTCGCATCGTCGCCATCCCTTGGACCATGGCGTCCGATCGAGAAGAAGAAAGTGGCTGGGAGACCCAGTCAAGTATGTCATGCGCTTGGTGTCCTGCACTCTCCGCGCATGTCGGCGTTGCAGTCCCAGCCTTCGTTCGCCAGCCGGGAGATACCGCCGATCCTCCCGCACCAACAAACGAGGCGTTGTATCTTCAGCATCTCTGTTCCCTACTCTTGCGTAGCGCTGTGCTTGCGGCCTCGCCCTTCCACTGTGCCAGCGGCCCCGCTTACCCGTACGAAAGGCCGGCTCGTTTCTTACTCTTCTCGTCTCTCCACACATCCCGACACCGACCACCAGCCAACAACGACGATGAGTACGACAGCGAATCTGGGCCTTCTGAGCCCACTGGACCGGCGCACAGTATCCCCGCCTTGTTTTCAGCCGCGGAGAACAGTCCGCGGCTGAGGAATATCACTCGGATATCCGACTTTGCTCGGCCCCTGACCTTGCGCCCAAACCACATCCGCATCCGCACCGGAGTAGACCATATGATGTTCGGCGACACCGATGACAGCGAATTCGATGACTTTGAAGACTCCATGGACGGTTTTGATATGGACGATATGGACGATATGAATGATATGGACGATATGAATGATGTGGATGATATGGACGATACGGACGATATGGATGACTCTGACGATTTCGGCAGCGAGCTTGAATATGCCGGCAACTCGCTCCTGACCGCTTCAAGCCAGGGTCACCCGAAATATCTCTTGGCCGTCGAGAGTCACTATCGCGATTACAAGTCTGACCCCGCTTGTCGAGAGAGTCAGCATCGACTCTTTGCCCTCTGGTCGGGATGGAGCCCGGTCCATCTCCATCGCATCAGCTCCGCCGAGCGGTTCAGTAAATGGGACTCCCCAACGGTCATCGATGAAGACGCATATATGGCATGCCCGGAACCCTGCCGTCTGGTTCATTTCGACCTGACCCAAGATCGCAACAATCTGTGGGAGGCCTCCCCAAACGAGTTCCCGATCGCCACCGTATATACGTTCGTGCATGAAGTCCATGACTCCTCATACCGGCCCGCTCTGATCGCCCCTGGCTATCCGCTGCAGTTCCTCAACTCGCCGTCTAAAAGCAACCATCCCCAGTGCGCCGCCGCCATCTGCCTGGGCCCTCTGGAAGACTCTGTCTTGGTGCAAGCTGGCAGCCGACGCATCGTGTCGATCCAGCGGCCCTTCACCTTCTATGGACGATACGTCTACCGGGGCGGTCTCCATCCCGAGCGACCGGATAAAGTTGGCATTCACGAATCAGGGTTCTCGGATGAACAAGTGCCTAACGAAGCAGCAATCGACGACATGTTCCCAAACCTCTTTGGCCACACACGGTTCTTTGCGACGGTATGGGACATCCTGCTTTGGATATGGCGCAAGCATTTGATATATCGCTTTCCCTTGTGGCCCTTATAGCCGCTGTCGCATGTCGCCAATCGAGTCGCCTCCATCGACGCGAGCGTCGTTTGTTCCTATGGCCTTGCTGCAAGCCGCTCCTTTGACTAATCCCGTCGGTATCTAGTGCAAGCAGTCAACAACGTCGATTCCGATACTCCAGCTCGACCGTCCCCTGTGCTGCACATACAAATACGGATACATGGCCTTCGGGACCACGAACGGCGAGCTTATTGTGTACTGCATGATGGGCTCAAGGTAACCACAAAACCTCCGCCGTCTCGATTATGCTGGGGAGTCCGCATAGCCTGCATTTGCCATGTTTCTGTGTCTGCAAACCCAGCCAGCCGCGGGATAGCCCGTGCTTCCACCAGCCTTCTCCGCCCCCGCCTCTTGGCAATGACTTGTACAGATACTGACCCTTGACACCATACTACATCCGCTGCTTTCGATCACTGCGGCCCTCGACAGTCCGAGGCTGATTATGCGACTTAGTCGCGATCACAACCTCCTGAACTCCATCGAAATCATCCGGCGCAAGATTCATGTATCTTCAGAAACCGAGGCGCCTGAAAGGACAGCATCGGATGACATACAAGTCGAAGACGACGACAATTATCGCTACCAGTTCCTTATTGTGGCTGCGCTGAACTCTGGATCGGTCCACAGTATGTACCCGGCTGCGGGACGCCCTCAGACCTTGCCATCACGCACAGCTATCCTCGCAACAGCAGCAGCGTTGATGGCGGTGGTCAGAACGGTGGTATCAACAGCTGCTGACTCGTCCACCTTTTACCCCTTGCGACACGCCTCAGTCTACGAGATCGGAGAACACAGCCATGAAACTGACAGCCAGGGATCCACCGAGGCTGATCAAGACAATCTGCCGGCACCCCGGCTGATTCAGCGGATTATGTTCCCAGATGCATGTGTTAACGACGCCAAGATGTCCCCCGATGGCAAGTGGCTGGCCTGTGCAGGCGACAGTGGATACATCTGGGTCTGTCGCGTGCACTATAGCGACAAGGCAATCAAGAGCAAGAAAGTCGGCAGCGTCTTCATCGATGATTCAGCCGACCAGCCGTTCGTGGATCAACCCGATAACGACGAGCCAAACTACGGCCGGTATATTTACGTCTCCCGGCCCGAGCAGATTCCCATAGGTATTTGATGTGGACCAAGGCAAACCACAGCAGGGACAGCAGGGACAGCAGGGACAGCAGGGACAGCAGGGACAGCAGGGACAGCAGGGACAGCAGGGACAGCAGGGACAGCAGGGACAGCAGGGACAGCAGGGACAGCAGGGACAGCAGGGAAACAGCAACACGAGTCAGTGGTCCTGACGCGCCTCTCTTCTTTCCTCTTCCTGTTTCGCCATTCAGATGATATCCTGCAGGAAGAGATCACCGGCCGAAGAGTCGGCCCCTCCGAATCTGATGGCGAGCCGTCTCGCAGCCACATCTCCACTCAGTATGTTAGTTGGAGCAGCGACTCCAAGTATTTTGCACTCTCGTCCGATTCTCATTGGATCGTTCTTGTTGCCGAGCCTGCGACCAAGTCCGTGATGCTCAAGATCCTGGCTGGAGGTGGGAATTCTGCACCCCTTGCAGGCATCGTTGAATGCTTGCTGCAAACAAAGAGCGCTGCCTCGCTGCCTGTCAACAGCCATCCGTGGAGGGGGGGAGGTGGTGCCGCTTGCTGCTGCAATGATGCCGCTGTCGCACATTGCTCTCGGACAGCATATCCTGTGCTGAACTTTTGGTGCCTTTGTTGCCACTGTTGTGGACCAGCGCCCTCCGTCACTGTTGCCTTCCATCCCATCCTGCCTCGTATCCTGGCCTTCCCGAACCGCTGGGGATACACCCATATTGTCGACCTATCGTCATATGTGTCGGCGTGGGAGCTGGCGCAAAGCAATCCGGCGTATCCAGCCCCGCCTAGAGAGCAGCTGAAGCAAGACATCCGTCGTCAGATCCTGGTGGCCTCGTTCCAAGTCGTGCAGGGCTCTCGACACTCGGGTTGGGGTGGGGACAGCACCGACCCGTATGATACGGATCAAGACAGCTTCGACGATGAAGAAGAAGACGACGACGAGGACGGTGAAGATGAACATGACGAGCATCACGGCGGTGACCACGGCCACGATGATGGCGAAGGTGAAGGCGGAGTCACCGGTGAAAATGCAGGCTCGCCCCAAGTCGGAAGGCCAGCCCTGGCCCCTGTAGCCGGCTTGAGCGGCGACCAAGAAGCAATGGCGGATCAGGTAGAACCCGATGATGGAGGCGACTCCGAGGACAGCCAGGCTTGGGAAGATATAAGTGAAGATGAAACCGAAGGCGGCGACCGAAACACCGAAAAGGACATTGAGGTCCTGGCCAAAATCAACGGTATCATCTGGAGCCCCGATGGTCGCTGGCTCTATATCGGTAGGCGTTTGATTGTGAGCTGTTTGGGTCAGTTCCGCTGTCCTTGAACAATGCCTCTGCTGTGGCGGTGGCCCGATGACTCAAGACGGACTCGCTCGACTTGTGTATATTGTGTTTCAGCCGCGGTACTTATGATGGATCTCGATGCCACTACTCGCCAGCCACTGCCCAACGGGTCCAGGTCTACCCCTTCATCGGCATGCCCGCCCCGTCGCTTGTCGATCTTGCCCGTGAGCAGATATGGCACGATCGAGGACAGTGCGGCATCGACATCAAGCGGCCCATGCCCTACACCACGGCTCAAGTGTCACTCGCCGTCGGAAGCCAATACCCGGAACTGGATCCGAGCATCGAAGACCAGGCCGACAACGTTACTGGCCCGGATGGCTCGCAGATCGGCGAGCAATTCCTGGACCGCATTGCGCGGGACTGGGTTGATGAAAAGCCTTGGGTTGGGCACTGGCTGACACCCAGTGTCGATGCCTGGAGCGATGTTGAGAACGAATAAAGCCAGGCGGGCTGCCTTCCTCCCTTGGATGGACGCATGGTCATAGGGAGGTATTGCTGATTCTCACCACACATCGGACGAAGTAGGTTTGAGAGACTCACAATGGAGAGTGTATTGGCATACTTTCAATTTAGTTCACCCCCGACCCATGCATGTTCATGAGGAAGATGGGTGCGGCAGCCCAATCTGGTGTGGTATCAGTAGCAGGGCTCTGTGCGCGATCGATCTGGATATCAAAGTTCAGAGACCGAAATTCCCCAGTGCTTGGGCCAGTACGACTCCCTCAGATCTATCTGTACTGCATGTACGAGTGCTGGTTGCAGTATGTATCGCTGTAAGGATAGTCGACGGCCAAGCGGCACATGCGGCACTTGGGGAAACTGGGATCGTGATGCTCGCAATAGGGGCTGTCCTCTCTATAGATCTTTTTGAGGCATCCTCGGTTCTTGTAGGCAATCCAGTGCGAGCAAAAAGGACGGTTGGGGTCGTGGACAGTGCAGTAAGGGGTGTGCGACTGTCTCGGGCCTCGGCATGGACTGCCCTCGAGAGTCCGTGCGACGCATCGGGGGAACTCTGGATCATGGGCTCGGCAGTAGGCTCCATCGCGGCTCGTCACGAGCGAGAGACAGGGACGTCCGTTCACGGTCAAGGAGCGGCATGATGATCGTGGAGACGTGGTGGCTATCGATGATTATACGGATCAGTCAGGGAGACGATCGTATACAGTTAGTATGGGGCGCTTCGGAACGATGTTCGACCACTAACGACAGCAACGGCGGATGCACGGCTGATCAAAGCCGGGTGAGTCGATCGAACACTTACTCGGCGATCGTGGGGACTGAGGGGACTGCTGGGCCATAGTCCACTGGTTGCGGCGGGCGATTTGGCTTGTCGGAGTCGATGGGGCTGACACAATGGCCATTCTCAGGAGGCTAGGAGAGGCAGCAAGACTGTCGTCCGAGTCCGAACCAGAGTCTGAAATCGACTCCGAGTTCGAGTGGGAGTGACGACTGGAGGGCGAGGAAGGGCTGTAAGGCGTGGTGGCAGCGCCATAGGAGCGCCGAGGAGGTGTCGAGGGAGACGCCTTTGAATTGGGAGTGCGGCTCTGGCTCTGGCTCTGGCTCTGGCTCTGGCTCTGGCTCTGGCTCGGAACGAGGGTGCTGGCACCGGGACCGGGACCGGGACCGGGGCTGGTGGGAGCGCTGTGGGTGATGGTGATGGTGATGGTGCTGGTGCTGGTGCTGGTGCCGGCGCGCGGAGAGGCAAGACCTATAGCATTAAGCTTATCGATGATTTCATCGACAGAGCTCGCCGAGAGCAAAGTGGGCTGGGAAGAGGAGCGGTTGGTGAGCACGGGAACATCGGCGTCATCTTGGGGAACAGAGGTCGGGACTTGGTCGCTCTGGGTGGCCGAATCAGGCGAGCTTTCGTCGGGCACGGCGGGCACATCAGGGACGTCGGGGACGTCGGGGACGTCAGATACGGCATCGGGCTCCTGAGATGCTGTGGGGGCGGAGGGAACGAGGGACTGGGTGTCCTCAGAGGCGGGCTCTTGGAGATCCAAAGTATCGGTGTTCGGGACGGTCTGGCCCTCGGGCTCGTTCTCAATGGGGGGCTCAGAGCTCTCGTGCTCGTCCGACGGAGCGAGGAGGTCAGTCTTGGACGACGGCACGGTAGGCTCGGCGGCTTGGGTCGAGGAGTCGGGGACAGGGCTTGCGCTGGAAGGAGTCATGTTGGGCGAGTGCTCGATTGCAGGAAGACTATCGGCTGAGGGCGGATTTGTTGGATTGGACTGGATTTGGTGGGCAGCTCCTGCTTTTATGGCCCCCGACTCGCCGTTTGTATGGAGGCACCCAGCCCGACGAACCCGTGCGGATACCCAACGAGCCCTTGCGGATACCCAGCGATGCCTCCTGGCCCGACCGGCGGGCCCGTCATTCAGCAAGGGGGAGGGACACCGCGCCACTGAGAACTGTGCTGCATCGCCTCATCGGATAGTGGGCAAGGGGAATGTCAAATTTGCTGCGGCGCGCTGGCCGCGTCGGAGGCGGTGCGGGAGAGGGGGAGGCGCCATCCACCCCTGTCGCACCACTGATGTTGAACTCTCCAACTGGTGCGCGATTGCGTGCAGGATCCGGGTGTTGTGGCTATGGCGACGATGGCCCCATGGGTATCTTGCTCGCGTCACTCGGCGGGCGCCGCATTTGCGGGTGGCCCACGACACAGCGTTGAGGAGAACATATATTGTGCCAGACGGCACAGCGAGCCCGTTTCGAACCGGGATATATGATTTTTCTCTTTGCCCTGCGCCTTTCTCCCTCATCCCAGGCATGTCTTCTTCCTCTGAGCGCCGAGTACCGGGGCAGTAGCCAGCCTCCCCCCCCCCAGCGGCCATCCCGCCGAACTATTGCCGCTTGACCTTCTCCATCTTCTTGCCAAGCCCAAACCGCCAGGTGATAAAGATTTCCATGATCCAGGTTGGGAGCAGGGTCAGGAACCAGAAGATCCAGCTCATCTGCCCAATCCAGATGGTGCTTGGGACCTTTTTGCGGAGCAGCCGCCCAGCCAGCCGGATGGCAAAGAGGGCAGGGTCGCTACCGTTGGAGTGAGTCGAGGGTCGTTTGTTGATTTGCTCCTTCAGGATTCCATAGAGGGAGCCGCCTCGGGGCGAGGCGGGAAAGCCCTGGTTGAATTGCTCCATTCGTTTGCTGGTATTCTGGCCGATCGAAAGAGCACCCACCCGTCGCCCGCCATCACACTGTTCAGCAGCGGCAATATCTGTGGCGAGCAGATACAAGAGTGGGCAAAAGGTTTTGCCTGGCTCAGCAGATACAGCCTCTTACCAGCGAGATGTTGGTTTTGACGGCCCCAGCGGCCACCAAGATCACATCGATGCCAAAGGGATGCAGCTCCATCCGTCTGGTAGCACAGCCATCCACGACAGCGTCCCGCGGCAGGAAACAGCCAAGCAGCAGCAACAGAGGGTTGGCATCTGGCGAGCCCCTCCACCAACCCCCACGAGCACATCCTTGCGGCAGCGACTTACAGGGCGGACGTGATTGCGTGGACGGCTGCCTTGCTTGCGCAGTACACTCCCGTCCTAATAATCGACCCGGCCTCAGCGGACAGAGCCATCGATAGTCCCAGGAATTGCTGTGGGGAGTCGCAGCTGCAGTGGTGCGCTCGAAGCCTCGGCCCCACTTACCACGGAATGGGAATGAACCCCACCATGCTTCCAATATTGACGATTCTCCCCGTTTGTCTTGAGGCCATATGCGGCACCACCTGTTGCGAAAGCAACGGCATACGCACCCGTCGAAGAAGAAGAATGGCTCAGCGCTCACGTCAGACGCCACAGGCCATCTGTGGTATCCACTTCCCGCTGCGAGCTGCTCCTCTCTCATCCGGAGCTCGCTGTCGGATATCCTTACCTCCTGGATGGTGTTAACCAGGCCAAAGACGTTTGTTTCGAAGGTGTCCCGCATCCCATTGACATCGACCTCGACCACCGGCCCCGAGAATGACACGCCGGCGTTATTGATCTGAGAACGAGGCGCAAATTGTGTGAGCGGAGACCATCTTTAGCCGAGTCCCTTGGCCGATTCCGATAAAGTCAATCTGCCCCACGATCGACTGGGCCTCGGTACTTGAGCATGCGGCCCTCCGGTGAGTCGAATCGCTCTCCACGGAAACCCCTGCCCGCTTCGCTTGCGCCGATGCTGTCGCTTTCGCTATCGCCGTCCTTGCCCTCACCAGCATGTCAATCTTGCCAACGCGTTGGACGATTGCTGTGATGGCCCGCTTGACACTCTCCCGATCAGTGATCTCCATGATGACCACCGTGACGTTCGGGTCGTCCAGCGACACCAGGTCCACGGCGGCATCTGCTCGTCGCACGGTCGCAAAGACCCGGCACCCCATCGTCGAGAACGCCTTGACGAGGGCATGGCCGATGCCTCCCGTCGTGCATCCAGTGATGACAATGACCGGAGCTAAACTGCTAGCCCCGGCGCTCTGCTGTGGCGATGACGCTCCGGGCTGGCCGCTGCCGTGGCCTCCGTTGCTCTTATCGGCCGGTGGGCTCGGGCAGGACGGTGGCGTGAGCGGCGGCGATTTGTCCGTGGCGTGGTCCTGCGGGCTCGATCCGTTGCGGGTGCTGTTGAAGTGGCTCATTTGGAGCTCGAGTGCATCCAGGGTCGGACGGCTGGCTGGCTGGCTGCTTGGCTGTTTGGCTGGCTGATTAGGTGGTGAGTCGAATTTGAAGGTATGGCGATGGTAAGCCGTTTGCAACGAGATTGGCCCAGCGCTGCTTGAGGCGAATCAGCGAATCAACATGGGCGGGGAAGGATCCAGCGGGAGTCGTCTGTGCCGTTTTTTGGCGGGCTTTGTCGATGCGGAATGGTGCTTGGCGGCCGTCGCGGGCGACCGCCTCAGGGGTCGATGTGGCGCTCCATGGGGATGAGTCTGCGAGATACGAAGCTTCATGAGCCCAAGCAATGTGCCCAAGCGACGCAAGATCCCGGAATCGAGCCGCGGGAGGTTCCAGTTGCTCACCGGTGGCATTGTATGCAGCACTTTGCTCCGTCAAGAACCGGGCCAGCTCGTCGAATAGATGTGGGTGCTATACACTTGCAACACCCAGAACCAAAGTGAAAGCTGCGGATATTCCGCCGTCCGCGATAGCTTTTCTCCTTTCCTCAGACTCCAAGGCGCACCCAGCAACTCGTCGGATGGTTTTCGCCGCAAACTGCGATATTCGAGCGACGGATCTGATCGAAAGCACGGTGCTATTGCGAGAGCGCACGATTAGCTGGCTCAACTGCCATGACCCGGCGCTCGGTCAAGTCACTCGTCTTTCCATCCCGCGACATCAGCGGCTCGATTGATCGCAATCCAGGATGTGTATAAGCACAGCGGCTCCCCCAACAACGATATCCACAGAGCCAGTCGCTTGCGCTCTATCAGGCAATCTCTATATCTGCTTCGCCATCGCGGCGTCTCCCCAGGATATGAGCTGCCCGTCCGCCGAGGTCGAGACCATGGAATGCATCTTTGGGTGGTATGCCACGCACAGCACAGTTCTTGAATGGTCGCTGAGTGTCTGCAGAACGTTGCCTTCGACGAGATCCCAGATGAAAATCTTGCCGTCCTCGCTGCCGCTGATGCAGTAAGCGTCGTTGTTGCTGAGGGTCGAGGTGAGGCGGTAGACGGTGTTTTTGTGCGAGCGATAGCTGTCAAGGATGCGAACATCATGAGCAGGATGGAAGGTGTGAGTCGTGTGAGCCGTGTGAGTCTGGATATGAACGTGCTTGAATCGGCCAGGCACCTCGTCTCGCACTCGGCTTTGTTCCAGCAGCAAGTCAAGTCGGAAAGACAAGTGAACGCACTCGCAAAGTAACCCGCCGTTGTCCTTGTCAAAGAGGCGAACAGTTTCGTCCAGGCTGCTGACGAGTAGACAGGCCTTATCGTTCGAAAACCGTGCTGACGTGACCGGATCTGAACAGAAGTTTGGGCGGCAGAAAGTCAGCGCGATGTCCAGGCTATGGAATCAAACACCAAAGCCCCAGGCGAATGGAATACAGAGCACCGCAAAACAACCATGCTGCCATCAGCGGCGTAGTCATGGATATGTGAACTGAGTGAAAATGCTCCTCTCGACTGAGCGCTTACGTCCAACGTCGTCCGTCGTAAGTTGACCCATGCGGATATCGTAGAGCCGCACTTTTCCATCGACAGACCTGTATCGGGAAGAGCGTCAGTGATCAGCGGCGGTCTGGGCCCAGTAGCCATCAAAAGTCAGCCCCCTCGGCCGTCACCATCTGGCTGCCGTTGGTGACAAGAAACTCACCCAACAAGTATCTCCGTGCCGGCAACATCGACCGAAGTTACGTCGTCCTTGGCCTCCTCTAGCTGTTGGATCGGAAAACGGCCATGGGATCTATCCGCCAATGAAGCAGATCGGGCGAATGGTTGCCCCGGCTTCAGCCCAGATATCGACTGTGTAGTGGCTGCGGCCAATACCCGTGCCGATCCTCCCATTACCTCATCGATGCAGAACCTGCTCAGAGTCGCTGGATTGATGTCCGCAGACACGCCGCACACCGGACCTACCTGGTGTCCCAGATCCTGACGGTTGCGTCGTAGGATCCCGAAACGATAACCGAGTTATCGTTGTTGAAACAGACGGCGTTAATACGGTGTGTGTGGCCGACGTATTTCCGGATGATGTTTCCGGTCGGGATATCCCATAGGAAAACGGTCTTGTCCATACCGCCGGAAGTGAACTTGAGGTCGTCGGATGAGCTGCATGCCGATCCCCGATCGAGCAAGACCATTCCATATTGCGGCAACGAAACAGTGTCAGCGAAAGCTGGCCTTACAAGATCTTGGTTGATGCCATCCAGCTGTAGCCAGGAGCAACTCGGACGGACTCGACACCAAGACGATCTGGGGGCGCCGTGAGCAATGAACCAACTTGCCATCGGCTTGCCTCTCCTCCTCCAACCGAGATCGCTATTCCAGAACCGTGGCAATCGGACTTACATGGCAACATCCAGGACTTCGTATCCATGTCCCTTGAAGGTTTTGATGCAGAGTCCGGTGAGTGGATTCCACAGCTTGACGAGGCGGTCGGCAGAGCCAGTCATGCAATAGGATCCATCGGAATTGTAGCACACCGTCTGAATCTGGGCAGTGTGTGCAGGGATCTTTTGGATGGGTTTGGTGGGGAAGGACATGGCGACGGCTCCGGGACTGGCGAGTGCGAGGATGTCTGAAGCTCGAGAGGGAGATGAGGAGTCGGGCCAGCGCTCCAAACGAAGGCCGATGCTGTCTCGGATGCGGCTGTCGATGCGAGTCTCGGAAGCGATCGCTGGATCGGCTCGGGATGCAGTTTGGCGGCTGAGGGGGCGACCCCGGAGCAAATGCGAATCGGGTTGATCTCGGCGTTGGCCCGATCGAGCCGGATGATTGACGGCAGTCGAGACGAGGTTGATGGCAGTCGAGACGAGGTCGATGCTGGCCGAGCAAACGGATCGCGCCCTTTCTGCCCGTCTGGCCCTGGACGCTCCACACAGCTCACAGCACTCGCCATTGTCGAAGATCGCCGACAGCAAATGTTGATCCCATATCGGCCTGCGTCGATCCAGATTTGTGCCACCGGCAGGCCGTCGGATTCGCCATGATTCAGCCCTTTGGCGGTCTTGCACGGTCGAGGCGAGGCGAGCCCACTCCCGCGCTCGGTGTCGTCGATGCGATTTCGTCGTGGCTCGCCCTCCCGTCCTGCAAGTTCGTCTCCATCGTCCACCCCCATCTGCGTCGAGCAGCAAGCGCATCCGAGCCGAAACCGAGTGAAGACACATCTCCGAGATGAAGTTGGCTGCAGCGCTGATTGCATTGATATCCGTCGCCGGTTCCGTCCGTTCACTTGGTATGTGCACAGGAGCGGGCCAAGAGATACTGGAGCGCGCTCTGGCTGCAAGACGGCGCTCGGATCGCCGATGAAGCAACCGAGAGTGTCTGCTGGGCGATGCGATAGCGGCTGTGGGATGCACCAAACGAAAGCATCTCGCAACGACAGCACCGGCTCGCCGCGCGGTCTTGATAAATATCTATGGGCTGTCGCGCTTGTGCACTTGGAGTGCGGCATGTTCGATATCGCGGTGCTGGTTCTCGCGAACATGCCATGCAAATCCCCTGTCCAAGCATTCTCCAGCCCACCCGATCGCGGCGCTGGCTTCCCAGCTTCTCTTACTAAACGGCATTCCAACTTCACGCTGCGGGCACGTCCTGTTCTGTTTGCATCTCATTCCATCGGCTCCGGTAGCTGTTCCTATCAAGGAGCTGGTCGGCGACGTTCGGCCACAAGGCCTCCTCAATGAAGCCGATCTCAACCTGAGTCTCAAGGAAATCACCAAGAAGCTCGAGTCAGGCGACTCCCAGGTCGCGAAATCCAACGCCATGGCCGAAAAGGCGGCTTACCCCGATGACGAACCTGTCGTGATGCTCGAGAAGCGCCCCCAGAAGCAAAACAGGGTGCCCCGAAAGAAGCAGCGTGGCAAGAAAAACATGATCGAGGAAAAAATGAAGTCGGGCCGAGTCGCCGACCCGGCCGAGAAGCCCAGCAAGGTCAAAGGCAACGGCTCGGGCGATGGCATTGAAAGACTCAAGAAGACGCCCAAGAAGAAGCAAGGCGATCCCGAGGCGAGGCTTACTCCCGAGCAACGCGAGAAGGAACAGTACTGGCGGCTCATGAACTCCAAGGCCGAAAAGCCCGAAGACACCATCGAGCATGACGCGGACCCGCTGCTTCAAGCGCAGGTCATCATCAAGGGCAAGCCCGAGAGCGAGACCATCAGCAAGAATGATGTTCTCTACGACGTGCTTGGCTCGGATCAAGATCCCAGCCCACTGGCCAAGAGCAAGCCCTTCCTCGATGTGTCTGCAGAGGCTCCAGCAAGACAAAATGACCAAGACATGCCCTCCGACAGCATCGAGGAGGCTTCGGTTATTAAAATCACAGACGAAGGCAAGGTCGAGACAGGCAAAATGGCCTCCCAGCGGTGAGTACCTGCCTGTCGGCGATGCGAAGGCTGGCCGTGTGTGGTGAGTTGAAGGTACTTTGTAGGCGTTCGCATGAGTGACTGTCTGCATGAACGGGAATTCGGCTGCTAACGTGTTTGCCGATCGATTCAGAATGGCCGAGGATAAGCCGGACCCTGCGTGAGTGCCATGATGATTGGTGGTCGGCGTTGGAGGTGACGCACAATCAGAACAATTTCCCGAGCATGAAGCCGCTCGCCCCGACTCTCTGATGCTACTCAGTCCGGCCGTATGCTCACGGCGGCTGACCCTCCGCGATGGCCGTCACATGAACATCGTTCCGGTGCCAAATAGCGCTGGCCACTCTACTATGCTTTGCTTTTCGTTGTGTTGATTTGCTGTTTTCTTTCAATTGACTACTCCCCCCCCCATAATCCTTTTGGAGCAGCGATGCAGTCGATAGAGTCACGTTTGAAGTCGCCGCCGGTGTTTTATCCGAGCCTCTTGCTGACAAATCTGCCGTTGTCGAGGGTGGCCTCGAGGGGCCAACTCGTCTCGAAGATGACCTGAGCCCCGACCTGGAAAGCAGCAAAAACGCGCCCATCAGCCAAGAAATCGAGTATTACTCGGTCTCCGATGCCTCGGGCTTGACCGACGACAACCATACTTACGAGAACACCCAGCCGGAGACTTGGACCAGAAAAGACGAGCCCCTCGGCGCTGCTGCGGAGGCGTCCGATCGAACTGATCATCTCGCCATCTCTGCAGAGGAGTTTGATGCGTCCCGAGACAGAGAGTTTGTCGGACTCCTCAATGCCCCGGGTGGCATCCACGACGAGGAATACCGCGATTTCAACGAGCGCTTCATGATTGAAGTATATGCCTGAGGCGAGGGGGGAAGTGCAGCATGATGCGACCCATTGGCATCGGCTCGCTTCCGGTGGAGCGCGACAGGCATAGATATGTCCTCCGGGCGAGCATATTCGAATCGTTGACACTTGAGATAAATGGTGCATATTTCGAGCTGGGTGGGCTTTGTTTTAGCTGTTGGGGGCGTTGCTCCCAATGGCACTCCAAATGAAGGAAACGATGGAAAGTTGCAATCCAAATCACAGTCTCGAGATACAAGGGGCATTCGGCCATCTGGACAGCGCGGCGGATGGGCGTGTGCAGGATCATGGATAGCGATTTGCGGGGAACTCGAGAGCGACTTTTGGTTTACTGCGTGTCGAATAGACAATTAGACACACCATTCCTCTCGAACGAACGCAGGTCGTTGTTGGACCGTTGCACACTCGGTCGGGAACAACGGAGCCGGCCAAATCATTCCCGAGCCCATGACGGACGACATCCAGCCAGTCGGCTGATCGACATCGCTCAGCCCACACAAGCCATCCATATTATCCGCGTGGTGGACAGTGTTGTCACCCGCCGAGCAGCGCCACGTTCTATTTTTATCCCCTTCAGGTTTCACCTGTGTCAACTCTACCACCTCCTCGTCTCACCCAGCCATCGCCCGCAACCCGCTCAGTCGTCGCCGCTTCTCATCGTTCTCGATCCCTCAGCAGTAGTCGTCACTCCCACGCCGCGCCAATGTCTGATAGACTGTTCGCCCGATCCACCAGGGATCGCCCGGCCTGGTACATTTCGCCCAGCGACATCACCAATCTCGCAGCCAGCCCCATCGGTCGGGGCGGCTTTGGTGAGGTCCTGACAGGAACGTACTTTGGGTCCAAGGTGGCCATCAAGCGACTCCTGGGCAGCTACAACAATCGCGAGCTCGCCGAGTACAACCACGAAATCGATATCTGGAAGCATCTCTCCCACCCCAACATCTTGCCTCTCCTTGGTGCCTGTGACAAAGATGATGACAGCCAAGTATCTCCCTTCATGGTGTCGCCTTTCATGGCCAATGGCACCCTCCGCAAATATGTCTCCGACAACACCGTCACTGTGGAGGACAAGCTTCGCTTGCTCTACCAAGTTGCATCTGGTCTGGCGTACTTGCACGGCCGCCGCATCGTCCATGGTGACCTCAAGGCTGCAAATGTCCTTCTGGACAATTCGTTCAATGCCGTCGTCGCCGACTTTGGCTTGTCCAGCACCAAACACACCTCTGCTTCCTTCAACCGGACAAGAATCCATCGCCCCGATGGCGGGACCGAGGGCTACATGGCGCCCGAGATGTTTGACGAGGACGACCCCAGTGGTTCTTCCCTAAAGACCGATGTCTATTCGTTTGCCATCACGATGTACGAGGTCCTCAATGACTCAAAGCCGGTTTGGGTCACTGCCAATGGCCAGGCAATGAAGCCTGCCCAAATCTTGTCTCAGATATTCCAGAATAAGCGCCCCAAGCGACTCGATGGAGTTCCGGACGACATTTGGCTCCTCATTGAGAGTTGCTGGGCCCAAGAGCCTGCCGACCGCCCCTCGTTTTCTGAAATCCTTGCTGTCCTTGAGCCCTACAGCTCGCCAAGCCTGGGTCCAGTTCTGAACTCGGGAATCGCATCGACTGCCGCGCCGTCAGCTGGATCTGAGTCCCATTCGCCGCTTGATGGGCTTGATTCGCATCCCATGATATCAAGACTTGTCCTTCGCCGTGCTCGCATGGGCAACGATGACGCATGCATCGAGATTGCCCGCACCATCACCGACGGCAAGCTAGCATCCGATCCCATCTGGAAGAAGGCATCTGCCATCATCCAGTCCGTCTTTGAAAGCAAGGATGTCAACACCTGTGTCGAGGTCGTGCGCAAGGTCACCCGGGATAGACCACCGTCCGACCCTTTCTGGGCCCAGATCGCCGATATGTTTCAGCTGATCACCAAAGACATGTGCCCCGACGCACGCAACGAGCTCTTTCGCAGAATCACCGATGGCCGCCCTCCGGTAGACTCAATGTGGTTCGCTGCGTCCTCGGTTGTGAACCAGATATCTGATGAGATGAGTGCCGAAACCTGCCTGGCCCTCGCAACTACCCTCACCGACGGTGTGGATGCAACGGATCCAGTCTGGTCCAAAGCGGCGCTGTATTTCCAGGCCGCCGCCAACCACGAGAACCTCGAGGCGTACTTCTACCTGGGCTGGATGCATTTTATCGGCCTCGGTGTTCCGCAAAAGGACGTCGATGCGCTCGACTACTGGCAGGAAGTCAGCACCAAGTCCACCAACACAATGCACAAACCCATCGCCACCCACATGCTGGGTTGGATGCACTACCTGGGTCGGGGCACCCAACGAGACGAGCCAAAGGGCGTCAAGCTCATCCGAAGCAACAAATCGGACGAGTTCCCACTCGGAGAAGAGAACAGCTTGGCCGCCTATGGGCTTACTTGCTCCGAGGAGTTGGCCGCCTGCAAGTTTTTTGAGCTGTGCCGGCTGGGATCCGATCAAGAGTGGCTCTGCAGGCATCTCATGGCCGTGTGTTTGGTCCAAGGGTTTGGTACAGGAAAGGTCCAGAAGAAGGCCGCAGGAATCTTTGCCCAGCTCGCTGCCCAGAATCATGGCGACAGCCAGCATTGGCTGGGAACGTGCCATCTCTGCGGCTGGGGAGCACCCAAGGACGAGTCAAAGTCTTTCCAGTGGTACAGTAGTTCCGCCAGCCAGGACAACTCGTATGGACACTATCGTCTCGGCGGATGCTATTTCCGCGGATGGGGAGTTGCTCAAAGTCAAACCATGGCCCTCAAGTCGTTCCGCAAGTCGGTCGAACATGGAAATCGCTACGGCCAGTATCAGATGGGCTTCTGCCACCAATTTGGCATCGCCGCTTCAAAGAACATTGGCACCGCCATTTTCTGGTACCGCAAATCTGCTCAACAGGGAAACGACTATGCCGTCAAAAGGCTCGAAAAGCTTGGAAAGTAGCGTGCCCCCGCCCTGTCGTCACCGCTGTCCGAAAGCGGATCCCAGGAGCAAATGCACGGCCGAAAGATGGATGCGAGCAAGGGCTGAGGGTATCGGTATTCAGGAGTGCCGTCGCTGCCATGTGAAACAATACACGATTGGCTCCGTTTGAATGGGCATTGTAGACGCCTCGTCGTCTCCGATACCGCAAGAGGTGTGGCAGCTGGATCCTCCATATTCCCGTAGCGAAACCAGCGGCGGTCATCCGCCGTGCTGCAGCCGACGGCGGTGCCGACCGTTCTGGATGGGAGGAGCACATCCCGGGTGCCATCCGGCTGAGTCATGCTGACGGCGCGCACCGTATATGACGAGCCCCACCGCACTCGGCGCCCGTCTTCCCATATCTCATCCTTCACCCCAGAACTTGATCCACCCTCCCTGCACGTAAGCGCCGCGTATCTATCCATGGCCGACAAACGACGAAAGATTCTGATCGCCCTCGGTAAGCGCACGCCCATCGTCGTTCTTCGCCCCCTCCCCAGCTGGCGCGGAGTTTGAGAGCGAGAGCACCCTCCTGTGCCGCCCAAGCCGTTTGCGAGGATCTTGCAGCGACCAGGGTCTTCGACCGATACGATCGACCAGTTTCGTTAGCAGACGGGCGCGCTGTGCTGACACTCTTTCTCGACCCCGCAGACGACTCCGAGTCGGCGCGTTATGCCCTCGCCTGGTCGATGGAGAACGTCATTGACTCGACCCGCGACCATGTCGTCCTGCTGTCTGTGGGAATCTTCCACGATCGCTGGAACGAGCTCTTTGTCGCGGCGATGGGCCCGGCCTATACTCAAGGTAAGCCTGTGGGTTTTGGATCTGTTCCGACGAGCTACGATTCTGGCAACGACCCGGCGAGGCAGGACAGGCCCTGAGGACCACCGTTCGCTCTGCACCGGCCTCCCTCTGATGCGTGCCTATGTCGACCATGCAGAAAACCGAGAGCAGCTGGAGATGCAGGCCGAGGACTTTTCAAGAAAGATCCTCAATGATGCCACCAAAGTCATCCAGGAACACGCTTCAAATCTCAACGACGGAGCGAGTGTAAGCAGCGCTTCATCGGATATATCGATAGGGGAGGCTCATATCGATCGTGGAAATGAAAGCTCGAGGCAGCGTTGCTGATAGTGCACCTCGCTTGCAAACAACCAGATCTCGCACGAAATCTTTGCCCTGAAAGGCGGCGATCCTCGCGACGTCATTGTCGACTTTTGCCACAACATGAATGCAGATATGCTCATTGTCGGAAGCCGCGGCATGAGCAATCTTGGCCGGTGAGTCCCCAGCCGCTTTGAGCGGTTCGACCTTGGCGCTGAGTGGCGGTTGTTGCAGCCGTTACTGACCCGAACATGCCCATGATTCCGCAGGGCCCTGGTCGGCTCGGTGAGCGAATATCTGGTGCACCACGCTCCGTGCCCTGTCCTCGTCGTCCGTCCAAGCGGCCAAGCCTGATGCAGCCGGCGGGCGCATGACTGCATGGTCTGCCAAAGCGACGCCACGGAGTTCAAACAGACGGCCGCCAGTGGGTGCGGGGTTTTGGCCTTGCACTTGGTTCTGATGATCGAATACATCGGGTATTTGAAACGCAGAGCTTGGTCTGGGGAGCGGCGGTGTGACAGCAGCCTTCATGGACACGGATCGATCCAGCCAATCCAGCCAATCCAGCCATCCAGCCAATCCAGCCAGCCAATCCAAATCCGTCCGCTTGTGTCGCACAGGCGGTCTGGCTCGTTCTTTCTTCTTCGTCGGGCGAGCCAATCGCCGCGCGTCCGCAGAACAACGCCGCGGGTCTCCTTGCTGGATCTCCCGTCCCCCGCCGATGCGCCGGTCCCTTGCAGGTGGCGCTTGTGTCTCCGCAGCGGCCGCGCTTGCCGCTCGCGTGGCAGGCACTGTTTGTTTGCTTGTCGGCGCCGTTGTCGTGTGCGCTGTGTTGTTGCTCTCTGTGCCTCTGTGTGCGTGGGGGACGAGCGGGCGGACACGCGTCCCAGAGCGGCATTGTGCGACACCGCCCGCGTCACCTCTGTCTCACAATTCCGCGTCTGTCCCACCACCCCTGGCCCCGGCCCCTTGCCTGGCCCTCCACCCACGCCCGTCTCCCGATCCGGCCCCTGATCGGCTCGGTATATAAGCGCCTCCCTCGCCCCTCCTCCTCCTCTTATTCCATCACTTTCCAGACCAAACGTCTCTGCCATCTCGCCGTCGGCGTCCGTCTCAGGCTTCCCGCTCTCCCGCTCGCTCGTCTGTCCTCCGTCGCCATGCACTCCCGTCTCTTCCTGCTCCTGGCCATTGTCGTGCTCGTCCTCGTTGCCCACTCTGCCGAGGCCAGCCAGCGCAAGGCCAAGAAAACCACCAAGAAGACCACCACCACAAAGCCCACCAAGCCCACCAAGGCTCCTGCTCCTCCCCCGCCTCCTCCCAGCGGCGGCAAGAGCCTGGCCTATGCCACCTACCACATGTACACGAGCAGCGAGGTGTGTTTCCCTTCTTTATGCTTCTCTGCTCTTTGCGGATGGCGCCTTGCAGCCCAGGTCTATTCGATCGTCCGCGTCGCACGGACAATGTCTCTCTGCCTCGTGGGCTCAGCCGGCATGCAACTGACCCTGATTGTCCCTTCCGACCTGCCCATTCCTGCGACACAGAGCCTCTCGACTGTTGCCTGCAGCGACGGATCCAACGGCCTCATGACCCGCTGGGGGTACTCCAACCTCAGCCCAATGTGGCCCTATGTCATGGCCTTTAACGGCGCCGGCTGGAACAGCCCCAGCTGCGGCACCTGCATCGAGCTCACCGACACCATCACCGGCAACACCATCCACGCCACCGTCATCGACCAGTGCGGCCCTCCCCCCAGCGGATACAGCGCCCACTTTGACATTGCCCCTCCTGCCCACCAGGAGCTCTTTGGCGCCTCGGCCAGTGTCAGCAAGGGCTTTGGCAGTGCCACCTACCGCACCGTCTCCTCGTCCAACTGCCGTGGCAACCGTGGATAATCGATATCCTCCCTTTTCATGTCGCCCTCTGGCCCGCATTTCTATCCTGCCCATCTCTTTCGTCCAACGAACCACCGCCCGTCGCGGGTGGGTGCTCAAGTCTGCATTTCCAACAACCCCATCCTAGCCGCTCGCCACACCCATCCACCGCCGCATTTCGCACACACTCCTGAATCTAATCTGTCTTCAGTAGAGAAAATGGCGCCTCGCTCACTCCCCCCATTCGCTTTCCTTTGCTCTTCTTCGAAACCCTGACTATTGACCTCCATATCTCGACAAGCCGTTTAGGCTGAAAACACATAGAAGGCTGGTTCTTTCTACCATGATGTTCTTCTCGCGACCAATTGGTTCCAGAATACAATCGATTGCTTTGACACATCCAAATCGCTCTTTTATTTCCGTTGCTGCGTCGGCTGTGCTTCGTGATATGCGGCTCGGGTCATCCGTGGATCCCGCCAATCTGCTGCAGCAATGCAAGTCCGTGCTGATCACGCAAAGAGCTTCTTGACGTCTTTGGCCAGCACGGTCTCGTCATCCTTGGGCAGGATGCAGGCTTTCCAGTCGGCATGGTCCGGTCTGCCTATCAGGTTGGCCAGGACGGCGCTGAGACACACCAGAACACGGTTAGTATCGCTGCCAGTTCGCTCCATGTCGTCGAGCTCTGGCTGCCACAACGCCGAGGCCGGCCTTTCGCAATATCACAACGGTCACTGCATCGCACTGGGGCCTCACCGTGGGAAGATCAGACTGAGGGCTCGTCGGGCCCGGCGCCCCTCGTCGATGGCCTTGCGATACTCCTGGAGCCGCTCGGCCGTTGGAGCGATGATGATATGCTTCGTGTCGCCACTGGTGTCTCGGAACTCGACGTGGCAATAGGGGGACTGTGGATCGACGGGATACGCTCGGGTGTCGTGCGCAATGTTGGTGACGGTCAGGTCGTATCCGTCCCCCTCGGCCGCCTGTGAAAATGCCTGCTCAAGAGAGCCCAAGAGAGCCTTGGGGATGGGCACCAACTGCGTTGCCAACAGACATACGGGAGAGAGCGGACTCGATATCAGCAACCGTCGAACTGGAGGCAATAAGCAGCTCCATCTTCTCCAAAGTGCATTCGTCCGTCATCCAAACCATGCAGTATCCCTCCGCTGGTACCAAGGAGCTCCATCGGCGCTCCTTTCCTTCGCCCCCGAGTCGCTTACCTGTAGATGCATGTGCTGAAATCCCGAGTAGTACCCGCCAAACATCTCAAACGCGACCAGAACCTCGTCCCGCTCCTCCACTGCCTTTGCAAACTTGAGCTTGATCGCATCCATTTCATCGAGGATTCTCTGCCCAGCCTCGGCCGTGATGGTGCCGGCGCCTTCAACCGGGTTCTCACGAGCAAGCTCGGGGTCTTCGAGCAGTCGGATGTTGGGATAGTGTGCGATGGGGACGATCAACAGGTGCCCTCCCCATGGTGACAGCCCGCCTTTGGCCAGAGTGACGTAGACTTCGTCGCCGATGGACACAATCAGATGCTTCTCAAGTTTGGTATTCGACAGACAGAACCAACACTCGTGCGCTGTGTGCAAACGGATCCCACAGATGGCCATTAGTTGCTGTGTTTCCAAGGCAACATCGGTGAGCAGTCCGACTACTCCCATCACACCAGCCCCGCCCGCTGCCACGAGACATCTTTCTGCAAGGCCCCTACATCGCTGCTCGAGATACGCCTTCTTCTCGGTTGTTTCGTTGGCCTTGGGGCAGTTGCGGATCAAATGTCCCGGCACGTTGCAGATCTTGCACAAGTAGCCCTCCGGCACGGCTGTGTTGCCTCCCGGGGCCGATTTCTGTGGGCAGTTTCGGATCCAGTGGCCCTTTTGGCTGCAGATGTTGCAGGTGTATGTGTCAGGCGGCCCCCCTGCACCAGTTCCTCCAGCCTCGCTGTTTGCTGCCTGGCGAGCGAGGACTTCGGGGCAGTTTTGGATCCAGTGGCCCTTTTGGTTGCAAGCATTGCATGTGTATGTATCGGGAGGAGGAGGGCGAGCGGCGTTGTTGCTGCCTCGGTTCGGACACTCCTTCACAAAGTGACCGGGGATGTTGCAGATCTTGCAGACATAGCCATCTGGCGGCCCATCTGAAGAACAGATGACGTCCCCCCCCCGTGTTCCCAGGATCGAAAGGCAACAACAGTGAGGAAGAGGCGGGTGGATACGGACAAGAGGTCCCACAAACGAGTCGATGAACCCGATGAGCTGCGCTTTGATGGCCTGCCGTGCGGCAACTCAAGCGATCGAGTGCACCGTACCTGGTCTCTGTCGCTTGCCTGTGTTCCAGAAAAAGCCCATATCCTCCTCGACTTCGGGGCCACGCTTGTTGGAGTTTGCAGAAAACAGCGAGGTCCTCATAAACGGCGAGTCTGTCACCCGACAGGCAGGCAAGACACTGAGCTGCTCCTCGGTCATAGCCGACATGGGCGTCACGTTGCATGCATAGAACCACTGCCGTTGGTTGCGAGGCCGGGGATACAGCATTAGTCGTGCTCATGTTGGCCAAAGCGGAGCCCAAACGGCACCAGGCACTATGGGCCCATGCATCCCATCCAGCAACTTACCCGCGCCGCCTTGGAGCCAAAGGGACCCAGGCCGATGAAGCGGGTGACATGGGTCGCTCCGTTGGTGTTGTAGTAAGGCTCGCGCTCAAAGAAGACTTCGGGCGAGGCCGAGATGGTATCGCGGCTGGATCGCCGCCACAGCCGAAGCCAGATCCCGAGAGCCCTGGCTGCCGAGTTGACCTTCGATGCCGGCCTTGGCTGCGAGCTCGGACTGGTTCTGGATGCCAAACGGATACTCGAACGACAGCAGAATGTCGATGCCCTTGGGACCCTTGCCCGCAAGCTGCTCGCATTGCCGCGGGAGATTGCGGAGCTGGGCAGCATCCCGAGCGTCTCCTCCGACGTATGCGATGCGGATGCCCTGGGTGGTCGTGTAAACGCCGGTCGGGCCTGCCAGAGGGTGATCACCGATAATGATAAATACCGGGCCGGGACCTTGCTGCTCAGCGAAGAAACGAACGGCGATCGTGCCCCCCCCTTCCCCTGCGCTGTGATTATGCAACAGGCGCCAGATCAAGCGCCAGCCCGTCCAACAGCGATCAAGGGCCACATCCACAGCCTCGATGGACGGGCTCCTTACCGAGGAAAAACAGGTTCTCAGCAAGATCGCCGCCAGAGCGCTCCATGGCAGCCTTGGCCTTCTCGGGAATCTTGCTGCTGCCGGACAGAACATAGGTAGAAGTTGGGACTGGCGGCGAGAGAAATTGCCGGGAGTTAGATGGCGATTCCACATCGATGGTAAATCGCAGATGCCAGGACATGTTCGGATGCCACGATCTTGGCTCTTGGCTCTTGGCTCTTGGCTCTTGGCTCTTGGCTCTTGGCTCTTGGCTCTTGGCGCTCGCCCCCCCCCCAAAGGGCGATCCTTGGCTGGCTCCGGAACTGTGACCCATACCTTTGAGATCTCCATCGAGCAGGCTCTGCAGCTGGTTACTTGACACCGATCCCTCTTCATCATCGGTTGGCGCAAAGAACTCGCCAACACAGAAGATCAGATCGAAGGGCCCGTTCTTGGCATGGATGGAGCTGATCTTGGAAGCAAAGGTCTTGTACTGTCCACGGACGGGACCCACGGCGAGGCTGTTGGCCGGCAGTTGGGGCAGTAAGCACACAGACAAACAACCAGGCAGCCAAGTCGATAGAATGTGCATGGAGACTGGTGATCTTGGTTCTTGAGTCTGCGTTGCATGCCAGATCCCGGCGCGACATGCAAAACGGATCTCAGCGAGGGACGAGATTCCAGGTGGACATCTCCATCGATATAAGCCGTCGCAGGGCAACGGTCTGTATATCGGTATGCCTGCACCAGCAGACAACGTACATTTTCACTGTCGTCATCTTGTTGTATTCGCGGCCGGCGATGACTCTCCCGAACGGTGCTCCTGTTGCGGGTTGCGAGGAAGGGACAGGCTCAAGGCGAAGCTCGATGCACACACGCCGATCTTTTGCTGATGCCGTGGGCTGAGGTGCTCCCGGTCTGCTGTAGTGCCGCTGTGGTGCCGCTGCGGTGCTTGCGAAGACCGTTGGTTTGGTCGCCGCCAAGATGATCGGCAAGAGCGTCCCTGGCCTCAGCACCGGTTTTGGTGGCCAGCCGTGCGCAGCAGTGACGCCTGAGTGAGTCGGTCTTGCACCAGCGACGGCTGTCGATCGGTCGGCCTGTCCTTGGACCTGCATCGCCAACCTGCTGCGTCCATCAGCAATCCCAAGCACCACCTCGATCTGTCTTCCTGCCATCCGTATCTTGCGGCTGGCTACATTTACATCTGTTGATCTATCTTGTTTGATCTTGGACTTTCCGTCTTCCCCTCCCCACATGCCCGAGAAAAAAGCCGTCGCGCCTCAATGGTGGTTTGGTAGGCTCTGTGTTTCCCAGCCCTTCCGCTCGGGAGCGGTCGACAGCCGCACATCCCGCACGAGGGGCGTGGAACTGGGCTCGTCAATGCAGGCTCAGCAGATGTGTTCTCGAGGTCCACGGCATCGTTAACTCTGGCATGTGCGCCTGTGTGCTCGCCCTCTCTCCGGACCAGGTGGCGCCGCTGCCGCAATTGCCGCTTGCTTTACTCAGTAAGTATCGGAGGCTCCACGGAGGCCAGGGGAGAACGACGACTGGCACTCGGGGTCGATGCATCTGCCAATAGAGCTCTCGGGAGATGAGCGCTTTGTCCGCGATGCATGCACATTCGCGCTGCAGACACAGCCATGGGGCCTCATTTGCTCCTGATCCTGGAGGAACCGCCTCCATTCCATTCCATCTCATCTCATCCATCCCATTCCATCCATCCCATCCCATTCCGCCCGTTTGGCGCTGCCCAGTCCCCTGGACACGATCAAGGTCCGTCTCCAGACCGTCACCGGCAACGGCAGCATTGCCACGGTGATTGTGGACTCGTTCAAGAAAGAAGGCCCGTTTGGGCTCTATGGAGGTCTCTCGGCCTCGCTCCTGCGACAGGGCACCTACTCGACGGCCCGGTTTGCCGTCTATGACGGCATCAAGCTGAAGCTCCAGCCAGATCCCAAGGGTATGGGCGTCGCGCCGGATGCTGGCTTATCGCCGCGGCTGGGTTCAAAGGATTGCTCCAGAGCAGCGGTGCTGGAGCGGGGTGGGGCCGAGCACGGCGATCGGCAATACGGCGGCTGTTGCATCGGCAATGGCAGCGTTGTCGATACGAATGTGGACGGCCTCGGGGCTGGCTTTGGATAACCGTCTTTGCTCGCACACTTGGGCCTCAGTCCCTCTGACCTACAGCGAAAACATCCTTGCCGGCATTGTCGGTGGTCTCATTGGAGGCCTCTGCGGCACTCCGGCCGACTTGGTCAATGTGCGTATGCAAAATGACGGCAAGCTCCCCGTCGAGAAGCGCCGTGGCTACAAGAATGCCTTCCACGGCTTGTACCGAATCGCCAAGGAGGAGGGCCCGGTAGCGCTCTTCCGTGGCATGGGGCCGAATCTGTACCGATCCATGGCCATGACGGCGAGTCAGGTCGGAAGTAAGTCCTTGTCGCTCTGGCGAGATATCTGGCCACTGCTTGATACTGTGGCGGTCAGAGGACAGCTTGGAGACTTTGGCTGTGCTGTGCTCTCCCAGACCGCAAGAGTGCGAGAGGCTCTAACCAGCCCACCCTCGTTCCAGGCTACGACATCTTCAAGAACGAGCTCCTGTCCACCGGCTATTTTGTCGACAACATATACACGCACTTCACGGCCAGTCTCTTGGCTGGCTTGGTGGCCACGACGGTCTGCTCGCCGTTTGATGTCGTCAAGACTCGGATGATGGCCTCGTCCACTGGAGCGAACAAGGTGAGGGAGGGAAGGGGATTCGGACGGTGCCTGTTGTGGTCTCTCTTCTTCATGTTGGCTCCGAAATGTGTGCGCAGAGCCCCCCGACTAATATTCGCGCACCACCATCTCGATGCTGTTCCTGCTCCCGGGGCCATCTACTCGCGACTGGCTGACCTGTCAAAGGGAATGATGGGCGTCACCATGCACATTTTTAGAACGGAGGGCCCGCTGGCCTTCCTCAAGGGCTGGATTCCATCGGTGAGTCCCGCATGCTCAAGACAGCAGCTCGCTTGGGCACAGTCCAGGACGGTGCTCATGCACAGTCTCGCCGTGTGCCTCCAGAGTCTGGGTGAGAAACAACGGCGATTGCCAAGGTTGATCGCTTAGCACATCACTCACTTTGACCCGCTCGGTCCTTCGCTCTCTTGCCGAATACTCCCTCCCTCCCGGGCCGCAGTATACCCGACTCGGTCCCCACACCATCCTTACGTTCCTGGCGTATGAGAAAATCAAGGAGGTTTACTCGCACCTCGCTGCCTAATTGCCGCCAGAGCCCGCCCAGTCCACGTATACTCTGGGCCGACTGGAGATGACTCTTGCCCACGATTTCGCATGGACCCTCACCCCCCCCCCGCTCTGTTCTCTTGCGGTTGCATTGCACCGACTCACTCAGCATGCAAGATAGATATCTCTGCACCTCGTTCTTCGCGCCAAAAGCCCCACCACCCCTCGCCCCGCTTTGCGAGAGACGGTGCGAGGGACGTGGGCCAAAACCGTCGCTCGTCTCTGTGGGCCACACTCTGAGACAAGCAGACTCGAAGCTATTGGGCCAGCGGTTTATTACAAGCACGGAGGAAGTTGGGTGGATGGGTGGTTATGAATATTTTCGAGTGGGAAGCAACGGCTTGGAGGAGAACAGGCCCGGAGAAAAGGATCAAAGATAGGGAGAAGCCAGAGAGAACAGCCAACGACCGCACACGAGGCAAACTGCCACAGCATGCAGCCGGCGCGCGGACGACGGAGTCTCGGGTGCAAAGGGTTTCAGAGGAAAACATGGAACACATACACATCACAAAAAACTGCAACACACACAGCCGAGATCGGCAAGTATCGACATGAGGAGGAGTTGACCTCAGAAGCAGCCGCCAACCAGCCAGCGAGGATAGCCCGATTCACGCGGCCCAGAGAGGACGAACGCAGCTACTGCTGGGGCTTCTCGAACTTTTGGTTGACGGCGTAGAGCTTGATGTTCCGGTCCTGGGTAACGGCGAGGAAGGGGAAGCTGCGGGACAGCAACGGCAACGAGAGACATGCAAGTCAGTCAGCCCTCGTCGGAGAATGAAGTGCGGAGAGAAAGGTCCGAAGGTCTGACACGCGACATGGAAGGCAAGGCCCACAACTTCATGATGGCGACAGCCCTCTGCGAGCAGGCAAGGCAGCTCAGGACACTTACGGGTTCTCGCGCTTGTTGGTGATGACCAGGGTGGGGTCGTTTCGGAGATTGCGAACGATCAGGACGACTCCGGCGGCGACACCGAGTCCGACCATGCCCAGCAGAGGATAGAGGAAGGGGCTTCCAGGGATCTGACGCACGAGGCTGGAGTGATGGCAAGGCGGTCCGTTAGAATATCCGTGGTGACGAGAGTACGACCGATGGCCGTCAAAGTGTATTAGAATATTGGTCAGGCGGAGTGGACAATGGTGTGGGAGTTAGACGGCGGGGAAGGTCGGGCGTTATGGAGGCTCAAAACGAGTCCTCCGGGCCACAAACCAGCCGCCACCCCCACAACGCAACCAAACCTCATCTGCAGCCACCGAGGTCAGATGCAGATGCAGAAGCAGATGCAGAAGCAGCGACAGAGGCCGGGGTAGTAGTAGCGGCAGTGGCAGATGGAAGCGCGGAAGGCGGTGCGGCCGTCGTGAACGGATGCGAAAGCACTAGACTTGCCTCTTCATTTTTGCAGATAGATGGATGGATGGGAACGATCGCAGGCGAGAGGATAAAAGCTCAACGACGGGACGAGGCCAGCGACGGCGGGCTGGCGACGACGGGCGACTTTTAAGCTCTGGGCGGAGAGGGAGTCGAGGGAGAGCGGGCTCTGGGCCAGCAAGGAGGGGGCGGAGGGAGACTCCAGCGACCCAACGGCAAAAACACCGCAGCGCCGTGACAATATGCGACAACATCCGCGAACGACGGGTGTTGATGGGATTGGCAGCGTCGCCGACGTCGATGGTGTTGATAGGGCGACTGGGTCCCCAGCTGCCAACACCCGTCGCAGTCGGCCGGCGACGATCAACAGTCGGGCGTGCTCCAAGGGCCGGTGTTGATGGCAACAGGCCACGACATGCCAACGTCGACGAACGCTCACAAACGTTGGCGAATGCAGACCAAAGCATACATGGACGAAGAACAGCCCAGATGCTCCCCCCGTGTCCTCGACACAGGCACGTCGCTGTGCGAAAGAGGACAGGCGCTCGTCAACTGACGGCTCGGGCTTGGCCAGATGACCAGCGCCAGTGCGATATCCGAGCCAGCGACGCAATGGATGCCAAGTCCAGTGCACCAATCGCCGGGCCGCGTCGTCGTCATGAGAACGGGACTGACCATGCCAGCCCATGCGTCCGGCCGCGGCCATGGCAAGCGGGCGTCCATTGTCTGCAGCGAGCTTGACTGATGGCGACGAGGGCATCCCAAGAAAGCCCGGATGCTTGGGGTCCTTGGTGCGGACTGCTGTGGTTGCTTGCAGCCGCTTGGTGTTGTCGACTCAACAGTCCAGCCTCGAGGCTGGACCGTCGGTGAACGAAATCGGCTTGGGTGCCTCGGACACCCACCCACGGAGCAGGACATCAAGGCAGCCTGAACCAGGTTGGACTGGACAGGCGGAGATCGTCTGGGGCTGGCGACGAATGCCTCGGCTCCACCGCCGGCTTTCAGCGCATCTGCGGGTCGTTCAAGTTTGCTTTTTATTGCGATCGGACAACGAGGGCATGCGGCCATGCGGCCGAGATCGGGAAGCTGCCGCTCGGAGGAAACACAAGTTTGAAGGTATTTTGGGCAAAGACCGAGACATTGGATGAATTACCGGCGATTCAGCCGTTGTGATTGCTGCGAGTTGCGGGTGCTTGACGAGAAAAGAACAATATACAGACTGCGACCAAGGCGGCAAGACCAGCGTCGACAAGAGAATGACAGGCAGGGTCGTTGCGCACGGCGAAAGGAAAGATTCAAGAGAGAGAGCCGAGAAAGCGGCGTGGTCCTCATGCCCCAAGATCCACCAGTGGATCAACTTGAGGGCGAGAAGGAGACGTTGTTGTGAAAGACAGATTTCGGCCCGAATCAAAATGCAAGGTGTGCGGCTGTTGGATCAGCAGGCCGTCCAACTCGGTTGCGCCCATAGCCAGATGGGGGCGATCCGTCACGCCGCAAGGCACCATGATCCAACGGAGGCGGTCGCTGGGCAGCAAACATCGATGCCGATGATCCTCCGTCCGATCCAAGATGGTATGCAACACGCAGAAGAGCAACGCCGCCTGAATGCAACTGCAGCGGCCAGCCGTCCCTCGCGATCAAGCGTCGCTCTATCAGAGACGGACAGACTCGCAGAGCAGTGTCCAAGCAGGACGACAGGCAAACGAGGGAATAGAAAGATTGGGAGCATTGAGAAGAAAGGCCGACGAGGGGCTCAAAGCGTGAGACCAACGGGAATGGGGATGCCGGCGTGGGGTTCTCGGCATCGCACCCCGCACGGCACGGAGGGCCTGCCGTCGTGCCAGGGGTTCGAGGAGCTGCGATGGGGCGGGGTCTTTGGCGATGCCCTTGGAGATGGGTATGGGTACGAGAACGAGGATGGGCGGCCATGGACCGGAGGCGAGCGCATGCGGAGACCCAGCGACGACGAGCGATGCGACGGGATCGGTAGTGCCGTTGGACGGGGCTGGTCCCGCGAGGTCCTGAAGTAGAACTCGGCCTCGAGGATGCCGATCCTTGTCGCAAAGGCTTGCCAGTGGTCGTCGGGGATGAAGAGCTCGTAGCCGATGACCTCGAGGAACTCCCACTCGAGCTGGTTCAGCGACTGCATCGAGATGCCAAAGATGGTCGCCCAGGAGGAGTTGGAGTAGCGTTGGTCGTGGTGGAACTTTTGCGCCAGCACCAGGGCCACGCGGAAGATCGAGAACATCTGGCTGATACTGATCGGCGGCTCTGAGGCTGGCTCGGCCGACGCCATGGGAGCTTGCTGGCGCTTCTGCCGGAAGGAACCGACCATGGCGCAGAACTTGTCGACGTAGTAGAACGCGGGCTTGAGGAGCGGCTGTATCTTGTGGTATCGGGACAGCAGACGGGCAATATTGCTCGAAACCCGTCGGAAGTTGCCGGTGTGGGCCACCCAGGTCTCTGCGGGACCATAGACGAGGCGATGGAGGACATAGGCCGCCTGGTCCGAGCGGCTTTGCCAGTCAACCACAGGGCCAGGGACATGCATCGCCGGCAGGGATGCTTGAGCAGCCTCGCTTTCGGAGCCGGGGTTCAGGCCGCATCCCTGCGAGGATCTATACAGGAAGCGCTGGCGGCTGTAGCCAAGGGGCTCGACAGCATCCTGGGGTCGCTGGTGAGGCCGGTGTCCAGAGCTGACATAGACCATGGCCGGAATAACTTGGTGGTGACGGCGACAAGAGGTATACAACGAGGGGATGTGGGTATGCACTGGGGTTCATGCGCCAAGCACAAGAACTCGCAGACGGAGATTGTCAGTTGTTGACCACCAGCCGCCGCGAGCCCGAGGGGGCATTGGCGGCTTAAATGCCCAGACGAGGGACAGGAGGAGGGGGGGGGCGAAGAGGCGAGGATGTCCAGAGCAACCGGAGTGTCTCACAGGCTCAGCGGGAGCCCGAATGGAGGGAACCAGACCGCCAGCACGACAAGCGGCTGCCAAAGAAAAAATTTGACGGACACGGCGCTGGTCGCCGGTGCTCGCTGGCGGCGGCGCTTGGCGATCGGGCGATAATGCAGGCAAAGTAAGAGAGGGGGGGGGCAAATGGGCTTGGTCGGCAACAAGCCTGGACGCTGGGGCAGCATAGCAGTCCATGCCGCCCGACACAGCCGACGCAGCGGCGGTCACATCGATGAGGGTCACATCGACAAGGGTCATACCGCCGATGAGACCGTCGCCGATCCGAGCCACGATGGGCAAGCACGATGATCCGAGCCCGGCCCGCAGGTGGATCCTGTGTGCATGTGGGTGGGTTTTGGGGAGAGCGATTGGTGTCCGATGCAATTCGCCCCACCAAATGTAGTTGCCGAGCGCAAATTGCATATCCAAATGTGCTTGTCGATTCCGTTCCGCCTCTCCATTGCGCTGGATTGCATTGTATTGCGCTGAATTGCATTGCATTGCATTGCATTGCATTGCATTGCATTGCATTGCATTCGCCCACTCCCGCCGGTGGATCAAGAATCAGGTCGCCTCCACCACAGCGACACTCGGCCGTTCGGTTCGTCGGGCTTGTCTGCTTGCTCGTCTTTCCATCAGCCCGCCTCATTGGCTCCAACCTGCTCCCCCCCCTCGTCGTCGTTTGTCCAGCCGGCCGCTGCATCGCTCTCTCTTGGACCCGCCACCGACACCCATCGCCGCATCCGCATACTTTCTCACTGCAGACCAAGACCCAAGCGCCCGATTCTGCCCTGGTCCGCTATCGGCTGATCGCGCTGCTCGCCCATCCGCCAGATTTTGTTGCTCTCGTCTTTGCCCTCCCGGTCGGCCTTGAGATCGCCCATCTCGCTTCATTTGTCCCTCCTGTGCGGATCCTCTCTGCCCACGATATCCTTTTCTTTCTTTCTTGTCTTTCTTCCCGGCCTCTGCGGGTCTCTTGCTCTTATTTTCCGGGTTGTTCACAGGAAGCCACCCACCAAGCTCGCGCGAAACCATGGATGAAATCCTGGACAAGCTACGCGTTCTGAACTACCAGAAGGACTTTTGTCGCTCGATGTAGGGCTCCTCGCCGCCGCCTGTCTGTCTGTCTGTCTATCTGTTCGTCTGTTCGTCTGTCATGTCCCTGGGGTAGCTCTCCGGATCGATTGTTGGCCAGCAGGCGACACCAGATAGATGAGAGATGGCAGCAGGCCACCGGATGATTCCGGCTGATGGGATGTTGCCAGGGATCACCATCCGACGCGTGCGAGGGCCGGTGCGAGGTCGCAGCCGGAGCCTGCCGTCTGTTGTTCGCCCGGGGAACACCCTTTTCCAAGCCCGGAATGACCCCGGGGCGGCGCCGTTGCGTGAGCAGTGGCCCGCTGCAGCGACTCGTTGCAGTGGCTCATTGCGGTGGCTTAATTGCGAACCCCATCTGCGCGGCGGTCTGGTCTCCTCGGTCATGTCGTTGGGGTGGGTGGCTGGGTGGCTTACTCTCCGGTGCCTTTGCCATCCCTCGGTTCTTGCAGGGGCTTCCGGCCGCTCAGCCGGGTGTACTTTGTGGTCTCGGCCTCGAACCCGAACGAGCAGTTTTACTATCTGACGTCGCTCTTCAGCTGGCTCATGAAGCTGAACCACCAGCCGTTCGACCCGCCGGGGCAGTTTGACGACCCCAATGCCTCCGCCGCCAATATGGGTAAGCAGCCGCAGCCAAGGCCAGGGTGGAGCAAGACGGGCCAGGACAAGACGGAGCATGGCGCTCCCGGATGCTGGAAGGCGCTCGCCATGGCGCATTGTCCGGGCGTTTGCGCCAGACAGACAACTTCAAAGCGTGTGAGCAGGCCCTTGGCTGCAGGGCCAGGGACGTTGTCCGGATGCTCCTGGCTGGATGCTCCTGGCTGGATGCTCCTGGCTGGATGCTCCTGGCTGGCTCCTGGACTGCTCGGACCACGGTCCGTTCGCTCGGATACGATTGCAGTCCAGGCACTGGTCGGCCAGCGCACGGCCCCAGCACCAATCGACCAAGAGCCAGGTCCCCACCCCTGCTCGGACGGGCTTTGACTGGTAGCATCACAGGACCCAGGCATCTTGGTTCTCAGAGGGGACGATCCGGAGTAGCAACCGAACCAACCTTGTCGACGGCCATTGTCTGCAGTCGTCCGAGAGAGGCAGTCTCACGCCCTTTGACGTCCTTGCTGACCACACTCCTTCTCCTCCCCGTCGTCGCGCCGGCCTACAGTCGATGCACTGAAGCAGATGGGGATCCAATTCGAGTACGGACCAAATCGTCTGAAGCAGGGATATGGCGAGGCGGTCTTGTATACCCTGCAGAATCTCGTCGACAGAGCCCTCCAGGCAAACGGATTTGTCTTCCAGAAGCCGGCTCATCGAAACGACGAGTATGTTGTCCAATGCATCTGGATGCACTGCGAATGCTTGGGCCTCAGATCAGGCGCACAGAGTGGGCGTGAGGTATATCCAGGGCGGAGAACATGGTCGGGAGTCGAGATACCGATGCTGCAACCACAGCTCGTCCGGAACACCGAGTCGATCGCTAACTGGTTGATCGGTCAACGTCATCACATGTCTGAACGGTATCAACGGCAACAACCACTCGTGGCATCGCTTTGGATGGATGGTCGCGCGAACGGATGTTTTCCCGATCGGCTGGTCCACAACATTGCCTACTGGGTTGCGCATTCACTCTGGACTGCATGAACGATGGTCCCCTTGATGTAAAGCTATCCAGAGGAGGCCGAGGTGGACATGGACGCCGAGGTCACGACCGAGCTCGTCGAAGACCGGCTGGAGGTCGAAGAGGAGGACGAGGAGGTGTTTGTGGACTCGTACACCCCTGGCCCGAAAGCCGATGAATCCAAGCAGTAAGTCCGCGCCCGTCCCGCAACTTCCCTCGCCTCGCAATGCCTCCTCTCAACTGTCTCGTTCCGCCTTGCCCTGCGCGCAAATAGGACTCCGCAGGCGGCAGCCACCAAGCCCAAGATTGACCCGGCCGAATGGCGGATCGAAGTTGAGCGAGTCAGCCCGTTTCTCAAGGTCCAAATCACCAACGACAACAAAGATTGGCGCATCCATCTGGAGCAGATGCAGCACCACAAAGTGGTATGGTCCGAGATCTTGTCGAGCAGTGGGCAGTGGGCAGTGGGCAGTGGGCAGTGGGCAGTGGGCAGTGGGCAGTGGGCAGGGAGAAACTACTGTGGTGCCGATTTGTATATGCGCATGCTTGCTCATCCGCTCATCCTGCGACACCGCACATGCGGGCTCGACTGTCCGTCAACACTCCCACACGGAAACGGCCTGATGGGACGATGCGGCGCTGTGGCGATGTGGGAATGAAATGGCCCATCCAATTCATGGCATCGCACAGACAATCCACTCCTCGCTCTCCGAGACCAAGACCCACCTCACCAAGCTTCACGCCGAGATCGAAAAGACACTCGAGAAGATTGTGTCTCGAGAAAAGTACATCAACACCCAGTTCGAGGGCCAGACGGAGGAGTTCCGGAGCTTGCAGGACCAGCTCTCGGAACTAAAGCAAAAGTACAACATCACCAACACCAACGTCACAGAGCTCACCAACGAGCTTTCGAAGCTGTCCGAGATGCTGGATGGCGTCAAAGCTCGGATGGACGACATTGGCAACGGCATGACGGACTCACGTCCACTGGTGAACATCAAGCAAGGTGTCTCCAAGCTCAAGGTGAGGACACACGTCGGACTGGGGCTGACCTCTACATCGATGAATCCAGCTGCATCGAGCCGACGGATCGCAGGATGGCGAGCGTGTGTTGTACGTGGAGGATGGAGTGATGATATGTCCTGGGTGACCCCGTCCCTGACCCTGTCCCTGACCCTGACCCTGACGGACTTGTCTCCAGGCGGAGATCAAGCAAATGGATCTCCGGATCGGTGTTATCGAGCACACGCTGCTCCACGCCAAGGTGAGTCCGTGGCAAAGCCTTCGCGCCGCCGTCGATGCTGGGCGATGAGAGCCAGCGAATGTAACCCCTCCTTTCCTGCAATCCACAGCTCTCTGCAAAGTCGGGGCTGGTTTCGGATCGACCCAATTATGGACTGATTCAAGTGCGCTGAGACATGAGATCGGCATTGGGGAGAGCCCGTTTGTCCCACGGATGATGCGAGGCAAAGCCGCTGCCTTCCTCAATCAATACACTTGTTCTGGGCCGACTCTACAGATACAATCGTGCTGCCAGTGGCGTGGAATTTGACGATGCACAGATAAGATGTTAGGAACTGTATTATGCCTCTGTCTGCCTTGAACTTGCGCTCCTCTTCTGTCTCGCAACCAGTGTCGGAGTCCATTCGCCCATCAACTCGGGGGAGTCTGCCGAGGATCGTGTCCTCCCGCTCGAACATCACGCTGTATTGACGTTTTGGCGAGATATGGAGTACAAGCCCAGGGTTTTCTTGCTTCCGTATGCACTCTTCATCTCTCTCTTGAGTGGCTTGTTCAATTCCTGGCTCGGGACTCGTCCCTTCGAGGTCACCGGTCTCGACGGCTGAGGCGATGCAACGGAGCCTGTGAGGCTGCTGGTGGATCTTGCGACCATGGCCTTGTCCGCTCTCTGCATCATCAAGAGCTTGCGCCTCTCCTCGGGCGATAGAGGCCGGCGAGCAGCCTTGTCCATGAGATCCTGCTTTTCTTTCTGCTTTCGTCTTTCGTTCCGAGCGAGGTTCTGCTCCATTCTAACGATCCGGTGCTCCTCCTCTGGGGTTGTGGCAATGCAGCCCGAGGGCGTTCATATCCCATTCGAGCAGAAAATCCGTTGGCCAATCCGAGCCGTTAGGAAGTAGCACATGTGAGAACAGCGGAGCCAAGCAGCGACCAAGAGTGATGGAGGGATGCGTCACGCCTGACGACAGCAACGGGATATGACTCTCCCCCCGTCGACGTTGCGCAGTGACCCGGGGCAGTTGGGTGCTTCGATTCATGCCCATTCGGGGCCAACCCACCAAGCAACAGCGCCTTGATTGATTGGTCGGTTGTAAGATCGCTTGGTTTCTTCCCTTGGTTGTTTGTCAGTGTTGAGTTGCAGCCGCCGTTGATCTGCTCGTCGGGGAGCAGCCAGAGCACCACGCGGTTATCGGCGTCATGGAAGCCGGAGGTGGAGACAACTTGTGTTAGATAGCCGGTGCCAGTTGTCGGCGAGGGCTCCATATCGCCGCCATTGCGACCACATGCCTGCATGGTGCAACGCTCTGTGCACAGTCGTCATATACATGAGAGAGACTCTCTGACGAGCTCACCAGCGCCTGGACAGACTCGGATAGGTTCCGCACAGAGGCAAAATGAAGAGGTGTCGATCCAAAATTGTCTTTTGCGCCCAGGTCCTTGCTACCGAGAGTCTTCTTCTGGAGCAGAGTCTTGATGACCTGAGAGTGCCCGCTGTTTGCAGCCCTGGGAACAGCGTGGTTCAAGGGATAGGATTGCCAAGAGAGTTAGCTTCGTTGGGGAGAAGCGGCATGGACGAGGCTCTGTGCTTTGGCCGACCATGCTCCGGATTCACAGAGCAATCGGGCCGCGCCTCTGCAACGGCTCTCCGACAGGTTACCAATGCAGTGCTGTGACTCCGTATGTGTCCTTGATGTGTGGATCTGCACCAAACTCCAGTAGCACCGAGACAATCTGGTTGTGGCCGTGTTGGCATGCCAGGGACAGGGGACTGGTTGTTGAGATACCAACGACGCAAGCGTATACAACCCGTCAGCCGAGTGGCCTTCTGTCGAACAATGTCGACACCGACAAACACGCCACCGACCCCTGTCTACGTTGCACGCAGTTCTGGAAACGGCGACAAAGAGCGCTACAGACGTTCGTCCTTGTACCGGCTTGATGACATTGACGTTCACTCCTTTCCATAACAGGCTGTATACCTGGAAAGGGATCAAAAGTGCAGTCATCTGAATTGAGACGGAGGTCAAGTAGCGCCACCTCCCTCAGAACCAGTATGCACTTTGAGTGCACCAATGGTATCGCATATTGCAGTCCCACCGCTTTCGATAATAGAAGCATACTTTGTCCACATCGCCGTCACAGCATGCCTCGGTGAGCTCGTGCTCGCTTTTGGAAAGCAAGCCCAGCTGATGCTGCATGTTCTTGTCGCCCTCGATCGACGCCGAAAGTGCCTTGAGCCGCAGCTGACCACCCAGGATCGTTTCTGCGCCAGGGACCGGGGTCTCCAGAGGATGGGCTGGGCGAGCCGGCTCGATGGGCGTGCTTTCCTCGTCGGCCATATCGTTGGCGGATATGCCGAGCCCGGGCATGGACCTGGACGTCTGGCGGCGTATCAGCCCTGCGGGATGTGCGTTCTTGCCCCGTGGGAACTTGGAGGCCGAGCCCTTGCGAGACTTTGGTGCGTCCGGCGACGAGATGGTGTCTTTGGACTTGCGCTCCGTTTCCGAGTCCGACTGGGGTGGCTTTGAGTCGCCGCTGCTGAGAGCCGTTCTCGAGGCGGTCTTGGGCTTGGGTATCCGATGGGGTTTGGGATTGACATTCGAGCGGTCGTTGGGAACGGGGGTGGGCGCTGGATGGACTGGGCTCTGCGAGCCTGGCCGTGATGGTGGCTTGGACTGACCTGGAGATTTTGGAGAAGGAGCCTCGCCTCCGGCCGGAGGCGATTTGGGTTTGGACGCTTTTGCATTCTTGGGCCGCGATGCCCGAGGCACTTCACTCCGCTGCGGCGTGCCACTCTTTGGCCGATGTGGAAGGGCTGGCTTGGCTCCGGCTGCATGGCTGTCCGCGGGCTGTTGCGCCCCGACAGGAGCCGGAATTGTGTGTGGTTCGGGCGGAGGTGTCTCTGTGGCCTGCTTGGTCGACTTGGTCGGCAGCGGAGGGTTAGTAGTCGTCGAGTCGTTCTTGATGTTGATGGTGGACAGGGGTGCACTGCTTGGAGTGCTGGACTTGGGGTTCTCGATGAGCGCGCTGAGGGCAAAGTTGACAACGGTGGTCGTGGGCCGACCGTCGAGCTTGGGACGGACTTGAGCCGCAGGGGCGGGGGAAGTAGCCATGTCCATAGCCTTGCTTCAATCGGAGAAGAGCAAACCGGATGTGTTCTGGCTGGCTTGAAGTGACTGAGGGTGTCGAAACAGATGCGGAGAGTACTGATATACAAAGAGATTGGGGACAGGCGCCGGGCTGCTGCTCGGTGTGCTGGGAAGGGGGGGAAATGGTGCTGCCGCCGAGTCCAGGAAGTAGGGCAATTGGGGATCGACGATGGATCAGGAAGACATCTATAGGCGGCGGGCGCCGTGAGGGTTGGTGTGCAAGATTTGGGTGTGAGAATAGAAAACGCCAGGATGGCGGAGGGATATTTGTTTCGCCTGTTCTGCTCGGCGTGTGGATCTGTGGATGGAAAATAGCACACGGGCAGCTCCTCTGGCTGGCATTGACCGAGGGGACAGAAGCGCCCAGGCGTACTGGAATCGTGAGGGCCTGCAGAGAAGAGGTCAAGGGCAGGGTTGGATGCAGGGGCGAGCTGTTTGTGTGCGGGTTCCAAACATTCCATGATTGGGATGGGTTTTCGGCATGTAGCGATTGGATGCGGCGGGCGGTGTGGGGAAGGAAAACGATGCATTTGCGAGACTGATGTGTTCTCTTGCCCCAATATTAGATTGCGAATTCCCTTGCGCTCTCGGTGTGTAATGAAGGACCCGTATACAGGTGTCCTATGGGACAGGAGTCTGACGAGCGCTGTACGCACACTGGGCAGGCTATCACCGACACAGGTTCGGGATTCGGAATCGAGCGTGGCATATAGTCTGTATTCTTTCAACGAGCAGCGTTCTGGTGAGGGGGGAGTGATGGAGGACAGGTGTTCTCTCGAGCGGCCGGATAAGATGCCACCAAAGCCCGGCTCAGTTCTTCTTGGGAGCAAACATATTGGCCAGGTTCTGGCTGATGTCGGGCATCTCCATCTGAGGAGTGTTTTGTTGGCGTTGCTGGCGAACCTCCTGTCGGAGCCAAGATGATGGGGTCGCGATGAGAGTGTTAGCCAGGGTTGATTTGTACGATGGCATGAACGAGCAAGCGCTGGGCTCGGCAAGAGCCAAGCAAATCCCCACATGAGCAACGCCAGCCGCACTGACCTGTAGCGTCTCCTGGTCCAGCGAGTTCATGAGCTTGGGCATGCCAATGACCATAACCAGACCAAAGATGGCCATGAGCATCATCGGGTTCTGGAACAGCGACCAGATGCTGAATCCCTCGCGAGCCTGCACGAAAGCGGCGGATCGTCGTTAGCGAGGCACTCGGCAGCACTGCAGCACACAGTCGCTTACAAACCCGCTCCCATGAGCCGCCGCGATACCCATCGTCCATATCCCGTCTTGGGAAAGCCTGTTGCTTGTGCGGGATGTCTGGCGAAACCCACCATGAAGTAGTTCAGCTTGGAGTGCGCCGACACCTCGAGGGGCAAGGTCAGCAGCGGACCGTGCTTCTCCCAGTTGGTTCCAGGGTAGGTGATCGACGGCTGGATGGAGCTCTTGGAGACATCAATGCGAATCTGCGTGCAATGAACTAGTATGAGCCACAGCAATTGATATCGAGCCGCTCGGAATACAGCCACATCTGTGGTCGCACCCGTGGTCGCAGTCAACGGCGAGCGACGTCCGGGTCATGGGTCAACGGACCTTTTCGAAAAAGAAGCGACTGTTGACGATCTCAACCAGATGAGAGCCTTCGGGCAGATTGTTGCTGTTATACGAATGCACGTGTGGGACTCGTCAGCACGCCTGAGATCTGGTCCAAGCATCGGGGAATTCGACTTGGATGCTGAGCCTCCTCCCAAAACGGAGCCGGCGCCCAGGGAATGGATCTGCGTTGCTCAATCGAAATAATACGCACAGCTGAAAGTATCCATCTTTGTCGATGAGAGAAACTTGCTCGCCACCATTCAGGTAGACCCGCGTGTTGGGTCCAAGATCGTCGAGATCTGAGTTTGTTGAAAGGACGGCCATCCCAGGTTAGCCAAGATGCACCGAGGACAGCGACTGCCAGAGATGGCATTGAGGGCCTAAAGAGCGCTCGAGTAGGTCTGGCATGTGGCGGGCCTACGGATGCCGATCCACTTTGACGGTTCGGCGTATCGATATGCGTCGCAAGCTGAAATCCACCGGCAAAGCCCAAAACACGGCTCCGTTCGTCTCCTCAGCATATAGGGAAGGCGATTAGGCTGTGGGCCGTCCATCCGCAATGCATCACACGAACAGACGAACCTTTGACGACATCGTTGGTGACGATGCGGCCCCGGAGAGTCCGAGCGGCCAGGGTCTCTTGGCGGGCATTGACACTGGATCGGAACGGAGGGATGAGCCGAGTGCTGCCACGATCGGTGGATGGAGCGGCTGGTGAGCAACAGAGCTGGAAGAAACATTTCACGCACCTGGATGCAGCCAGAAGTAGAACGGCGAGCAGCAGCGCAAGCAGGTGCTTCATTGCGGCAGGATCGTGGCCGTTTCGAGGGGAGATGCGGGCGAACGATGCAGGCAAATGATGCAGGCAAAGGAGCGCGACCACGACAGAAACGGATGCTTGGGCACGGGAACGAGGGAGGCGCTCTCGCTGGCGGTCTCGCTGACAGTCTCGCTCCTCGGCGCGGCTCTCGTTCGCGGGGCTGGATGCGGTGCGACGCGGGACACGTGATACCGCGAGCCGCCCCGGATTTGATTGCTGGCTGTTGTCAAGCCACACACAGACACATTGACCAGAGCCGAGCAAGGACTCATGAGCGAATGCTGTATTGAGCTCGGCATCAAAAATGGCCATGGAGCGGGAGCTAGTTGCCGATGGGTCCAATGTACTTGCGAGACATCCGCAGGGCGAGGTATTGTCCGCTGAGGCAGCAGACGGATGGTGGACAAGACGAAGCAATCCAGCTGCCTATCGCGAGACCGCCATTAGAATTCGTTTTGCTCCATCTCCATAAACCTCATTTCTAAGCGGCGGCGTTCGTCTTCCTCGGCCATTTCCAAGCTTCTCTCCCAGTCTTGATCCATCTCAGCCCAGTGGTGGTCCTCAAAGCCTTCGTCTGGCCGGATATTTTCCGGATCGGCCGCAGCAGCAGGGTCGGATCCATCAAATGACGATCTGGGGCTTGAGCGACTGGGCTGTGCCGACGCTGCAGGTCCTGGTGTGGCTTCCGTTGACGCATCAGCCGCCGATGTCGACGGCAAGCTCCCTTGAGCCTGCTGTCGGAGTCGCTTCTCTTCGAGAATGACGAGAGCCCGCCGCCGGTTCTGCTCGATCCGTGCGATCACGTCTTCGCTCATGGCCTGGCTTGCAGGAGCCACGCTGCTGCTGCTGCTGGATGAAGCAGCAGCATTTCCGAGGGCTTCGGGATCTGCCGGCTGTTCGTCCAGTTGCTCATTGGTCAGAGGCGGCTGGTCTGGGTCGTTGCTAAAGATGATGCCGAGCCGACGGCGGCGGTCTTCTGTGATTGTGTTTGAGAGCCACACACGCAAGGGGCGGCGATGGCAGTGCTTTTCAGCTTCGCTGATGATGCGGTCGAACTTGTAGGCCGGAAGCATGTGGTGTCCCCACAGCTGATACATGCGCATGATCTTTCTAAAGTCGTCGAGCTGGCAGAGATTGAAGGCAATACGGCTCGTAAGTGGATCAAGGCCGATGATGCACAAAGCTATCCTGCAGGACAGCCCACAGAGCCGCCTAGCAAACCACTGGGTCATGGAGCGCCAGATCCAAAGGTCATGTACCTCATGTCCCTTCCCGGCCAGCTTGAGCTTGGAGCCCATCTTTCGTAGCTTGGGTAGTCCATTCTCTCCCAAGAGTCTACGAGACGGAAGCGGCATGGTAAGTGGGTGTGAGAAGAAACCTCGCTCGGCGCAGACAGCAACTGTCCATGGGCAATGCTTACAGCTCCAGGTCGATCTTGGCCACAGGCTTGCGGAGAGGCGGCAGCGGCTCGGCTGGCTGCTGGGCGCCCGGGGCATCGATGGCCTGATCAAGGTCGATGTCGGCGTCGAGAAAGGAAGGCGGGGGCTGGCTCTGGGTTGGGACAGGGCAGAGAGAGCTGGCTGGTTGGCACCGATTCGCAAGCAGTTCGGCAGACAGGCGTGCATTTCCGATGCAACATTCACCATCGCAGCCCTGTGCAGCGCTCTTGGACATGTTGAGGACACGCCGTACCTGCGGATCGCTCATGGTGGCCTGGGGCTCGGCCAGCACAGATCAGGGTGGACGGGATGCATCGAGCAACAACGGCCATGCAGACAACGACAGCGAAATGGTGCGCGACACGTGCAGCCTCCAACAATGTGCCCGCTTTTGGCTGGCAAGTTGGTTTTCGCCCAGGCCGACAAACAGCACACGGCCAAAGCAGGTTCATCCAAATCGGCGCCGCAAGGGCCCATCCATCCAAGATCCCAACGGAATCCTGTCTCCATCGAGGTACAGAATCGCCCTGGTGCATCGGACGGCAGCGCCGGCGGCCGCATCCGAGACAGCAGCGCGGATGGTCTTGGTCCAGCCATCACGCCGCGCCGGGCTGGCCATCTGCCGACCGATCCTGGATGCGCACGGCCTGCACGGCCGGGGTCTCACCAGGACGATCGGCGTTCGACATGGGCATCGACTGATGACGGAGGAGACGGCGCTGGGCATGGACATGGGCATGGGAGCTGCGAACAAAACATGCGGCCGGCTATTGACGAGTTGGCTGGCTGGCATTCGGCAGAGCCCAACGCAAGCACAGACCCGCCATGGCAGACCATACCCGCTGTCCCATCTGCCAGTTCCTGATCTCGGCAAGCGACTTTGAGTTTCATTATCAGTCCGAGCTCAAGCGGCTCGAGATATGCGGCGCCGACATTGACGACCCCGAGCCCGAAGACGACAGGTGCGCTGGAGCCGGCAGCCCATCAGTGGCACATGCTCAGGACATGGGAGCGGATGCATGTCGGCGATTCTGTGGAACATTTGCCAGAGATAGAGGTGCATGCGACGGCCGTCATGCCGCCAGATCGACAGCCAGCGCACATGCGCGGCAGTGTCCCCGGCGGCCGAAAGTAACTCTGTCGCTTTGGAACTGCAGTCCCAAGCCCAAGAAACGAGGAGCCGCAATCGCCGCACGCAACCAGATCTCGTCGACAGCCAAGGGCAAAGCAGCATCAGAGCGGTCGCAGCTGGACCAACAGGAACAGGTACACGCCGGAATTTGCAGGCGACGGCCACAGAGCCGGCCGTGCAGCGACAGCGATATCGACTCGAGCGTATAGCGAGGGTCAGAATGAGCTCGGCTTTGACGCTGTGGTTGCGTGCCAGGTTCTCTATCGCATTCGGAGCGGCCGGATCAAGAGGGCCCAGAAATCCCAGCCCAAAGGTATACAAACGGAGATGCCGAGGCCCATCAAGCGAGATGCCGTCGGGCGGGATGCCGTCGCCCATGATCAAGGAACTGTCTCGGTGGACTCGCTCGCTGACCCTGCCTCTCAACTTGCCCGCACCCAGATACCAAGAAACGGGGGCGCAACGATTCCGAGTATACCAACCGCTGCTGTGTGTGCGATGAGCTGCTGCCAAACGACGACGAGCTAGTCAATGCCCACATCGACGCCTGTCTCGGCCGGCAGGGTGGTCTGTACGGATCCAGAGACGAACATGGGCGACGACAGGATGCCTTGCGGACAGCAAATGTAGCGGCAGGCCGAGGAACGAGCACAGGCAGCCGGCATGTCCCCGGCCCAGCCTCGACATTCGGAGACAGCTACGAGATCGAAGGGCTCGGCGTTCGTCAGCGAGTCACCAGCATGCTCGAGGGTGGCTTTGAAGCCTATGGATTCACCGTCCACAAGCGCACGGACAAGGATATCGACGAGGATGTTGACATTGACGACGACGGCACCCAGGAGTTTGGCGAGGCCCAGTTCTCGGAAGCCGATCTGGGTGCATTCCGGCAAGCTGACGAACAGCCGGAAGGCATGGGATCGGAGTCGCGGACGATGGCCGCCGAAAGGTGGGTATGGGCGTGGGAAGCGGATGAGGGAGCTGCCGTGATATCAACTGCATCGCTAATCAACAAGGGTGGAAACGAACAATCAAAGCACTGGAGACAGCACACGCAGCCAGAGCGACAACGATAACGGTGGTAAGCAGCGACGACGGACATGCGCTGACGAACATGCGCTGACGAACATGCGCCGACGAACATCCTGCACTGAATATTTGGCGCTGGGCAGCAGGCGATCATGGACATGACTGACCGGATGACTGCTTGGCCGGTAACTGACCATGACGAGCGCCGTCCCTTCTGCGGCTGTCCAGCGAGCATACAGGCCGGCCCCAGCCAACTGATTATCGAGTCGCTCAAGACACGCATCCGGCAGCTGGTACGGCACGAGCGCAGGAGTGCGTGGGGAGATATTCGCCGACGCATCCATCTGACAGTGACGACGTTTCGCAGGAGGCACTGAACAAGACGCGAAGCCAGATCTGCTGCCTGATCTGCATGGAGGACTATCAAGACCCCGTTGCCTCGATCCAGTGCTGGCATGTCCACTGCGAAAAGTAAGCAAGGACTGGCTTTGGCTGCTCAGATATTGGATTTGCAGCTGATCTATCATCTATCACCTGCCCTTCTCGGCTCCAGGTGCTGGCTTGGCGCGCTGGCCGCCAAACGGCTCTGTCCGCAATGCCAAAAAATCACTGCAACATCCGACCTCCGCCGGATCTACTTGTAAAATAGAGTCATTGATGCATCCACCACAGCCGGTTCGCGACCGACGCAGCTCCAGCCACCATTCGGGCCCGCATAGAGCAGCGAATGGCATCTCACATTCTGCGCTGCCATGGTAACAGGGCACGAGCCGAGACCATGAGAGCGAGAGAGGGAATGTCTGCGCAGAAACGACAGTGCAATCAGTCTGAGGACCTCACTGCTCGAATTCTTCGCACATGAAAAGCAGGCCGCACGACGCTGCTCCCATGGATTCTATGTTCGCCCAATTTGACACTCAATCCAACAATGGAATGTTTGGTTAAGCAACACAGATATGGGCGGTTGGAGATCGATGCTTTGCGGCAAAGTCGCACGACAAAGCGCATTCAAGACCGGCATCGCCGAACAACCCAGGCTGGTCGTTTTCCGCGCAGGGCAGTGGCAGAAAAGGACGCGGGAGTGCGGCGACAGCAGCGCCTGCAGATGCGCATGATGGATCTGTGCATGTGCAAGGAGAGACGAGGGTCAGCGACTCGGGCTTTGGAGCCAAGCATGAGAGACACGACACACCCAACCCCAAAGCAGCAGCATCATGGTGGTTGCCCGGCCGAGCCAGGACACGGCAGCAGAGGAATGCAACGCAAGTCTCAGAAACAGTTTTCGCGTCATAGATATGAGGGTCTCAGACGGCAATTCCTATTTTTCTTTTAACTTTTTTTTTCATCCTATCTGCTTTGCTGGGTGGGACCCGCTGCGCGTGTCCAGCTGGTGCAGAGGGGCCGTTGGCAAGGCCACGGACAAACAATCGCGGTACTGACCTGCAGGCAGCGGTCGATGCATCCGGTGGGAATGGATGTGAGAGAGGAGCCAGCTCGGCTGTCCAGCAGCCCGAATGCAGACCGGGCGCTTCGATGCCCCGCTGATCGGGCGGTGAGGATGCCGCTATTTGTACGCTCGCGGTCGAGAAAAAAGAAAAATCGCCGCCAAGCCACGCCGCCGGATCAGCCGGCTGCGCGCCGAGCCCTAAGGGCCCGCCCAGCCCTCGCACAGAGCCCTAGGGCTGCATCGCGCTCGCGCAACCCCACCGCTTTTTTTCGGCGTTTGCATTTTGTGGGCGCTCAGGACAACGCATCCCAGTCAGATCGTCCTGCGCATCTAAGCACCGCCGGCCCACAGCAACCACCCACCAGCATGCCCGGAGTGCAAAAGCCCGTTCTCATCAAGCAGCTGCAACATGCCCTGACGCAGGGCACAAAGCTCGCCGATCCCCGCCGGCTAGGCTCGATTCCGTTCGAGTACGCTCATCTGCGCAACTCGATCCCGACACTCATGCACGGCAAGCGCATCGCCTTTGGCACCATCACCTCGGAAAAGTCCGAGATCAAGACCCGCCGCCCGTTCTATCCCAATGTCATCTACAGCTTCCAGCGCTCAAACTACCTCGACATGAACGTGCTGCTGCGACTATCGACCGAGGCTCTGCGTCAGATCGAGCGCGCCGGCGGTCTCGACAGCTACCTGCTGACAGTCGACCCCGAGTTTGTGAAGGATCCGTGCGCGATAGCCTTCCGGAAGCGGGTCTTTGAGGAATTCGAGAAAAAGAAGGATGAGCTCCGCCGCAAGGAAATGGATGCGCTGAAGGGCTTTGGCCCCGATTACATCATGTAAGTGGCCGCGATGCCGACAAGAGCGGTCGCCCAAGAAATGCGCTGCCGTACCAAATGCACCAATGCACCGATGCATCGCTGGACTCTGGTGCCATCCGCGCGGCACGACAAGTGTCTACGTACAAAAGCCCCTCGACATCAGCGTCACTTGTTGACGAGATCGAGACATTCAAACTGACCCATGGCGCCTCATGTTTGCAGGAAACTGAAGGAGAACTACTGGCGATTCGACACCTATCTGCTGAAGAAGAAATAGACAGCTGCTCTTCTCTGTCGCCTTTGCTGGCCAACCGCATGATCTGGCATCGCTCTTTGTGAATAAAAACCGGAAGCAACCGCCTTGGACGAGACTGCATCAGGATCGCCACGGCCAACAGTCGGCAGCTCTGGGTATGGGCTCCGATCATTCTCACACTGCTGGGCAAGAGTGAGTGCACAACATGCGAGTTGGCGGAAACGGCCAGTCGCATATGCAACATGCAATGTATATTGTCCATCTGTAGTTGGATCCTCTGCATCGGTTGGAGATTCCATCAGTAAACATCAACGCCTGCAATCGCACCGGGGGACTGGCCTACTCGAATCATCCGAGTATCGAGAAACCATGGAGCTGTCCAGGTGGTCAAATGCATCCAGCACACTCCCACATCGAGTGAATGCACCACACTCCCACACCGAGCCCATGCACCACACTCCCATATCAACACGTCAATGCCAGTGGATCGTCGCCACAGGAGCTCGACCAAGTGTATTCAAGACCAACCAAAAGAAAGGCATGGTCAATTAGGACCAGAAACAATCGCACCGCTCGCCCACCAGGGCCAAGGGAGCTCAGCAGGCTTCACGCCCCTCATACCAGAAAAAAGGGATACTGTCTCATTTTGTTCTGAGCAACAGCAAACAGAGCCCATCGTAGATGCTGCCTTAGCAGAACGGCGGCATGTTGTTTGACTGGCAGAACTTTTGCCATGTAATTTTATCAGATCCCCCGGAGCACTGTCGATTGAAAGCGGCAAAGTAAACTGGTATTAGCGAGGCCGGAATCGATGTGGAGAATCAGCACGGGCTGCTCGTGCTTGCATCCAAAATCATCCCATCCAACACGAGAGCCGCACAAGAAGTCATCCTGCATGGCGATGCATGGTCGGCGACATTCCTCGGCCATGGCGGCAAGAAACCCAGCCGACAGAATGCATCATACGGCTCAAGCGACGGATAGGCAATTGTGATTGCAGCGAAACTCACGTAAATGTCGTCGGGGACCTGGCGACAGAGGTTGGCATATGCGCTGAGCGACGCACAGTGCATCTTGTAAGATGTGGTGCTGTCGTATCCGTAGCCTTGGCTCACGGTGCATTCGCTGCAGCCGGTGAGGGTGCTGTGGTCCATGCAGATCAGCTGGATGTATATGCGAGTATCCACAGACTTTGGCAGGTTAGCGATGGCCCCGAGACAGACATTCAGTCCGGGATTTGCCTGGCAGAACACTTGGATGCTGGCGCACTCGTTGCCGGAGACGTTCGTCGAGTCAGGATCTTGGCAGGCGGCCATGAGGAGACCCCTGTTGTCGCATTGGAGCGGGAAGCCGCTGGAATAGGTGGAGTTGGAGCACACTTGGCTTTGGATGAGACACGGAGACAGGTATGGGAGCTGGGTGCAGAGATTCGACAGATCCCCAGCAAAGGACGCATTTGCCAGCGATTCCATGATCGACATTGAGTTGGTCCAGATTGCGTCGCGTGACGAGGTGGGAAACGGATCTGCCAAAAGCAAAGGCCACGGGATAAGGACCACTGCCTGTGAGAATCAGCTCAGTCGCCTTCTGGTGCCGGCAAGAGAGTGTGGGAGGTGGAGAGTCGAGCGGGGGGGGGCTTCATACCACCATCAAGAGCGAGATTTCCCGCCAAGTGCGCGGGGCTGGTCCTGCATCGACATGAGCCGCACGGATCCGTTGAAACCCCATGAAAACCGCCCCGAGCGCGGGATTGCTTGCCGGCGCGCAACGACTTGCTCGGCGAATCGACCACCGGGCGACCAGAGTGATCCTAAGAACGGAAACGGCGGCAGCGTCTGCATCAGCGGGATCACACACTCAGTCCGAGAGCAAAGCACTCCTCCAGACCCATCAAACACGGACACATGACAGCAACTTTTTTTTTGATATTTTTATTGCTCTTTGATCAATTGACCGTAGGTGCTCAAACAAAGATCGTGCCCAAGAGCCTATCCACCAAATCGCCACACCAGACCAGGAGCAGCTTAACGGTAGCGGCGGAGGGAGAGGGTGTTGCGGCGGAGCCAGTTGGCGTAGCGACCACCGCCCTGGGTCTTGTTGTGGAGGTGACCCTTGCCAATGCCACGGGACTTCTTGCCAATGGCGGTGAGACCACGGGCCTCGCGGCGCTTGTGGACGGGGTCGACGATCCAGTTGATGCGGGGATCGCGGCGGATGGCCTTGTGCTGGGGGTCAACGAGAATGACCTCGAAGTACTTGTAGACAGAGTCCTGGAGAGCGGGCAACCTCGTCAGCCAATGCTCGCTGCGAGAAAGGGCCCAGGCCGGATGACGATGCTGGCTGCGAGAGACGCCGCAGCGATACTTACGGTGTTGACCCAGTACGAGTTGAGGACACGCAGGTTGGGGCAGCGGTTGGCAACACGGCCCTCAGCGGTGTTGCGGAGAGCACGCTGGTACTTGAGCTCAGTAACACCCTGAGACTTGGGCTTGCCGTAGACAATACCCTTGGCAACAGGGCGCTTGCGGCCACCACGGCGGACACGGACACGGTAGATGACGTAGCCCTGCTTGGCCTTGTAGCCGAGGCGGCGAGCCTTGTCGGGGCGGGAGGGGCGAGAAGCGCGGTGGATGACGTTCAGCTGTCTGGGGATGGAAAAAAGGGGGGGACATTAGACGACGCTATCTATCGCTCGGAGCACACCTGCCGCTTACTATCGATCGGTATCGCGCCCAGCCTGTTCCTATCCCAAAGCAAAGGATCGTTCGCTGTGCTCACCTGTACTCCCAGACGCGGACGCGGAGCAGGAAGCGCATGACATCAGACTGCTTCTTCTTGTAGAGCTCTTCGAGATACTTGTAGGCTGTTTCGAAGGCAAGGCGCGACGGCAATTAATCTCGGCTCTCAGTCATGGATCAAGACCACATCCAACGCCCTCGGATGGAGCGCACGACGGCCAGCAGGCCAGTGCCGACCGAGAGCGCCGCTCCGGCCGAGCGCATGGACCATACTGGCGTCGTGTGTGGCCGATCTAACAAACAAAATGAAGGTTTCCCATCAATTTGAGGAGAGGAGTACTAACCACCCATTTTGATGAATCTGTGATGCCAACGAGAAGGACGGGAGCCCATTAGTACACCAATCTTGACTGCAACAGGATGGATATATCGTGCCCGGTCTCGTGCTCGTCTGCCAGATCCAACCAGCCCGAACATCAGGTCTGTTCGTCGGTGTGCTGATCTGCGCGAGTGGTGTATCCTCTGATCTGCTGATACAGTGCGATATCTGCCGAATCCACCGATAGAGACATTATCCCGGCTCGACCGACAGCCACAGCCATAGCCACAGCCGAACCGAATATCGTCTCGAGTTCGGCCAGTCCGAGGAAGCAATGCTGGATCGCCCGCTGATGCAAAGTCGTCAGTCCGGACCGTCCTTCAATGCTCTGGGCAATAGGTTCCGAACATCGGTCGTCTGCTGCTGCCGTCTGCCCGAGTATCTCATGGTCTGGGATTCCATTTGCTGGGCAAACTTGGCCGACAACGTAACCGCAGTTGAATCGATTGATTGTCTGGCAGACGAGCAACTCCATTTCCGCAGATGCACCGACGGATGGACGGATGCATGGACGGATGGATGGATGCATGGATGGATGCATGGATGGATGCATCGCGGCGTTGTACCTACCCCGGTCAACGAAGAAAGGTAATGACCAATTGGTGATGGAGGAGAGAAGGAGGAAGTGCGAATGCCCGGCATGCCCACAAAAATACAGACGGCGGCCTGGCTGCAGAGCGGGTGCGCGCACGCGTGCGCCGCGGGCGTGGGTGCGCGCCCGTCCGGCCTGTCCGCGCCCCTGATTGGCTGGCGGTCGGTCCTGGATCATGGATTGTTCGGGCCCAAGAAAGGTTTCTTGGGTTGCCGGCTCGAAACACATCCGTCGTCCCCATCCAGCGCCATGTCCCAGAAGCAGTGCGCCGTGTGCAACTCGAGCCTGTCCAAATACAAGTGCTCCGTCTGCCTGATTCCATAGTGAGTACCACTACCATCCACTACGATGACGGTATCGTCCACACAGCCAAACCTCAGTCGATCGCGCACACCACTGCCCCATCTGACAAGCGGACTGCCTCGTCGCCAGCTGCTCGCTGCCATGCTACAAGACCCACAAAGGTTTGCTCCATCGATTTGAAGCTCGATGAAGCACTGCATACGCTGCATCCATGGCATGATCGCCGCGGATGTCATTGTGAATGTCACTGATCGCTCGGAACTGTGCGGCTCCAGAGACGCCATGCGAGAAGGCGCAACTCAAGACCGAGTCCCTCCCGCAAGGTCGGTATGCGTGAATCGATATGGATGGAGTGCAACATTACTCCGAAATGCGAGCATGTGTCGGCCGTGTTGCGTGGAGCATGCATCTCGATCCAGAGCTGTTTATCTGCAAGATCATCGACGCCAGACCAACAACAGATCTGGATTCTCGGCGGCTTCTTGGAGAACGAGCGCCATAGCCAACGCTCTGCTAAACATCACTGTCTGCCGATGCAGCCCCAAACCGCGAGTATGAGGAAGACCAGCTGATATCTGAAGATCGTCTGAAGGCACTGGGTATGGATTGCTCGCTGGCCCGCGTACTCATGTTGGTTTCGGCTGCCCCGCTTCGCGGGAACTGAGACCAATGTCATGGCATAGTTCTCAGCTCACTCATTCTGCATGTGCATCCCCCGCAGCTTTGTCACCAAACATTAAGAAGCTGCTTGGCGATCCTCAGCTCCGCAGAATCTTGAGCGAGGTCAACGCCAGCACCAAGGTCGATCCTCTGCTTGATCATCTCCTGACAGAGTCGCCTCTGTTCAGGGAGTTTGCTGCCGAGGCCGTCAAGTGCGTCGGGTCATCGACCCCGAGCAAGCCGCAGGCGTAGATCGGTCTTAGTCTCAGTCCCAGTCTCAGTCTCAGTTTCGGTTTTGGTTTTGATCCCGGTGCTGGTGGATTCTTGTCCTGGGCCTTCGGTCGGTCGATCGCGCGGAGCGACCGTGCCCGGAATGAAACAGGCCTTTTTTTTTTCCTCCTTGACCCGGGTCATGTCCGTCCATCTCGCTGGCGCTGTCCATCCGACGCTGGTCCTGCATTAGCCATCTGCCTCCAATAGCCGACAGTCCTTCCACCCATGGCTTCAGAGCTCAGAGGCCCCACCAACTTTGCCGACGACGGCAGTTCCGTGATTGAGCGGTCTGTCGAGGCGTCGTCGCTGGCTCCCCATGCCGACGACTGGCAGAGCTACTATGACGTCGGCCGCACCGTCGCAATCATCCAGGAGCGGGGCTATCGCAATGTAGGTTTGCTCGGCTTTGGCTCGAGCCGGGATGTCCTCGAGATCCAAGACGATTGGTAGTTCGTTTACTGCTCTGGCCACTGTAGATCGAGGTGCTCTCGGCTCCGCTCGTCTCAGCTGATGGCGATTGTTCTCTGCCGTTTGCATCGACCTCCAAACCCTCTTGCGATCCCAGATCGCCCTCCAGTTTCCAGACGAGCTTCTGCAGGACGCCGACCATGTTGCGTCATACCTCAAAGAGCACAGCCACCAACACATCTACATCCTCGCCGACACATCATATGGGAGCTGCTGCGTCGACGAAGTTGCCGCTCAACACGCCAGCGCCGATTTCATCGTCCACTACGGCCGTGCTTGCCTGAGTCCGTAAGTTCTGTTGCTGCGATGCTCTTGTGTCAGATCTCCTTCCACCCGCCGAGGCCTCCGTTCGTCTGTCATCGTGTCCGCTCGAACTCACCACCTGTGGCAACGGCGTCTCCCGGCCTCAGCACCTCTCGGATTCCGGTTCAGTATGTCTTTGGAAAGGAACCCGTTGAAGCCGACCACTGCGTCGCCGAGCTCCGCAAACACATCCCGGATACGTCGCAGCCGATTATCATGATGTGCGATGTCGTCTATCACCACGCCTTTGAAGCCATCGTCGCTCGTGTCCGAGATTTGGGGTTCTCTCAAGTTTTTGCCGAAACCATTCGGACCGAGCTGAATCTAAGCACTCCCACCGCAGACGCCGTCAGCGCTGCAGAGTCCCACTCGAGCAGGTGCAAGCCAAGCACAGAGGCTTGCTGCGGTGCTCGAACAGCAGGTCTCGACGATTCCAGCGCATGTGCTGGTGCCGGCGCTTGCTGCCAACCATGCAGGCCAGGTGCCACTGTCGAATCAGCGATCGATGTATCAAAGCCGCGACAGTACACCTTGCCGGACTCGATCGCCAAGGAAGACTGCATCCTCTTCTACGTTGGTGGTGAAAGCCTGGCGCTCACCAACATCATGATGACACACAACTCGAACAGCACCATCACATACAACCCAGCAACTCGGGTCTGCCGCCACGAGACCGCAGCCGTCAACCGCATGCTCATGAAGCGCTATTACATGGTGCAGAAAGCCAAGGACGCCGGCATTATCGGCATCGTGGTTGGGACTCTTGGTGTGGGTAAGGAACAATTCGTCTCGTGAGACACATGGGCAATCATGAACCGGGCTTGGTCGAAGCCGAGTCTTGTCCGTCGGTCGTCGGGTTCGTCTTCCCCAGATCCTCAGCATCGCTTGGCTTGGGGATTCCTGCCTAAATACGCCTGACTTTCCTCCCTTCCCACGCGGCGGCCCCCAACCGCTGTAGTGTCGTACCTCGATACCATCAGCAATCTCAAGAAGCTCATCATCTCCAGTGGCAAAAAGCCCTATCTGATCTCAGTCGGCAAGCCCAATCCAGCCAAGCTCGGCAACTTTTTGGAGATTGACTGCTTCGTCTTTGTGGCGTGCCCCGAGAACTCGCTGATCGACTCGCGCGAGTTCCTGCGGCCTATTTTGACGCCATTCGAGCTGCTCATAGCCCTCGGAAGCGGGAAGGAGTGGACGGGTGCATACGAAACCGACTTTGGAAAGGTCGTGGACGAGATCGGCGACCAGGCTCGTCTCAAGATGCAGCAGCATCAAGGAAGCACCCAGTCTGAATCCCGTGCGGCGGGGCAGAATAACGGCAGCGACGCCGACGCCGACCCAGACGCTCCTCGGTTTTCGCTCATCACCGGAGGCTACGTTCAGGATACAAAGTATGTTGCAGCCTCGAGCGACGACTCGACCGACGGCGCCGGTGCGGTTGCCCTGCGCAACAACAGCGGCCAGGTCTCGACCGTCGTCGCCTCCGTCGCAAGCCTGTATCTGAACGAGAAGCGGACCTTCAAGGGTCTGGAAGTGCGTCTTGGTGAGACTGAAGTTGCCAAAGTGCAGGAAGGACGTGACGGCATTGCGCGCGGATACAGCGCAGAAAGGACGCTGTGAACTCGGCGGATCGACAGCAATGTCTGTCCATGAGCCGACACGGGACGTTTGTCACTGCTGCTTTAGTGCAATCGCATGGATATGCTGCAAAGGGTGGCTTGTATTCAGGACCCAGAATAAAACGACAGGCCTGACTCAAACCAGGGTGTCCGTTTCGTTTTGAGCACGCTGTATACACACGCAATGTCTAGTCTGGATCCATCTATACGATCTCAAAGGCGTGCAGGTTCTGCAAAGCGGATGAACCAGGCACAAGAGTTAGCATGAGGGGGCCCAGCCTGCATCGCCAGAGGCTACTAATGCCCGTCAACTGGTCAGCAAACGTTGTGCCTGCATAGGACAACACACGGTGTGGCGCTTGCTGCCCTCTCCCTCAACCAACCTTGGAGTTCTTGGCTGTCTTGAACCCTATGACCTTTATCGGTACCATACAATCGAATGCCTCGACATCTGCCGACGAGGAGCCGTGGACGCTCACAAAGTTGGGGTCGTCGGAGGTTGTATCGTAGTACTGATACTTGGTGCCGGTCACAAACTCGATCCTGAGGCTCCATCGCAGAGAGACTGGCGGGGGTTGCCGACAGCACCACAGCCGCCGCATCGGATAGTAAGCCACCACTGTGCTTTCCTCCCCTTCCCATATCAGCCCTGCTCTGCGCACTGCACATGGTTGCGATCGCTACCTGCCGATGTTTGAAACTCTGAGGCACCATTCACGGGAATCGCTAGGGTGGCGCTCAGCCGCTTGGTCGATGCTACACACTTGTGATACTCGGCAAACACCTTCCGAGTAAGCAAGTTGCTCTGATGCTTGGGCCTCAGAGCGTATGTCGACTGGATTTGCTCAGACGTCTCAAGGAATATGGATATCTGCACGAGTAGAGCATCCAGGCGCGCATGAGCCAAAAGTCGTGCTGCATCACGAGTTGCATGGCATCGTATCGCTCCGAAAAGCATCGTTGTTGGTGCCCTCACAATCAGTGTCGCTGAAGTATCTGGCAACCGTGCTGCTCAATGAAGATAGGCTATCGATTGCACACCTGGAAGCACGGAACAGCGCTGTCTGAAAAATCCAATATGACCGTGACAGCTTCGCCGACTCGGAAGGTGTTTCGCTGCAGAACGACCTGAGCCACGTGCTCATTGTTTCTGCAGATCTCATAGTTCACTGAAGCAGACTAGCAGTCAGTAACAGTCCTATGCAGTAGCGGCTCAAGGAAAGGCCGAAGCGGATCCGAGTCCAACGACCACTCACCTCGCCTCGACGACTGGCACATGGCCATGATGCTACGAGTAATGCTGGCTCTCTCAGGCGCATCGTCCTCCATAGAAACCACGCCCTTGCGCTGCTGCTTCTCTGATAAGTCGTTGGATCCATTGCGAAACAATGTTGAGGACGTGCGGGTTGGTGTCGGGGAAGTGAACATGTGCATTGTCTGAGTGGTCGAGATCGTGCTGACACATCATCGCCCACTCAGCCGAGCAAGCTACCCAGGTCAACTTTGATCTGCCCTTGCAATAGTCGACAAACTACGGCCACAGCAGCGAGTTGCGCGGTGCTGGCCCACAGCGAGACATGGACATGCTGTACGAGCCGTCCTTTCTCACCTGGCTCTGCGTCCTCAACCATGGAGACATGTGCAGTGTCGTTGTTGATGATGATCGGGTTCATGATCTCGTAAACGGCTTTAGCGGCGTCTTCTGCAAGGTGCACCCCCCCCCCAGAGAGGCGACCGATCCACATTGGTGTTAACTCAGTGCATGCAGTACAGCGCGGTGCGGTACGATTGCGATCTCGTCCTGCGATCTCGAATTGCGATTCGAGTGGATTGCTTGCCTTCGAACCGCCCAAACAGACGGAACGGCAGTTGAATCAGCTGTGTCCGGGTGCGACCGCCTGGCCTCTGCACATTCACAAGTAGCTTGTACGAAACCCGGATAACCTTGCCGCGATAGGAGGGCGGCAGCGTCGATGGCAGATCGATTTCGTAGTTGACTTGGGATAGAATCATCAGCGTGGTTTAGCCAGTAGCGACCGCGAGCCTCGCTTCGTGAACATCGATTGCATGATACTTGATCGGGTCAGACGGACTGACGGCAGTCAGGGAGGGGCAACTCACAGGTTTTGCTCTCGCCGGGACCAAGCGACAGATCAGCGAACAATAACGTCGGCGGAGTGGACAGCACGGGGAATGCCTTGCCCTCTTGCGAATGGAGTCCAATTCGGCATCAAACGGCAGTCTTGTCAGCGACATGCTGTGTATCTCAGATTGCGATTCATGTCTTCCGGGCAGTGGTGCTTGCACGAGGCAAGCGCTGGCATGACATCAGCGCCTAGTGCAGACCTAGCTCACCTTTATCCCTGGCTGCATCGGCACCGTTGACGAACGAGCCACCTCCTCCAAAGGCACCTCCGCCGCCTCCGGGCTTGTACATCAAGAGATGGTTCAGGGATTCGAACATTGAGCTCTTGATGTACAGTGGATCGACCGAAAAGCTGCCGACCATTTGCGCAAAAGCCCAAGCGATCTGCTCGGGTCGGACCGTGCTCGGTGCAGACCACGACTGTGAGTGCAGATGATGGCTGGACATGGGCATGGTGCGGTGCGAGTCTGTGCTGGCTCGGCCCAAGGACGACGAGTGATCCGAGGTCAAGTTGGCGCTGTTGGGGACGGCAGGGTTGCTCGAATCTGGCGTGATCGAATGGACGCTGCTGAGGTTGATCTTGTCGGTCTCGGTGTGTCCCGATCCAAGGGCCTGGTCGGCTATCTTGGACGCAGCCGGCTTTCCTGGGATCTGCAGATGTGGGAGAGTAGGTGGAGGCCGCGGTGCAGTTGAGCCAGGGGCTGTTCGATCCTCCTCGCGATTGGTCTCCGGATGGTCATATCCATTCATGCTGTCATTAGCGGGATCGGAAAGCGGAAGGGTCGATCCAGACGGCTCGGAATCGACGGGCGATGGAGGTGCATTGAGCGATGGTGACGGTGACGGTGACGAGAAGCCGGTGCCGAAGAGAGCCTTGGTGAACGACGTCAGGAAGCCAAAGGTGCTGCCTTGGTCGACGACGGGAATGTGCTTGATGCTCAGCGGCTCGGAGCCAGAGACCACGGACGCTGATCCGTCGTCGGTAGCCAATGCTTCGGCAGAGGGGGTGTTGAGCACGATATCAGGGGCTCCTGGGGCGACCAGGGCCGAGGTTGGGACTGAGGGCCGGCGCGAGCCAGGAAGAGAATGCGCCAGATACGACGGAATGGCCGAAAGCCGTCGACGCGGGGAGTTCAGCGCACTCTGGGCCGGCGATACCAGGGTTGCCTGAAGGGGCAACGGGGGCACCTGCGCCGGGGTTGGGCGAACAGGAGAAGCCGGGTTTGTGAAGGTGAGGGAGCAGGAGAAGCGCTCGCCGGCAAAGAAGACGGCGGACTGCGGGAAGCTGACGGTTAGCAGAATCACCATGGCGATGGAGAGACAGGGGCGAATGGATCGGAGCAGATGATAGAGACACGGGATGCAGATGAATCAGAGCGGATCGGTGTGTGGTGTGTGGGGTCGATGGGCAACGAGGGGCGAGAGGGCGAACGGCGGCGGCTGAATGCGGCGGTTGATACTTGATCGTTGACGGATGATTGCTAATGGTCAACGGCCAATGGCTGACGGTTGATAGTTGTTGATAGTTGATAGTTGTTGATAGTTGATAGTTGGTATCAGTTGGCCGGTGGTCGGCGCTGGCAGCAGATATCCGAATCGCGACGGTCGACGCCGGCGGCCGAGATGATCGAGGCCAAGAGCAGCCGCGGGCCAATGCTATGTATCCGCGGCCTGGAGAGCGCTGGGCGCCGGGCTGTTTGGCCCCCGTCGTCTTCGCCAGGGCTGTCCTGCTCTTGTCTGCATCACAGCCGCCGGTTGATCTGCGCCGCGGAGGACCTGCTGTCTGTCTTCCGGCGCCGAGGTCGGTGTGGTCCTGCCTGCTTGTCTTGCCTGTCGGTCCTGCCTGTCGGTCCTGCCTGTCGGTCCTGCCTGCTGGCCATGTCTTGTAGATCTGGTCCTGTTGATCTTGCCATCTGGCTGATCTTGCCTTCCCGTCTCCGCAGATCTCTCGCCGGGTTCAAGCCTTGCGCCCTCTGTCTCGGCCGCTCCCGAAAAGCCGTCCTTCAACCTTGCTGCGAACCGCTGTTCGGGCACCCGATCCCCGGCCATCGCATCAATGTCGTCAAATAGCCAGTCTCCGAGCTGGCTGTCGCCGCCGAGCATCCCTGAAATCTCGTCCATCCTCGGCGATGCCGACCAATTCAGCCTCGCCCCGAGCAATCCAACCAAGACCGGGCATCACCAGGTTAGCGCACGAATCCTCGTCCCGGCATGGCCTATTCCTGTTGCCGGGATCATGTCTCTGATTGGAGCCCTCGCTCGCATCGATATCGATATCGATATCCATGCTCCATAGCACCCTGTGTCCGGCCTCCCTTGCCCAGAGCCACCGATGCTTGACCAGTCAGGAAATAATCTGGACACCGCCGGGCAGGATGCTGTTACTGCTGGAAACAACGCAGCCTCGACTTCCAATCGTCAATGGCGACCAAGCCCGTTGCCTGATCCCACATCGGCCCTGCAGCACAAGTCGAGGAATGCTGGGCTTGGGCTTGGGCTGCCGCCCCCACAGGCGTCGCTCAAACGTCGTCCATCGAGGCAGACTTATTTCAACGACACGAAGGCTTTGGCATCGGCGGCTCTGGTCTATCAAGACTCGCCATTCAGCGTTGGTTCGCCTGGGCCACTCCAAGACTCGACTGAGGACCTAGCCAACCTTCTCAGCTTCCAATACGACTCGGAAGAACCGGGCGATGCTCCCCTGGACATTCCGCAGAGCAAGCGAACCAAATGGGAAGGCGACGACAGAGAGTCGGAAGTTGTGGTAAAACCCGAAGTAATAGAAATAATCGACTTGACAGACGGCCCGATCGATACCAAATTGGAGGCGGACATGATCTTTGAGGACTTTGAGGGAGAATATGTGATATCCAATCACAAATCGCCCGACCCCTGCGAAATACCGCCAGCGCCGTCCGATCCTGCCAGCCATACGACGGTACAGCCCCAACCCATCGCGCACGAGTCGCAGGAAGGCGCCTCGACCAGGCCGGGGCAGAAACACTCACATCTGGAATACAATCTGCATTCGACGATTCAGTTTCGAGTAGGTCTTCAGTCCTCTGATACCACCGCGACGATGCGATGCGATGCGATGCGATGCGAACATGTGTTCGGACTGGATGAATGGCGAATCACAGATCGCAAGGATAGGGCGCGTATCCCCCACACCGTCGCTCGAACCAGCGCTGACATGGTTTGGTATCTCCTCCTCTCCCGGCAGTGCTTCGACTCGGGAGAGCATGGCTGGAAGCTGTCGTTCAATCCATTCGATCAAGAACAGAGCATCTTTGCAATGGCTGGCGACGGCCTGGTGAGTGGCCGTCCCCTGCATCACTCGCTGCGTCGGTGTGTTGGCATCGCTCCGTTAGATTGTCCTCCAGCATTTCCCTCCAGCACTGCCCTCCTGCCGCTCTCGGCGTCATCGCTCCAGCGCTTCGAGTGCCATCCCTCTGACATCCCCACCTTGGTGTGCTGCTCTCCTGTGCAATGAACCCCATTCGACCCATTCTCGAAGCTCTCGGTCTGGAGCTGCAAGGCTGCACACCGAACGCAAAATCTGCTGTCGCGCCGGATTCTCGACGACAAAAGAGCCAAGGCTGCGCTCTACGCTGTGGAGTGGCTCTACGATGCAGAGCTTCGGGAGGTATACGTGGCCGTAGGCGGCAACAGCTCGGCCATCAGCGTTTTTGGGCTCTCGTCCAATAGCCATAGAGTAAGTGCCGTCCGCACGCTTGCTGTTCGCCAATCCGCTTGCGTCGGTACAGCAAACCATCGGAATCGAGTCGGAGAGCGTGCTGACCAGGGTTTTATCTCTACTCCATCAGCTCCTTCAATCTCACGGCGCAGTGAGTAGCCAAGAGTGAGGGAGCAAGCGAGAGCGAGACTGGTGTGCATGTGTGCTGATGTGCAGATGGGCATGTGTGCAGCTTCGGACATGAAAGTGCAGCGGAATGCATTTGGTGCGAGCAGCAGCGTCTTGGCTCGACTTTTGTGGTTCTGTTTCGCATCGAGTCCTCTCTTGAAGTGGACCCGCACATTGGCACATTGGCACATTGGCACATTGGCACATTGGCACATTGGCACATTGGCACATTGGCACATAACTTCATCGTCTGTGCTCGCGGCCGATGCTTGTATACCATTCCGCGAACTGCTGAATGAACTCACACTGACCTCGGCAGGACATCAACGATCTCAAGAGACACCCGCGGGACGACGTGATTCTGGCATCGGCCAGTCGAGATCGCAGCATCCGGATATGGAACGCCAAGCGTGGGATGCTTCTGGCCATCCTTGGCGGATGCGGGCACAAGGACACCATCTATTCGATTGTAAGCCGCACTCTGTTTCTGAAGGACGCCGGCTGTGCCTTGGTGCGCTGCAAGGAGTTGACTCTCCCGTTTCTGATGCGCGGGAGCATTGCGTTGTGTCGGCAGAGATGGCTCTAACGCTCTCTGTGTGCTGAATAGAACTTCAACGACGACGGCACACGGCTCATCTCCAGCAGCCACGACCATCAAGTGCTCGTCTGGGACTCGTATACACCCGAGCTTGCTGAGCTCATGGAGCGCTCGCACTCGCTGGACCGACAGCCATCATCGTACATTGGACTTCGATACCGGACCGATGGGCCGACCCAGATCAAGGACCACGTGCTGCGAGTCTACTTTCCGCTCGAGCAGCGCTCGGACATCTTCCGGAGCATCATCGACTGGTCATCGTGGTTCGGTTCCGCCGCCGTCTTCACCAAGGGCATATCGGGGAGGATCAGGCTGTGGAAATACGAAGAATCGCCTCAAGCCCAAGAGTCTCGTCATATCAAGCTCACGGGGTCGGAATATGGCTTTGTGGGTATCTCGCTCGGGATTCGCTACGCTTCTGACTGGGTGCACCACTCCATCGCGCCGCTGGTTCCATGCAGAGCCGTCCTGTCTGCATGAGTGTATCATGGCTGTGGCCTGCCCCCTTCATGTGTTTGCTGACAGCGTCCTGTGCATATCCGCTTGCTGATTGCTGATCCGCTCCCATTCTCTCCAGCCCCTCCTGCGGAAGGTCACGCCGATCATTTATGAGTTCACGGTGAGTCTTGGAGTCGGTCGATGCCATGGCTTCTTCGAGAACCTGGGGGGTCACGGCAGCAGTCGTGGTTGACCAACCACTCATCTTTGAACCTCCACACAACCTCCCTTTCCAGTATCCAGAAGAAATCCCCGTGTACTTTATTTTCCCACACATCAGCCCCAGCGGGCGGTATCTGGCAGTTGGCAATTCGCATGGAGACGTGTTTATCTGGTAAAGTGCACGGCTATGCATCGAGGGAGTGAAGGGGGGGTGGGTTTATTGGATCTGAAGATTTTGGTTGTGGCTCGTCTGCCTCGTTGCGAGCCAAGCAATCGAGGAGCCAGTAAGGGGGGGGGCTCCTCCAGCCCGAATCAATGAAACTGACGCCTGATATCCTTGGATGCATCCACGCACCATGGCATCAACACGATCATCGACAGGGATATTTTGGATGAGCTCAATCGGGGGCTCAATCAGCTGGAATCCAAATGCAGAATCAATGGTAAGTTTCGCGTTCGCGATGAAAGCGTCCATGACAGGGTGCGGGGTGGTGAGACTTGGCAAAGCCGCTCGTTAGAGCAGCTTCATTCACAGGCCAACATCATGAATCAGGTACCCGGCGGAAAATGCCCCGCTGGCACAAGTGTCTGGTGCGATCAGTGTGCTTCAGCAACGACGACCGTTTCCTCGTCTCGATCAGCGACGACGGGGCCTTGTGTGTCTGGGAGAAGCGGATCATCAAGACCGAAGAGCCCTAGCCGAGCGCATGCCCGAGCAATAGACATTCTCATTCGCCGCCACTCGTCTTCGCCATGTCAGCGGTGGCCTGGGCATCTCCTCTGTCTGGGGCGGCGTACAGTATGTTGAAGTAACGATGAGACACATCGTCTCATTCGGACAAACACGGCGTAATCGGATCATATCACACACTCGATCAAGTGAGTCAAATCATTGCCTTGTATGAGGGAAATGCATGGAGTGAGTGGGCACGACGGAGACCAGCAAGCCGCTGCAGATTCAGCCACTGCAGGTCGGAGGAACAAGACAGACCTGGGATGAGGGAGAAAGACACAGGGCAACGAGCAATATCGCTGGTTGGGTACCGATCAAAGCCGTCCAGCCAGATCGACAAACATCAAAACCAGTTCGGCGTAACGCGGCGGCGGCTCTGCGAACCGCAAAAATGGCGCAAGAGAAGGATGCACTGCGGCCGTAACGAGAGCGGTGCGAAGTATGACGTGCTCGGGCCTGGCTGCCAGGAGCCCGGGTGTGTTCAGGGAGCATGGCCGGCCATGTGCAAGCGGAGAAGGCGGGAGGGGGGAGGGGCGAGGACGACCGGGGGCGATACGGCCGGAGTCGATGAGGAGGAACAAAGCACGACGAGGCGATGCGATGTGGAAGGAGGCAAACGGAGCCTCGTCCACAATCACACCCACATCCAGTCATGGACAGCCTCGTCGCCAACCGACACCAGCCAAAGCGGCCAAAGTGGCCAAGCAGGCCATGAACCGGAGGAGAGATCAACGAGCTAGGCTCGACTGAACACATCATGGTTTTATATATTTCAATGGGTTATTTTCCCTCAGATTCGATTTGTGGGTTTCCATCCTCGGGATTGGGATTTTCTTTTCTTGGGCTGTTGGGTCTTGCGAGCTTGCTTTTCACGTTGCGCCGATCCGTAGCGATGGATTTCGGCTGCTCGAGAATATTGGATTCGTGGTGGAGAGAGAGAGGGAAAGAGAGAGAGAGAACGATGGCGGTGGTGATGGATGATGAAGATCTGGCCGGTCAAAGCGCCACGGGGAAGAGGGAAGAGACAAGAGGCGACCCAAGGTGGGGGGTCAGGGAATGAAAACTTCAAAAATGAATAGGAAGAAATGGATAAAGGAAATGAACTCAAAGACACGACATTGAGGCACCACTCTGGTCCCGTCAGAGGCACGAACGGCCAGAGGATGATGCAAGCAGGAGGGAGGAAAGAGGGGAGATGGAGGAGGGGGCTGGCAGGATTACGCCGGCGGCAATAGTATATCCAAAAATTGTGCTGAGGAAGCCGGGAAGAGGCATATGGGCCAGAAAGGGTCTGGCAGGATACACCGAAGAACGATGGACAAGCGCGGGCAGGCCAGCGATGTTGCTCTGATGCTGTGGGAGGGGGGCCAGCAAGAGCAGAGACAATTACGAGAGGAGGCTTGGCCTCCGATAAAGAGGGGGAGGAGAAGAAAAGGATAGGTGAATTAAATAATGAACAGAAACACACACAAAAAGGAGGAGGAGGGAAAGGACTTTGGAGGCAAAAACAAGCGCAAAGTAGCTGCGAGGGCTGATGGTGCTGATGGTGCTGGGAGATGACGGGCCGAGAGGGACGCGGGAGGGCCTGCGGGGATATCAAGCGGCGTTGGAAAAGCTCTTGGAGCACGAATACTTGAGCGGCAGTGGGAAGATGGAGGGCGACCCAAGCGACAGCTCGGGCACACTGCGTCCGTCCGGGGTCATGTCGTAGCTCGAGGTCTGCAGCGAGTTTGGCTTGGAAAAGCCGCCGGCGGGGACATGGACGTGCATGTGGTAGAGCGATGTTGAGAACGACTGCTCGTAGGGCATCGGCGGGCGGTGATGCTGGCGAGACGATGGCGAGAAGGAGATGACGGCAGCTGGTTGGGGGCCCGAGGCCGGCGACAGGCCGCCTACGGAGGACGGCGGTGTGGGCCAGGAAGCCAGCAGCGAGGGCGACATGCATGCTTCGCGGCGTTGGCACTCCTGCGAACAGTAAAAGTGGCCATCCAGGGTCCGCTTTCCACAGGGGCACCAGTTGAGGTCAACTCCGTAGTCCATGACGAAGAGCAGCACACAACACGATGGGAATCGAGCGAGAGAGGAAGCAATAAAGAGAGGATGAGAGAAAAAATGCAGATACGACCGGCAGGATGCACCGGAGGAGGAAAGCGATCGAGGAAAAGATGGGAATGAGATGGGAGGGGAATGGACGATGAGATGCGTAGTCGAGGATACCGTGCCGGTGAGACGGGCTCGGGAAGACGAGAGCGGCACAGGGTGGAGATCCAAAGGCCAGGACAGCGGGTATGGGGCAGTTTGGATGCACTGCAGGAGGGGCCGGAGAGCCTTGGCAGAGCGCAAGAGATGAGATGGGCAGCCAAGACGGGCTGGACGCGCAGGACCAGGTTATGAGCAGAGGCGAGTTGCGAGGGCCAGCGACAAGGGCGTGCACGAGCGAGGCCACAGATCGCGCAAGCGGCGGCAAGACGGGCGAATGCGCTGTCGAGCAGCAGGGAGGGTAACGGGTGGTAACGGGTGGTAACGAGGCAAGGAGAGCGAGTGGCTGGGAGTGAGACTGGGAGTGAGACTGGGAGCAAGACTGGGGGAGTGAGAGTGAGCAACGCAGGACCAGGCGGATGGATAGGCTGGAGGGGAAATGAAGGCTATGGAGTGAAGGAGGTGAAGGAGGTGAAGGAGGTTAACAATAAGGGAGGACGACAGGGAGGACGGGCGAATTGGGAGAACGGGCGAATCGGGTGGAGGAAAACGCTGGGCTGGAATGGGAGGGGCTTGAGCGGGTTGCAGGTCTCGAGAGAGTTTCGAGACAAGAGCGGACTGAGCAGGCTGGGGCGGAATGGGCGGTATATATACGGCGAGAGAATGTTATGGAAATGCGACGGAAATGCGACGGAAATGTGACGGGAATGTGACGGAAATGTGATGGCTGTGCTATGGAGATGCCGGTGCAGTTTTATGTCGCTGGGTGTGCGATTTGCTTGGGTGTCAGTTGCGCTTGGGTGTTTGCTGTGCTGCTGTTGGTGGCTCGCCACTCCGCTGGGCCACTGTCGAGCATTTGCACTCAAGCTGTGGATCAAGCAATCCTGCTGAATGAGTGGGTCGAGTAATCCTGCTGAATGAATGGATCGAGTTATCCTGCCGAATTGCACCCAACCTGTTGCCTCCTCGGCAGACCCACGTTTCCAGCGCATTCGCTGTATTTCCATCTCCCCACACCCGCTCATGCGCTGACCCCTCTGCTGTCGAGCGATCGCCGTGCCCGTATTCGTCTGGCTGGCTGGGGAGGAACAGTGGGAGGCAGACCCGCCTCGCTGCCCTGGTGTATGCACTGCAGAAGATGCACCTGCAGAAGAGACGCTGAGACCAGGAGCAGACGCAGCCACTGTCGCTCACCAAGCAACCTGCCTTCGCCACCATTGCGGCCAAGCGCTGTCTCCAAATGGCAGTCTCCGCCTTCACCACCAGGCCGGCAGGATCAGGACCAGGACCAGCGCCCGCGCAACCACAGGCCACAGCCGCACCGTTCTGACCGAGGCAGGCAGCCGGCCGTGGTGCAGCAGTATCGATGCTGCTGTCGCTGTCTCGCCTTTCTGGCTCTGGCAACGACATTCCCAGACGGCATTGGCCGCGCCCATTGGCTGCTGCTGCTCCACCAATCGGCAGAGACCCCGCAAGTCACAATCATGTGCGCATGTTCATGACCAGCCAGGCCAGGTCGTGATTGCGCCAGCACCTCAGCAGCAGGGCCGATGCCTGGCGACGGAATGGCATCTTTGCAGCAGGACCGATGCCTTGGCGATACCTCGACGGAAGCATCTGCTGAGCCCCCCCCCAGACGGCCGCTGTCGCCTCGGAAACGCCAGCGGCTATGCTCAGCCAGAGACTCCGCAAGGCTCCAAAAGGCGTGGTCTGTTTCGGTTGATCCATCTCTCTTGCATGGAGCCGGAGAGATGCAGGTGGGCAGAGTGAAGAGATCCAACACGCTCTCTCTCTTGCCCCTCGCTCTCTCCTCCCATCCCCTCCCCCAAAAAACGGCTTCCCAACGAGCGACCCGGAGGGCGGGAGACAAAAATAAGGCGGCAGGAGCGAGGCGGGACGGGGGCTGGGAGAGGCTGGAGAAAGCGGGGCCGTGACGACGGCGGTGACGATGACGATTGTCCATGGCGACGACCACAGTCCGCCTCGGGCTCTTGGCGAACCAAGCTCGCGATCGCGAGGAAATGCCCCTCGGCACTCTGGTCCTGGCGAAGGTTTCGTCGACGATGGGACCTTGCGCCGTTGATGGGACCTTTCGCTGTTGATGGGACCTTTCGCGGTCAATGCGAGGCGCTTGGTTGTGTCGAGATCAATGCCGGCTGAGTCCTGTGTTGGCCAGCAGCTGTGGGCTCGATCTCGAGTGAGTCACTGCCAATCACGGCGCGTTCGTCTTGGGCCGGGGGTGAGAGGAGCCCCTTGCTGGCAGAAAGCAAGAAAGCAAGAAAGCAAGGGACCGCAGGTCGCTGGAAAGGAAAGACAATAGTGACATATGCTATGACAGTGGTGCGAGCGGGGCGGAGGGGGTGTTGCTGGTGTATCCTGCAGCCTCGAGCACGCCACGCCAAAACGAGCAAACCCGCAGACAGCCGCACGCACGCGGTGGTGACGGTGGTGACGATGGCAATGGCAATGGCAATGGTGATGATGCTATTAAAACTGTATATTTCACTGATGGCATGGCCGAAGGGGTGCAGACGAACGCGTCTGGTCCGACGGGATATCTAGACTGATGTGCAAAATGTCAGATGGGCCGTGTTGACCCGGGCGAGGATATGACTTGTCGAGCCTTGGATTGTTTTTTTTTTTTTTTACTCGACGCGGTGGGCGGGAGGGGTGATGGTAGTGGTTGGTTGTGCTTGTTTGAGCAGAGATGCCGGGTGTGCTTCGTTCACAAGCGTGCTCGTTAGAATTGATAAATTCTGGGCAGCGCCTGGCAGAAGGAGCAAACAACAACACACACGGATTGGATTGAGTTGGTCTTGTGATGGTGCCGAGAGACACGGAGCTGAAAGCTCTGGCAGAGCACCCCGCAGCTTGGAGGCGGGGCGCATCGCGGGTGGTTCCAACAGGGCAATCGATAGGAAGGGGAAGAAGCCTTGGGGACGACTGCGCGCAAAACAGCGCCAGTTGCTGGCAGCGTTGAGGAGCGCCGAGACGTGGACAGAGATCAGAGTCGATGACTGAAATTGCATGGAGACTTGACGCTGCCAGGAGGCCAGGGCCGTAGTTCACACGAACGCTTTTTGCTGTGCTTTGCTGGCTTGGACAGGAAGAAAGAAAAAAGAAGCTGGATCCGGATTGTTTTTTCCCTCTTTTCTTGATTTTTTTGTTGTTGCTTTCTTTCGAATAGGAAGAGGGATCGCTTTGAGTTCAAAGCGCTTCACGACAACAGGCGCATCTTGGAGAATGGCGGCAAAACTTGCAAACACGATTCAAAGGGCAAAGGAAGGGGGGAGCGGCGGGCTTGAGCCAGATTTGACGGGACACAGGCCTTTGGCAAGAGGTGCTTGGAGCACCTGTCCCCAAGGCTAGAAGTAGGTTTGCGACGGCTCCAGCGGGGCCTTGAAGAAGCTGGTTCGGCAGGAGGACGCCATGGGACGCTGCGAGTGCGGGTATCGGTGGTGGTTGGATCGCGAAAGCACAATGGTGGCGGGCTGCTGGGTGGCCGAGCGCATCATCTCCTTCTGCACGCAGGAGGAGGAGCAGTACAGGCTGTTGCCGGTGGCCTTCTTGCCGCAGGGGCACCAGTCGAGATCGAGTCCGTGGTCCATGGTGGTCAGGAGATATGTGTGCGAAGGTGGAAGAGGAGCGAGGGTAGATGGCCGTGAATGGCAGTGGAGAGCAGGCGGATGGATTGGACAGGGCAGGCAGGCTCTGCAGAGGAGATGGTCCTGGGAGATCTGGTCGGCAGATCGGTCTCGAGAGGGAGCGGTGTGAGGGCGCGAGGAGGCCGAGGCACAGACCGACGATTTATACGGCGAGCTGCGAAGCGATCAGATCAGCGCCCTTGTGGGCGGTATCAAGGGCATTTTTTTTCCGCCAAGCGCGGGTGTGCTGCGACGCCGATTGGGTGTGTGTGTGCGTGCGAGGTATCCGAGTGCGTCATTGGGCGCAGGTGACGTGCGCGGTTTGGGGTGAAGCGGCGGCAAAGGGATCCGCGTGGACAGGCGGTTGCGTGAGCGGCTGTGGTGCTGTCGCAGCGACTTTCCCGCCCAGCGCTTCCAGAACCATCCAGAAACAGCGGGGCCGACAGCCAGACAGGCCGCGGACAGATCGCGGACAGGTCGTGGACAGGTTGTGGACAGATCGCAGACCGGCAGACTGGCGGACAGGTCGCAGACCGATCGCTCGGCCTCCCGCCTCACCATCGACCCCACACTGCCACGCAGCCCGTGCGCAGCAGTCGCCGAGTCAGAGATGCCACGCCCATGAGATGAGACACGCCATCATGCCGAGCCCCGCGCCCACACGCACGCCAAGCCGAGCCGAGCCGAGTCTGGCAGCACGCACCCCCCCCCCACAGCAACAACAGAGCGACGGTGGTGCAGGCCAATCGCAGGCGCTCGTGGCAGCGTGGCGACGCAACAGCCCAGGGACCAGGCCGCCACAGACGGACACGGCTGCTGATTGGCCCGTGCTGCGGATTGGTCCGCGCGTCTGCCCGCCGATTGGCCCCCCGCCATGGATGCGTCTGCTGATTGGCCCGCGTGGCGCTTGTGGGTCGGGCTGGCCCGGCTGCGCAGCACATGGCGTGTTGTGTGCTGTGTCGCTGCCACACAGCCGCGCCGCCTGGCCAATGGCGTCGCTTTGGATCCACGCCGCATTTTTTCTTCCCAGGCATCGCCGGTCCCATGCAGGAGCACCACCAGCATCGACAGCGCACTCGATGGCGAGAGCGACTCTGGTCCGACTCCCTGGGCGACACCGCGAGACCCAACCGGCCAGGGCAGGCCAGGGCAGATGAGGGATCCAGGAGGCAATCATCTGTTGCCAGCCGTCGACAGTCGCAGAGCTGGATCGCCCCTTTGTTGCGCTGGAAGAGAGGTGATCCCTGCGCAATCACTGACGCTGTCCTGCGGAACTGGTTTCCCGCTTGCGCTTGCCACGCCGGGCCAAGCCAGAGAGGTGAGGCTGCGGGGTGACTGGCTGCCAAGGCTGGACAGATGACCATTCCGCCGCCGCCAGATCTGACCCGCAAGCGCAAGACAAGGCGAGATGCCATTGCGGATTGGCGCCGCGGAGCCGAAGGTTGGTCTTCGAGGAATGAGGGGGGGGGATCAAGGGTCTGTCTGCTGGGGAGTCCAGCCCGGTAGATGCCTGGCAGCGAAAGGAGGCAGAATTCGGACCAAAACGGCGACAGCCCGCCCGCCCACCCCAATATTTGCTGTCTTTCGTTGGGGGAAGAGAGATGCAGAGAATACAGGCCAGCGGCAGGAGTGAGCCGGCGGGAGGCGGAGAACCCAGGGTCGTTGGGCAATGCCCTCCTCCGCCTGTTGCAGACACCCACAGCAGATCAGATGGAGATCGGGCGTTGCAACGAACCCATCGGACATGTTCCGGATCGACAATGGTGTGTCATTGTGACGGCCTCGAGTAGTAGAGGGGCATGTGTGCGACTCTACCGTTTTATGCAAGATGACGAGGACGGCGGGGACGACGGAAACGGTGCCGGTGTCGGTGTGGATGTGAATTGCGGTGGATGCATGGTGTATTGATGGTATATGCAGATGACAGGATGCAGCGGAGCCCTGAACCGGGAGGTCAAAGGAATGCGACGGCAAGTGCTCCAGAGAGATGCGAACGAGGGCCAGACCCAGACAGAATCGGGAAGCCAAGCTCGGGAGTAATAAAGAAAAAGCCCCCGGCCCCCACAAAATACATGCGTGTGAAGATAAATACCAAGAGTCTAGACGGCACAATAGCGGACTTGCGATAAAAACAATGAACGGAAAAAGAACGAGTACCAAAAAACGAAGGGAAACGAGACAAAATAGTGCTCCCAACGACACCGTTGCGTGTCGATGTTGCTGGGTGCAATCGCAGGGAGGAGGAAGAGGAAGGTGAAGGTGAAGGTGAAGGTGAAGGTGAAGGTGGCATCGCGGACGCTGAGTGTCGGAGGGGGCGAGGAGAGCCAGCAGACCCGGCTGTCGCTCCGCTGATAGACAGGCGACCTGCGGCCGTTGCCGGTCATTCTGCTCAGTGCTTGGTATCCCCGGCCCCTCCTTCATCTCAGACGCTCTTGCTTCGGAGATACGGCGTCGGAGTCGTGCGGTAGTAATGGCACCGGACCGAGGGCGAGATCCGCAGCGACGGGATCGGGCGGCCTGGGCTGGTCGAGTGGCCGTCTTGGCTCTGGCACTTTCGGGAGCAGTAGAGGCGGTCGCCTTCGGTTCGCTTTCCACAGAGGCACCACTGGGTATCCATATCGGCTTGGAATGCAGCAGCAGCAGCAATAGCAATGGCGGCAGTGAGTAGTGAGGTGGGAACGGGGATGTGTGCTTGCGAGTCGACAGCGGCGACTGGTGGTTGCTTGGACAAATATCACGCAAGGGCGTTTGCGGGGAGTGAATGAGTGGCCAGCCGAGAGACAGACGGGCTGGGGAACGTTATTCTGGCGAGACGGACGGAAGGTGGTGGTGGTGGTGGTGGTGATCGAGGTGATTTTATGGGAGGAGCGAAAAGTCACTCATTGGACCAGGGGAACATTTTTTTTTTGTGGACGAGGGGGTGTTGTTGCTGTTGATGGTGGTGCTGTTGCTGTTGGTGGTGGTGCTGTTGCTGTGGCGGTTGGGGGCGCCGGTTGGGGCGCGACACTGCCACAGCCGCGGGTGGCGCCGTGCAGCAACCCGAGCCCAACGGAAGGCCTTCCGTTGCGCTTGTGGGCCTGTGCCCTTTTGGTCCTTGCCTGGCGTGGATGCTTGAGCACCACAGACGGGCGACGGCCTGTTTGGGCGGGGCTGTTGTTTGGGGGGTGGGCTCGCTGCAGCCTGGTCGGGAGCATCCGTGGCCGATGGCGAGAGCACGAGACCGGCAGACGACAGGGCCGGCAAGGGCCGGGCCGAGACATGGCAAGATGCAGCGAGCGCAACAAGTGCAGCAAGATGCCGCCCGACCGGGACAAGCCGGAGCAGATCCAGCAGCAAGCCAGGGCAGATCCGGCCAAGCCGAGCCGCGCGACGGTGGCAGAAACCAAGGACGTCAGCTGAGCGCAAACAGGTGCCAAAACAGGCATCGAGACAGGCTCCGGGTGCATTGTGACGACATGAGCGTCAGGGCGGCTGGATAGCGTTAGCGACAGCGACGGGGACCCGGTGCTGTCAGGGAGCCACGGCGTTGCTGGCAAGCTCTGCCAGCAGCAGCTCGCTCGACGGTCTTGTTTCCTTTCACGCCAGCAGCCCGACAGACGATGCAAGCCACGGACATTGCGCATGGCTGCCGTGCCGGCATGCCGCTCGCTGGGTCATGCGGGCTGATGCAGGGGACCGAGTCTGGGCGTCGAGTCCGGGTATCGGAACGGCTTGACACACAATTGCCTCCGGTCGACATCACCACGGGGACCATTCACTGCCTCAGCGACCCGGTCCGTCACCGTTGGTCAGATCGAGACCAGATCAAGTGCCAGACCAAGTGTCGGATCCAGATACAGCACAAAATCCGTGACAGCCATATGAGCCGCATGGCATCTGCCTTTCTGGATATGCATGCCCATCGACACAGATCCAGCGCCTCTCCACGCACAACCGACTGCCCCGGATATTGAAATAGGTTTGGGCTGGTGCAGCGCATGCCGCTGGCGGACACATACGCGCAGATCTATTCCTGCCTCTGCTGCTTCTTGAACTCCTCCACCAGCGTGTCCTTCTTGTAGTGCTTCTGGCCGACCATGAACAGGCTCGCCTCGCGGTCAGCTTCTTCCTCGTTCAGCTGGATCTCGGGCAGCGCCAGGCCGACCTTGCCCGCTGTGCGCTCGATCTTTTCCTGCCCCGTCAGCCCCGAAGCCGGCCAGTACGTTGCCATCATGTGCTTGTGAGTCCGGACGGCGTGCAGGTGGGTCAGGGTGTTTTTGGCATCGAGGAAGCGTCGCTGGATCTCTTCGGGGGACTCGAGCGACTGCGCCAGGCGGAACTGGAGCGTGAGCTCGGTCTTCCACAGCAGGTTCTGGTTGGTTCGGGTGAACTGGGTGCGCCAATAAGCAAATTCCCGGTGTTTGGGGGGATCGATGATCATGATGGTCGTGGCATGACAGGGTGGTATGGTTTGAGTCCACCGGGTGTCGTCGTTGCGAAGGGACCCAACCACGGAGACAAGCGATCCGACATCCAGGACAGACGAGCGACTGGTTAGCATCCGCCACATCGCTTGATCGCCACATCGCTTGATCGCCATGCCGCTCGATCGCTTGATTGCCAATTGCGCTGCCATGTGCATGGCCACTCCGCACCAGGTTATGTGCCTCGAATCTTCTACCCCTCCCCGGCTTCACATTCGTCTCCTGCCGTGCGTCGTTACCTGCTTGTTGACTTCTCTCAGCAGGCCACGGTAGACCGAGAGGACCTGCTGCTTTGAAACGTTGAGGGGATGGATTGTGGCCATTGTCGTGGGTGTTGTGCTGTTCGTTGTGCTGTGCTATTCGATGTGAGCGGGAATGATTTGATTCTGCTTGGCGCTGTCTGCGTCCAGGGGGGAGGAAGGCGGGAGAGGGGAGTTTGCTGGTCCACAGCCGGCGTCGGTCTCTTTCAATCGGGCGCAGGAAAGGTCGACAGGGAGAGCGGCTGCGATCGCGCTCCATTTTTTCTGCTCTGGCTCCTGGACACGTGATGACGTGCAGATCGACAGGCGTGGGAAGATTTGCAGCCAGCCAGTGCAGCAGCACCAGCAGCATCAGCAGTATCAAGCAGTATCAAGCAGTATCAAGCAGTATCAAGCAGTGCCAAGAAGCATTAGTCCAGGCCATGTTCCGATCAACGCCCCACACTGATATGAACGAATATGTGTATGCTGAATGAGTACGTGTATTGTTATATTCAGTTGCTAGAAACGAGGGGGTGCTTCTTTTGCATCATTGAGCGGCTATTCAGCCAGAGGCTTTTTCTGCCCACAGGAGATGAAAGGCATAGCGCTGTCCTGCCCTTCTTGCCCCGAAACGGGCCACAGCGCTGATCGCAGAAGCGACAAGGACGACGCCCGAGGGGGAGCAGATGTTCTCAGGCATGATTGCCGAGAGAGCCGGTACAGAAGCGCTGTCCCCGAGGGCGTTTGAGGACTCCGTGGGGCGAGGCCATTCGCCGAGCGAATGCAAGAGGAAATAAAGAGGAAAGTTGCCGTCTAGGATCTAAGGGCGCATCGCATCGCCGGGCATCAGGATCTTTCGGAGGGTTCGAGTCGCCAAGCCCGGACGAAATAACGGGGCGGAGACGGACACAGGAGACAAGTAACTTGATGGGCAGAGCTGACGGTCGCAGTGAAAGCGATGAGCCACCAGATGCAGGGTCAGGATGGGAAACACATGCACAGCAGGAGTGCCGGATTGGTTTCAATCAAGGTTGAGAGAGAAAGGGAGCCGATGGCAGGAAGGGGGAGTACCCCCGCTTATGTCTTGGCTGGGCCCGAGAGCACCGAGAGCATCTGGCGGTGGGAGGAGCGACCGCGAGGCGACGGAGGAGGAGTCATGATGTCGGCCGCAGGCGGACCCAGGAAAAAGTCCGATGCAGAGGGCGACTCGGCCGCAAAGTGCGAGCGAGGCGAGCTATGGGGCGAGTGCGAGGATGCAATGCTGAGGACCGAGTTCTTGCGGTGCGAGTACGAGTGCGAGTGCGACGAGGCACGGGTCGAGAATCCAAAGACAGGCGTCAGCTGGATGGAGGCCGGGGAAGGCAGCGAGGCCTCGCGGTCACGGCATTCGCGGGAGCAGTACATGTCGGCGTTGGAGCGGGTGCGCTTGCCACAGGGGCACCAGTCGAGATCGATTCCACCGAAATCCATTTGTACAAAGAAGCAGAGGCTTGAGAAGGGTCAAGGGTAGTGGGGAGTAGTACGCAGGGCGTGGGAGCGCAAGTAGCTTGAGACGAGCGAGTTGCAGCGAGTTGCAGCGAGGAGGCGGGGTGGCTATATATGCGCTGGAAAGGCAAAGCAGGAGCTGTGGAAGCAGAGCGCGAAGGGCCGATTTGTCAGGAAGAAGACGCTGTTGTCAAAACTCGGTGACAAAGCCAGGTGGGGGGCGGTTTGTCAGAAAAGGCAGAAGCGGTTGTGGGAATCCGGGAGGGGACAGGGAAGCGCCTCGGTTTTATATGTCACAGCGGCGGCGGCGATGGCGACATTGCCCGCAACGCAATGCACATCGACACGCCGAGAGCGCGCGGGACCGACACGGCCGTGCGCAACCGGGCGGGCGACGGGATTGGCTGCGGGTGGTGCTTTGATAGCGATGGCGAAAGCGTGGCGATGGCGAGGGCGATGGCGAGGGCGATGGCGAGACGGCGCCTCGTTGCAGGTCGACACGCATTGTGTTGGGGGAGCGAGGCGGCAACTGCGAGAGCGAGGAGGGACCGAGGAGGAACCGAGGAGGAACCGAGGCGCTCTGTCGGGCACGTCAGCTGTTCCCGCCCCCTTCGGATGTGCCCTTCGCCGATACGACTGCGCCGATGACCAACGGGGCGATAGCGAATGCCTGTCCGGGGCTGCGTGGAACATACCCCGCATGGCCGCCGATTAGTTGTCCGCTGGTTGGTCGTTCGCCGGTCGGTCGTTCGCTGGTTGGTCGCTCGTCCCCACACCAGATTTCTCGCCATCCGCATTGGCCTCGCCGTCCATTTACCACCAACCACGGTCCAGAGCGGCCCGTGAAGGGCGTCATATCGCTTTTTTCCTTCTCCATCTCTCCATACTCGCCCGCGATGAAGTCCGTCGCTTTGCCCCTCCTGCTCCGAGTACTGCCCAACCACATCCCGGATTTGAAACTGCCCACGACTGCCTGTGGCCGCCAGTCATCCACTGCCCCTGCTTCCCTGATCCGCCTCTTCGTCCAATCACCGTCCGCCGCCCCCCACATTTGTGTCGGGCAGGGGAGGGGGCTCGCCATCAACAATCTCCGCCAGCAATCCCGCCATCGCCATTGGCGGCAGCCACACACTCGCTATCCGAAACTCTTTTGGATCCACTCCGTGATTTGTTTGGAGAGATGAGGAGAGTGCGTCTGACCGTGGCTGGCCTCCGATTCACACGAGTCACCGCAGTCGTCGCCATCGTGATCACGGAGGATGGAGAGGACGACGACGAAGGAAAAAAAAGAGCGGGCTCTCTATCTCGACGGAGTGCTCTCGGGGACGGGTGCTGCAATGTTGGTCCTCGAGGGTTCCCTATCTCCGATCCGGCAGCGTCCGTGCCGATGCCCGTGTGGCCGAGGGCGCCGAAACGGACCCGCTCCGGCGAAAGCCATAGCGCATCGAGCTGGTTGGTTGGCTGCATCCGAGCGATCGCATCCCGGCCTGGCCAAGTGATTGCCCCGTTGCATCCCCGATCGAGGCTCGCACTTCGACGCCGTTCCTGGCCCGGTTTTGTCGGATCGGCAACCGGGCCTGCCAGCTTTCACATCCGCGAGAATCAATCATGCACATACAGCCGCACTCACACATGGGCCTGCTCTAGAAACTGTATTCGGCAAGCTCGGCTGCCCGACACGCACCCATCGCCATCCGGCCTGAGGACAGCGGCCGATGCCGGTCTACCGGGCCACAGCATCCTCTCGTCTGCCTGTCTTGCTCTTGCGGTTCCCACGCCAGGTGCATGTCGCCCCTCCCCACCACGCATGCTCGGCCCCACATGGCGGCCCACCTGGTGGTCCACATGGCACTCATTCCGGCACCACTCATGCGCTCGTGAATGTCGTAACCATTGCGGTGTGTACCACACCTCCTCCGGCCTCCACTGCCACGTTGCCCGCTCAGAGCTTGCTGAACACAGGGCTTGGATTCTTGCTGGTGATGGCCTTGGTCGCGACCGCAATGTCGGAGGTCTGGATCATGCCCGAGTTCCAAACCGCCACGTAATCCAGTCCCTCGGCGATGCTGTGGTTCTGGGCGTGGTTGAGGATGTGTCTGGACAGCAAGGCAAGGGAGGCAGGACGAGGGACCATGACGATGCGTTACTTTGGTGTGTGAAACTGCTTGTGCTTGCCTTCGATCCAAGCCAGGTGCTTGTTGGAGAAGCCAGACTCGGACTGGCTCCAGCTTCTCTGTCTCGCATATCACTGCCGATATTGCTCGCTCGTCGACTTACTTTGTACCCGCCACGGCAATTGGCGACTTTTTCGATATCTTGCTCGCCAGGGCCAGCGCACCCTCTGGACGGAGGACGAGCGGTGTCGACATTGGAATCAGTACCCCAGCTTAGATGCTCTGCAGCACGGCAGAGCTGCATTCACCACCCATCATTCACCACCCATCATTCACCACCCATCATTCACCACCCATCACCCATCATCCATCGCGTCGCTTGACCGAAACAAGAAGATACGAACCGATCAGGGCTGCCTTGCTGTCGTAGACTTGATTGACCAAGCCGTGTCGAACGGCCTCGGCGCCGTCAAACACCCGACCGGTATAAGCCAGCTCCCGGACCCAGCCCATGTTCCCGACGACCTTGGGCATGCGCTGGAGCGTCCCGACATCGGCAGCGAGTCCAACATCCACCTCCTTTGCTCGGTTGCAGTCGAGCATGCCGGCGAAACAGAGGATAAGAAATATCAGAGTCGTGTCCGGTCATGGCCATCAAGACGCCGTCCTGCCGCCATCGATATCGCTACCTTGATGGTAAAGACTGCGTCGCGGGTGCTCAGACGGATATCGCAAGCTGTGATGAGATCGATGCCGCCGCCGATGCAAGCACCATGGACCGCCGCTATGACGGGGATCCTGCAGCTCTCGATCGCTGTGAAGGCCGCCTGGAGCTTCTTGACGATGGGATACATCCGCAGGGCATTGCGGGAGGGATCCTTGCCCTGGGTAAAGTCCTTGAGCATCTCGACTGCGAGGGAAGGGATATGGAGCAGATACACCCGAATGAGCCATGGAGAGAATCAGTCAGATATCGGCCCTTGGAGGACGTGGTGCCATGATGGTGCGTCGCAGCGATATCGCTGAAGGGAAGAAGAGACCTCTGTCGGGCATTTTACCATCCAGAGGCATCCAGAGGCATCCAGAGGCATCCAGTGGCCGCGACGAAGCCAAATATGCACCCATATGCGAGCTTCTCCCGATCGTGGAGCAGTCCGTCGACCGTGGCCTCAAGAATTGCTGCTACGTACGATCGATGCCGGCCGTGAACGCCTTGGACTCGCCTCCAGTGATCACACAACAGAGCAGATCGTACTGATCGCTGATCCACTCGAAGCATTGGCGCATCTCGGTCCAGAACCTGGGCATCCGGGCGAGCGCAAAGATAAGAAGAGGAGGGGGGGGAGGCAGATGCGGAGGAAAGAAGCACAACAGTTGATCAGAGGGAATGGATCCATAACGCTGGCGGAGGATTGGGAGATGCTATGCTGAGAGGAGCTCCCTGAGGAATGCGGCACGCACTTGTCGTTCATGGTGTTGAGTTTCTTGGGGCGGTTCAAGTCGACCCGGACGACACCCCACTCCGGGAAGGACAGCGCAAGGGTCTGCAGAGGGCACATGCAGATCAGAAGCGACAGCAATAGGGATCGGAGACGTGGATGAACGGGAGTGAGCCCAGGCAACGACCATCGCATGAAATGCCGCTTCAAAGAGTCCACGGCCATCGTTCCATTGCCAAAGGAATTCACTCCCCCCCCTCCTCTATGCGGCAAAAGGCACCGTGCTCGCTGGGTCCAGCCACGATGCGCTAGTGCAGATAACGCCATGTTCAGGGAGCGAGCGGTCACCTCGTAAGCCGGGGCCTTGGGCACCTCAAAGACGTATCGGATATCCATCTCTGCCCCACAAAGAAGCGTTGGCTGAAGAAACGTTGGCTGAAGAATCGGAGGGCAGTTGCGGAGGAGCAGCTTCTGAGTCGCGTAGCACGATATCCGAGATGGGGGCAAGCGGCAAGCCCGGCAGAGGTCGGAAGGGGCGAGCGAAAGAGCAGCGATATGAGCTGGCGAGGCGATCGACCTTGGGGCGGGGGGCTATCGGCAGCTGAAATACGACAAACGGCAGGGCTCGGCTGTCGAGAGCAGGCGGAAGAGAGGACGAGCAGCAAGCCGTCACATGAAAACAGGCTCGGGGGTTTGTTCCCATGATCAAGCGTGGTTGGCTGGCTGGCTGGCTGGCTGGCTGGCTCGCAAACCAGCCCGGATTGTCGTTCTGGGCAGCGGATGCATACATGCTCATAGCCGGCCGAGGCTCATCAATCGGATTTGGTTTTGGGTCGGGTGCCCAGAGATGCTAGATGTCCTCGATTCCCACATACCAACCTGCGGCGGCGCTGTGGTTCCAAAATCCCAGGATCCCAGGCGACGGGGACTCGAGGCGTATTCCTACTCGTCTTGACTCTGGGAAATGCGTCGTGATGGTACGCTTGGGACAAAGAGAATAAAATGCAGTTCCACCCAAAAGCATGCGGTCGGTCAGCGACAAGAAACAGGGCGCCCCTTTTGGGTGGAGGCTGTAATTGGTTTGCAATCGAGTGTATTAGAATCGAACAGATCTGCGGTCAGCATGGCATGTGTGTGGAAAATCAGCAGCTCCGACTCAGCTTCGAGGCAGCAGGAACAATACTCGCTGTACCCCTTTGTGGCCCCGTCCACCGCACTTGTCTCGATGGCCGTTGGTGCCGGTCGATCAGCACCATGTGCAGCACGGCTGCTTGCTGGCAAAGGTGGTGAAGGTGCGCTTGACTTTCTTCCAGCCGTGGTAGTCGTGCGGGTGGTGCCGAAAGTCGATGCCGTCGGGGTCTTCCTCGTCGTCATACTCGTCGACAGTGACCAGAGGCCGGCGAATCAGATCGTACGGCGAGCCGTTCTGAACCCAGGCGATGTCGGCCGGGAGCCCCGGTGCGTCGGCAGCGGCAAGCTCACTGCGCCGCAGCATCTCGACCAGGTTGTAGCCCTGTCCGCGGATGACGGCTTTCTGGCGCTTGAACATGCGTGGACTAAAGTCCGGGTCGAGCCGGAAGAGTTGCTCGAGGCCCCGCATGGTCTCCTGCCACCACTGCTGCGACGTGAGCAGATGGAGACAGCCCTCCCGCGTTTCGTTCGAGAACGGGATGCGCGCGATCCCGAGGTTGGCCCAGCCGTACGGGTAGGATCTCCATTGGTCCGGGTGCTTGAACGGGAATGCCAGGCCGTTGTCGATGGCCGCTATCTGGATGGTTGGCAGCCGCTCAGGCGGCGGCAGCGTCTGGGCAAGGGCCTCTGCAGGAACTTGCAACAGGGCCGGGCGATGAAGCGAGGGCTCGCTTCCGCGATGCGCGGCATTGGCGACTGCCGCCTCAGAGCCGCCAGCGACGCTGTCGGCTGTGGTCAAGGCTTCGAAGGCGCTCAGCAGTGGCACCGACGCAGCAGCAGCATCACCGACGACCTGCTTGCCTTTGGTGCGTGTGTGTGCCACTATAGTCGCAGCCGCAGCAACTTGTTCAGCGGCCGCATCGGGGCTGACGAGCGTGGGTGCGTTGCTGCCCGTGATGAAGCCGTATCCGATCTTGCCGGCCTCGTATGCAAACGAGAAGATGGATTCGCTCGACGACTTTTTGCGCACCATGCGCGGCTCCTCGTTGACGCGGACCATCCAGTTGTCGGAGCCGCGGTCGGTGTTGCGAATCAGATAGTCGAGGATCACCAGGCGCTCGAACCCCCAGCGAAAGTCGTTCTGGGCACCCCGCGACCAGATGCCGTCGGCGGCAGGAGGAGTCGGGGCGGTGGCGAGGCTGCTACTGCTGCTGCTGGGGTCGCCAACGTTCGCCAGGCTGGTGCTGCTGTTGTTGTTGCTGGCATAGCCGCCATCGGATCGCAGCGACTGCGTGTAGCCTTCCCTGAAGAACGTGGTGGCATCCTTGTAGCCCTTCAGGAAGAGCTGGAAGCTACCGATTTTGAGGGGCAGGGCCTTGCCGCTCTCGTAGGCCCGGCGATCGCGCGTCGAGTAAGAGAACGTAGGCGAAGCCAGCCGGACAATCTCGGTGCGGGGCACGATGTTGAGCTGCAGCCGACGGTCCATGTACGAGGCCGCGGCCTCGGAGATATACCCGAGGTTGGGAATCAGGCACGAGCGGCCAAAGCAGCACGGCAGCAGGTTCTTGTGGAGCCACTTGACCCACTTTGGGTTGAGGTGGCCATAGGGCTCTTCGTTCTTGGGCTTGAAGACCCCGACGATCTCGCCCTGGCGGTTGCGGCAAAAGTACGATCCTGACGAGCCCTGGGCGATGCGTGTCGGGTAGATGCCCTCGTCGATGGCAGCCCGCACCTCCTCGACAATCTCAAGGAACTGTGTGGCCGAGACGGGCGTGACGGGCGGGACGACGGGAATCCAGCTCTTTGGCGGATCGACAAGCGAGTCTGCGGCGGCTCGTGGGCCGGCAAAGACACCCGTTTCGTGAATGTCCATGATGCTCGGGGTGTGGGCATGCCGTGTGAGGCGGCTCCCGGGATCGACGTGGTAGTTGCCGTCCGAGTCCCGCAGCAGCGGAGAGGTGACCGACGAGTCGGCTTGGGTATCGTCCATGTCGCCCTCGCTGCGCCTGTCAGGATGCTCGGCAGAGGAATGGGGATATGGATGTGGGGTGTTGCTGTCGCAGGTGGATGGGGATGGATGCGCCGGGGGCTCGGGAATCGGGGGAGCTGGCGAGCTGGAGTTGGATGCCATGGTGATAGGGGAGCAGCGCAGTGGAGACGGCGACGGAATGTGGAACAGGATTGCAGGGCGAAATGGAGATGGGCACCACAAATGCAATGTGCAATTTGGGGGCAAGAGGCCGAGGGTCCAGCGACGGGACAGCGCGCAAGGCCAGCACCAGGAGGACGGTGGCTCGGGATGAAGCGAGAGGAAGAGAAAGACGGCGCCGACCAGAGAAATAGCTGCGTCCGACAGACAGGAGCGACGGACCCGACAGACGAGAGACAGACTTTGGCAGGCGAGTGAACGATGGATTGCGAGAGAGGTGCGGTGCGGCCAGCCCCCCATCGAGCCCCGCCGGTGGATGGGGAGGAGGGCAAAGTCCGAACCCCGTGATGGACGCTGCGGCCCAGCAAGCAGGCAGCAAGCGGGCGAGCGGCCAGTGGGCAGGCCAGTGATCAAGCAAACAACCGAGTGATCAAGCAAGCAAGCGAGTGATCAAGCGAGTGATCAAGTGAGTGATCAAGTGAGTGATCAACGGATCGATACAGACGGGCTGCGGGCCAAGGATGGGTGGGCCATGGCCCTGATCGACGGGGTGGTGTCTGCGGGGCAATCCCGGGCAGTGTCCCTCCGTATCGGCCGTGCTCAGCCGTGCGATGCCATTCCCCTGGCTGTCGGCGGTGCCTCTGTTCCACCGCAGCAGATCGTCAGCCATCATCACCGTCGATATGCCGGCTGCCATGCATCGAGGCCGTATGTCTGCATCGCTTCCCAATATCCATCCCTCTTGCATCTCCCCAAGGCGGCCCAGAGACAACCAACCCAACCCAAGCCAAGCCAAGCGGCGCTCAGCCACGCCGCCGAGCTCGCCATCCTTGGACGGGTGGGGGAGGGAGTGCTTGCGATGACCGAGTCCTGACACTTTCGTCGGGGCTGGGCTGCTTCGACGAGGATCATCCGCGCGCTGGCGGAACAGATGCACGCATCATGGCGACGGATATGACAGAAAGTGCTGTATATTGGGAGGCGGCAGAAGAACGCCGTTGGCTCGATGGAATTTACAAGCAAGGTGAGGAGAGAGAGAGAGAGAATAGGCTGCAAGGGACGAGGGGTGCAAGACACCTGGATCGAGATCCGCTCGCTGTCGCTGTGGCCAGCCGAGGGGTTGGTTGTTCGCCGGTTACCCCTGTCGTCCTCGGGCACGGCAGAGGGGTGCCCCTTAGTTGACAGCGCTGAAGTACTCCTGGGCGAGGTGGACATCGGCCTTCATGGTCTTGGCGCCACGCTTCCAGTTGGCGGGGCAGACATCGCCGTGCTCGTCGACAAACTGGGTGGCCTCGAGGAGACGGAGGGTCTCGTCGATGCTGCGGCCAATGCCGAGATCGTTGATGGTGATCTGGCGGACAATGCCCTTGGGGTCGATGATGAAGGTGCCGCGGAGAGCAACACCCTTGTCATCTCCGGCATCGAGGAGGACACCATAGTCGTGCGAGATCTGCTTGGTGATGTCGGCGACTGTATGCGAGGCAGGGGTTGGAAGACACGGCACAGTTAGAACCTGAGGTCGGCCGTGGTGGCCCTTGGGGAGCCCTTGGGGAGCCCCCTTAGGAATCCTCGTCGTCGTCGTCGTCGTCGTCGTCGTCGTCCACAACACCCTGCTCGCTCGAGGATGTGTGTGCTGGCGGACGGACCGTATCACAGCCGCCGCTTACCAAGAGGAATCTTCATCTCGCCGAGACCACCGGCCTTGCGGGGCTGGTTGATCCAAGCCAGATGGGAGAACTTGGAGTCGATCGAGACACCGACAACCTCGGCGTTGAGCTTCTTGAACTCATCGACACGGTCGCTGTAGGAGATGATCTCGGTGGGGCAGCTGCAGAGCGGCGGAGCGACCGGGTGTCAGTTGACCGAGCGAGAATCCCAGAGCACAAGCGCAAATAGTGGCAGATGGCTTTGACGGCGAGCAGATCGGCAATACTCACACAAAGGTGACTGGAGGATGTGCAGTACGACACACGGAGGACAAAGAGTCGATGAGGTCAGTATCGACAGGGTCGGGTCATGGAGGCCGTTGGGTCAGGGAGGCCGTTGGGCAGCAGACAGGTGCCTGGTGGCTGAGGCGGCGCAACTTACAGTCCAGGGGGTAGAAGAAGAAGACGAGCCTGGATAGACGGTGCCGGAGATCAGACCAGATCAGAATGGAGCCGCAGAGAGGGCAGGAACGCGGCACACCCGAGGCAGTCTTTGGCGCCACCAAGGCGGCCCAGATACCCACCACTTTCCCTTGTAGTCATCGAGGCTGAGGGTCTTGAACTCGCCGTTGACGACGGCCTCAGCGGTCCACTTGGGAGCGGGTTTCTGCAATCGTGCAGCAAGCCGTGCCAATGGGTTCGGGAGAAAAGGGGGGGGTCAGCTGGCTGCGGATATACAGCGAGGGATCTGCCGTCCACGAGATCGCGCAACAGGCGATCGGGATCGAGATCGGCAGAATGCTGGGACCAAGGTTGGCAGCAGGCCAGCGACCGGCGGAAGGAGGCTCACCTGGACACGGGCGGGGCCGTTGGAGGTGGACTGGAGGAAGGGGCAGGTCATGGCGGTGGATGTCGGTGCTATGGCAGGAGACGGGAGCGAGGTCAGCAAGACAGGAGGGGCGGGAGGCGTGCCTTTTGTAGTCGGCCGGGCGGTGACAAATGCAGGCCGCCAAAGAAGGGAAAATTGATGGAACACCGACGAAACTCGGGCTGCGCATCGCTGCCATGAGCGGAGAAAGACGGGAGGGAGGCGAGCGGAGGGGGGGAGTGGGCGGCTGGGGAAAGGGTGGGGGCGCAAGGTGGGCGATATTGGGTTGCTCAGACGCCAACACGATGAAAAAAATAGGACGTGACCCCTCTACAGTGGCTGTGTTCGGCTCGGGACCTGGTCAGCAGGCACATTAAGACACAGAATGAGTCACGTGTGTGCCGACAGTCTGGTGCAGCCTCGTCCGAACGATGCCATTTTGGGACTGCTCGCTAGCCAATCAACAGCGTTGCTTCCCACACGTGCTCTGGCCCGATTTGGCATTCGCTTGCCGTCCCGCTCCGTCCCGCTCCGTTCCGGGACCCCTCCGCCCCGGTTTCTCCCGGCCCCGAACCTCTCATATCCTCATTCTCCCTCACCATGACCCGTTCTGAGAACTGCCTTTCGGACACCCCAGTTCCGACCGCCGTTGGGCGGCACCGTGAACTCCTGGGGCAATCCTCGGCCGTTCTAACTAGTCCAGGATTAGGTCAAACCCGCGGTGGTCACTGCTCCACCAGCCAGTTTAACCTCAGAGTCGCAAACAGAATGCGGTATGATATGCCGTGTTCAGTAAAAACGCAAGTGATAACAAACCCGAAATGATAATAATCAAGATAATGTCCCATGGGGGCGAGGATATCTGGAGGGAATGAGCGATGCGGTTAGTTGAAGCGTCGCCTTCGAGCTCTCTCAGATGATACTCAATCGTCATGAAGGGACTTACTTGGATTTGGATGGCTTCCTACATTCGAGACATATTCAAGATAGTGAAAGAGGAAGCGTTAGAGTTAAAAACATTAGAGACATATTCATGATGCGGCTCATCCTCAATATGCATGCGTTTAACGGCACCTATGTCATCGATCGGCTCATGGGCCCGCCGAGGAAGTTAGGATAGAGAGGGCCTGAGGGGAGTATTGACTTGAGCCTGACGACGGAAGCGGGCAGGAAGCGGTGGTCGGGGGGATATTTATATTCCAAACCTTCCGACTTGACCTGTCATTACACTGATATGGTCACTATGGGTCAAGTTCGGACAAACTCCCTTCGTCATCAAGCGGCCTCAAGCACTTTTTGGCCCAACTACCTGCGACATTTGCATCGACTTGTCAAATCGGAGGATCTTGCTCGATAATATAAAAGCCACCTGGAATGGTTGATATAAGTATCAGCCTGACTTTGCCTCTCCAATTGCAGCAAAGCTGTACCCACCGCCTTCCATCTCGAAGTATCCGACAGTAGAAACGATGGCATCGGCTGGAACAAAGATATGATTCGTTGACTCCATGCTGTCGAGGTGGAAGGTAGCGCACTCGTTGCATGGGCGGTATCCTGAACTGTCATCTCCATATCTGATGTTGATCTTTGGAATCACACAGTATGCCCAGTTTGTTGTTTCTCCATCAAAGGAGTGGCTGATGAAATATTGGACTTGATAGAAGCGGACAGAAGAATATGGGTGATTGCTTGCTGATGCATCGGGCATATTGGTCCAAACCTGTAGATTCAGAATGCATTAGCTCATATGAGGCTTCGCTATCGCGCGCTGCCGAATGCCTTACCTTCACAACAGAGTTCATCCGATGATGTGCCGTGCTCATCCGATGTGATTGAGATATGACATGTAGTTCCCCCGCGTCCATCTTGGTGTGTTTGGAGCAAGTGTCCGAATTCTGATCCCAAAGTGAATGGACATATTGCAAGGCTTCACGATAGCCGTATGAGGAATTGGCAGAAATCGTCCTGGCATAAGCGCTCTTTAGCTTCGCGACTTGTTCAGAAGGTAGTTTCAGCTTTTGTTGCTGGCCAGACAAGGTTCCGCGGCTATCTTGATTCGAGGCCCGCCCATTGTTTGCAAAGGAGGATGGCCATATCCCAGGGTCTTCGCCCAACCTGGATGTTCCTCTCAAGGTCAAGTTCGGAGCAATGCTTGGACCGCTCAGAGAGCTTTGGAGGACGAGCCGATTGGCCATATTGTCCACTGGATGGACCTTCGATCGCCCGATGAGCTTCAGGCGACCACAGGTTCTTTCCATTTCAAACTGCCATTGATATACCAAGGGTCCAAACAATCGGATGCACCTAGGCAAGTGTTGGAGCTGATGCACGTAGGTTTTCATCAAACGAAGTCCAGACAGGTCTGGAGCTCTGTCTGGAGGAGGTTCGAGTGACTCTGGGAGATTTGCGATTGACCTGGTGAATACATTTCGAGTATACGTGGTTAGATATTGAGAATTAGTGAGCTGCCCAACATCCTCAAGTGAAGGGACTGCTGTCTCGTGCTACTTGCTCTGTGTAGTACTCCTGGAACCTCTGAAGATTTCTCTCGATCTGATTGCATTGAGCAACATTCAACTGGGGAAGCAGCATCAATCGAAGGGCATAGACAAAGCGCCTCCATCCCAATCTAGGCACAATAGCATCACTGTTAGGATCAATTCGAATCAAGTATCTCATCGACCGTAGGACGGGCCCCGGTTCGAGCAGGGTACAATATCAAGAGCTTACAAGTGTTCTAGTGGAAAGCCCGCCGCATTGAGCAGAGGTAGGGAGTACATGATAATCCAATTCTTCCATTCTTCGGTTTTGAAGCTTTTGTATGAGACAGGGTCCCGACAAGAGGCACCAAAGCCTGTTGGAATCTGAATCCTGCCTTCGCTGATCCATCTTCCGATCTTTTTCAGGCACTTGGACGTGATCTTTTGGTCCAAACTTGAGGATGAGGGAGCCTTCCGCGTTCCATTCCAAATCTCCATCATGAGTGGACCGATGTTCGAGATCACATGCATCAGATCGAGAGGAAGACAGAAGCTGAGCTCGATGGACTCAAGTTGAGTTACACCTGGTCGCCCCACGATCCCTGATCAACATAGTTAATGTTAACATCGGAGTCGAAAACAACGCCCTGACTCGTCTCGTTAACGTACCGTTTCGGGGCATGCCGTCTTGATCGATGGCCTCCCATATTCTGTTCAGACTCTCTTCGGTGCGGTATGGACTGGGAGTGTCACGTTCATAGAAGCACATGGCACCCCCGGTGTGATGATCATGCACGTTGGGAACACGTGTGGACTGCTGCGCGTGATGCACCGTGAGTCATGTTTGTTTGTCTTGGCGTGTATTCCCTGATTGGCTGGCGCCGATGACTCTTACTTCGCCTCCGACTGCGCTGTGCTTCGCCCCTCTCTCTAGCAGCTCCGCCTCCCTCGCACCCCCATCTCGTCCCTCGTTTGTCGCTCCACCCCTCTCGCCCACTTTCGCCCTTCGGTTTCCCTCTTGGCTATAAAGCCCCTCCTTTCTTGCACCCATTTTGTATCTGCAGTTCGAACAACACTTGTTGTTATCTGATAAGTCGTAATATAGCTTATCGTTGTTCGCCAAGCACCTGGTCGTCCAGTGTCGTTGCTTGTCGTGGTCCTCACATATTGTTCGAACTCCCTCTCTCTGTCTGACCACCTGCTTGGCTGAGGCTTCGTTGCTGCCCTCATCCTTCTATTCTCTGTTGTCTTCCCTGCATCCTCGCTCCCCACTTTCAAAGCCCACATGGACCAACTCCAGGCCCAAATCGTTGCCCTCCAGGAGGAACTGGTTCTCCTCCGGACCACACATTCTTCCGCCGCCCCACAGCTCCCGCACATGCCGACCCCGGACAAGTTCGACGGCACCAGGTCAAAGTTCCGCCCCTTCGTCAACCAGTGCCGCCTGCTCATGATGCTCCAGGCATCCAGGTTCCCGTCCGAGCAAGTCAAGGTGGGTTACGTCTTGAGTTTGCTCACTGGTCCGGCCCTCCAGTGGGCGACTCCCTTGATCGAGTCGAACGATCAAATCCTGCACTCGTTCGACTCGTTCATGGAACGCTTTCGCCAAGCGTTTGACGATCCCGACCGCACCCACACTGCCGAGCTGCTCCTTTCCTCCATGGCACAGGGCAACCGCTCGTGCATGGATTATGCCTCAGAGTTCCTCCGCGTTGCCGCCGACCTTCCCTGGAACGACGAAGCCAAGATCTCCGCCTTCCGCCGTGGCCTGTCGAGGGAGATCAAGCAGCGCCTCTCCTTCATCGACCCTCTCCCTCTCCGCTTGGTCCCGTTCGTCGAGCGTTGCCTCAAGATCGATGCACGCATCATCGAGCTCAACAACGAGCTCCGAAACACTGGCCCTGTTTCCTTCGGCACCCAGGCCTTCAACTCCCGCACCCCGTCCTTCCAGCCGCCCGCCCAGGAGCCTCCGGTTCTCTACTCCGAGCCGATGCAGATCGACGCCGCCGTCGTCAGCCGCCTGACCCCCGAGGAGAAGAACCGCCGCTTCCAGGAGCGCCTCTGCTTCCGCTGTGGCAAGCCCGGCCACGTCGCCAAGTCCTGCCCCCTCAAGTCCGGCTCCCGTGCTCCCGCCTCTGGTTCCCGCTTCCCCGGCTCCCGTCCTCAGGCTCCCGGCTCCCGTCCCCGTTCGAAGGTTGTCCGAACCATCGTCTACGATGATGGTGAGGAGGAACACTTCGAGTCGGGAAACGACCAGGCCCAGATCTAAGTGGAGGCTTAGATCTGGAGCCGTCTCCCCTTCCTCCAGAAGCAAGCGTCGATGGTAAGGAGCATGAGGTAAGTGTCGAACGCATGGCTATGTGTGGAATGATCAATGTAGTCGGTGGTGGATCGCACTCTGTCAAACCCGCCTCTTCTAAGGGCACATCTGGCTCCCAGATGTCTTTGACAGAGCTCCCGATCTCCACACCACCTGCGAACTTGGTCATCTGCTCGAACCATGCTGCCGACACTGATCTCTGCTCCGAGCCTTCTTCGTGCGTCTCGTCGATTTCTTCGTCTTCTCCCGTTTTCTCCGCTTCTCTTGTTCTCCCTTCTGGTCGCTCCCTCTCTTGCCAACTTCTCGTCGATTCTGGTGCCTCCGGCAACTTCATCGACGAGAGCTTTGTTGACCG